GATACGCTCTGCCGTACGCTTTAAGGAACAAGACGTCCTTATAAACGCGTTAAAGGAGTTTTAACTAGAAGAACAGCGCTAAATCCTAGACCCTAGCAACATAGAGGAACGGGAGGAGATAGATAAGGACTTAGAGGCTACTTTAGACGAGTTAGAGCCTAAAGAGGCTCCTTCTAGCCCAAAGCGGGCTAGAACTACCTAGCAGACAACACAATACCCTAGAACTGCTAAGTAGAAGTTACAGGCTATCTAGGAGTGCTATAATAGCCTGCTAGCAGGCTACTTTAGAGCAAGACGAACCTTAGAAAAGCTGCAGCGACACTACTCTTAGAGGGGCATGCGCAAAGACGTTAAGCAGTATTGCAAGGAGTGCCTTATTTGTAAAAAGTCTACTCTAGCTAGACACCGTCTATATAGACTCCTTTATCCTCTCCTAATCCCTAACTACTCTTAGGAGGAGGTAACTATAGACTTTATCACGGAACTACCTCCTAGTAAAATATCTAGGGTAGTTTATAATGCTATCCTGGTAATTATAGATAGATTAACTAAGATAGCCTATTACGTGCTAGCACGAGCTAATTAGGACGGCTCTGATCTAGCACAGGGCTAGATACGCGAGGTTATCTAATTACATAGAGTTCTAAAGCAAATTATATTAGATCAGGGTCTATTAATAAACTCTAGACATTAGGACACGTTCCTTTACTATCTTAATGCTAGAAGAGTTTTAACGTTAGCCTTCTATCTACAGACGGATAGGTAAACAGAGCGTTAAAACTAAACACTAGAACAGTATCTTTAGTGCTTTTGTGCCCTAGAACAGGACGACTAAGCGTTGTAGATCTTAGTAGGAGAGTTCGCGTACAATAACAGTGTACACTCTACTACAGGGGTTACACCCTTCTAGGCTTACTACAGCAGGCACCCTTGTAGTGCAGACTAGCCTAAGATAGCCCTAGGGGAAGGAGAGAGCCCTATAGCAACCGAAGTCGCCTAAAGGGTAATTAAGCTACAGCAAGAATGCCGCAGAAAGATTAAGGTAGCTAATGCCTACTAAGAGGAGTATGCTAACAAGTACCGTGCTCTAATCCCTTTTAGGGTAGGAGACTAGGTTTTAGTTTCTAATTAATATATCCGCTCTACAAGGCTAAAGAAAAAGCTAGACTAGAAGTTTCTAGGCCCAGGCACGATTACAGCCCAAATCGGACTATCAGCGTTCAAGGTCGACCTGCCAGGTCTTCAAAAAGTTCATCCCGTCTTCCATGCGTCGCTTTTAGAGCCATACGACCTAAAAGGGGCCATTCCACACCCTAATGTACCAGCTCAGGACACTCTGCGCGAATATAGGGACGATGTGTATAAAGTAGAGCGAATTCTAGACAGAAGGCGTAACAAGGACAATAAGTAGGAATACTTAATCAAATAGGCTGGCTACTCAGAGGAGGAGAATTCTTAGGAAGTAGGAGCAAATGTTTCTAGCAACGCACTGAAAAAGTTCTAGGAAAACAAAGGAATCCAACAAAGAAGAAAATCCACTAAATTACAGCCTAAGAAGCGTAGCTAAGGACGGCCTCGTAAAGAAGGGGGATAAGTTAAGCTACAACAGGCCATTCCGGTGCAAACGGGGGCATACCTTCACCTTTTTCCCCTTCCTAAGGGGTTTTAGGGTGTTTAACAGTGCCTCGGGCCAGATTAGGCCAGTATTCCCCTTCTAGGCTACATAATGTAACATCTGTCTCCGTTAGCCAACCTAACCAGATCGCAGGCAACTAATGCTCTACAATTCTATATCTCCACATTCACAAGTCAAACAATTATGCAAATCAAGCTTCATATTACTGCATAAGGGTCATAGCCTATAGGTATAAAACGCCATCCTATAGGGTACCAATCTAGTCCATTCCAGCCCAAAGGACCCCAAAGTTTCCCATTATAAGTCGTTTTTAGTCATAAAGAGGCACTATTACCCATTCAGGCCACCAGAGGCCCTTAGGGGCCCATACCGGCCCATATCACCCAATCCTAGGCCTTTTAGGCCATAAGATCATCAATCTCCTTCTCCAGTCCCTTAATCTCCTTAGTAAGGGCAGCCTTAATAGACCTAGAGTTCTTGCTGCAAGGAACGTCGGCATGCTCGGACTCCTTCTTGCTGACCACGGCAGTAATCTCAGCAATCTTCATGTCGATAGCGGTGTTAGTCATGCGCTTTCCAGGAGCCTGCGGGTGTTAGCAGCAGGCCATAACAAGCTCTAATAGGCCATATAGGGCCCAGATTCCCCAATAAGGGCCATAAGGGGGCTTTTAGGTCCTCTTACGGGCTTCTTAGGGGAACTGCCGGTCTTTTCGTACTAATCGACCGCTTCCGCCACCCGCTTATTCCAAATGGCCTAGATAGCCTGCTGCTTAGCAGCCTTAGAATCGGCGGATTAACCAGAATTATTAGGGCGAATTCCGGACTTGGGATCATGATTGCTGAGGCAACGACCGTTATGCAACTCTAGATGCTGACTAGCCGGAGCATACAACTTGCTGCAAAATGTTAACATAAGCCCCAGAAAGGGTCATTATGGGCGATTATAGGGCATACTAACACCCTAGTACCCCGGTAGGGGGCACAATAGGGCATTTCAGGTCACTTACCTCTCAAGTACCCGCTTGACGCCCTAAAGCTCACGCTAAATCTTGGCCTCCCGAAGTAGGCGCTCATCTTCGGTAAGATCTCGAGTAACCTCATCCTCATCATCAATACCAGGAATCGTAACTTGACCTTTGCGAAGCTCCTTAACCAGAACCTCAATAGCGGCCAGGTCGACGAACCAGCTGTTAGGAGGCTAGAAAGGGTCAGAATAGCCCGTAACAATGCGGGCTAACCCCTTCTACGCCAATAAGGCGCCATAATGAGGTAGAACGGGCTAAAAGGGGCCACTTACAGCAATACAGGGGCGATTCATCAGGAAACAGCGCCCACACTCGAGGATCTAGACGGCACCAGGCAAACCGGGGATATTGCGAAGACGTCCCTCGAAGTCGGCCCTGTTATGGTCGCCAAGGACAGGGAAACAGCAGCCATACTAACCCAGGCAAAGGAATTCACCAGCGACCCAGGAATAGAGGCAGCCAGTGCAGACCCAGAACAAAGACTAAGTGCCAGCACCGGGAAGATAGCTGTTGGAGGCCGCTAGCTTAGAGAAACCAGCCATAATGAGCCGTACTAGGCTAATATGGGGATAGTCAAGGCGAAGTAGGCGGATAGGGTCCGATGGGGCGTAAGAGGGCGCCTATGGGCCAGTTAGCCCCATTCTCACCCATATCGCACTAGAAGGGGCCATTTTGGGCCACCTTGGCGTTACCCTCCTCTTGCCCAGAATGGGGCAAAATACTCACAATTAACGGTCGAGGGGAGTGTGGAATAGGAAAGATGGTCCAGATCGGCCAGGAATACCCAAAAGCTTGGGCCTTCGCTTAGCTAGACCCTGAATCCCAGGTAAAGGTGGATATTCTGGAGTTTTTCGAGAATTCCTAAATCGGTCGGGGTGAAGGTGAAAACCACACCCGGAACTCGGGCCTGCCCTATCTAGTCACTCTTTTTGATACTAGGCGTAGTAGGCCCCGTAGGGGCTATTACGGACTACTATAATCTAGTTTGGGCTAACTGTGCCTCGATCGGGTCGATCGACTCTAAGAAGGGGAATAATGTCAGGCACCAGGCTACTCCGGGCCCGTTCGGGCCGGTATGCTAAGCAATCGCAGTATATTAGCCTACCTTACCGCTGTCGAGCCACAACAGCGGTAAGGTAGGCTAATATACTGCGATTGCTTAGCATACCGGCCCGAACGGGCCCGGAGTAACCTGGTGCCTGACAGTTAAAACTAGGTAACCTAGCTATCCGAAACCTTATGCTGCGCAACCGCGCTGCTAAAATTCTTCAAAATACTCCTTATAGGTAGTACGCTGTCTCTTGTTTACCCTTCTACAAAGCTAATAAGCTTATCCTCTTGTTGTAGGTTAAGATTTTGCTAATGTTTAGCCGCCTCTGTGCCCTGGGGTTGTTGTGCGCCCTGGTGCCTCCGCGACAACGTCGTTCGATCAACTCCGAATATTTTTGCAACTTAGCAGTACGAGAATTTATCTCCAGCCTTACGCGATTTAATATATTTAATCACTTCTTAAATCAGGTCTATAGTTGTAGACTTATGACGCGTCGCAGTTGGGATGGTTCATGAGGTTGCGGGGCTTTGGGTGGCTCGTTGACTGAACTGGCTCGTTGGGTGCGCACGGACTGTACTGTGCCGGAGCTCGTGCCGCACGGTTCCGCGTTCCGCACGCGATTACTAAAGGGGATTCTGCGTCGCTCATTCAGGGTTTCTCGAGGGATTCTGGGCCATAGCCTTGAATCCCGTCGCCCATTAATGATAGGGCTCCATGTCATTGCCGCCCTGGGTTAGGGACTGTACAGTAACTGCAGTAGCAGCGGCAAGCAGTAGAAAGCAAGGAAGAGAGATATCAGCAATATAATACGCGTTCTTAGTAGATAGCAGCGGCTTATCAATAGAGGAAACGCGTACGCGTTGCGTGCTAGTCGACGCGGGTCTATTGTTGTTGTTGCTGTTTAGCGCCGAAGTAGGATCGAGGTGGAAGCGCATGGGTGTCTCCCACTACCGCAGGTGATTGGCTGAAAACGCCATTGAGGGCTTGATGGCCATGGTCATATATCTTAGGGTTTCTCGGAGGATTGTTGGCTACTGCCAACGATCCCTTCGCCCATTAATGATAGAACAGTCCCCAGGTCGGACCATATAAGCTGCTCACCGAGTGTATATCAGGCAGCGCTTTTGCGAGTCCCCGGGCTACTAGTAGCCAGACTTGGTTGTATCGCGTGTCAGCCTCACTCAATCGTGGAAAGTACGTTCCATATTCGAGTCAACTCACCTCTGCAGCCGATAAGGAGGGGCCTCGAACCTATGACCCAAACCTCCTCACTTGGAAAGATTTCAGGATGGAGCCTGGCCATGACTGGGTCACTTCTCAGAAGGTGCTCTGCCAGTGGGGAGAGATTACTACCAAGACTGGTTTAGCGTACTCCGTATATGCCGCTACAGAAGACATGCCTCCGAATGCCGCCTTTTTCTCATCTGATGGCGACTATCTTATTGTGCCACAATCAGGAGTGTTGGATATCCATACCGAACTGGGCAACATTCTATTAAGGTATCTAGGATTGCTTCTCTGAGCCCTATTCCTAACATGATTTATCATGCCTACCTTGGACAGACCATGTGAAATTGCGGTGATCCCTCGGGGAATCAAATGTCGAGTTAATCTGGTAGCTGGACCTGCCCGTGGTTATATTTGCGAGCTGTTCCATGGCCACTTCCAGTTGCCTGAACTTGGCCCACTGGGTACGTCCGCACTTGCGAATCCACGCGATTTCCAGGTTCCGACGGCTGCTTTCGATGGTACAGTCAGCGACGGTGTGGCAACCTGCGAGGCTGCCGACTGGACCGTGATAAATAAGTTCAACGGCAAGCTATTCTCCTGTACTCGGAACCAAACGCCATTCAATGTCGCAGCATGGCATGGTACATACTATCCGTACAAGTACGATCTCGGACGCTTCAACGTTATTGGAAGCCTCCTTTACGATCACCCCGATCCATGCATCTTCACGGTTCTTACCGCCCCCTCATATCGAGAGCCAGGAACTGCCTTGATCGACTTTGCCGTCTTCCCTCCACGCTGGCAGGTAATGAAGACACGTACTGGCTGCCGCCATTCCATCTGAACACCATGAGCGAGTTTGTTGGTATGATTATGAAGGAGGCAGACCCAAGCGGTGACCTGGTATTCAAGCCATTTGGAGGAATGATAACTGGGCCAATGACGCCACACGGCTCTACTAAAAAGGAGCATGAGGAAGAGAGGGCGAAAGAGTTCAAGCCGAAGAAGATTGGGATGGAACCGTTCCTAGCTTTCCTGTTCGAGTCTGAAGTTATGATGAGGGTTAGAGAAGCCGGATCAGAGCATGTTCAGAGCTCGTAATAATTGCTTTCTTTGCATACATGTAGTAGTTTGTGTAATTTGGATACGTAAATAAATTGAATCTTTGCTTTCATCCCAAGAAGCAACATGCTGGTAGTTCCTAGCCGCGCCTCAGGTCCCTTACCGCCTTGACCTTAACGTGAGAAGCAACGCATCCAGGCTCTTCCTGTCCGCGTCCAAGCTCTCCCTCTGTACATCGATGGGGAACCCGTCCTTGAGCCACGAAGACAACTGCCCATCCCGCGAATCCAAACTCGGTTCTGGCCAGTGCGTCGGCAAAATCCCGTTATTGAAGCAAACGTATCTCTGGAGGAAAATCTCGACTAGACAGCTATCGCGGTGCGTTACCCCGTATGAGGTGGACGGATGCTCGCTGTATGAATCTGCATAGCCAAACTGGAAGTCGACAAGGTTAGGTAGGTCTGCTGCGATGCGATCGAAATGCTGACTCCACCTCCCACCGTATGCGAAGGTCTCGCTCCAGTCGCCCCGGCCGGCCCGGGTCGCGTCCTGCATCTTGGTCCAGTCATGCATGCGGATGTTCCACTGCTCCATATTGCTGCGATAAATGCGTAGCCAAGAAGCAATCATACAGTTGTGGAGGATAAGCTTGCGCAACGAAGTAACGGCGAAAACCCAGTCGAGAGCGTCGTCATACGCAAGTGTGTAATAACCTAGAGCCAGCGTCTCGAGTTTCGGAAAAGATATACTACTAGGGTCGAAGTAGCCAGGGAAGGGGCCCCAGTTCTCTCTGCCGTAGATCGATAATGCCTTCAGGTTCTCAGCGATGGGTGCTAACCAGTGCGAACAGAAATAGGCTGGAAAAGTTTGCAACTCGACTCTGGTGTAATCGTGGTCAGGCCCATGTTCGTTGTATTCCTGCGTGATGAGGATATGGAGCTCTTCCAGCTGACTCATGACGTCGCGGAAGAGACCCGAAGAGGTGAACTCAGGAATAGGACAGTTTTGGAGGTTGCTAATGGTCAACTCGCGAATCGTCCTGCTCTTTTCGTCTGTCGCCCTGTCCTTGATAGCCTGGAAGATGAGCGTCAAGTCTTCCTTGCGCTGCTCAATGTCTTCTGCTACGTCATTCCAACCAGCATCTTTCCTTCCAACACACTCTGGGGTGAAGGCGATCTCTAGTGAGCGGAGATTGGGAAATCTTGACAAGGTGGCCAGGGCGTTCTTGAAGCTCAGAACAACATCATCATCATCTATAGGTTCTCTATAGACACCCGCCCCGTGATCTTCGAGATCCGGATGTGTGTGGATGATTGCATGTCGAGGTATCCGCCGGATGACTTCGTCCTGGCCGATGCTGTTCCAAGAGGTCACGTGCTCTTCGGATGGAGAGATGTGTACATTGCGGAAAAGCTCTCTAGCGGCGTGCTTATCTAACAACTTGCACGTAAGTCGAGCATTCGATAAATCCCTCTTTTCGTTAAGTTGCTTGATGATGTTGTCGATGAGCTCTGGTGCTTGGTGGACGAACTCCAGACTGGCGGGTGGCGACATGATGCTGTATGGGTCAGGTATGGCGACTAGAGGGCATGAAAGGCGTCTTGACTGATAGAAAAGCGGTGCACCGCGCGACTTTTGTACATGCAGATGTTAACATGTTGTGGCGCTTATGCCTGGACAGCGGGATCTTTCAGGCAGCAATTAACGCTACTCGTGGTTCGGGTCTAGCGTCGCAGCGCCTGCAACCGTACAAATAACCGCCTACCACAGTAGACGTACTGGAAATCACCAAGATATACCCGTGATATCCGACTTCTCCGCTGCGCTAATCTTCGCGCTATCAGCGTGTTCCTGGAAAAGTCTAACTGGAATCTTCTGCACGTACAGCCAGTCAACCTCATCAGTAGTCAGACCATGTAGATCCGGTACGAGAAACCAGGACCCTATGAGTAGGAGCACAGAGCTTCCCATGAAAACGAATCCAGTACGAGCACCTAAGTTACCAGAATCGGTGTTGTACATGTACGGTACTGCGAAAGTGAACAGCCATGTCATTGCTGCGTTTGAGATGACGCCAATAGATTGGGTCTTCACTCTCAGTCGGTACGAGGAGACTTCGGCGGTGATTACCCACTAGGCTTGTCAACAATCAAATCAATCAAGTCTCAGCTTCCGGCTTGACTTGAGGCTTGAACATCTGTTGTGAGGCTTGATTGATTGGTTTGTTTGCAGTTTTCAGCTTGAGGCTTAATTGGAAGCTTGATTGGCTTGGTGTTATACAAATCAACTGCCTATACTAAGTACTCGTTCTCGTGATCCCAATCGCACAATCGACATATAGCGTCTATATTAGCGTTAGTTACAGTCGCTGTGGCAGCGCTATCGCCGTGATCAAAGCTTGCCCTATGCTACCGCCGTACGCACTGTATAGCGGCTAATAACTGAGGCGAGATCTGCTGTCTCTGAGGCTTAAGGAGATCGCCAAGCTCGCTGAACATGCGCTCACACTCGCAGCTTAAAGCTGGGATAGAGAGCACGTCAATAGCCATCTGCGAAAGGTTAGGGTAGCGATCACGTAAGCCTACCTAGTATTTAATAGGGTGAACCGCAGCGTAGCTACCCTTACTAGCCTTCGGTTCGCCGCCTTCCACCTCTCGTACTCATCTATCTAGCCGTCGGTAGCAGCGATAGCGCTATCTAGGTCTAGGAGTGCATCAATTGAGTCGTTAATCTCGTTAGAGATAACCTTTAGGCGCCTTACGGCACGCGGTGAGGTGTTGTACTCTGCCCAAAGTTCCTAAAACGCGCAGTTGTTAGCTTCTAGCCACTCAGGTTTGTCCGCCCAGGCAACCTCGCAGTACGTTTTGTAGCGTAGATAGAGTAGAGTTGTAGCGTAGTACGCGGGTAAGAGGTTAAGCTTATTGTAGTAATCACTAGCCTTCGCCTAGGCAGCGCGGAGGTTAATCGCAAGATAGTCTTTAGGCGCTTCGTCATGCGCGTTATAGTTAATAGCCTCATAAGCTTCTACGCGTTGCTCGTAGTAAGTACGTATATACTCAAAGACTAGGATAACCTCAGCGATAGCGCCGTAATAACTGCCTCTAACGCGACCCTCAGCGTCTTTACCACGTCCATCTAGGCGCTTTGTTGCTGACTTTAGCGGCTTCAAGACGTCAATATACTTAGTAACAACTGCTTAGTTAGTAGCTGTAAGGCTGCTAGACCGCATCTAGACCGCAGCCTTAGGTAGCTTGTTGCCACGGCTAATCGCATATGTATCCTTATCTCGCACGCAACATATATAATAATAGGCATAAGCGTTAACAGCGGGCTGCAGCTTAACAGCGCGCTTAAAGGCGGAATAATACAAGTTCTAGCGCGTAACAACTAGCTTAACAGGTACAAGCACTTCGCGCTAATTAGTAGGCAGCTTAGCGTTAGCTAGGCGCTAGAACGTTTTAAAAAGCTTAAGCTGCTGCAGTGTTTTAATGTAGTTAATTACGCTAAGAAGTACGCTAAGCGGCCTATCCTCGCGCTAGTTGCGTAACAACTCGCTCTTAACAGTAAGCTCGCTGCTATTATTATCGTACGCATCTTTATTACTACCCTAAAGTAAAGCTTAACTAATTAAGTTAAGAGTATAAGCACTGTAGCAGAGGCAACAATAGGTAGCGTTTAAGCCTATCTGCTGCGCGATACTAAGGACAGCAGTGTCGTTATTAGTAGCATTATTAGGTATAATGTAGCTAATAGTACGCGAGTTAATGTTAAACTGCTGCAAAGTTTTGCTAACAACCCCTGCAATCTTCTCGCTAGTATGCGTGCCTGTTAGTTAGGGCAGCGCGATAGAGAAGTCTATAAGGTTACTAGCTGTAAGGACATAGCCTCTCCTCAGCTACTACTTACTACGAGGTTTAGAGCTAAGGAGTAAAAGGCTACGTCTTACTACGAAGGCGCAAACTACTAGACCTTCGAAGGCCTAAACTACTAGACCTTCGAAGGCCTAAACTACTAGACCTTCTACGGTCTAGTACGCCTTCGCTTCGCTTCTCTCTCTAGGCTATATAAGTACGCGTACGCTCTGCCTCTTCTAGGCTCTGCGTCTGCTATTTTCTCTACTCCGAATACAAGCTTCTACTCAACTAGTTCGCTCTTCTGCGCGTAAAGTCTGCCTTACACTAGCGCTATTAACGTAGTGCGCAACAACGCCTAGGAAGCTGTATTTACTGCCTTTTGTTGTCTAACTGTTAAAACTAATGTAAATCTTGCTAAGGGCCTTAAATAGATTAATAACAACCTAGGGTAACATAAGGTTAAAACAACGCATTACGTACTATAAAACGCTTGCGTAAGACGTCTACAACGCCGTAGCTGCCTCTACGTTTGCAACTTTAAGCATCTGTTAAAGTGCGGGCTTTTTTAGTATAGTCGCTCACTTTGTATTAGCTAGCGGCATCCTTAAGGACGTTGCTATCAACCTACCGCAGCTTGCAGGTGCTTACACAGGCAATAGGATAGCTAATTGCGTTAAAAAGACGCTGTTAGAGTTTGGGATAACAGCGCCGAAGCTGGACTACTTTATGCTCAACAACGCGTACAACAATAACGCGGCTATCGCTAGGCTTAGTAGCAAGTACGGGTTTTCGCTAAGTCACCAACAGCTGCGTTATAGCGCTTAAACAATTAATCTCGTCGGCTATGCTGTAATTTCTAGCGTAAACAAAGACGCATTTAACAATAACAACAACTCTAATATACTAGTAAGTCTCGCTAGGCAGCTTAATACCGCAAGTAATACTAACTTCGCTGTTTAGGATAAGGAGTAATTTATAAGTGACTAGCGCAAAGATAGGCCGCTTGGTACGTGTAAGGACATAGCCTCTCCTTAGCTACTACTTACTACGAGGTTTAGAGCTAAGGAGTAAAAGGCTACGTCTTACTACGAAGGCGCAAACTACTAGACCTTCGAAGGCCTAAACTACTAGACCTTCTACGGTCTAGTACGCCTTCGCTTCGCTTCTCTCTCTAGGCTATATAAGTACGCGTACGCTCTGCCTCTTCTAGGCTCTGCGTCTGCTATTTTCTCTACTCCGAATACAAGCTTCTACTTAACCAGTTCGCTCTTCTGCGCGTAAAGTCTGCCTTACATCCTCTATCCGATTGCGGGTCGAACACCTGCCTCCTAACTTTGCTCGATACCTTATCGTACTACAATAAATATAAGAGACCTGCCTAATTAAAGAAGAATTAACGCTATATAAAGCTAAAGAGCAAGGGTGTCTAGAATTAAGCGGAGTCTTACTACTATAGGATGTATCTCTACGCGACGGACCTGCAGATCCTGCAACAGTCGGGTAATATTCTCTCTAACGTCCCGCCTTAAATTTTATTCCTTAAAACGTAGACGCAATTATTAGCTCTATCAATCTGGAAGCATACAAGAACATAGGTAGCGATTACTCCTTTTTAGATTCTATGTTCTCCTACCGAGCTAGAAGCTAGAAAACTCGTCGCTGCACTGCGAATCTTGCTACGCTGCTAGATTATGCCTCCATTCACGCGCAATCAACGTCTTCATAGCCCCTGTACCTCGTATCTACCATTCGGAAGTCCAGATCTGTGGTAATCTGCCTACACAACGCGCCAAAAACAGTCAATGCATGCCATGGCTTCACGCGAACTGTAGACAAATCGAAGATAGGATAATGGAGCGGCACGTAGCTACTTACGCCTCCGTTCGCGATGTTTATTGGCGGCCGCTCAGCAGCGAGCGCAGAATCTTGCATCACATTGTAGTACATCTATGTATAGGAATCCAAATTCACTCTAGAACCAAGACTTCGGTGGCTCTGTCCCCTTCAACTTCCGGTACAAGAAATCCCTGGTCCTTCGCAACGCATATGCATTCGTGGTTGCGACTCCATGCTCGCCTCCCGGGATAACCACCAAGTCGAAGTCTTTGTCTGCTTGAGTGAGCGCGTTGACAACCTGCATTGTGCTTGCCGGATCGACATTCGTGTCCAGCTCGCCAACAGTAAGTAGCAGACTGCCTTCTAGCTTTCCCGCATTCACAACATTGGAGCTATCTTCGTAGCTCTGGTCGACGGGGTACCCCATCCATGCCTCGTTCCACCACAACTTGTCCATGCGGTTATCATGACATCCACAATCTGCAGCAGCGACGCTGTAAAAATCGTTATGGAAAAGAAGAGCACTCATGGCATTTTGACCGCCAGCGGAACCTCCATATACTCCAACGCGGCTGATATCCATCCAAGGGCGGGTTGAAGCCGCCGCCTTCATCCATGCAATACGATCGGGGAATCCTGCGTCCTTGAGATTCTTGTGGCAGACGTCATGGAAAGCCTTGGAGCGCCAGTTAGTGCCCATGCCGTCGATGAGGACAACAACAAAACCCTGGTTCGCAATCCGGTGGGCCTCGTCGTGGCTTATGTATGCTTTTGGTACAAAGAAGTCATGTGGTCCAGCGTAGATCTTCTCGATAACGGGGTACTTCGTGCTGTTGTCCATCTGGTAAGGGCGGAAAACAAGGCCGTAGATCAGGGTAGAGTTGTCTCTGCCTGGGGCTGCGAAGCGCTCGGGTATGGGCCAGAGAAGAGAGTCAAGATTGCCTTCGTGAACATCAGCGGTCTTGTTTCCAGTCTCGGCGTCACGCGTGACGGTCTTCTCGGCCATATCAATGCGAGACCATGTATCTGTAAAGGTCGATCTGTCGTCGTTGAAATACCAGGAATGGTCGCCATCGCCTTCGGTCAAGATCTTGAAGTCTGAACCATCGAAATTTACTCGCGCTAGGTGGGCGTAGTAGGGATCCTGGCCGGACACAGCACCGAGAACCTTGATCCAGATTTGTCGTTTCGTCTCGTCGACGTAGTCTACGGAGCGCACAACCCATTCTCCTTCCGTGATCTGGTTTTTCACTTTCCCGCTTTCCATGTCGTACAGATAGAGATGATTCCAACCGTCGCGTTCACTGGCCCAGATCAATTCGCTTGAGTTCGAACTCTTGAGCTCCTTGTAGTAGAGCTTTTGTGAATAATCAACAAAGGTATCGCTTTTCTCCTCGACTAGGGCGCGCACATCTCCGTTGGTATTCATGCCAACTATACGCACAACCTGATGTCCCCGTTGATTGTAAATGAAGCGAAATTCGGTGCCTTCTGTGTTCCATCCACCATCCAGTGAGTAGATCTGGTATGGGTTCTCGAATAACGTTTTGTCCGTGGCAACCTCGCGTTTGTTCGTCAAATCGAACATTCGAGGCCGATCAATGGTTACATTGTCACCAGGCTTCAGGTACTGGAATTGATGCAAGCGGGGTTGCAGCTGGTCGTAAGGGCTCGACTCGACTTCGTACACGATATGATCCTGGGCGGGCGTATATTGGAATACGACGACAAATTCATTGTCTGGTGAAGGGTACGTTATGTTGCTGAAGGGGCTATCTTCCGTTCCTGTTGTTGACATTTGTACCTCCCGCCTATTCGAATCTCGATGCCAGACGTTGTTGTCTCTGAAGAAGACAGGCGAATTCTCGGTCCCGTTACTCTGGCGTTTGGTAAGGCTTCCTAAATCCTCGGCATGTATATTTTGCAGTTGTGGGGAGGTCGCGCGCTCGGAACGAAGGTCATCTTGCGCGGCAGAGGTCTGAGGTACAGATGTTAATAACAAAGAAAATGCGAAATGCATGTAACAAATGTAGGTCTGCATGACTGAATGCAGACTAAAGAATGTGGTTGAGTGAAATAACTGTGTCGCGAACGACTATCATGTGGTCTTAGCCGATAAACGAAAGACGAGTAAGGTGGAAGCAACAGCGATCGTTTGCATACTTGTAACAGATGCGCAACGCATGACGGTCCTCTCTTAATTTGTGATTACGAGGTAGCTCGTGTACTTGGTCCGTGGCTGGCGAAGACTCCTGAATTTCGATCGTGCCCCGCCTTAGCAAGCTAAAATTGTCGTTCGGCGCTGTGTACTCGGCCGTTTTAGTTTCGCACGTAATTGCATACTGGCACGGCTCGCTTCGCTCCATGAGCGCCGTGCCTGTACCCAGGCATTCTATCCTAGACCGCGTGATTGTCGTATTCCTGTCACGGGAAGGCGAGGCACAATTCTGGTTGCAACTCGCGCGGCCCCACGATGGGCGCCTGGACTGCGTGTAGATACGCGTTGAGTACGTTGCTGGCGATCCCTCGCTTTTGGCAGATCTTGGTGATAAATCCGCAGCGCTTTTCTGCTACAATAGCCTCCTCAGTTTTCTTCTAGCACTTCTCACAACTTAATGTCATGGATCGGACTGTCGATGCCGTTGCCCGCCGTCCACGTCTTCTCACAGTGCCTGTTCAGGCCGTGGACCGCGACGATGCTAGACTCGTGTTAGCTACTGAATGCGCAATTAAGCAGCGAAGAGGCATGCTCGATGACTAGGTTGGTGCCTCCGCACACTACTTGTATGCCCTACGCAGCCGTGGCAGCCGGCTCTGCTGACCCTGAGGATGCTGAGGACAGTTCTGCAGGAGCCTGCCTGCGTGTCAGACCGTGTGAAATGAAACGTGGTCTAGGAGATATACATTTGCGTTGCTCCCCTTCGAGCGGAAGTCAAGGAGCCGTCGCATAGTGTTATTCTGGGTGGCGGACTAGATGGCGGACTAGATGGCGCGAGGTGGTGTAGGCAACGTCAAGCACCATCGCGCGTGAGGTGCATCGGGAGGCACGTCGCGAGGCTGAGAAAGCAGGCGGTGGCATGCTAGCGATGGGGGCTGTATGCAGCGTTGGGGCGGGGGAGGGGGCGGCCTGTTGATGGCTGTCGTCGCTTGCTGTCGTTGGCTGTTTGTCGTTCAGCCCGCACGCTTCGCCTGCACCGCGCTTAGCTGTCAAGGGCCAGCTCGTTCGCCCGCGCTTTTGCGACTGCTGCCAGCAGTACTTGTGGTGGCGAGTTGAGCGCTCCTGTCCGCTCGAACCCGCTCGCCGTGGCCTTTCCCAAGTCGTACTTCACTACTCCACCGTGCTTTCCCTGCGGCTGGCTGACCACCACGTCCCCCAGCCGGACGTCTGCCTCAGGGCTCGGCACGCCGCCGCTACTGCCCACCATCGGCCCGAACCGGATCTTCTTGAACGTCGCTCGCATCTGCGTCGCCACCGCGGCCGCTGGGTTGTTGCCGATCCGGCCGGCGGGCAGACACACTACGGCGACGTTGTGGCCGCCGATGGAGCCCAGCGCGTACAGGTTTTCGTCGTTGTCGGCCGCGTCGCGCTCGAGGTCGGGGTGCTCTTCGTCGAGCATCTCCTGCGCCGCCGCCAGCTCGACAGGCAGCGCGCATACCCATCCCACCGTGTAGTCTTCACGGCGCAGCTGGCGCGCCATTCGCGGTCGTTGCGGGGGAGGCCGAGACTAGAGTGGCTGCGGTGTCTTACGGACGGTGTACTGTAGGGGAGGTCGTGGTCTGGCAGCCTGGCAGCCGCTCAGCCTGGCGACGAGCACAGCGCTCGGGTGCCAGCATGTCGTTAGCTGGCCCCCATGCTGAGGTGGGCTGTTGACGTCCAGCGGATGTCGCTGCAGACGCGGGTGAGGTATGCATTTCCACCGCCACATAGATTTAGGTAGTAACTGGTTGTGTTCACGGGTTTATATCTCAAGCATACCGAATGATATATCTCCTTATCCCTCTAACTCCTTCGAGTCATCCCGTGCTGCCCGAAGTATCTCCTTCATCTCCAAGTACAGGATTGGATCTGGAACCCTCCATCTCCCACCTTCGGGAAATACCTTCCTCTGTAATCTATTGACGTAAGGAGCGAGGGGTTTGTAGTAAGTCGTAAATCTAGCCTCAACAGTCTTCAGAAAATCACTCTCGTCAGAAATCAGGCCTTTTTTGAGCTACGCTAGTTTTCCACTGCTCTCATAATTCTAACATTCGAACTCAGTTGATCTAATGTCTTTGCCAGGCCCATCATAGTGAATACACACCCAGAAAAGGACCTAGAAGAATGATTCAAGGTCGTGCATGAACGAGTGTTGTTCGTCGTCTAAGAGCACTCCAATTGCCATGAACGCTCGCGTGCCGGTCTTCCCACGCGCCCCTGAAGACATCTCCCGCTGTTCGTTGATGGTATGCGATATGCGAACTGTGGAAGTCCGTTGTTCAACTGTCCAACTCCGGCAACAACAACAGCCCCCCAACAACTCTTCTATCTAGGCTACAATAACCCGAATGTTGCATTTCCACAGCCACCGGCCATGCTGACGTTCTCGGCAGCGTTGCAAGCCTGGGTAGGCAGTCTGTGGCAGAACAATATCCTCAACTTGTACGGATTGTCCTTTGTCTTTGCTCAGGAAGGAAAATTATCACTGGTGCAGCGGACAATTTCCGTATCGGCCCTAACATTCCCCGATCTGTGCCGTTTGTAATTCCTGGCCGAGCTACTTCTGGTCGAAATGATCCCATCAACTTCAATTTCATGTGGGACCCGGTGACGAATACATGGTCATATGTCCAAAATTCGTATTGTTTTAGTAGCGCAGCTATTACTAGAAGTAAGAAGCAATACAACATCTCTATAATGCAACGCGCTGGCAAGCTAAGTAGAAAATTAATACTGTAGTGGAGTATTCTAGTGATTCTCCACCGAAACGGGTGCTCGATGCAATAGGCAGTATGTATTGATGTGTGTCGTGGTTGAAGTGTTCGTTGTCTGAACTAGGTTCAGACATTCCCCGCGCTTTTCTACTTCCCGCGTTATCTCTAAGTCTAATAGCCCTTTAGAACTACCGTTCCCCTAGATAATCTACCACACCATCAGAATTCTAATCCTGGGAATAGAATTCATGTCCAGCTAACGTATCCCACTTAGTGCCGTAGAATTCATCAACGTTCTGAATCAATCCATCTGCGCTCACAGTTATATCTACCGCTCCAGGGAAGGCAAATGGTCGTCCATTTGCCTTAACGTTAGGAAAATCGTTCGCGAATATGCCAGTATTCCAGGTGCGAAAAGAATACTCGAGTCGACCATCGCCTAGTTCACGAGGTGGCCAAGTCCGTTCAACTGTAACACTGAAGTCCTGTAAGGCGTGGTGACACATCTGGAAATGCGCAAGAATCTCAGCCTTTCCCTTCGACTTGAGAAGGTACGCGAGGTCGGTATAGGTCGCATCCGGAGAGTACAATGCCTGCCAAGCATCGGTATCTGGAGTGGACCACCCTAAAGCCCATCTTCTAGGGGGTGAGAGCTCATCAAGAAGCTAGTTAGCTAGATGATATATTCCACAGCAGATTAGAGGTACGAACTAGGAAGGGCCATATCTCGTTTTTTGCGGGGGCGGAAGAACTGGGTTATTTAGACGATGAAAGTTATTACAGGTACGAACTGTACAATGTAAAGGCAGTGTCACGATGCTCTATCACCACAGGATTCCAGCCACAGACTGGTGAGCCACCGGGAACCCTTCGGGGCACCGTCGGCTCACACCAGCCACAATCACGTGACGTAGGTATATATCATCCCTCTGAGAGGCTTGATAGCTCCTCAAGGATTCGTCTCAATACAAGCCTATACCGATATCTCAGTGCCTGCCCAACTACTCCTCACAGGCAGTCCGGCTCGTGTAGTGCAAGTTTATATACTAACCTGCAGTAAGCAGACGGAACTAAAGTCTGGAGTTAGGCTTAAGATCTCGGGATTACAACTCTAGGTTTTCGCAAAGTACTGGTAACTAGGATAATTCGGATTGACTTCGGCTTGATTACGCAGGTCGGTCACTTTGTGTCACGAGCAAGCCTCACGCGACTTGGCTATACCTACCAAAAAGGTGCAGCGAGGGACGGTATACAGTGTCGCAGTGCGAGTTGGTATAGAAACGCTTTTTTTCTGAATTAAGTCTACAGCAAGACTTAGTCTGCCTTCGCGATAGGTCTGTTGAGGACGTTGCTGTCGTCAGGCCTAGCTGATGATATATACTATCCTGCACGATAACCAGTAGTCTACTAATAATACGTACCTTTTGGGTATATAGCGTAGTGGTGCAGGGCTGCGTTCTGACAGAAGCACGGACGCGTCAACCCCTTGATTACGAACCCACGTCCCGGCATTAAACCCATTAGATCCACTTTGAACCCACGTCCTGGCATTAAACCCATTAGATCCGCTTTGAACCCACGTCCCGCTCTTAAACTATTAGATCTACTTTAAACCTATCTCAGCGTTAAACCCTACCTACCTGTAAGAACATAATGTAGTAGAGTGTTCTAGTAATTCTCTATCCTAGGGTGTTAGGGGCTACGCTCAGGGAGCTATCGCACAGGTATACTGGAGTTGTATTCGATAGAGAAGAGAACTACAGGTGGCTAGGGTTCTGAAGGTCGTTCAGGGGGCGGCGGCTCGAGATAACCTTCCGCCAAGCTCGCTTGCACAGAATCCGGGTGCTCAGGGGGGCACCCGGAATCTGTGGACAGTGCGCCTCGCGCACGTGACCGAGATATCATTGAGGATTCACCAACTAGGCTCCAGCCAATCACAATACCCCTGTCGTTTAAAACGCTTGGACTCCCAGGAAATCCGCAAGACCATTACTGTTCACTCTCTTGATGTTAGGCACCTAAGACAAGCCCCAGCGCTTATCTTTGTGGCACAGCAGACACTCGGCAGGATATCCCCCCGAACCAATGTATAGAAACTGTTCCCCGGCACTCCTGACGAGTTTCTTTCTGTAGATTCAACAAGAAACGAAAGGTATCTCCCTACGGCGGTATCTAGAGTATCTCTTTTTTAGAAAGTACCAAAATCAAATCGAGTCTATTGTCTCTACATTTAACCCTAACCCTAACCCTCGCGTCGTCGCTTACCAAGCGAAATCGCCCTTCTCGTTGTCATTGCCACAGGCAAGACCGTCGCAGAATTCCTCCATCTCTTTGCTGATAACTGAGGTGCCCGTAGATTCGAGTTGCTGCTTCGCAGGCCAGATCTTCTGACCGGCCTTCTTCTCCTTCATACCGTGCTCTATGACGATTTCGCGGCATCGCTTCTGGAAAAAGAGAGGTCCCTTCTCCATGCGTGGGTGAAGCTCGCCATTAATAAAGATGCCTGCTTTGAGGTTCTCCTGGGCACGCTCGCACAGGACTTTGTCCTCACCCATAACACGCTTGTAGGTGTCGCTAATAAAAAGGAAGTCTTCTTGGCTAGAGTGCTTATTGCGCCATACCTCGTAGTACATGACTGACTCAGTAGGCGACTTAGGCATAAACTTCTGCATGAACAAGAAGTGTTTTGTGACGGTGAAGGACGCGTTAGGGAAGCAGTATGTGGAGCAGATCTCCTGACCAAGCTCCTTGCGACCTTCAGGAGACTTGATATCGTGCTGGATGTGATCGGCTGAGCAGTAGACGTCGTAGCTCTCGAGGTCGAGCCAGCCCGTTGTGAGATCAGGATGTGTGCTCTTGCAGTGGTAGCATTCGTTAAAGTTGTCAGCAAGGATCTTCCAGTTGAGTGGACCTTCGAGGTTCCATGTGTGGTCGAACTCGTAGTCGTCGAAGTTGAACTGATTAAATCGTGTTTGTTTATCGACGTGGTTAAACTGTGACTCCCATGATACCTCAGGCTCCTTTTTTGCATCCATGTTGATCCAGATGAAGCCGTTACGGTCGATGCGGGTGTGAATCGGGAAGAGACCGTTCTTAGCCTTCTCGAAGTTTTGGAGCTCTTGGTAGCCCGGCGCCTTCGCGAGCTTGCCGTTTAGGCCGTATGACCAGCCGTGGTACTTACAGGAGAAGATCTTTGCGTTGCCTCCGTCCTTCTCAACGACAGGGTATGCGCGGTGTCTGCATACGTTGTGAAATGCGTAAATCTCGTTGGATCGATCTGCAGAAACCACGATGTCGTAGTTAGCGACATTGTAGCGAAGGAAGTCGCCAGGGTTCGCGAGTCTTGACTTGTGGGTAAGAATGAGCCATCTTCGGGTAAAGATCGCGCGTCGCTCAAGCTGGTACATCTCTTCAGATGTATACCAGTTACTAGGTAGCGCCCGTACAGGTTGGTTCTCTAGTAGGGCCTGGGCGGCAGCTGAGCCGCCGAAGCCAAAGTAACTTAGGAGTGACCCAACCATTGTATAAGATGTGTGTTACAATGTAGAGTCGTATTCGGTGTATAGTAGTGGTGTGCGAAGAGTAGTTAAAGATCGTTACTTGTGTGTTGTAAGAGTATACTCGAGAAGATAGAGTTTAAGGATGTCACAAGCATTATTATACTCTCTTCTAATACTGTTATCTTATCACTCTTCTTAAGTAAGACAAATAACTAAGTTACTATGTGATTATGGCTTTCATTCGCACTAAAGGAGCGATAGCCAATAAGATATAAGAACGTAATTCGGCTGCAGATGACCGTGAAGCGCCACGCACTCTGATTATTCTTCCGTTAACGCGAGAACTACTATCGTGATTAATCTAACTTTCTAGAAAGCAGGGTTAGAGCTTAACGGCGTCACGTTAATGGATAGCGTCGTATTACCCTAGAGTAGTTTCATTGACTGTGCATGAAATGCAGGCAGAGGTCACGGTGACTGAACGTATAGACCCTTCTCGTCGCTACCCCTCTTCTTAGCACGAACTTTGGTGGATATAATTTCCAAATACGATTAACGGATGCTAGCCCGCTAGCAAGTTCCTGCGGAACGACTACGGTCGCAGTATCCGACTGCTATCGGGATCTTACCCGAGAGGATGCCCAACCCGAGAGGACGTCTAGCATCTGACTTAGATTCCACTTCGTTAGGTCAGCGCGATAAGCAGCGATGTAAAACGAGGAGTGGGATTCTAGTAGTGGGATTCCAGTCACTGGGGGTTAGCTGTCTGACGAGGTACAAGATATTTAAGTAGATTTCTCTGTGCAAAATGACCGTGTGATTTCAACGGTCTACTCGGTTTCTTCCTAGCTGCTTTCGTTGTGGAGATGTCTGGGTGTGAAGGTATAGGCCGACTTTTGGTGTTCCTTACGTGGCTGCACCGCGCACAGCCACTGCGGCAAGATACCAGCCACACCAAATCGACGAGAAACGCCGCGCGATTTCAACACTGCGCCTCGCTTAGCGCTGTAACGTACGACGACCAAGTTGTAAGCCTAGGACCACATCACATGACTGCTCTGCAGGCATGACTAATGCGTCCGACTATTTCAGAGCTTAGACACACACACCTGTATATCACACAACAATACACTCATACATAAGACCATATACTACCATGACCCCTTGCTTACACAAGTTATTAAGAAAAGAGTAGAAGAAAGAAGCACACACAAGTAAGCAGCTGTAGAAAGAGAAGTTGCGATAGGATCTATTGTAGGAATATGTATTGCGAATCCAACGGTGCAGTCCGTTTCTCTCTAGCTAGTATCGTTCTTAAGATATAGATAAAATAAGTTTAGAAAAGTGTAAGGGACAGCTTTTGTGATAGGCTGGAGCCCAGTTAGTGAATCTTCGATGATATCTCGGTTACGTACGTAAGCGCCCGGTATGCGACTGTACGCGTCTGAACAACGCTTAGGCTAAACCCCTAAACCTTGGCTAGAGGATATTCCGAGCCGCTCTCCGAATGACCCTTAGCACCCTAGCAGTCTACAGTTCTCTTTGTAAGGACATAGTCTCTCCTTAGCTACTTGTGAGGGGTAGTTATAGGCAATAGTATTTGCTTCACACTACAAGAGAATAGTGGGGGAAAGCTCTGTATTACTACACTAGGTAGGGAGGTCGTGAGAACAATTCTTGCCCATCTCCTAACGCGCAGGGCGCTGGTTATGAGCAGGTTCAGAGGCCAAGGCGCGAGCGAGAGAAGCAAACATGTTGGGACCATAATCGTCCTCCTCGCTCCGCCTCTGCCGTCCCGTGTTACACTACTACTTACTACGAGGTTTATAGCTAGGGAGTGAAAGGCTACGTCTTATGTAAGTAGATGGTATGTATTGTGTGTATTGTCCTCATCACCGAGAGGTCTGTGATCTAAGCTTATATACATAGAGTAGTGGGCTGATTGGTCGCTGGATAGTCCACGTGACCATGCAAGGTACCCTGGGCTTACATCTTACTACAAAGGCGCAAACTACTAGACGTTCTACGGGCCACTACGGCCTAGTACGCCTTCGCTTCGCTTCTCTCTCTAGGTGTAAGGGGCTACGCTCAGGGAGCTATCGCACAGGTATACTGGAGTTGTATTCGATAGAGAAGAGAACTACAGGTGGCTAGGGTTCTGAAGGTCGTTCAGGGGGCGGCGGCTCGAGATAACCTTCCGCCAAGCTCGCTTGCACAGAATCCGGGTGCTCAGGGGGGCACCCGGAATCTGTGGACAGTGCGCCTCGCGCACGTGACCGAGATATCATTGAGGATTCAACAACTGGGCTTCAGCCCATCACAATGGAGGTGCCTATCAAAATTTTCTTGCTCGCGCGGAGACAGGAGGTACGCCTTCCGCTTTTTTGCAGACATTCTCTCTACACTCGCTCTATTATAGCTTTCTACTATATCTCTACTTGCGCTGTTACTGTTAGTCTTAGAGCTACGGAAAATCAAGCAATAAGATTAACCAAGTAACTGAAATCCCTCACTCATGAGTCATGTCATTGGAATAGTACACATTACAAATCTTTTTTAGAGGCAACCTCCTTCCATAAAGCGACCTAGCTGTGGTGAAATTGGCCCGGTCAGATCCGCAGGAATGGATCCCCTGAAACACGGACGGGCAAGTTCAATTGCTGCGGAAGTCTAAGTCACCGATTGACACCATGGCTTTGGATTCAGTGCGCGGGTGATTCGGATTGTGGCTGACTAAAACCTGCCGAAGCGCTGATACCCCATCACATCTGAGTTATCCAACTCATCGCTTTCTCGTAACCCGCCACAAGGGGGCTGATCTTCTGCCGTCTTTCCACATCGAGTAATACGCAGCGTCTCCTGCGGGTAGCTACTCACAGCAATCCTTTACTTCAACATTAGCGAGTGCAAACTCTAATATGCAGCAAGCGAGCACGTCCTTATAAGTAAGAATGGTCCTACGTAGCTCTCCTTGTAGTCTAGATTGTGTCTACTGCTAGTCTGAATAAGCATCTACTTTAATGGCACCCACCGCACACGCATTCAGCTCGCTACAATATTTCAATCTGATACATGTTCCCATTCTTGTATAGTATATTTGTCCAGCGATTGTGCCTAACGCCGTTTAATAACCTTGAAACACCACACTAAGAGCCTTGTCGTAAGTGCAAACGCTGTATAATAAACATCAGTCGCCACAACACTAGAGGCGGAGAAACGGGCGTATAACCCCTCGGAGAAGCCGCATTTTAGCGTCGTACAGTCGTATGTAACGTTATATCTTGATCAACGTTTTGTAACCACCCGATTTCCATGTTTATCCTGCATCGTTACGTCTTGCGCGGTGAAGAACCACTCGAATTTCCCAGCACGCTTTGCATCACCAACCCAAAATAAAACAGATTTCTTAGGTAACTCTGCGACAGACCAATTCTCGCTATGCTGTAACAGCGCATTGAAAAGGAAAGCCAGGCCCTCGATAGATATTCGCTCTGAGCCTGGGTAATCTATCACAGTCATGGCAACTGTGGGCGAGTAATCCCTCGAAGTGATCGACCGCGCTATGGCGGCTGCGACATCACGAAGGTGTGCGATGTCGATTGTGCCGCTCAGGTTGGTGAAGTCTGGTCGGTAACCTAGCTGCTTGGAGATGAAGATCATATCGTCTGCAACACTAGCCTCACACTGCGTATTGATTTCTCCTTCACTGCAGAGAGCTTGTGTTGGTCGGTGAGCAGTGATGGGCACTGCAGTCTGGCGCGCGACACGTTTCAGGTATCTTTCCGTGACCCATTTCGTTGAAATGTAGCCATCCCTAGAGGAAGGACGCGGCGAGTGAGCATCATCCTCGTCTTCATATGCCGCCACGGCACCTGAGCTCAAGACATGCAAGGCCGCACCGGTACGGACGCTGACGTGGGCCAGCGCCTTTGCAGCGTCAACGTTGATGGGTCGAAGAGCATGGTAGCCATCCCAGAAGTTCCGGTCTGCGGCGCAATGCAGGATGCAGTCTGCCTCGGACAGAATGTCGTCCGGTGGTAAAGATGGCAAGTCAGCCTCTTCAATCTGAACCTTATGACTACTAAAAGGGAAAAGGTTCTGCAGGTCGCGGTCGTCAACAATACGAACAAGACAGATGATCTTCTTGACTTGAGGGTCTGACACAAGCTGTTGGAGAATACGTTGACCCAAAAATCCAGTGCTTCCAGTAAGCGCAATTATCAATCTGTTGCCGATGTCTTGTATTACTCTTGGCAACTTCGGTTCACCTCCAAGCTGTACTTCGATCTCCGCGTTCCAGTCGACCTTATCCACGTGAACGTCCAGCAGTGATGCCATGGGGCCCAGCTCGGGTGAGTTCATTAGTAGACTCAATCGAGGTGCGTCGTTGAACTCCTTCCTTATAAGGTCTTGGAGCTTCACTAGCAGTAATGAATTGCCACCGGAGAGGAAGAAGTCTGTACCCCGATTGATCTCCTCTGCAAATCCCCAAGGAGGGAGTAATGATTGCCACAAACAGAGGAGACGCTGCTCGGTTTGACTCAAATCGCCTATCTGAGCAGCCTGCGTAGATTCCAGACCTGAAAGTGGTAGGTTTTGAACCTTTTTGCGATCTGTCTTCCCCGTTGACCCAAGTGGTATGCTGTCGACCGCAATGATTGTTGTCGGACGCATATATGGAGGCAATCGACGACGCAACTTTGCCATGAGGCTGTCGATGAGCTTGGTTAGCGTATCACCTGTCCCGTGATCGGTGCTTTCGAAGAGAACATGGGCGACGATAAACTTCCCCCGCACATCATCTCCACGAAGAGTGACAATGGCATTCCTTAGTAATCCAGCTGCTTCCTGCATCATGACGCGTTCGATTTCCGTCAGCTCGATCCTAAAGCCTCGCAATTTGACTTGAGTGTCACCATCGATCCTGCCATAGCATGTGATTTTACCGTGATCGTCAAGCCGCCCTCGATCACCCGTACGGTACAATCTGCTCCAACCATTCTCATGGGGTGTGTTAAGATCGTTATTCAAGAAAACTCGCTGGGTGAGGTCTGGGCGGTGAAGGTAAGTGGTCCCTGCCACTCCAAAGCCGGAGAACACGATCTCACCCACCACACCAATTGGCTGAGGCTTCAGGTCTGTGTCAACGACGTAGCATCCATAGTTGGGTAACGGACGGCCAGGTACCGGAACCTGAACTGCAGGATCGCGTATGTCTGCTTCACCTTCGACGCCAGCAATTGATGTCTCGGTGGCACCATAAGTAGAGATTAGATGAAATTCAGGAATGCTTTCAATAAGCCCTCGGAAGTCATCGAGAATTGAGGGTGGCGAAGGTTCGCCGCCACACCAGGCCGCCTTCCATGTCTTGCATTGCCGCAGCCCTTGGCCGGCGAAGCGAAACCACATGTCATATTCTGAAGGCGTGGCGTGAGTCAGGGTCACTCCGTGCTCGATCATCAAGTTTGTGATTCCCACCGGATCTCCACGGGTTTCAGCGGGAACGATGATCAAGCTTCCACCGGAGCAGAGTGCCGCAAATGTTTGAAACAAAGAAGCATCAAAACTTAGTGCAGACTGCTGTAGAACGACGTTGGCTTTGTTCGGAAAGTCCCACGTGCGATGCAATCCTTCCAGATAAGCTCGCACCCCTGAGTGCGGAATGACGATACCCTTAGGCTCTCCTGTAGATCCGCTGGTGAATACGATGTATGCAGTAGATTCCGAATGCAGGATAGGCCTCTTCGGTCGTGCACAGGCATTTGCGGCTCGCAAGTCTTCTGACAAATTGACAGTTGGAACTTGGCCAGTCGTGTCAATCTCTGCGATCCTTCTGCTTGTCAGTATGTCTGTCAGAATGACATCGGGCTTAGTTGCTTGAACAATCGATTGCAAGCGAGTACTACCGCTGATGAGATCAAGTGGCACGTAGATTGATCCAAGACGCCAAATTGCCAGAATAGAGCAGACAGCGTCAACGGAAGGTTGCAGGAAGACGCCGACAACGGTTTGTTTGCCACCAGATCTGGACAGGTGGCTTTCAAGCGACGCGGCGATTACCTCGATACGCTTGTCCATAGCTCGGTACGTGAGGGCCTGTCCGTGAGCATCTTTGAGAGCGATGTCGTTCCCATTGCTAACGATAATCTCGTCAACTTTACCAGTGACTGTCGTAGGCCATTCTAGTGGCATCTTGGGACCTGCGGAAAGGTATCATTAGTTGCGCGTAACCTAGTGGGGGCTTGTAATGTCCTCTACCTTTACCAATAGCCAGAGCAGTGTGGACATCTTGCGCATTCCACTTTTCCATGCGACTTGTGTTAAAATGGGAACCTTTGTCCACAACTTGCTTCAGAATGTTGGCGTAACTACGACAGAGTAGCTCAGCTCCCTTTTCGGAATACAAGGCTTTCTGCACATGGACCGCCATCGTAGCACCTTCCGAACTTTCTGTAATCTCAACAAGGACGTCGTAGCCATGTCGGGCTGTTCGCCAAGTCTCTTCTTCTATCTTGCAGTCGAGCCATGTCTTCGCGGCATGCTCCTTGACCACAAGGCGATAGTCCATATAGATCTGGAATATAGGGCTCCAGGCGGCCGACCTAGGGATGCTGAGCTCATCGAGAAGCACATCGAACGGCAGAGCAGAGTACTTAAGTGCGGCGTGGGCGCGATCTCTGGTATCCTGCACTGCTTGCGCAAATGTCCGATCTCTAGACCGTTCAAAAGTAACAGGAAGAAGGTTCAACAAGTTCCCAACGCTTTTCATAGACGACCTTTCCAGACGGTTAGCGTCTGAAAGTCCAATGACAATTTGATCGGTGGAGTCCTCGTCGAGTAAGCGGAATACTAAGGTTTGAAGGGCTGCTAGATATGCGTGGAAGTTGGTCGCTCGCTGCTGGCGGGCTACTTCCTTGAGCTTCGCTGTAGTAGATGCATCTAGACGGACCTTTGCGACATGCGTCGCATACTCAGCAATTGGAGATCGATGTGACGTTGTCGCGAAGGGAAACAGTTCGATAGGCTTGGTGAAGTCGATGCCAGAGAGAGATCTTCGATAAAAGTCCAATGCAGGACGCAGCTTGCCGCTCTTCAGGGCACGACGTTGTTGGGCACCCTGAGCGTGGATCTGAGACTCGTCCGCAAGCGGTGGCAAGTGTTGGCCTGTTGTCTTGTAGGCTTTGTGTATGTCCAACATGAGTACACTGAAGCTGAATGCGTCCATGGAAATATGGTGGGTACCGACAATCCAGAAATGCTCGGTCGGCGACAATGTGAGAAGTTGCATACGGAGTGGTATCCAATCGTCAAAATTCCATCTATAGTTCTGCATATCCTCAAACGCCTGATGAGCTTGTTTGCTGTGATGAATAGTGGATAGCTCGATCTGAAGCAACGGTTTGGACAGGATACCTTGCATGGGCGTCTTATCTGTGTCCTCCGACCAGAAATAGCGAGTGCGGAGTGATTCGTGTCTTTGAGCAACGCTTTCAACTGCTCGAGCCAATTCGTTCACGCGGACATGTCCTTGGAGCTTGGCAAAGTACGTGATGTTGAAAGCTGTAAGGTCCTGGACGTACCGATCAAGGACCCAGAATCGCTTTTGACCCAGTGTCATTGGCTCAGTCCGCTCCGAGCATGAGGTTAGAATTGTCGTTCGATGAGAGTTCCTTTCATCTTCCCTCTGATGTAGCTCAAGCCCTGCATCCACAAGCTCCGTCGAAGATTTGAGAGGCGTATCCACTGTTGTGTTGAATGAGGGTGAGCTTGAAGTACTCCTATCAGATGATCCTGTATCCCCCGTCTCTGAAGTTGAGGAGTCCGCTTGATCGATATCAGAATGTGCTCGCAAATCCGCTAATAACTCGGGGTTAGCAACAATTTGGTCCTTTCTGTCTTCAGTTTTGATGGGATCAATGTCTAATGACAATTTGATCACAGATTCAGCCACCAGATCAGCGACCGTTGCACCCGGTCCGAGGATTTTGAGCACTGGAATGTCAACGTCCAACTCTTTGAGGAACCAAGCTCGAATGTCGACCGCCATTATGGAATCAGCCCCAAGCTGCACCAACGATGTCTGTGGGTCGATTATTTCAGTCTTCGGCATCATCAAGATTGATTTCAGTCGAACTAGAAACGCGTCTTGCACAAGAGCCAAAGCTTCTGTCTGTGATTTAACGGAAGCAAGACGAGCACGAGGACTGGCCGCACTACCTCCTCCATCGCCCTGACCTCCATGACTCTGGTCCCCGTCGTGTAGGCGCATGTGCTGGAAGTGCACGTTGGCTGTAAGATTTTTGTATGCCTCGCGGAACGGCTGGATGCCGCTTACGACCTGTGAACTTCCTTGATGACCAGGTTTCCCAGCCAGAATTGCTTCTGCCAAGAGTAGCTGGACATCCTGTTCAGAAAGGTTGCGATAACCGCGGCGAGTGAAATAATCTCTGCCGAGGCTTGTGTCCTTCATGAGATACCCCACACCCTGAACCGCTCCAATCGCAATATCAGAACCGACCACGCCACGTATATCTCTTCTCTGCTTTGCAAGGGCCGACATGAAAGCATTGGCCGTAACGTACGTTGATTGGCCGCTTGTTCCCACGACAGTGGCCACCGAAGTGAAGAAAATGAAAAAGTCCAACGGGGTCGAGTAGAAGAGCTCATCCAGATATATACTTCCCTCAACTTTTGGAAGCATGGCGCGCTCGATAGAATCATATTCAACTTCCTCGAACAGATTATCCTCGAGAACCATCGCTCCATTGGCCACTCCGATGATCGGTGGCATATCTGCCTGGAGCTTGTTGTGGCATTCGCGCAAAAGTTTGCGATTGCTAATGTCCACACTCATGATCCGGATATTAGCACCAAAGGCTTCAAGCGACTCAAAGCTTCTTGGATGGACCTTGGGGTTCCGGCTGCTCAAAACAACGTGTCGCGCGCCGTGGTGAACCATCCAATGGCAAATGGAAACTCCCATATCCCCTGTCATTCCAAGCAACCAGTAAGTTCCGTCATCGCGGAAGATAGCTCCAGCATCAATAGGCTGCACACTCGCTGTGATATGTGACGGGCATTTCCAGTCCACAATGGTGAGTTCCTCATTACCTTGCTTGAAAGTCCCCACTTGTGTCAACGAAACAATGGGAAGACAATCCTGAGCGGACATACGAGGGCTTAGACGTGCCACTGTTCGGTATGCCACTTCGAAGATATGCCTGGCAGCCGCATCATCCGTTAGCCGTGAAGTGTCGGCGTGAGCTCGAATAAAGTCGGATGCGGTGTATGCCATGCTTCGTGGAGGAAGAGATTTCCGTAGCAAGTCACTCAAGGGATTGTCGGCTGGAGACATGTCAAGAAAGACCATCGTGTCATGCGGTACGATATTCTCAACTTTACGCTGAGGAAGCCTCTCATGCAAGTATATCTCGGGAGCATTCCAACTAGCTTTCGCTAGCGGTTTTCTGCCCGTAGTAAATGTGACTTGAATGCCACGGTCCGCCGCATTCTTACTGATTGATTTACGAAGTATCTCACTTGCATTGTGCACGAGAATGGTCCCGTCCTCTGTGGCGTTATTGGAGAGAATGCTTTGTGCAATCATGTGACGTGCCATCGTACTCACGATCATGCTGTCTGGCGCATTTGACACGGCCTTGACCCACGATGTCGGTATTTCCATGATCGAGGTTACTCTTTCGTTTGTAAGTACGATGACGTGCTCATCTGTTTGAACGTTCATTGCTGCGCACAGATAAAGGAATCCCTCTGAGACTTTGATGGCTTGCAACATCGAATACTGAATCTTGACACGTATCGTCGATTCAAGAGCTAGAACGGGACGTTTCAATGGCGACACGATCTGGATGTTAAACACATTCTTGTTCGTCTTGGCTACCAACTCGACGGCAGTGTTTTCGAGATTGACATCGTGTCGCACTAATCGTCGGGAGGTGTTGTATCTTTTATTGGCAGGAGAATTAGGGTACAAGCGAGGAATCCAAGCCTGGTCTTCCACGACATGTATCTCTGGCTCGAAGGTCCAAAGAACATCCTCGTAGCCTTCTGCCTTTAGCTGCGACGTGACTTCGAGCTGAAGAAGGACTTCTACGGTAGATTTGGCAGATGGCATGATGTCAAAGTCGAGAATTTGCAGGTTCAAGTGAGGGTATTCATGACGAATGGAGCGGCATAGTCCCAGCATCATTGCAGAGTGGGGCTGTTCTGCTCTTGCACCTCGTGTCACCCATAGTACATTGCGTCCCTTTCGCCAGAGAACCTTCAATGCTTCAAATTTCGCGGCGTTCCGATGTTTGAGAAATTCGTCATCGAGTTCCGTGAGACAGAGGACCGTAGACTCTTGGGCCAAACCAAGCGTATTGAGTTCCTCCAGGGATATCCGGTGGATAACTCTAGAAAAATGGGTACCAGCAAGTTCTGTGACTTCTCCTAGGAGTTCCGAAACCGCGAGAGTGAGTCCACCTACAACAACAAGTTCTTGTGCCGATGGAGTCAATTCAACAGCAAGAGGGTTCCGTAGACTATGCACAATGGGATCGACTGCTTGAAAGACGAGGACAGTGAATGCCTGCAAGGCACTTGATATGGGAGCGTGCGTATCCACCCCGCTGAAACCGTGTCTGCGTGTTAAAGCAGTCCACTGATCGATGGTCAGGGCTGGCCCGTCGCGCCGCCAGCTCTCTACCTCCGCACCGGCCCACCAGCCTGGCAGTGTACCAAAGATGGCATGCGTGGCAAGAGAGTAGTTGGTGATCGCCTCCAGCGCGATAAGATAGCCGCCAGGCCGCAGCAAGCGGCGGACGTTGGCCATCGTATTATCCATATAGGCTGTGGCATGGAGCACGTTGGACGCAACAACAACGTCATATGTATGTTCCTCGAAGCCTTGTTCAGCTGGCGTTCTGTCCACGTCGTACGTGGCGAATTTCATACGATTCAGATAACCCTGGAACCGATCTTGGACACGGTTGAAGAACCCCGCAGAAATGTCAGTATATGTGTATGTTGAGAACGCATCTCCTAATGCCGGAAGAATACAACCAGTGGCCCCTCCTGTCCCAGCGCCAACCTCGAATATGCGCAGATTTGAATGACGATGAGCAATCTGAGCGACTATACGTCCTATCAATGTGTTGTTGTATGTGAGCGCCACAGACTGTTCGTAGAACCGATCCAGCAGATTGTCTGCCAGGAAGTATTGGAGAACACTGCTTGATTGACGTATACAGCTTACAACGTTCTCGCCAGCGGCCTCCAGCAATTCGAAGTCGACATCTCCTGGATATTGGGCTATTAGTGACTGAATGTAAGTACGAGAGTCCTTGTATGCCTCTGATGGTACATTCAGTAACACGCCCTTGCGCACGTCGGACACCATTCGCTCGGCATATCCTAAGAAATGCTTGTAATGTGGCAAGGCATTGTCCTTTTCCGCTTGTGTCAAGGTTTCGTGCATCTCCCGGATGTAGAAGTATCCCACTCGCTCGAACACTTGTAACTTCTTGAGTCGCTCTGTGTTGTAAAAGTCTTCGCCGGCTACGACGGCGGCTACGTCGGGCGATGCAAGGCGGTAGTCAAAGCCCGTGAACAGGGTGGCATCGTCTGCCGCGGAGCTCTGGGCAAATGGCTTGACTTCCACACACTCGATTTGGACGAATGGCTCGTCGAATCTGTGCCCCGCAAACACATCAATATCGGCAACTAGAGGAGCGGAAGGCGACTCCGTAACGACACTTTGATACTCGAATTTCTTCTGCCTTCCACCAGCTCCATGAGTTGTGAAGTATGGGTTAATGGTAATGGACCGAATGGCAACTGGGACATGCATACTCCACATGCGGTTATCATGAGGATAGGAATGGGCGGCAAAGCACGTTTGCAGTGCGCAGTCTAGCCATCCTGGATGAATGAGAAGTTGGTCCTCCCAGTCCTTGCCCGAGACATCTTCAATACTACCAGTGGCATACCCACTTCTGCGTTTGATACTCGTAACACCAGTGAACGGAGCGCTATAGTTGTAGCCTAGCCGAGTAAAATGATCATAGAATTGCGACGTCTCAATTTCGTGAAGGTTGAATTCGTCCGTGCGGACGGCTGGTAAAGTGTCCGAGTGTGATTGGTGGAAAGTAGCAGAAATCTGGGTATTGAAATTTCGTGCAAGTGGTGTTGTGCTACTATGCGGCAGTCCGGAATAACAGGTCAAAGTACCCCGGAACTCCTCATCTGTCAGGCTATCGATCGTGACCACTACTCTAGTCTCCATCTTGCTTCGGTCGTCTTCGAACGCAAGAGCGCGACCAATGACAAGATTCCGCAGGCCAAGGAGTCCGAGCTGGCGATTAGGGCCGGCAATGGCTGCAATCGCCTCTGTAGCCATGGCTACGTAACCCATTGCTGGAAATACAATCTGACCCTGTAAAGCATGGCCTTGTAACCAACTGATCTCGCTTGAAGAAAGGATATTGCGCCATGAAATCTGGTCGGTTGTCTCAGATTCAACAAGCCTGCGTCCGAGCAAAGGGTTCGGAGCTTCGAGAGAAACGAGGTGTCCACCTGAATATCGAGTAAGCGCACCATACGACCGGGTATGATCGAAAGGGTAAGCAGGGAGATCAGGCAGTAGTTTTGGTGGAGTCGAGGAACCACGCAAAACGCTCTCCAGACGATCGAATGCTACCGACTTTGGCCCTAGGTGCGTCCAAACAAATCCCATGCCTTTTTTGACTTCGCTCACATCATCCTTGAAGCGCCTCAGTAAGCCTGTGTATGGAGGGTCTTGGTCAGCCTTTAACCTAATGCTATCGAGGCATGGAGCTTTGAGTGCTGGGTGAGGACCAATTTCTATCACAACGTCAAAGGGCCCGAGATCTTCAGTAGCTGTCATGACAGCTGGCGCGAACTGTACGGAGTTTGTCATGTTGTCAACCCAATAATTGGGGCCGAGATCCTCAAGAAGGAGTGCAGTCATGGGGTGTCCGGGGAGCACACTTGAGAGCCAAACAATGTCGTTCCCAGGTCGAATACGTAAATCGCATCTTGTCAAGGCATCGCGGTACTGTTCCGCACAAGCAAACATATGGCGAGAATGATAAGCTGTATCAACCTGTAGTTTGCGCGCAAATTTGCCTTCGTCCTGAAAAACGCGAAGAGCTTCGTCGATAACGTCTTCGTCACCAGAAAGCGTGACGCTAGTGGGAGAGTTCTGAGCCGCCACCTGTATGCGGCCTTCGAATTCATCCAAAGAGCAAAAGTCAGTGGCATCTTCATATGTCGTCCCAACAGCCATCATTGCACCTTTGGCTCCCGAGGGAGACTGGGCTTGCTTCGCATAAAATCCGCGATAATATGCGATCCGTAGTGCATCGCCACTGCTAAGAAACCCTGCTGCATATGCTGCACCAATTTCTCCAGAAGAGTGACCCACCACCGCACAAAATGGAATACCTGCTGTCTTTAACAGGTCGATCAGAACTATTTGAACAGCTGTACAAAGCGGCTGAGCGATGGCCGCTTCCGAAAGCCTCGAGGAGCTCTGTGGTGCTGCAAGCTGTTGGCTCAAGGTCCAGTCTGGTCGATCTGTTGGCGGAAGGGAAGACAATGCCGTATCCAGCTCGGCCAAACGAGCAGCCACGAAAGGCGACTTTTGAATCAGTGCGGCACCCATTGACGGCCATTGTGCGCCTTGACCCGTAAAGACTCCCAGAACTTTTGGCGTTGGAACGTTCGGATAGCGCGTATCCAATACGGCACTTCCTTCACCATTGAGCAGCTCCTCGATAGTAGCCACCACATCCTCGACCCTCTCGCATGTGAGAGTTTTCCGAAATGCGAGAGTCGACCGACGGGCATTCAGCGTATGAGCCAAATCATGGATGTTGGTGTCTTCGTGGTCCACAAGGTAGGCTTGGACATCCAGCATTGACTGGCGCAGAGCAGATGCCGAAGCTGCTGAGATATTGATTGGACTGAAAACGGCCTGCATGGTAGACACAGGGTTCACAGATCCGAGTGTAGGGTAATGTTCGATAATGGCATGGGCATTAGTGCCACCAAACCCTTGAAATCATAGTCAGCAGTTGTCCATAGTGAATGTAGGGAGGCATAAAATGATTAGGCTATGCGACATACCAAAACTGTTAATACTTGCACGCCGGGGCTGTCCTGGTGTAGTCTCTGGCCATGGAATAGTCTCAGTCGGTACGCGGAGATGCGTACAGAATGGTGCAACGGAAGGGCTCAGTGTATTGTAATGCAGATTCGGGGGAATGAAACCAGACTTCATGGCTAACGCAGTACTCACGAGACTAGCAAGACCGGCCGTACCTTCAGTATGCCTAGAATGAAGGGTTCCTTATCAGCTATGAACAAGCGACCCGAAGTCACATAACTTACCCAATCACGGTTTTTATTGACCCGACATATAGGGGAGCCTTGGCAGTACATTCACCTTGGAAGAAGGCACGAGAGATGGCTTCAGCTTCTTGAGGATCACCAGCACGTGTCCCTGTCCCGTGCGCATGGAAAAACTGTGGACGGTCTTTGGTGTCATTGATGTCCATTCCAGCGCGAGCATATGTGTCGATGATCAGCTGTGTCTGGGCTAGGTTGCTGGGCACTGTAATGCCGCTCGTTCGTCCGTCTTGATTGATGCCTGTGGCACGAATGATGCAGTCAATATTGTCGCCATCTCTTATGGCGGCAGTTAATGGTTTCATTATGACTGCAGCAACACCTTCACCACGGGCGTAACCATCTGCTGCAGCATCCCACATTTTGCTCGTACCCGTTGGCGACAGCATCCGTAAGTTACTCTCGGCAATCCACATTCCTGTTTGTCGGTTACCATCAGGCACCTATAATCAAAAAGCCCGGAGAGGGCCGATCCTTGCTTACCAGGAGAAAGGATGAGATTTGTACCCGCCACTACCGCCATTGGGCTTTCGCCGCTTCGCAGAGCCGCCACGGCTTGGTGTACGGCAACTAGAGACGATGAACAGGCTGTATCAATGGTCATGCTCGGTCCATGCCAGTCAAAAAAGTAAGAGACACGGTTCGATAATATGGCGCGGCTAGTGCCAGTCGCTTGGTAGGTAGGGATCATATCCCAGTCCCGACCTGTGATCTGAGCCCAATCATCGCACATTAACCCAACATAAACAGCAGTGTTTGAGCCTTTCATGTCCTCGACTCTTTGGCCGGCATTGCACCTGTTGCAACCATTAGATTCTTGTCATTCCATGTGGGGTTGTGTACAAATAGGGGGTTCGTACAGGGACTCATAGACGACTTCCATCAACAGCCGCTGTTGAGGGTCAATGGCATCAGCCTCAGTTGCCTGGACATTGAAGAAAGGAGCATCGAAATGGCTAACGTCATCGTCGAGGAAGTACGCTTTATCGGCATTGGTCGTTCCATGGTGAGATGATTCCGAGTGGAAAAAACTCTTTGTATCAAATCGGGTTGTGGGGACAGTCCTCGAGAGATCATGAGGCGAGTGGATCAAATCTCGAAGCTTCGATGGCGTGTTGGCTCCCCCAGGAAAACGACACGCGATCCCAATAATCGCAATTGGTTCTTCCCGTTGTTCGGTTCTGTTAGGGCTGTGCATGTTGAAACACTGTTCCGCCGGAGGATGTTGAAGAAAACCGGGTAAAGGGTCAACCAGTTCAGTTTCGAACCCCATCGAAACTTTTATTTAGTTGATAAATTTTCGTACCAACCATCAACTGCAGCTGATGCCCCATAGCCGCCGCTGGTAGGCTGGCTGCTGGAGAAGATCGGGGCCGAGTCACTTTCGCACCATGCAGGTTAGAGTTCAAATAACCGATCTCGATTTGGAAAATCCGAAGCTCTCCAGCGCACCGAATATCACCGGCTTTTCTTTGTTCGCTTAGCTATGGGCACTAACGCTTCTTGGTAGGGACCTCACGTTAGATATAGCGACATATCAGCTAAGCAACACTTATGCTTCAGCAAGTATACGAATGTTCTTCGAATCTCTACATATAGTAGCGTGCCTAACATGAAGTTCATCACAAGACAGAAGCTCGCTCTTAACGCCTGCTGAGAAATTGCGATTCTCTATCGAGAACCGCTGGATGTGTCAACTTCGTATCGTCTAATAAACAGTGATGGTTTGTTTGTCGTACGAAATCCCTCGACATGCTCCGTAGATCGTTGTCGATAATGGCTCTTGATTCACGGTAATATCCCTCTGAACTTGAGGTAATTTTGTGATTGTCTCTGCTATTCCTGACAAAAGCAGAAGCTCCTCATATCTTTATCTCAAGGCTTACGTCCAGAGCGAATGGGTCGTCGATAACTTGTTGGTGAGCGTCTATCTTTTACTACAAAGTTGCATGCCAAAAGACGGATGAGAAGGGTCTCCTGGCTACCGGGTGACGGAAGCTAATTCCTGGAGTCGCAATGAGCGAGACCCGAGGGAGGCTTGCGTCGGACAAGCCTATATAAAATTCAGCATGTATATGAAGAAGTTTCTAGTATCGATGACGATGGTGTCTACACGCGAACAGTCATCTCTAATGTAGTTATAGCTGTTGGGTTCCTGAGGCCGGTTAGTCCTTTAATGCTGTTCTGAATACGTAAGCATCGCGTTTGACGGTAGGCTACGCATCGCAAAATGCTTGAGATGTAAGTGCAGCGGTGCACCATCCACTGGTGTAAATCCGTACGATCTCGCTCGAGGAGCCGCTTTCCCAGAAAATCGAAGTTAGCATCCGCCTCCATGCAAGACTGAAGATCATACGTCCCATGTACGGTCAATACCATGCCAGCGACCTCCTCCGGCAAACATACATTACTACAGCCGCCCGATCCGCTACTAGACCACTATTGGAAGCTAATTAGACTCTAAGGGTTCCTAAGATTATTGGGTAATAAAGATCTCTCGATTCGCGATAATGCGCTCGCGGTCATCGCGAAAGAGCTACGAAGAACGAAAAGCGGTCCTAGAATGAGCAGTGACAGGATCCGAAGCAAAAGAACGAGAGCGGAACTAGAAACGTGATCATTTTCCAGCACTATAAGCTCTTATTTCTCTGATGACAATCGCTCACAAAGTATACGTGAGCTTCTGACCAGAAATTTTCTTCTCTCGAATATCCTGTAGGCCTTCCAAGACACCTTCAAGGCCAGCATCGCGCACCACCTGCGGATGAGTCCTGATCTGACCCTCATCAAGCAGTTTTTGTAGCGTCTTGTTCCACATAACACAGAACTTCCTGGCAAATGGGTTTGGGGCTCTCCCATGCGGTGCCGGCCAGCCGATTTCCTCGCCCATGAGTTCCGGTCCTAGCACCCACCCAGCAGACACGACTTTTCGTGTCGCAGCAACTGTTTCACTGAAAGGGTCTAGAGAGACGTAGCGGCCTCCGGTTCTTCCTAGAGCGTGGTAGCAGAGCTGCGTTGTCTCCGGCGTGGTGATGCAGTCGAGTGCAAAACGTAGTGAGTTAGCTGTGTGCACACGGATTTTACTAGCGCAATCTGGATCCGAGTAATCAAATACGTCATCGGCGCCAAAAGACCTGACTAGGTCCACGTTGCGTGCCGACGACGTAGCAATAACACCAAATCCTGCAAGCTTCAGGAGTTGGATAGCGCAGGTCCCGGTGGAGCTGGAGCCACCACTGACCAGGACGCTCTGCGGCTTGCTGGCGTTGAGAGTAACTTTGGCTCCTAGTGCTGGTTCTGATTGATCGATCCAACCGCTTAGAGGCTGGAGTTGTGGTCCTGGGGGGAGGCCCAGGGTATGGAAAAGGGCCCATGGTACTGTGTACCACGAGTTTCCGATTCCTGCGCCGTGCGTGAAAGACCAATCGTCCGGGAGCTTAAGAATACAGTGTGCTGGGGCTATTGAGTATTGGGCAAAGGCCCCGACACTTGGTCGTCGTGGATTCATGCCCATTATTGCAGCGCTGACTCGATCGCCGACCTTGATGTTCCAATCATCAGTTACGCCAACCCCAACACCCGTGACGATACCAGCGTATTCGCATCCCGAGATAGCTCCAGCTGTGTGATAGCCTCCCAGCATTTTCGTGTCCACAGGATTCAGCGACACCGCCTTCACCTCCACGGCTAACATGCCATCTTCGAGTACATCCGGAGGTATTGGTGCAGAGTGCGACAGTACAATACTCTCATTTGGACCGCCAATCAGTGCCGTCTGTACCGGTTCGAGAGATCCCATGGTGCAAGCAAATCATAAGGTATGCGATCAACGTGTCCGAGTCTGACTCCCCGACGGCTTTAATCACCTCAGTAAAGCTACGCCGATAGCCCGAATATCTCCGCACAACCGCAAGTCCTAAAAACGCCGACGTCTTCCAGTAACGCTTCATAACACACAACCGGCCCCATAGGCATGAAGCACGATTTTCGCTCTAGATTCTTGTTCCATTCTGAACCCGCTCACGATGGCACCAGCATCAAAAACGTCGTCCCTTGACTCCAGGACCTCTTTTGTCGACCCGCCGGCCCCAGACTCAGAGTTTTTTCCAGATAGTGGAAACCTCTTCCCCAAGTACGCTGACGTGTTTCCCCGCACAGCAGTCGAAGTCTGGCTCTTCGATGCCCTTTCCTTAGATGGCAGCGACAACTTCACCGTGTCCTTCTTGCGCGACGCGATGGCTGCCCCAGCGGGGTTTCGCGTCGCCGTCAACGCCAGCTGGGCCGACGGCACGAACTGGAGCCATAACCTCGTGCTGCCTCTATCGACAGTAACGCAGGAAGCTTCGGAACGCACAGTGGGCGTCTGGAGGACTGCGGAGGGCGCGGAGAACGAAGCTTCCGCAACCTTCGAAATCAGCGAGGACCTCTCCCTCTCTACCGTCACGTTCAATGCCCCGGGCTTCATCACCGGCACTCTCACGCACAAGAACAAGTGCTACCCCAGTCTCCCCGCCACCGCAGCTGACGCAAAAGTCGGGCACGACCTCTTCTGGATGCGCCCTGTGGCCATGGCATCTGCAACTCTCGATATCAACATCACGCCGATGCCCGGCGCGGAGCAGAAGCACATGCTGATTACCAGCGAAAAGGGTGGATACGGCGGCCTCGAGCGCAGTTGGGAGGGCATGCCATGGACGAAAGCCATCACGGATTCGCTGTTTGTTCGGGCGCAGGCCGGCCCGTACGTTCTCCAGGTGATGCGGCTGGTAGGTCGACCAGAGAATGACTACGCGCTCACTGCATCTGCGCGACTGTACTGCGATGGGAAACTAGTTTGCTCTCCGCAACGCGCACTTGCGAAAGCGGACGGGAATACGGCTGGGGTGGGGACGCATGCGGTAGTTGTGGAAAGGCTTTTCGACGGAGATGGTCTTCCTGCGGCGTTCCGGCATAAGAACGTTGGGTATAGAATCGAGTTTCTGGCTGATGCAAAATGGGTGTTTGAGCTGAGACATATGAGGAAATGGTGGGTTATGCCAACGAGTGCACCTGGGCCGGATGCGACTGGCAGCTCGGCTTTTGTAATAAGTGTGAAGGGGGGCCTGCCTGGGTCTGGAGATATGTTTGAGGGTTTTGGAATGGCAGGACAGGTGGAGATGCCCGAGGTAATGTCTACTCAGAAATACTAAGCTGTCGCGTCTATGTTATAAGGCACTTTGAATGTATGCTTTATATCTTGTGGCAGTGTTGCTTCTACATAACTGTGAACCTGGGACCGTGAGAAACATCGCTCTAGGGAGGAGAGCTACAACCAATCCTGGCAAATAATGTTAAAAATGGTGCGTTGTCTTTGAGAAGTGCGCAAGAGTGAATTGGGAAGTTCACGTGTCACTGTGCTTCCCAGGCCAGCGTTGTTCTGAGCACTCAGTCAAGCTGTATTGGTGGGGTGGACTCGGAAGAGGCACAGATGCAGGGAATTTTCGGCACCTGCGTTGTGCCGCATCGCAATAATTCGGTGGCCAGCATTTGAGTGAGGCCGAATATGACTTAGTGACACGGTCTGAGAAAGTAACAACGGCTAGAAAAGTGAGCCGGTGCTCAAACTCTGAGTAGGTTGATTTCGCCGTTTCATTCCGCTAAATTCATACTGTCTCCTGAACTACCCAAATCTCGGCAGTTGCATTATGGCTAGCAATGGAGACAGCGCTGCAGCGCAGCATCTCCAACTGAAGAAGATTATGGGTCCGAATATGGCCTACCTGTGTACAGCACTTGAGATAGGAGTCCTAAAGGCCTTCATCGATTGGAAAGTGTTTGACCACATCCCGGACGAAGGCTCAATCTCATCAGCGAGCCTGGCGGAGAAAATTGGCGGAGAACAAGAGCTGCTCGATCGTACACTTCCACTACTCACGGCCCAGGGCATTCTGAAGGCTCCAGAAGCAGATCACGTTGCCCACACGGAGCGCTCTCGCTCCTACAAGTCAGATGAGCTCGGCGCGGGCTTCATCACGCATATGCACAATTGTTTCGTCCGCTCCATGGCTCAGTTTCCCGCGTACCTGGCCTTGCATGGCTTCAGGTCGCCTAAAGACGCCAACACAACACCCTTCGGCATGGCAACGGGATACCCAAACGGCAACGTGTACGACATCGTCGCTGCAGACCCAAAGCTTAGCAAAGACTTCGACAGTTTTGTCGCACGTACGTCCAAGGTGTTTCCCATGCACGGCGTGTACGACTTCTCGTGGATGCAGAAACAGGCGGATACTACGAGCAAGGAAGGCAGACCACTGTTTGTGGATATTGGTGGAAGTAATGGGCACGCCGTGCGCGACATTCTGCAGGACCATCCGTGGCTACCTGCCGAGCGGTGTGCCGTGCTAGACCGCAGTTCAACGATTGAACACACGAGGGCAGAGCTGGACGAGGGCATAAAGTCTATTCGCTTGGTTGCAGGGAACGCGCTCGAGATGCTCCCGCCACCCGTGCAGAACGCGCTGGTCTACCAGTTCCGCCGCATCCTGAATGACTTCCCGGACAACGACGTACGGCGCTTCTGGAAAGTGGTGCGCGAGGCGGCGGCGCCAGATACGCGTGTATGTGTGGTGGAAGAGCTGCTGCAGGGGAACCGCAACGCCTACGCTGTGGCGCAGGACGTGTCGATGATGCTTGTTGGGGGTAAGCGGCGGAGTGCGCAGATGCATGTTGCATTGGCGGCGGAGGCGGGCTTTCGGCTGGGGCGGACATTGCCCGACACGCACAATGATTGCTCGGTGTTGGAATTCGTAGTGGTGTGATGTAGACATGGATCATACATGGAGTACTACGGGCTGTAGTCCAAATTGAGTGCAGTTCGGTGCGGGAGTCTAGTGGTATCCTAGCTCCCTTGACCAGAAGTGGGGCGTTGCGAAGAACGCCGAACATCTGCGAGCGGAAGCCGTGCATTCATTAGCCCACGTCAGTCTGGATCAACGGTCCGTAGCTCATGGGCCACTGCCCTGTTATATGGGCTATGGCCTGTTAGAACAAAGAATCATGGTAAAATTGCAATGTGGCACGGGCCGCAGGACAGCCAAGCATTGTGGCGTATCCCTGCGCCCATCCTCCACACACTCTACGCACCCTAGTGCTACATAGGCTGTATCTGCCACCCCATCGACGTGCTCACTCATACGACTCCCTTCCACCATCTCTTGGCCAACCTAGTCCCCCTTCTCTGAGCCGGCATGGCGCATCCCTCGGCAGCCATGGCAGACGCAGAAGCCGGCCCAGCCATGACAGAGTCCACCAAAACTACGCCTGTCGAGAATGTGGCAGCGTCCGCTGAGAAGAGTCTTGATGCCGACGACCCAGACCCCAACATCGTGAACTGGGATGGCCCCGATGACCCTAAAAACCCTCGCAATTGGAAGAAGAGTTTCAAGCTGCTCAATGTCTTGCTCATCGGGCTCTCGATCCTCTGCACGTACGAAACCAGACGTGATATGCTTGCAGCGCTCACTGACAAGCTTGCAGAAACTTCTCGACGACCATGTTCGCGCCTGCCGCCCCGCAGCTTGCCGACGAGTTCAACGTCCACAGCAGCATCCTCTCCACACTGAGCGTCACTATCCCTTCTCTCGGTGCGGCTACAGGCCCGCTGCTCTTTGCCCCTCTCTCCGAGATCTTCGGCCGCGTCAGGATCTACATTGCGACCAGTTTGCTATTTCTCGCCTTTGCCGCTGGCCTTGCGCGCAGCACCGGTATCGCCATGTTCCTCGTCTTCCGCTTCCTCGACGGCGTGTGCTACACGTCGTACTTGACCTGTGGTGCGGGAACCATCGCAGACCTTTTCGAGCATGATAATCGCGGTGCGGCTTCCGCTGTGTTCGCTTTGGCTCCTTTGCTGGGACCGGTACTAGGGCCTGTCATTGGAGGCTTCATAGCTCAGGAGCTGGATTGGCGCTGGATTTTCTACATTATACTCATGGTTGTAAGTTGGCTGTTAACCATGCACGTGGTACCTCTTACTTACTTCCATCGCTAGACCGGAGTAATCACTGCAGCAGTCATCTTCTTCATGCGCGAGTCCATGGAGACCATCTTGCTCGAACAAAAGGCCAAGCGCCTGCGCAAATCCACCGGAAATCCCAATCTACGATCTGCCGTTTCTCGTGGTTTACCAGTTCGTACGATCGTAGCCCGCGCCTTCAGCCGACCCATCAGAATGCTGCTCTTCTCACCGATCGTGCTTCTTTTGGGGCTTTACCTTGCCTTCGTCTTCGGACTGACATTCCTCCTTCTTGCCACCCTCTCGGAACTCTTCGAGAACACCTATGACTTCAAACAAGGCGTGGCGGGTCTCGCGTACCTGGGTTTGGGTATTGGATGTGTCATCGGTACAATTATATTTGCCAAATTCAGTGACAAGATGGCCAAGAAGAACAGCGCGCCAGAACATCGCTTGGTTATGATGATGCTCGGCGGTCCCTTTGTTCCTGCGAGCCTGTTCTGGTACGGCTGGTCCGCCGAGTACCATGTGCACTGGATCGTACCCATCATAGGAACGGGCTTCATCGGCATCGGCATTGTGTTTGTCACGGCTTCAGGACAGCTCTACATGATCGATACATTTGGATCAGAAGGGTCTGCTTCGGCCATGGCGGCTCTTACTTTGGTGCGCAACGGCTCCGGGGCTTTCTTGCCCCTTGCTGCACCGCCATTGTACCGCAAGCTGGGCCTAGGTTGGGGCAACAGTGTCCTTGGGTTCATTTCCTTCACGTTTGTGCCTCTCGCGTTCCTTTTCTACAAGTTTGGACAGAGGCTGAGGGAACGATTTCCATTTCAGATCTGAGCGGATTTCCTGGGAACAATTGAGGTAACAAGGATACAGCGCTGGAAACGGTTAAAGAGGAAAGGCATGATATTGTATAATATTCGCGGACTTAATTGTATAATTAGCAATCTCGACTCCAGCACAATGCGATGAGCATTCACTAGTTCCCAAAGACAGACTTGACGTGCTGCTCATGACACTATCGCCTCGTTAAACGCATGAAGATGAGGCTACCAATAATGCGCTAAACTCATGTTTCCTAGTGCTCTTAGCGGAACAAATCGTGAGACTTCGGTGCTACCAGATTGTGTCATTCGATCGTACATGGCGTCGGAGTGGTCCGGAGGACTTCGTGTTTCTTCGAAGGCAGCCTCTCCTGTTTTGTTTTTCGGCCATGTCCCTACCATTAGTATCCAACACATCTTTGTCGCGTTTGCCTTGAAAGCGCTTTGACCGCCTCACGTAGCCCCTCTCATACTTGGTGGTCGCTCCCTCCACTATCAGTAACGTAAACTTAGCATCCTTAACATACCTTGACATACCCCATCTTACCTTCCATATCCATTCTAGAAACTAAACACACGGGCGCAGCGCAACACCATGCCAACTACCACTACATACGACGTCATCATCGCCGGCGCCGGCCCCGTCGGCCTCTTCCTCGCGTGCGAACTAGCTCTGACTAACGTTTCTGTCCTTGTGCTTCAGAACAGCCCTAGCCTGGAAGACCCCTGGCGCGACGGGCCGCTGGGCTTCCGTCTCCTTTCCCACGGCTCTACGGAGATCTTTCACCGTCGCGGAATATTGGATAAAGTCATCGCGAGAGAGCTGACACCGGGCGAGACGACACTTTCCGGGGGAAAGCCCGAAGCGAACGGAACTGGGAAGAGGCAGAGGCGGCCTGGCGACTTCCCGGTCGCCAGTCACTTCGCAGGGATATTGGTCATGAGCAAGGATGTGAACTGGGAGATGTGGAGGGAGGTGTTGCCTGGTCCGAGTGCGTTTGGGGGCGCACTTAAGCAGGGACAACTTGTGGGAGTCTTGTGGGAGAGGGCGAAGGAATTGGGAGTGGACATAAGGCTGGGCTGGGAGGTTGGAAGATTTGCAGACACTGGGTATGGAGTCAAGATTTGGGCCGCAAAGACGGAAGGGGATGGAACCGAAGAGGAGTTTGAGGCAAAGTATCTGGTTGGCGCGGACGGTGGGAGGAGCTTCGTGAGACAACACGCTGGGTTTACGATGGAGGGGAATGAAGCGAGCTGGACGGGGTACATGGCTGACTGTGAATTGGAGGCGAAGTCTAAAGAAGCGCTAACGCCTGGCTTCCATCGCACGCAGAAGGGGGCGTATGCGAGTAGGCATCCCACAACTTTCGTCCTGGACTTCGACAACAAAGGAGATGCAGGCCGTGCGCGCAGACCAGAAGTCACCCGCGAAGTCTTCGAATCCGTTCTCAGGCGTGTTGTGGGAAAAGATGACCTCGCTGTCGACTCATTGAATCTAGGTGGCTCCTTTACCGACCGGGCAAAGCTCGTTACACAATACCGCCGAGGCCGCATACTCCTCGCCGGCGACGCAGCACACATACACTCGCCGCTCGGGGGACAAGGCTTGAATCTGGGCCTTGCAGAAGCTCTCAATCTAGGCTGGAAACTCGGTGCCGTGGTGAAGGGTCTAGCTCCTGAAACCCTGCTTGATACGTACGAGAAGGAGCGGCGGCCTATTGCAAGGGAGGTCCTCGAGATGATACGCGCACATACAGCTGCCATAGAGCCGGGCTTACATGGTGACGCTGTCTTTAACCTCGCAAAGCAGATGATTGCGACGCGCGATGGGGCGACGCTTTTCGCGGCGAAGTTGATCTGGTATCATCCGGTTGTTGATGTTGGGGGTGACTGTAAGCACTGGCTTGTTGGAAGGAGCGCGCCGGACTTTGAGTTCAAAGACAGCACAAGATTGGGAGAGAAGATGCAGCGGGGGGCGTGGGTTGTTGTTAATTTCGCGAAGGATGAGAAGGTGAAGGAGTGGGTGAAGAAACTGGAAGGCTTCGTGTATGCAGACGAAGACGCAATGGAGACGCTGGGAATATGTGCGGCATTGATTAGGCCTGATGGGGTGGTTGCTTGGGCGAGGGATGCAGCTGAGATGGATGGCAGTGTGTTGGAGGGGTTGCAGGAGGCCAAGGCAAGGTGGCTCGACTAAGCGTAGGCTAAGGCGACTAGGGCAGTACTAGAGGCTTGTTTTCGGGCCGTCGAAGCGCCCCTGCTAACGCTACGGCTAAAACAATACGGAACACCGACGCGTCATCTCGCTACCAATTGCTAGGATGAATGCCTTGCATAGTCAACAAGACGGAAAGCGTGCCTACTGGTCTGCCGTTAGGATCACCTAATACGAAGAATTTGGCATACGCTTGTACATCTCAGCCCTAACCATTTCTGCTTTCGCTTACATGAAAGAAATCGTCGACCAGCCAAGGCATGGATGCGGCTTCCTCCCGCGGCGAACTGCCGCCCCTGGTACCGGTAGAGCGGGTGTGGCTTTCGGTCCGCGCCGCCACGCTTGACTACCTTCACAAAAGTCCCATCCGCTGCCGTAGCGTCCCCCTTAGCAGCGCAGTAACCTCATGCAGAGCGTGCTCCTGATCCGATATCGCCCTAAAAACTGGCGCTGCTTCCTTCTTGAAGCTCGCGGGGAGCGCGCATGCAGTGCATGCGTTCGAGGGTTTCTCCGACCCAACACCCAGGCCATCGCTGGCGCGCATACACTGCGGCTGCTGAGTAGGAGCCAAAGAGCTCAATGAAGTTGACTGTCCCGGCGGCCGACAGATTGAGCATAGCCCGAGCGCCGCGTCGCAGTCACGCAGGAGGTCAAGTGTGATGTTGAACGCAGTATAACTCCTCATACATCTCTCGCTGAGCAGATCCATCCCCCTCAGCTTCATGTTCCTATCATCCTGCACATGTGAGAGCTGTGATTGGATTTCATGTCCCATCGGCATATGATCTCTTATATTCGCAAACGCGCTGATGTATAGTTTGCGCAGGCTCACGTAGCAGCTCAGCAGCAGCAGCGTCGTTGACATATCAGCTGTGGATGGCGCTCTGTTCTGTGAGGACGCCACGAAACTCTGAGAAAGATGCCGTATGTGACCTATGGGGTAGTCGTCGATGGATTGAGTGCGGATGTCACTGCGGAGCAGCTGTAGACACTCGCCCAATTCTACGGCAAGATTGGTGAGGCTGAGCACGCACTGCGCAGAAAGCGCGTCGCGCTGCTCAGAGAAGGGTGACGAATGCGTTGGCCAGAGAGATACGGTCGAATCGATGGAGGGGACATCCCAGTCTCCCCAGGGTAGTTCGGTACCCACTATGTCCAGCGCATCGGAGTAACAGAAGGGATCTGCGTTCTCAGACTGGATCTCTCGGACGCGCACGCCATTGGGCATGGGGCTCCCCTCACTCGTGACCGACACCTGGTCTTCCATCCGTACATCTGGCGCGGACATACGGTCGTGAGGGTCTGCGGGCTCCTGGGAGTTGTCTTGCCCGGCCGCAGAGCGTTTAGACGAATTGGTCCGCCGACTGTACGTGCATGGGAGTTTTGCCTTTGAGCACCGCTCGCAGGGTTCGTGGGACTCGGTGCCGTTAGAGGGGCATTTCAGCTTCATGTAGCGGCAGCGGTCACAGGAGGAGCGGAAGGCGAGGAAGTTGCTTGGATGGGACTCGATCTCCATCTTCCCCACTTGAACTAGATTGAGGTTGAAGAAGAAAGAAGATATAGCAATGACTACGGAACATCAACTCAGGATCGAAGAAAATGCGGTAATTTAGACTGACAAACAGGCAGAACAAGCATTCTCACGTCAGCTATGCAGCCACAATCTCACTGTCCTTCTCCTCTCGTATTCGCGAGCAAGCTGCACCGAGCTGCACCGCGCTGTATGCATCTACCGGAAGATAGCCTTTCATCCAAGCGCACACAAGAACAGAATAGTGTAACCATTGCTGACGTTTGTTAACGATTAATCACTACTCATGACGATTTTACGATCAGGATGAACAAGCCATTGCGGGTTCTGAAGCCCATCCTCGCCCGTCCCGTGGTGCGTAGCACGTAGCATATCCGGGCCAGCTAGCGCCGGCTAAATCCCACATTGCAAAAGCTTCATGGACGGGCCGCTGCTCTGCCAAGCAATCGCCAATTAGGTAATGTCAGATGAATCGTCGGACCGAAGATAAAAGTGTTGATATGCATCACATGAGCTTAGACGTAGTTATCTAGCGTTACCCATAAAGTACTGTATGTCAAGAATAGCTACCTAACGTAGCGCGCTTACGTTGGCTGACGATTGGGTTGGAAAATGATCTTGGATTTTTGAGATACATAACAGACAGTATTGTTCGAGGACATGGATTGATGACGATAGAGCTATGGTCAAAATGACATCAAGAGGAGTTTTGTCATCTGCGATTGTGCGACGATAGTGAATCGTTATCATGAATATTGCCGTAACAGTCGCCTTTTCCCTACGTAGCACCGGGAGGAAAGTCAAAACCGATAAGGTTTGTGGCGTCGGGGTCAAAGAGCAACTTTGGCTGCGCCTTAGTGCGCAGATGCTTGTAGAGGTAATCGACCTTTGTTGTAAAATCGCTGATGTCCGGGCGGTGTTTACGGATCACGTCGTTCTCGAGTAGCTTGTCGAACACCTCTACTATAGCGTCGTGTGTGTTTGCTTGTGAAAACATGGGAGGCGTCAACTCTCAACGTCAAGTCCCATCTTAGTTTGCGTGGCGACGTTAGTGAGTAGGGCTGAACACTGTAAGTCAGAATGTTTATACCAATGTATGAGTGTATCAACTTACTGCGCGCCGACAGAGCTCGACACTTTTATTGAGATGTATCGTTTCGATCCTTGAAATTGGCTGCCGTAACAATCCACGCATATTGAGGGCTGTCATGATAGTCTGGGTATACGCATCGGACGAGGTGGAGACATTTATCCGTGTTCAGAGTGACCAGTAGGGTAACGCGAAGAAGGTCGAAGAGGGTTACTTGCAGGGAAACGTAATCAAGGCTATCTGATCGTTGTCAGACTTGCTACTATCAGATGATACGGGGTGCAAGAGGTAGTAGAGTTTTGGTATAGGGTCTAGTAAGGATAGACGAGTCGTTGTCCCTTAGACACTAATCTTGTCTCTTTATTTATATTCGCACTAGCTAGGGTCACATGACAAGAAGAAGCACCGTGTCCTAACAATCGTGCTCGGTCTTGTTTCATGTGCGGGCCTCACGATTCTTCTTCTCTTCTTTTCGTCAAGAGAATTAGTATGAGGAATGAAGACCTGGACGATGATACCTCCCCCCGAAACTTGTCAAGCTCACGAACCGTGAAGCTCAAGACAGAATGCTGAGCAGGGGTCAAACCAAGTTATTCCAACATCTCCTTATTCTGCATCTCATCATCGCGATTGGCCTTCTCTACTTGTTCTTCCTCGTCTTCCATATGTTGCACAGGAATATGTGCAGACTGAAACAGCATCTGATCCTCCAAGACGTTTTCTTTCGATCGCCCCGACCAATCTTCTCGACCTTATCTGTTGCTGGCGAAGCAACACCATTAACCTTCTTCTCTTCTTGGCCTGAGTATTCTGTACATCCCGCATATCATCAGATTCCTCCTCAATGTCGGATGAAGCTGGACCTTGAATGCATGGAGTGCTCATAGTTTGGCAGGCGAAGGTTGGTCTATAAGTCTTGTTGACCGATCGCTGTTATATCGACGCAGCTGTTGGTCGCGAAGGCTTTGAGATTCTCTTCTCGGTGGGTGCAGTCTTTACATGCTTCGCTTTTGGCGCTGGTGGCTCAGGGTCGGAGGTGAAACCTCGAGACCGGGCGCGCGTAGCTCTGGCATGGTGCACTCTTGCTCAGGTTCAGCGATGGCTCGCTTCTTGCCATCGACATCGCGCTTTTGACCCGCAGTTGTGGATAAGAGCAAAGGGGGAAAACAAGCGCATAATGACGGCATATGAAGACGAAAAAAGAGTGTAGGACGCGAGATAATATGATGTGGGGTTAAGATAAAAGAGTAGTGTGTAGGAGAACCTGCGCTAATTTTAAATTGCAGTAGAATCATACGCAGTTGCTTCGAGGTAGGCCATAAACGCGTTCTCTTAGGTAGGCAGACGTGGTGGATATAAATGTTGACTAGGCCTTCCTAGCTTTAGTTTTCGCTAGTGCGTCTTGTTCTCGCAGCGATGGTAATATGTGCGGAGAAATCCCTAACATCTGCCTGTGCGCAGTCTCTTCCCTGACCTTCAGCTTCAGAAACTGGATTGATGTGCTTGGCCATAGCTTAACATGCTTGCTGCCTTATTTTACTCCAATCCCTAGCGGGATACCTTCTTTGTCTATCTAGCATTCCGCGCAGTATCGCTTCCTCGTCACATGCTGGATGTGTCCTAGCTAATGTTCGCGCAGCTCATTTGTTCCATTGGCTGATACTCTATCGCTCAGTGTGAGGTGAGGAGGGCGCGTTCTGCTTCGCGGCGGTAGCAGTTGGGAGGGTGGAGGCAGCCTCGCATGTAGACACCGGTGCAAGATGACATTTTGGGCTTCGGGAGGACGATAAGGGCTGCCATGGTCGTTGCGAAGCTCCACATCGTTCTTTTAAGAAATGGGAAGACGCGTGTCGCGATGAGCGGAGGGCTTGGAAGAGTTGTCGTGAATGAGACGTCGCAATCGCTGGTGGTGTTGACAATTGGCCCAATGGTGGCGGGGGAAGTGTATGCGCACTTCGGGTCACTGGCATTGTCAGCGGTATTGCTTGAGGGCCCCCATGAAAGCGCAATGAACGAGTCTGCCACTGATATGAGTGAAGCATCACAAGCCTCTTTGTTGGGTCGGTCTGGCCTCCTTCATGTCCTTGTTGAGGCCTCTATCCTTTGATGTGTCGTCCGGCTCGCCTCTACCAGCAGCCGGGGTGTTGAAGACACTGGTACCTACGCGTTCGATATAGCCGATGCGGACGCTGCAACGCGGTTAAAGTGTCTTGCAAACTCATCGCGGGTCTCAAAGCGATCCTCGAGCGTGAGATCGGGGTATAGGTGGGCAATTTAAAGCCTCAGGCGGCGTTTCAAGAGCTTACGAGATTGTTTGCTCCAGGTCAAGAAGTAGTCGCTCGTCCCATCAGTATGGCGTCCGTATAGATGCATCATATGGTTGAGAGCGGGCGAGTAAGTCATGAGGTAGCTCGGAGCTTGCGAGCTCCCTCGCCGTTGATTGGTCACTGCTGCTCCTCCGTGTTCACCACGCACCTCTCCCCTTGTTCTAAGAAGACACTAACATCTATATAGCGAAACGACTACCAACCATGCGTATCGCCAGCTGGAATCACATTAATGCGGCCACAGAAAGCAATGAAGGTTCACCACAATTTGACGAAGACGATATGTTCATATGTGTCAGGTACACACTGTCGGTGACTAACGCTGAAACTCACCCATCTGCTCCAGCTCATATCGATGCATCTGTGTCTTCGTCTCCATAGTCGCAGTGAAGATCTGATCCGGAAGGCCCGTGTTGCTGTCTCTCCGGCCAGCTTTGTCTTCCGCCCCCTCCAGACCTATCACCAGCCGCAAAACACGTAGCGCTTCTTCAGTATTACTGACAGAGTCCGCTCTCCAAGCCACATGCTCATCGGGACGAACAAGAACGATATTGCACCCCCAGATGCTACGCGCATGCCCCTCATCCCGGAGATCAACATGCTCGAGTGGGACCGAAAGCGAAGCAGCAGCGTCAAGGAATAGCTGAGCACTATGCATACTTGAGTCTGCGAATGTGACAAGCGACCAGTCCATGCCGAGATGATCGAAGATGGCAGAACCGTCCGATAAGAACACATGGGGCGCTCGACTACCCGGCCACGTCGAAGGCGTATACTGTGACGCTCGAAAGGGCGGTTTGACCTCACCCGGCTGCGGTATCTGGAGAACATAAGACTCGTAGACATACCCCATCTCGATACCAAAGTCCTTGTTCTCGCCATCATGTTCTTGGTAGTGCTCATGCAGTTGTCTTCGTAGCGCTCGACCCTCCTCTGTGGGCCAATCAACGCGATGAGGATCTCCACCTTCAAAGAACTGAGCGACGTCAGAGTGAACTTTCATGTGTACACCCGAGTGCTCTACATTGCGTAGCGCTACAGGCCGACGCTCGGATGTATAGGATTCCATTAGTCCACGCCCACCATACTTCATCGCAACGGCCAGCTTCCAGCCTAAGTCGTACGCATCTCCGATACCCATGTTCATGCCATACCCTCCAGTAGGAATATTCTGATGGGCCGCATCTCCAGCGATGAAGACGCGATGGTCAGGCGTAGCCCAAGTCCTCGCAACAGCGATGCTTGGGCGCTATGTTGAGCGCACTAGGACCTCGTCAATTTTGATTCTGTATTTCCCGTTCAGGCCGCCGAGGACGGTGTATACCGCTTCTTCCGAAGTAATGGCTGATGTGTCGGTCCCGAGGGGGAGGAAGTAGTGGACAGTCCATGTTTCGATTTCGTCTTGGGCGATCATTGCGCCGCCAAAAATCCCCGGTTCAACCATGAAAAAGGTGTGCCAGAATTGGCCTTGCTTCTGGATACGCGTTAGATCGCGCGATTTGAAGTGAACGAGAAGTACGCATGTATGTCTGTGATCGATTGGTTAGCTTCAATCATGCTCGAAGATGATGATGAACTTACATCGGTCCACCATCGAGCGGCATCTCTAACGATCTCCTCACTATACTTGACGCGCCATCGCACCCCACCGCATACTCGGAGATAAACATCCTGCTCTCCCCATTCTTGAGCTCTATTGCTCTAGTCCTCACTTTGCCTTCCTTTACTTCAACATGTTCGACCTTCCACCCAAACCTCGCATCAATCATCTCATCCCTCTCACATCTCTCCTTCAACCACTTCTCAAATTTGACCTGACTGAGTCTCTGCCACGGCTCTCTCGGCATAGACCCATCGTTTTTTTGTTGTATTTTCCGCCGGAACTCGTCAACACTAGGTAATTCCCACTTGGTCACACATTCCTCCGCCGCAAGACCTGATGATACCAGCACATTGTGTGACTTATCGGATGGTACACCAAGTAATCGCATCTCTTCCGAAAGTCCAAGACGCCGTAACATCTCCATAGACTGCGCGTTGGTGAGATCCATTTTCGGCCATTTTGTTGTTGTTTCGTTGCGCTCGAGGAGGATGGAGCGGATGCCGTGGTGGGATAAGACGGTAGCGAGCAGAAGGCCTATTGGGCCGCCGCCTACTATCAGGATGTTATTTGTGGGGAGAGGCTCTTCATGAGTTGACATTCTGGGGAGGGTTATGCAGATTTGAGATAGGTGTGCCAGTGAGTACAGGTTGAGTTTCTTGCATTCACGGCTTATTACTTTGGCATCGCGACTATGCTTGTATGGCTCATTCCCGAAAGGATGATCGGTATTTAATGGCTGCGTAGCGTTCTTTCTTGCGGGCGCTTTTCGGGACTCAGCCTCCGCTGCGCGGGGGACTACATTGCTCCGGTGCGGGGATGTGAAAGCCACCGGACGATATGCGCCAGGTATCGCGGGAAATATATTACAGATTGTGTCATGTCACCAAAAAATATTGAGCGCCGCTAGCTTGGTCTGATTCCTGGCCTTCTCTCGCGTTGTCGATATCACGCGGTGCGCTCCATCCACACTTCTACTCTATTCGCTCAAAGGATAGCATCCTTCAAACACCTCACTCGTTTCCGGAATGCCTCGTCACAGATATACTACGGCGATCTAGAGACGGTAGATACTCCCAATGCAACACTTGTCGGCAGTACAGTGCAGGTGTTCGATGGAGACAGCCTTTGGGATCCAAACTTTCACCTCACAAGTCGATCAGAGACAATAGCTGAGGTCAGTCAGTTGCTGTAACTCTTGTCAAGTTTGAAAAGATGTTGATAGTCTGTCGCAGGTGCTGTGCCCGCTTCCTTCAGTACCGATGTTTTTGTGTGTTGGCTTGAACTATCGGCAACATGCAAATGAAGCGGGGATGGCCATCACACATTATCCTGTTATCTTCACGAAGCCTTCCGATGCGCTTGCTGGCCCGTTCGAAGACATACTTATCCACCCTGAGTGCAAGTGGATGGACTACGAGGTACGTCCCGTTATCACAGGATGTCTTTCATCACTTACTGACCTCTCCAGGCTGAGCTGTGCTTCGTCATCGGAAAAGACTGCAAGAATGTGTCAGAGAGTGAAGACGCCATGCAATACGTCCTCGGCTATACCGCAGGCAACGACGTATCTTCGCGGTACTGGCAAGCTTCGGAAAGATCAGGCAACCAGCATGGCAGCGCAAAGTCGTTTCACAAGTTTGCGCCTATCGGTCCTGTCATCACCTCACCGGGTGTCATTCGCAACCCTCACAAGTTGGCTATCAAGTCTTTCGTCAATGGTCAAGTAAGACAGCAGGCTTGTACGGATGATCTTATTTACGATATTCCAGCTATCCTCAGACATATTAGCAGAGGAACTACCCTTCGCAAGGGGACAGTGGTAATGACTGGTACACCAAGTGGTGTTGCAGCTTTCATGAAGCCTCCTGCTTGGCTGGAGGATGGTGATGTGGTGGAGGTTGAGGTTGAGAAGATTGGGAGACTGAGAAACAAGATGGTCATTGAGAAGTAGGAATGAGCATTATGATCATTCAAAAGCTATAGCATGTGGTTCGGTAAACCACGAGGTCCAATTTCAGGACGTTTCATCAGAGCCTCCTCCTTTTCTCCGTTTTGCAGACGCGTGATGAAGTCTTCCGGGTCAAAGTCTACACCTATGGGGTTCTCGGCGAAAGCCTTGGTCTTCATAAACTCCGTGGCATCATGTGCATTCTTAAAATTGTCGACCTGCGTCTCGATCTCATTGCCATCAGGATCACGGTAATAGATAGACGTGGTGGGTCCATGGTTGACAGACCAAAGCGGTAAGATGTTCTTCTGTTTACGTTGTCGATAAGAAACCAGAAGATCGGACAATGAGTCGAAGGCAAAGGCAATGTGCTCGAGGCCGCAAGTACCTCGGGCTTTAGCCTGGGTTCCGGGCGCTTGGATGAGGGCAATGCGGTGATGTTCGTCGTCGTAGGAAAGGAATGCTATCATCTCGTTCTCATACCCGATGTGCGCGCCGAGGAAGTCAGCGTAGAAGCGCACCATGTTTTGTAGGTTGTTCGTACGAAGGACAACATGCGCAAGTTTGCTCGGGGGTTTCACGACGGACGCAGGCTCGTCAAAGTTGGTCGCCATGGTATCGATAAGCAGTAGTTAATGGAAGATTAGTAGAACTGAACATTCCCCAGATTGCGGAGTGCTTTTCGTAACTTTATAGCAACATGATGCGTCTCACCTCCAGAAAGCGTAGAACATTCAGCTCAGTAAGATGGTGTTCATCCATTGCATCTTCTTGCGGTGGTTAAGCGATAGGATCGTGACGCGAGTCGGAAGCAATTGCTTCCGGCTGACCAATCGGGACGGGCAGGGGTCGTGGCTTATCACCCTTCGTCACTATCCATGACTTACCGCTTACGTCGCATGGGCCAATCCCCAGGCTTCGCGCCGGGGCCGGATGAATCCAATGCTGCGCGCGCCTCATAGATTCCGGCGCACAATGAAGCTACTACATTCGGACGCGCAAGTTTCCTCTCTCACTTCTTCACGCTCCGGATTGCGGTCCACTCTTCGTGCTTCAGGATGCCTGTCAGCCCGCCACCCTCTGGAGACGACTCGAACAGTCAAACGCGTCGCCGCAACGGGATGCAGAAGGCTGTTGTGGCATGTGACAGATGTCGCGTGAAGAAGATCAAATGCAAGTCGCTCGAATCTTGGCGAGTAGCCGATAGAAAATTGACCCTGCTGTAGGCGACGGTGCTAGTCCTTGTCATAGCTGTCAGACCATTAGTGTCGACTGCTACTTTTCCCGTACAGTCAGACGCTATCGAGGTGCATCGACTGCTAAATCACAGACTCTGCAACGACGACTGGGTGATGCGGAGCGTCTGCTGCAGGCCGCTGGACTTCTAGAACATCTGGAAGCACCGCCCTCAATCGTAGAGCATAACGACCAGCACGGCATACCGGTCTCACATCAGATTACCGCCGGCAGTCACGAAGCGAATGCGGAGATCTCTCATGGCGCTGCGATTCGCAGCTATGGCGATACGTCTCCCGACACGTACCAACACATCAGTCAATCGCCAACGAGGCTGGGCTTGGAGAATGAGCCATTGTCGCAAAATGTAACTTCCTTATCAGATGAGGAACACCAATCACCTGATGTTTCAGAGCCACCTAGCCGTGACGAACTTCACGGCCCTAGTACTTTTGCTTCTATCTGTGAGGATTCTGGAGTAGCCTGGATAGCGTCACGAATTGGTGTCTCAAACTATGCTACGTGCGCTACTTCATTCATGTCAACTATCAGTCGTAAGCTCAAACTTCGCAAACGTTAAAGTCAGCAAAGATTACCTGACCCACCAATGGCAACTGCTTGGCTTTATACCACGGGTGAGTCTATGTCAACTCAACGCCGGTGCTAGCTGAGCTCACGTTCATCGGCACAGCCTACTTTGACGAGAGTGTTGAAGCTACATATCACACGATCGATCGAACGGATTTCGAAATGCGCATTAGAAAGCATTACAACGATTCAGTTCACGATGAGAATCCTGGTTGGTACGCGCTACGCAACGTTGTTTTTGCAAGCGGATGCAGAATTGCGACATTCAAATCGTGCGACTGGACGGAAGCTCAAGCTCGAGCACAAGGATACTTCGATAACGCACTTTCCGTGGAAGCTGATTTGCTGCATGGAACGCCAGGACTTATCGGAATTCAGGCGCTGTTGATCATGGTACGTGGACAAAGTCCACTTCCGGTGAGTCAATACTAACGTCAAAGGCATTCTTTGCCGAGGGTTTAGGGGGCGCAAAATTGGCATACATGCTTATCGGTTGTGCCATCCGCCTAGCGTATGCAAGAGGCCTCCATCTTCAACCAACCTCGACATCCATATCGTTTGGTGAATCCGAGAGACGAAGCTGGATATTTTGGAATCTATACTGCATCGAAAAGCACCTGACGATCCGGGCGGGACGTCCATCGGTAAGATCTGTTCACATATTAGTATCGTCTAAAAGCTCACATCGACTCTAGGTAATCGATGACGACGATATCAGTTGTGCTTTGCCGTCATGGGCGCCGAATGCAAGCTCCAGCTTTGTGAAATGCTTTCGGAAGATTGTCGATTAAGCCAGGTTTTCTTCGACTATCGCAAGGAGCTTCACCACCGTGAAGGCCCACCAACAATCCTTGCGAGAGAAAGCTTGTCTGGTGAAAAGATTCAACACAGACCTAGAATCCTGGTACGTCAGCCTGCCTATAGAGTTTCAGGTTGGTTCTTCAATCGACAGCAGAAGCATAGCGCAGGGTCTACGTGTAGAGCATCTCATGTACCTCCATCTTTCCTACCACGGTAATATGGCTGCAATTCACTCTATTCTTGGCCATCCATGGAATCTTTGCAACGCATTATCTATTCAGCGCGACGACGCGATCGTTCGAGATCAGATTGAGGCTAGTAACAACGCATTGGCAGATGCGTCGCGAAGCATCATCCTCCTCACACGGCTTATTTCTGTAGACGCTGTCGCTCCAGTGTGGTAAGTCCAAAAGTAACTCGCGGTTTCATTCTCTAATTTTGATCATCTCTAGGCTTGTGTGGTACTAACCTCTGATCGGCATGATCAATATGTTCATATCGATACTCACAACGCCTGCTGCGGAGGCAACTGAGAAAAGCATCGCTATCATCGATATGGCTGCTGGCTACTTCGCGTATCTCGACTACTCCACAGATGCCATCTTTTCTTTTGAACTAGTGAAGAATCTGGCGCAATGGGCTAGGCAAGCAGTTTCTCAATCAGGCGAGCAAATTCCCGCTACGCAGTCCACACACTTTACCACCGAACCAGACGTGCCACCGCCAATGGAAAGCTTCCTTGTAGACTCAATCCTTGATGTAAGCCCTTGCTACTTGATGGTTTGTCAGCCAACTGAACTTGCGTAGACGGGAATCGACATCGATGGAATGGACTTGGGTGATTGGCCGGCTTTTCTTCCTCGCTTGCCGCAATTCACAACTTGATCTTGACAGGTGGCACACGGCTTACGAGGATTAACGCCCGTTTGCTACTTACATCAACACCATCCGATCGCAAATTCTCACGTCATGGTCTTGAGCTCTCAAACTACATTGAAGCCTCTCGCAGTGCCACAACTAATGAGTCGGTCCACGTGCTCACTATTGCGAGCGATTGTGACCTTCACGTTCTCCATCGCAAGACTCATATTCTCCTCTACCTATCTCGGTACGCTTGTCTCCTCAGCATCTGAGAGCAACTTCGTTAAGGGCGTCAGATCCTAGAAACATCAACCCAGTTCTGAAATGCAAGCAGACGTACGTCTTACCGCCCAAACTTGATACGACTTTAGCCTAGCAGGTGGTACAGATTCAGCCAACATTCTGGCAGTAAACTCCACGTCTACACACTGTCCATCTGCGACAGTCATCTCCACTCTTCCCAGAAGCATGAGATCCGGGCATTCCGTGTTGTGAACGTACACTCTTTTGACGGAGTGTCTGCGCTTCTTGACCACAGTCCATGCATTCTTGCGTGACTTGCGGATATCTACATGCGAAGTTGTTAGGGATCAAGCAGGTTGTGAGGTGTGTTGTACATACCTGCAGATCCTACGGCTGTGCCAGCTGCCGACACCATCACACCGTCAGGCGTGAACACTTCGTTAGCTAGTGTGTCGCCAGCTTTTTCGGTCGGATCGTTTACTGCTGAAAAGAAGTTTTCTATGAGCACTTTCATATATTCTGGTATTGGAACCACAGGCCAGACTGTATTTGTGATGCTGGAGCTCATCATTTCGTTCCGCGAGCGGTGGCTGGTTCAAACATCGATCATTTAACCCGTGATACACTCATCGTTAACTACATGATATACTAACTACTGGAGCAAGCAATATCCTAGGTCAATGTGCGGCAAAAACGATTCCCCCACCTGAATCCGGCGCAATTTGCTTCCGAAGCCGCTCTGGCCTCGTTCCCCGCACCTGACACACTATTCCGACGCTACACACATATGCCAGCAGCCACGATCATATCAATACCTGGGCTTAGTTGTTTGACTAGTCAAATGCGGGGAGCATTAGCTTCAAGCTTGCGGGGTTCCAGCCGCTACATGTCCCGGTGAAGCGAGTGCGATTTAGGCGAGGTCGAGACGTTCATCATGAGGCGATAGCAATAATCACAACCAACAACAATGCCTTCCACGAAGACATCATCAACATGAATGACTACAGCACTCGGCTGCTCGCCTCCACGATCACCACCCTGGTAATCTACTTTGCAGTGAAATGTTTACAAGTGGGCCGACGGCCAAAAGGCTTCCCTCCAGGACCACCAACAATACCATTATTGGGAAATCTTCATCTCGTAAGCACCATAGACCTGAATCTTTCTAAAACAGCAACTCATGTACGAGTAGATGCCACGAGATAGACCATGGTTGCAGTTCACTAAATGGGCAGAAGAATATGGGTATAATCATGCCTCAACAAGCAACAAGCCGAATTTCACTAACACATCGTTGGCCCATATACTCACTAATCCTCGGAACGAAGACATACATCATATTGTCGGCACCCGACGCTGTCAAGGATCTCTTTGATAAGCGCAGCAACATCTATTCGTCACGACCAGACATGTACATAGCTCATGATGTAGCAAGCGGAGGCCTACGCCTCGTAACAGCAGTGAGTCGGCCTAGCCTCGACCATCTATCTTCTCTGACATAAAGACCAGAAATATGGAGCCATGTGGCGTAACATGCACAGAATGGTGCACAACATCTTCAATATGCGCGCTGCAGTTACATACGTTCCTTACCAAGACCTCGAGAACAAGCAGATGCTGCGAGATCTACTGGATAGCCCAAATGACCTTATCAACCATATACGCCGATACAGCAATTCGCTTACCACTCAAATGGTCTTTGGGTTTCGAACGACGAGTAATGCTGATCCAAAACTGAGACAGCTCTTCGAGTGCTTCGAGAAATGGGGTCACTTGGCTGCTGGAGCAAGCTCGCAGCTCTCAGATCTCTACCCTATTCTGCAACACCTGCCGCCTTTTTTGCGCCCGAACTACCGGTATGCGCGAAGCTTACACAAGAAGGAAATGGAGCTGTATCTTGGGCACTGGATGGAAACAAAGAAGGGTTTGCTGAATGGAACAGGGAAGGTAAGACAAGCTTCTTGTCTACACCCGCATATCTGACTAATTCCACGCCTATTAGCCTTGCTTCTGCAATGATGTTCTTCGGGTTCAGGATACCGAGAACATGTCCGACGGACAAGCTGCATATCTCGCCGGCTCGCTCCTTGAAGCAGGCAGTGACACCACCTCTGCTATTCTCATCGGCTTCGTACAAGCCATGCTTGTTCATCCCGACGTACAACACCGTGCTCAAGCCGAACTTGATCAAGTCGTTGGACAAGCACGTCTCCCACATATCCACGATGCGGAGACGCTGCCATACCTCCGCGCTATCGTCAAGGAGTGCATTCGATGGATGCCCACGACTATCATGGCGGCACCGCACGCAGTCACACAGAATGACGAGTACATGGGTTATAAGATTCCGGCCGGAGCTACCGTGCTGATCAATGTCTGGTGAATCCCACTCTCTTCTCCCTTTCCTCGGACTAATCATCCACTACCAGGGGTTTACACATGAACCCCACCACAAATCCTAACCCACGGACCTTCGACCCATCACGCTTCCGAGATGACCTTCGCTCGGAATTCGAGTGTGCGACTGCCCGCGACCCATCACAGCGGCGCAACTATATCTTCGGCTCTGGGCGCCGCGTATGTCAGGGTATGCACATCGCCGAACGCTCATTGTTCCTTGCTATCACACGTCTTCTGTGGGCGTTTGATTTCATCCCGCCCGAATCAGGAAGCATGCCGGACGTGGATGATTTGGTGGGCAGTTTGACGGTGCAACCCGCGCCATTTGAAGTCAAGATCATAGCGAGAAGCGAGGATAAGAAGAGGATAGTGCATGAGACGTGGAGGGATGCAGAACAGACGTTGTTGAATGGCGAGGGACAGTGGAAAATTGTACCACAAGGAATGGCATTTAGCACGTGGATGCCTGACGTAAAGGAACAAAAAGAGTAAGCTGGTGAAGTGACGTCACGTGAACCATCATGCCTCTTACGTACCACAAAATATGGCGTCGGTCATGGAGGTATCTTTTGTTTCTAGTAGGCTCACAGGTAATGCAATGAGGTTAAATAACAGTTTCAGACTAACGTCTTTCCGCCACCATATCACATGTGCGACCAAGTCTACAACATGTCGAACTTTGCCCAATGCTCTGCACCCCCTAAAATTTCACCATGATGGTGGGCATCATCCAAAAGTCCATCGTTCCAGACCTCAGTCTCCTCTTCTATCATTTCCCTGTCCCAACCACTCTCAGCACTGTCGATACTGTATCCCAGCTGACTTTCACCACACGACACTGCCAATCGCTTTTGGGTTGCTTCACGAATCTTCGCCACCCAAAAGCCTCCTCCTCCAAAATTATTGTGGTTTGCAAGCAACCCATCATGGTATTTTCTCCACAAGGTCGGCAAATGCAGGATCCTCTTATCGAACTGGTTGCTCCAGCCCAAGCCGTCTGGCATGAGCACGTTGATGTCGATATTTGAGTCCTGGGCGATACACCTGTCAAACTTTGCAAGCCACTCGCGGTCGCTATCACTCGGGCGCAGTGCGAGCTCCATCATCTGCACTTCGTGGATGTGAGCTCGTCCGGTGCCAGGCTAGAAACGTCTATCAGCACTTTCCTTCATTATAGGGTGGATACAACGAACCGGGTTGGACAGTCTAATGGCACAGCTGTTGAGTAACGCCTTTGCTGTCTTGCGCGCATCAAAAAAGACCTTGGTCGCTGTACCAGTCTCGAGCAGGTCTTTCAATGCACATGCACTTCTCTCCCCATGATGTAGAGCCTTGGCAAGATACGCAAGACTGATTTTGTTGACTACACGCTTTGGTGCAACGTAAATAATCAGGTTTTGAGAAGTACTAGAGAGGTAGAGGGAGGCGGAGTTGCTTGGTAATGCATTAAAGCTTTGGAGAAGAGTGTTGAGCGCATCTGGACTTGCGATACGCTGCAGTGTAATCTTTTCAGAAGAAACAAGATCCATATTGTCCAGATCCACTGGACACTGCGTTAGAGGTAGAGTCGTGAGACTAGGTTGCAGGTTTTAAACTCATGGTAACGCCACTTCACTCCAGCGAGCGATACGTCAACTGTGCATCCTGCATCGTTTAGAGCACTGCCACAGTCTGAGCTGTCGGGCTCCCAAACCGATGGATATGCATGTTTCGCCAAGTTTCCTGTCAGAGCACCTAGGTGACCAACCGTTAGCCGCTGGGATTTCCATAAACTCACAACTGCGCAGGGATCGCAGGGCAAGATGCCCAATGAGTTGAGGTATCGCTAGATGCCAGGAATCTATTTTCTCTTCAATTTCGCGCATAAGATATCCTTGTTGGATGCATTTTTAATATATTGCTAATACCGAAATAGTTCTGCCGAGTTACTAGAGAAAGCCTGCTCGAAGCTCATCAAGCGCGCGCTTAGAGATTTCCAGCACGGTGTCGTGGTCCTGCGAACGATCTGCAGTATCCCATGCAGGTTCGCATTTACCAGGCTCGGTAACAAATTCTTCGGCGAAAACATTCTGCGACAACCTAGCAGGAAGCTCCCATCTTAAGACCATACCTAGTTTAGTAGCGTGCCCTACTTTCCATCGAAAATAGGCCAGGGCTTCTCGCCGTCGGTGACTCTTGTCCAAGACGCCCAGTTGTGGCGTTCAGTTGTGATAGGCTGATTTGACTGGTCTCGAGCTTTCCACGTAGGTGAGATGTTCTCCATGCATGCGCTGTAAACAACCTTGGTACCTCTCGGCGCGGGATCCTCACGTCGTACAGCGTTTTGTGTACCCCGCAGCTGGACGTGATCCCTCGCATGTGACCATGAGGCCTATTCTGTAACCTTATCCGGAGCACCACCCCCAGAATGTTGCAGCATTGTTGGACATGTAGATGCTTTTCGCCCCGAGGTCTTTTTGACTATTTGATAACCTTGCTCAAATCTCGAACGCTGGGCATTTTCCGTTGAACCTGGAACCTTCAATCCAGTAACAACCCACCAATGAATCCAATTCTGGGAGACACGATGTACACTAGCTCGGCACCCAATGGAACCTCGGTGTCCGTCAAAATCGCACAGTATCTGCTAGAGAACAGTCCGGCATTCCAAGAACTCTTTCTTCTTCGTCAGAAGGTATTCAGGAAGTAATCACCATATTGAGACCTTTGCTTACATGTTTTTAGGGTTGGGAGACCTCAGAGAGAGATCAGTATTTCCATAATCGTCGTGCACAATCCGACAACGCCAGTAGAAAGCAGATGCGCCGCTTCTTCCACATGACATGTGAGATCGGAGAAGAGATGGACAGGGAAACATCCGTCATTACACTTACGGCGACTGATAGCGATACGCCCCCGAGGGTCTTGGATATAGGTATGGCTCCAGGTGGATTCACTAAGACGATGCTTCGTAGCCATCGTGACGTCAAGATACGGGGAATCATACTCCCACTAGAGCTCGGAGGCCTCGAAGTCATGCTTCCGCGGTGGAAGACTGACTCGAAAATCTTTTTAGAGTTTCTCGATGTCACGATGTTGGCAGAGGAGATGGGACGGTCGATAAAGTCCATACCAACCAAACACACGGATGTCGCAAGATTCTCTTCAAAAAGACCGTATCAAGGCGAAATCTTTGACCTCGTATTTTGTGGCGCAACTGCTCAACGTGCGCATGCTCGTGCCGACTATCGTGAGTCAAGTGAGCGACTACAGTTAGTGACGAGCCAGCCAATTCTCGCACTTCAACGTCTCCGCGACCACGGATCATTGGTCTTAGTGTTGCACAAGCCAGAGGCTTTCAACACCGCTGATGTTATCCGGACATTCACAAGGTTCTCAAGTGTGAGCCTTTTCAAGCCTGGAAAGAAGCATGCAATCCGTTCCTCATTCTATATGGTGGCAACGAAAGTGGAAACACAGAGTAAAGAGATGCAAGCGTCTATCGTTAAATGGAAGAAGCAATGGGAGAATGTAACTTTCCAGTCAGACGACGCTCTCTCGACCTGTTCCCGCGTATCCGAGGATCAAGCCTGCGAGATGCTGGCAGAGTTCGGACCACAGCTTATCAGTCTTGCCACGTCGGTACGGAAAATCCAAGCTGATGCTCTTCGATCTGCACCATTTATCAAAGGTTTAAAGAGCACCATGGCCAGAGATCTTGCGTCGAAGACAGGATGTATTGAATGATGCTCGCACGCCATGAAAACCTCTATACGAAGGGTTGATGCGCTGAAAGCTATGAAGCAATCCCCAAACCTCCGATACCGAAGTATCCTCCCTCTTAATACGAATAATGAAATCGCACTACGAGACGGCGCCGAGATACTGGTCACTTTCAAGAGAGACTATGTGCGTTACTGGGGCGTAAAAGGCAGCAACACACAGGCGGGGATACCATAATCGATCGCAACAAGACGAGATTTGGAGGAGATGCCGGACACAGGATAGGCAACGGATCTGCCCGTAGCTGTGAACACGCCACGGAAGCGTTGCCAACAAGTTTGGGATGGTCTTCTTTCTTACGCAAACTACGCTGAAGATTGTTACACGTGAAACCACGCTATAGCATCACCAAAGATTGTCGGTGAGTCGCTGAAATTTGTTGTTTATGCAGCCATGTCATAGTCCCTCCGAGGATTCTCGGTCAGGAGCTTAAGTCCGCTGCTTCTGAAGTACGTCAGTGATCATGCAAGTGACTTTTCAAGTCTTTTCATATTGCGCTTTCTAAGTCAATAAAAACCATGTACATGGCCACATTTTGTCGCTAGAATCTTTCCTGCGTACCTTCTGATTATTTCATCCAAGTCCATTGATCCACCTTTGGAAACACCTCGCAGGCACCAGTATCGATCACTTCCCTACGCCTACAATGCCTGCTCCACAAGTCTGGCTCATTACGGGTACCTCTTCTGGTTTTGGAGCCGCACTTGTTCAGAATTTGCTCGTACGTGGTGACAAGGTAATTGCGACTGCACGTAGCCTCTCCAAGATCGAACATTTCGAAACGCTATGCGCAGCCACTCTGCAGCTTGATGTGACTGCATCAACCGCTGAGCTTGAGAATATTGCCAAAGAGGCTATTGCGATCTACGGAAGGATTGATGTACCAGTCAACAATGCCGGTTACTCGCTTTTTGGTACTTTTGAAGACGCCAAGCACGATCACGGCAATCCAATTGACCGTATTCCAGCGCTGACAAACATTATAGCCCTCAGGACTGGCAGGCACAGTTTAACACCAACCTATTCAGTGCGATTAACACCACACGTGCTTTCTTGTCTCACTATGGCAGCAACAAATCAGGGACTATGATCTTCATCGGCTCCGCTGCTGCTTTGAGTGGGATGGGGATTCTAAGCCTGTACTGTGCTTCCAAATTTGCTTTGACTGGAAAGCACCGCTATGCGCTATCATCGCCGGGGAATCTCTACTGACTGCCTACTGAACTTAGGCGGTGCGGAATCCCTCGCCCAAGAAGTTGCCCCATCCGGCATTCGCACACTCGTCGTCCAACCAGGCTTCTTCCAAACAGAACTTCTTAACGAAGCAACACCACGTACATTGATACGCAGATCGATGATTACAAGCCATTGGTTGATGGCGGTTACCGAAAATTCAAGTCCGTCAATAGGTGTCAAGCAATAGAGTCTTCAAAGATATGAGATGCACAGCGATAGTGTAGGTAGAGGTATATTGCCTTGTAAGACTAGAGACGAACCGCTGTTGAGCCACAACAGCGGTAAGGTAGGCTAATATACTGCGATTGCTTGGCATAACGGCCCGAACGGGCCCGGAGTAGCCTGGTGCCTGACAATAGGTAGCAGCCTAGCAATCCCAAGAAGTGCGGGAACCGTATCATCGATGTGGTCAAAGGGGATGGTCTTGCAAAAGGCAAGCAGTTTCCGCCTACGCTGATGTTGGGTGAAGATATTTGGTATATGACGAAGAAAAAAGGTGGAAGATCAATTGAAGCTCTTGAACGAGTGGGAAGAGGCAAGTTCAGGTTTGAGTTTTGATTAGGTAGACTTGTGACTAGTAATGCAAGCAAATTTGCTATTTGCCTCCAGACTTTGCATAACTATTCTATGAGGCAAATCCATAAGACAACAAGACCAGAACGATGTCTTGTGTTAGGATCGCGACTAACATAAGCCGTTCTCGCTAGGGTCTTGCAGCTGGGCTGGGGCGGTGCGTGAAGTGAACAGCCTCGGAGATACGCCGGGATGCCAAGAACAGCAGCCCCGCACCTTGTCGCCAGGATCTGTGGTTGCCTAGTACTGTACCACTAACATGAACACCGAATTCAGAACCCACCAATGAACATTGTCAGACCGTTTCGCGCCGGCTCGTTCATCGCACGTTTCCACTTTGAAGTTGCTGCCTTACTGCTCATTCGTTCGCGTGCACCGGGTGATATCGCGAAAGCATCACGCTATCCTGTGCGTGTCAACGCAAGCTGCCTGACCTGCCATACGTATAGCGCTCTTCCTGTCCGAGTCGCCTGTTCCCTTGTACCTGATCTTCCAGTTACCCCGATTCCTATGCAATCATGGAACTGCCCGAGGAGATTTACCTAGAGATCTTTTCTTATTTACCACAACACCATCTGCGACCAGTACTGCAAACATGCAGAACTTTTGCGAGCCTTGTGAAGCCGCTAATGTTCGGGACGCTCCATCTAGACGGTGATGCTCAACGCGGGATGTGGACGGCAGAATGGAGACCAGGGGCAGTTTGGAGTCACCAGGTCTTTTGTCCAGGTCGTTCACGGATTGTAGAGCTGGCTTCCTTGGACAGTACCGTAGACGAACTGATCTTATTGGACATCGTGCGTCATGTGCGCAAGCTCAAATTCAGTCCGAGATACTACGTGGATGGTGAGTTTGTTTCCTGATGAACAGTCATGCAAACATTGACGATTCATTTAGGATTCTGGTCGAACTATCGCCAATGGCTTCGGAGGCCTCAAGACTACGAGGAAGACTTTCATCGGATGTATGACATGAGCGATTTCGAGGTTGATGATAATGGAGAGTATCGTGGGATTCATCGTCTCGCTGCAGCACGACTTGCCAGACCTGAAAAAGAACGCGGGTTGATCGAAGAAGCCGAAACCATTTGGGAGGGAAAAGTAGCTAAGCAGTGTGAGAAGAAAGAAAAAAATTTGGCAGCCTTGGTCAAACTCTTCAGACATATGCCACAGCTGAAAGCTATCGAGATCAGGGAATGGAGTTGCAACCTGAGTGAATATGGGTTCGAGGGCCGTGTGGAGTAAGTATGACGACGCCAATAATGGTCGACTTGACTGACATGTTCAGCCATGAAGTATGCGAACAATTTGCTAGTTGCAGCACAACCTGGAAACATCTCAAACTGCTGAGTTCCGCAATCAAGGTGTCAAAGAGTAATGTCAAGAGTCTGTTTCTCCCCAAGATCGACCTTTCTTCCATCACGACGACTGTCGCCATCGACGATTTGTTCAGTTCTCTCACTGCGCTTTCGTTCAATACTGAAACAACCGATCCGGATTTAGTTGAGGCTTCAAACACTAATGTATCACTCTTTGCTACGTTGATACGTCGTGCGTCGCATACGCTCCAATTCCTAGAGTTTCGCAACTGCACTACTTCGCATCCGCACCTACCACCCGGGGGAAACTATGTTCTCAAGAAGCTATTCAATGTATCGAACGACGCGGATTCGACAGACATCACGCCACTCATATTCCCAGAGTTAAAGACGCTGAAGCTTCGAAGCCTTTACCTAGACACGCCGACTCTGATCGCATTTGTTTCTCGACAACCGCAACTGCAGTATGCGCATTTCGATTACATCTACCTCACGCCCGTAGGATACAAATGGTGCGACGTTGCTGAGCGGCTGCCTTTATCGTGCAGCAAGCTTTACATTAGTAGGTCTGGGCACGACAAGTTTGACCCTGATACGCCCACAGTAAATGGTCATATGAGGGCTTTCCTGCCTTACAAGGAGGGCTTTCCAGCAAATTCGGACTGGCAAGTGAACGAGGCTTTCGTAGAGAGAAAAATGGATGACGATGAAGACGCGCGTAAGGATTGTGGGTGGCATATGGCGCCAGGGCCGCCGGGAGCACAGTCGGGAGCACGGGGTTTGTATGGTAACAGAACGAGGGAGGAGTTCAGGGCTACGTACAGACTGGCTTATGATTGTGCGGAGTTCCGGAGAATATGAGTTGGATGTTAGGAAAGTTAGGCTGAATGATTAGGGATGTAGCGGGTTAACACGATGCTTGTTCGCGAAATATGCTGGTGGTAACCACCCAATTTTTTTCCTGGCATAGGTCAAATCCTCAAAGATACAGACGAGACCCGCAATGTACAATCACGCTTTGCCCGTTATATTTGAATCGTATGGCAATTCGCAAAGCATCATACCCTGGGCAAGGTTTAACATTTCAGCAAGTAGCTATTTGGAATATCTGCGGTTGAATCTACTCGATACAGATGGTCTGATATGCAGTTTCACTACGAAACCAGTTCCAGTCATTGGTCTTTGGTTGAACCTCATCATGATAAAATTTGGAGTAGCCCACTCTCTTGTAAGTGCTATAGTCCAGTTTAGAAAAGATAATGCCCGATGAACTCTTCTCTCCCCGTGAGACACGGGAGTTGATCTCTAAGCACCATAATTCGGAGGGCTGTTCTTCTGTACAATCCCAATGTGCGACTAAGGGACGTAAACAGGGTCCCGGTAGGCAAGTGTGCCACCCAATGAAATTTTGTCCTTGCCGAGTTGACATACACAAGTTTCCAGAGATTGTCAGTCGTCCCAACAATACTTCGCCATATTCGAAACCTAGTAACTTCGGTTCGATCTTCCACCTGTCAATCCTGAACGTGTCCGTTCCATAGGAAAGTCGAGCATGATCAAAGATCACAGGACCAGTCAATGAGGCCCATGACCATGATGGTCTAGACCTCTCAGTAGCCCATTTGTTCCTCTGATCCAGGATTCAAATTCAGTGGTCGTTCCTCGATATCGCCAGGAGCAGGGCTGTTTGCAAGAGCAAACATTGGAAACGCACACGTCGGTTGCTCAGCTGAGTCGAACAATATGTTTGCACCATCTACCCATTGGATATCAAGAACTCCCCTTTCACCACAGCTTATGATTAGCTTCGGGTCGCTAGGTACTATAGTGATGTTCGTAGGAGTGTACTTTTGGTAAGCCAAACGGAAGAATGCGCGTGCGGCTTGTTCTACTTGTTCTACCTTCTTAAGCGAGAAAGAAGCTGATGTACCAAAGGTGAATATGATATATTTGCAATGCTCGCAGCTGTGTGGCGAAACGTGTCCCAACATATCGTTCCGCCTGGAACTATCCATGATCAGTGTGTGATGAGTCCAAAGTTGAGAAAAAAGGGCTGGCGGAGTCCTGACAGCATTTGCGATCGGACAACGAAGCTTGCCCTCTCCTTGGAAGTCGACTTTTCGTACATGGGGTTGGTGTGTGGATGTGTGGATGTGTGGAGAGAAAGGCTATGTACGTCATCGGCCGGGACAGGTCATGATCACCAACAAATCATCGAGCAGGCCGTTACGTAGCCCCCACAGCGACCGCAACATGACCACATTGCTCATGTCAAGTTTGCCAACTCTTAAACTTCATTCGTTTGGCAATTGTGATCGTGCGTTCCAGTTGACTAGAGAGAGAATTTCGTGAGGTTTTGGAAGAAACTGCAGGTCGTTAACTATCGCTGTCACTTTCCAGATGCTAGGTCGCTTCTCCAAACATCGTTGTTGTCCTCTGTAACACATCCACATGTAATACCTTCGACTTTTGGCAGATATTACATGTACACTGGAGTAGCCTATATACTCCATGCGTTCGAGCTGGTCTGCACGGAAACTGGAGCGCACAATGTTTGCATGCAATGAGAAAATGATGTGCCTAGTATGCTGTTCACCTCTCGATGTGCAAACCTCTATTGTGATGGCCGTTTCTTCTCGGCTTTTTATCTTCCCAAGTCTTCATATGGTAGGGACGTCCCCACTATCGCACTAAGCGCATAGAAAGCGATGTGGCGCGTCGCGAAGTCAAACTTGACCGCTTACCATACTTGACTCACCAATGGGTTTACTCGCGATGAGCTTGAGCCATGTAGCGAGCCCCCCGATGAGACCTACGCTTTTGTACATTCACTTTCCAAGTCATTTCGCCTCACCATATTCGCGCGTATCGACTCTGACGTTGCAGTGTTGATAGACGGAACGATACTGCAGCAACGTCGGCTCATCGCATGTACGCCAATGCACCTCCAACGCAAACAGATATCTGCACCGTGTATACAGATACAAAACAGATCGCTGTGCCTCATATTCGCGCCTAAAAGATCTACCAAAAGTCGCCGCTGTCGCAGAGATGCGTGGTGATCCATCGTCCTTAGAAATGGCGGCCGTGTCCCCCAAAAGCCCTGGAGAGACCAGGGTCCGTGTATCGTTACATCCACCACGAGACACAATTTCCCCAACAGGACCTACAACATGTGTTACAAAAGGCGAGAGAAGCAGCCCTACTTTACCATCATCATCCCACCACGAGTACCACGGCTCATCGTCCTCGAAATACGTTATAAGCCTCCCAAGACGCAGTGGTGACATCTTCGCTCAGGGTTCATTTCAATCAGCGTCGCCATTGTCATCTCCATTGTCGTCACTCCTTGCACCAATAATCAAGCATGCGAAAGCTGTGATGGAACACGCCACTTCCCCATCGTCGCTCCCAGACGACTTCTTTCGCGAACCACGACTCTTGATCCCACCAAAAGCGTACACAGTTCTCCCTTACGGGTGGTACCGCGCTCGAGATGAGAATGATTCGACGTTTTTCTACACTGCATCTGGCTAGACGCAGTGGCTACGACCGACTCGACCTGCGAATGAACCATTATTGACCGAACATGCGACACGAGTTGTAATAGGTAGATCTGGTTCCAGTGATAAGACACACAACACCGAGAAGTCAGATATTCACCTGGAAGGCGCACACAAGGGCAAAGGGAAGAGGATATCGCCAGCGGACGGGGACAACGACGAAAGCGAAGAGACACATGAGCAGAAGCGCAAACGAGTTTCGGACGCGCAACAGACAGTATTCCCAGACCCTCGAGGCACCGCTATACAGCGTACGAGCGAGCCAACACTTCCAGACTCCCGCAACGCTGCTTCACATGATAAGGCTGTAGACACAGGGCTAACGAATCAGAAGCATCCCAAGGTCCTGCTACCGCGGAACGACACGCGGCAAGCGAGCACAACGCACAACCTAGCAGTCTTAGAGACAAACACGAGAGTTGAGCATAGTCATATGCGGGCAGAAAGTAAATGCCGCCCTGACTCCCTGATCAGCAAAAAGCAGAGTAGTGAGATTCTTGTAAAGCTTCCGCCTAGAGAACCTGCGCCATCGGTGGTGCACCGCCCGTCCATACTCCGCCGCCGTACCACTTCCGAATCACCAAGTCCGGACCTTGACCGCCGTCGCAAAAGAGTCCGCTTCGATCGTGACATGGAGATTGATATACCCTCCATTAGATGGGTCAAGCCTTGTTTCTTTTGGAACCATCACAATGGTCCCCGCTGTCGCCATCCAGGAGATGTCTGCCGTTTTAACCACGTATGCAGTGGTTGCGGTAGCCGGTCTCACGCCCGTACTCACTGTGACCACACTGATGAACGGAGCAAAGCCTTTGGACGTACTACACGTGCATTTTCTCGTCTTCAGTCCCCACCGTCTCCTGCAAGGGAAAGCTTGGATTCCGAGGGCAGGAAGGCAGATGTATACGGTCGACGGTAGTGTGAGCAGTAAGGGCTGTTGCTGGACAAGAGCTGAGTGTTTGGTCAAAGCTATGAGGGGTGGGATATGTTATTGACAGTTTCGTCAAATTCAGCAGCAATACCAAGATCTACGTGCAGTTTGATGATTGATGGGCGGCACCGAGATATGAAGTGTATGGTAACACCTCTTCGCAAGGAAGGATAGCATAGCAATACGTTCGTACGTATCTCTTGTAGAGAATGAAAACGGTCATGAGTGTGGTATTTTACAAATATTAGTAGTTTAAAGCTAGTCTATAACAATCATTGCGTTTTGAAAGTATGCTTTGCAAGATTGTCTCCTTCCGTTTCACTCTTCTCATCCGAGTTATTTGTATCCAGGGCCGTTGGTTCGGGGGTGTTCGGTTTGGGAGCTTTGGACGCAGTAGGAGCGAACTTGGATCGTTCTCTGATAGGCCCGCCGTACTTGTAGAAGACAAATGGGATGGGTGCAAGCAGGCAGGCTACTCCGGCGATGAGCGAACCGCCGCCGCCCACACCGAGAGCGTCAAACATGTACTGCGTAAACAATGGCGCGGCAGCTCCTGCAGCCGAACGCACGACAGTGTTCGCTGCCAACGCGCTCGCAGCGTACATGAGGTATGTGTCCGTCAGATAGTTGAGATATGCGACGAAGATCAGTAGGATGGAAGTCGAGAGGAAGACACCAGCAAGAGTGGGAACGATCCAGTGGACGCTATTATACTCTCCAGACCAGGCAAACCAGAACATAGTGATGGGGAACATGACGCCTCCAAGCATTGCTACAGGGAGGCGGTCTTCCGGAACGCCCTTGTGGCCGGATTCTGCCTTGCGTCGGTCCCTGGCTGTATTCGCAAAGATGATGCTTCCACCAATAACTGCACCGATAGCAGTCCCGAGGAGCGGCAGTTCGCCAACGCCGGAGTTCCAGCCTCGCCGTTGTTGGAAAACAATGGGATAGATGGTGAAGAGCATGTACAGCAGGGCGTACACGACCGCGAGATAGACAGCGACGGCGAACGAAATGGGGTCAATGAGAATCTTCCAGGGTCGTGTGAGAGAGACGTGGAACATGCCTGCAAGAGTCCGGTCCGTCACTTCAACTGGTGCCTTAACATGTTCATGCCCGGGAATCTTCAAGGCTCTTATGCGCTTGGCTTTGTTGCGGAGCACAATTGCGGGCAATGTCTCTGGAATTGTGAACATTAGTAGCTCGGTGATACCACCTAGCCAAAGAAGGACGTAGAAGCACCAACGCCAGTCCTTCTTCAATTCTAGAAAGCCTGATATGACGGGTCCAAGTGCTGGACCGATGAAAGTCATCATCGAAAAGGCAGCCATTGCATTTCCACGCTCAAGAGGTCCCCAAATGTCGGCCAATACACCTGGTGCGTTGGAGAGAGGAGCACTCGCAAATGTCCCCGTCAAGAATCGACCCACCAGGAGCCCACCGAAGTTAGGCGTAAAGGCGCAGAGGAAGTTGAAGGCCAGATACAGAGTGAAGGTGATATAGAAGATGTATCTGCGACCGAAGAACTCCGAAAGCGGGGCGAAAACCAGGGGACCAGCGCAGTACCCTAGAAGGAATAAAGTGATGACGAGTCCGCCAGCCTCGGTGGAGACATGCAGGTCAGTTGAGAGCGACTCGAGCGTGCCGGATGGGCTGGAGGATGCGAATGTGGCGTTCACGACCAAGATGACCGAGACCACAGTGATGTACCATCTTCGTGCGGTGGACCAGTTCTTGGGGTTCTCGATGTCGTTGGGGCCGAACTCAAGAAGACCTTCTTCATTGAGATAGACCTCCTCGGAAGCCTCAATATCGCGAGTCTTGTATGGCTTCGCCGTTGGCCGCGACAGGAAGCGTTCAAGTTTCTCCATGGTGGGAGGCGTTGCTAAGAACGGAGGAAGAGGGTACGGAGGGGAAACAAGCATTTCTTACGGCTTGGTTCGACGGTCATACCAATATTGAATCCCACCAGCTCGACTGATGATGAAATGGCTTCGGCCGAGCATGGTTTGTAAGGGTGCGTGCTTTCGGAGAGCAGATGGCGTGCGGAGAGCGGCCACCGGACGTCTAGTACGAACTCACGACGTCATCGGATCTCGGACTCGGGGATAACGTGAGCTCTAGGGTCGAGCCGGTATGTTGCTGAGTTGTGACTCACAAGGTGTGCTGTGGCGAGTTCATGCAGAAATATACGTGAAGATTAATCGAAAAAAATGGTGGAAGTGGTAGCGACGCAAGGTGAGGCGTGAAAGATCGGTATAGTCAATCGAATCCGGAGATAACGAGCCATGACTTTGGTGATCAGCGGATTGCGGCGCCCCAGGCCTTGGCTTTGCTTTTTCCTCGCCTCCATGGATAGCCGGGATAATTCGAATTGCTTCGATCCAATTTACCGATTTATGCAGCGATGATAATGTCGTAGACGCACTTGGTTAACGATCAAAACGGCGCTAGTGATGCTGCTGCTGCGGAGGTGCGAATGCGCGAAGGCGAAGTACGAAGGTGCCTCGTTCAGTGCTTACTTCGTGATTGGCTGCTCACAAACTTATCGACATCGATAGCGTCGCGCAAACAGAAACACCAAAATGTCGCCCAGCGCTGCATCTCTACAATCACGACACCCCAAGCAAGTCTCTCGATGCACATAAAGACGTCTAAGACAGTACTGCGCGCGTACAACGTTCGGGCGAGCAATAAGGCAGCCACAATGATTGTCACCCGAAGCATACTAACGGTCAGCCCTGGGAGACCAAGCTGACTACAGCGTAAGGGGGAGGCGAATCAAAGGGTGGAGCGGAAGCGCGGCCGTGGGCGAGAGATCGACCGGGGATCCGTCAGTTCGTCGTCACCGACGAAGGGCGACAGGACGGGACGGGTCCACCCACGCTAGCGTAAGGGCAACAATGGTAAAGTCCGGTATATCCGGGATATTGTCGGTCTCCGTGGTATGTCTCTAAGTAAGGCCGACAGCGATACCGTTCGCGATTTCGAAATCGGTGAGGAAAAGAGGTAGATCCCATAAAATGTGCATGTTGTTTATATTGTGCGATGCACCGATGGATGCAGGTTTTCGGCTATGGCGTAAGTTGGACGGGGACCAAGATGCTGCTCGACGTGCTCGAGATGATCATCGTGGCCCCCGTGGGCGGAAGGCCGTCGTTCAGCGGCGACCTGATACATGTCCTGGCTGTGTGTGCCGCCAAGAATCGTGTTTACCCATCGAAGCAACTGAGGGCTCGCACCGGTCAGCCACAGCTAGGTGCCCCACCACAGCTGAACATCCATCACCTTATCCTGCCTCGTGACCATCTCAAGGTTGGAATTTCACCAAAAACTAGGCTATAGGCTGTCAAATACGCACATCAAACCCCTATCCGATTGACCCCAGCAATGCGACACTACCGTTCATCAATCTTATTCTATCTTCGTTGATATCGCAGGTTGGCTTCTTCGAACGCAGAACCCCTTCCCACCGTCATACTCTTATCTCAAGCCTTGCCATGTTCCATGTGTGTGCCAGTGGTCTAGATAGCAATGAGGAGATCAAATTCAGCGGCGGCTTGGTAGAAATAGCAGCACTGACTGCCGTGATCGGAGGCTCTACTGCTGAGTCGATTGCTTTGGGCAACCGCGGCGCCTGTGGCTTACCATGGGCAGCTATGAGCTCCTTCGGTTCGATCTTCATTGTCAAAGCATGCATATCAGCATGTACCCCAGGATGGCTTCGGGATACCATCGGCGTGAGAACCACCGGCTCTGACAAAGCTGTAGGGTGCTGCTTGAGGTTGAGTAGGAAAGCAAATACACGCGCCATAACAGGCAGCGCTGTAGGGGTGACGGTGCAGTGGACCAAGGTATGTCGGCAGCGTGGGGGAAGACATGTCTGACTGGCTCAGAGCGATGATGCTTCTGCATTACTAGTTGCCGGGAGCGAAGCATTCGAAGACGTCTATGCCTTTGACGAATGGACAGCCGGTCCATTGCGATGTTGCACAGTCATGCAGCCTGGAGAGCACCTCCAAGCGAATAAGTACATGAGAGATCACTACTGGGAAATGGCGCAGCGCTCGCAAACCAAGCAAGACTGGATTGTTACTTTCGCAACATTGCTGAAGATCGTCGAGATGTATCTACTTTACCATTTCGGCTCTCAGCGCATCTTCCTAATAACCGGAGCTATCTGGGCCTACTCCTTCTTGTCCGCGATTGCACTGCAACAGTTTCACGTCGGAAGAGCCACGACTGCCGGCGAGCAGCTGCGCCACATTGACGTCGTATCTGGATCTCTCCCTACACCTCAAGTCGTTGGGGGCGAGCGCAGGATTCTACTCGGAGTACCCGTCAATCTTCGAAGAGGTCGCGCATGGCAGGTCTTCTGGACGTTAGGCGCTGTCGTTTGCGTGAGCTCCCTCCTTGCCACTTATACCATCCTGTCCAAGGAGTCCAACATCTGTTTCCGGATCTGGATCTGTTTCCAAGTAGTGTGGCTCGCACTCCGGTCGATGTTCTTCCACTTTGCCCAGCAGGTAGATGATATGAAACACATCATCGTACCAACAGTCAGGGAGAAGAACGATTTGCCGGAATTGGACTTGCGGCTTTTGGGATTAGCTGCCGGTGTGTCCAAACACCAAGTTCTCAATCATCCTAGGGGCGCGTACAGCTACGCAGACGACCTACAAGACCCCGCAGTGATCAAGAAGCTTTTCAACGACGCTGATCTGCAATATACTGGCAGCATGGAGGTTCCGGCCGCCATAGGACCCGGATCTGAGGTCGATGTCACAGTCGTCGCAGTAATCGGCGACACACTGCTCTCCAGTGTTGCGTGGCTTATGGGCTCGACTCTCACCGGAATAGATCTTTACGACTCCTGTATCTTGGCTATTCGCGTATCAGATCAGGTACGATTGATTCCGTCATGCCGTGTACTCTCTGGTCGCATCATTGACGATGCCGAACCCGATCCAGAAACAACATTGCCTTCTAACTTCCGGCCCAAAGGAGCAGCAAACGAGGGTAGGGACATTAGCTGGCGTTACTGGATACCATGTGGGCCTAACAGGTGGTTGTGGTACAGCACTCCTTGGGCGACACTCGCGAAGATGGACCTGGGCATAACGGGGACGAAGAGGATGGTGGTGACTACAGCAGAAAGTATCACAAAAGAGCTCTTGTCAGGCATGTTGCAGATCAGCATGGATAACGTACAGGCTGTGGAGGATGCTTCCATGCAGTCTGCAAACGCTGCTACGATCATAAAAGACATGCTGACGGGAGATATGCCAACGCTTGGAAAGACCGCAAGGTGAAAGTGCAATGCTACAGAAGTTGGCCGATATAAAACTAGTTGGATGTGAGATTGCTAACGGTCGTGGTGAAAGCAGCTAAGTGCTACCTGGTGCGAATCAATGAGAAATCAAATCCCCTCCTGGCGTAACGTTTGCCATGTATAAACTTTACTCGTGCTGCAAATTGCGTATGTTCAATCAAGCCGCGTTGTGGCAGTCCCACATGTTGCGCAAAAGCCGTTTTACGCACACACCAGCTATAGCTTTCCCGTGCACCGAAGCGCAAGTATACATGCTGCGATGATCGAATTCCGAACGCTCAAATCAATGTTCATCCAGCAGTTCATTCCTATGTTCCAATCATCTGACGCCATTATTTTATAAGAACCAAAACTACTACAGTAGACTATGTCTAATCCACAGGCTCTAGAAAGACAGCCGTTCTTCCGTCAATCAAGACTGAAAATTGAGCCTCGCCCTTTTGGTCTGCCACCGCAGTCTGTGAGCCCAGCCTGTAAACTCTACCTGCTTTCATATTCTTGAAGCCTAGAGTGAACGTCCCAGCCGTCTTTCCATTGTAAAGCACCAATTCGACAGACTCCCCGTCATGCGAGTAGGCTTTTCCGACAAGAACATCTGGAAAAGGTACCTCGTCCAGAATCGGCGCGCGGAAGCAGTGCTCTGAAGGACCATCCCTGAGAAGACTGTTCCAATCGCCATGAGCACCTAATCTGCTCCTCAAAGTGTTGATTTGGCCAAGGGTTGATAGTCCTTTATTCTTCAATGCCCCAGTGCGCGTTTCATAGACCGGGAATTGCTCCTCATCCGTCTGTCGCATCAGTTCATCGCGAATCTTGTAATCCCCGAATTCGGTCGCAACGCTGGCCATGGCAACCCGAACATAGCCACGGCCGCTCCTGTAATTACCAGGGTCTAGATTATCAGCACCGACAAGATTTGTCAACTCAAGATGTCCATCATCCCTCCAACGAAGATTTTCCTGCTTCATAAGCGCCCAATGGCGATGCGCAACGTGTGGAAGGTATGGTCCGCAAAATATACTAGGAGCCACGTCTGAGATTGCACCCGCGAGTCCCGGAATCGTAAAGCCCGTCAGCTCACTCCGAATAGGCAAGATGGTGCCGTCGGCGTTCGAAAACTCGCTAGCCAGGGCCGCTTCGAAACGGCCTTTGAGCCTGTCTCCGTAGTCGTTGCCTAGCACCTTGTCAGACGCCACTATGCCACTTATGCCCACCAGATTACACAGCGAATATATCCAGTTCGGCTCGCATGGATAGAGATTGTAAGGATTCTGGTCCATGTTGTTAAAGACGGCATCGGCGATCGAGCCTAAGTCGTATTTGTACCGGGCGCTGTCTGTAACGACAAACTCCATGGAGTTCTTTTTAGCATATCGATCATCCCGTGTCGCGATCTGGTACAATGCAGCCCCAAGCAGAATGTATCCAGATACCATCTGCGAGTTGTTAGTCTGCACTGGAAGAGCTGGGATGCCACTAACGATGTTGTCTTCCTTCACGGGGTCCCAATCTAACGTAAACTTGCCCATAAGCGACTCCCACTTCCAGAAGTTCATCACTCTTTTCGACATCGACTTTTCGATCAAGCCTCTCTCAGCTTTTGAAAGATACCCATGAAAGTTTGGACAGTAATGGTTTTGGAAGGCTGCGAGTTCGTACATGCCCTGGTAAAGTTGATATCGAATTGCCGAAGTCTGGAACTGATCAATCACATCGTGGTAGGAGAAGTCATCTATGGGTGAAAGCCCCATCTCAAGCACCCACTGCAGGAAGCGGAGCGTTTTTTTGTCGGCCTCTCGTGATCCCGGAGCTGGAGCTGGCTGGGCCTTCGCCTGGTTTTCCTGGACAGCATTCACGAGAAATGCGTTGCGTTTCTCGCGCTTCTTCTCGGCTTCTTGATTCGCCATCTGTGTCTTCCATGTCACATATGTCATGCCGAGGACACATGCCACTGTGACGATGGGTCCCGCGGCTTCCAGTACCGTCTCCCTCGCAAGCGCGACAGCAAGCAGGTCAGATCCTACCCACAGCAGAATTGGAAATACCAACCCCCCGCAACCGAACCACATAAATAGAATAAGCGGAATAGCGGCTAGTGTCAAGACCAGCGTTAAGATAGAGGGTACAGTGCAGACTGCAACGAAGCCCGCTCCTGGAAAGAGGAGACCAATTCCAGCCACACGTGCTTGTGTATTATCAAGCTTGTAGAACGCGGCTAAACCTGCGACTGTTAAAAAGGCATACTGTGCAAGAGTGCGCCTCTGGTAGTATCTCTTGGCCTTTCCTTTGCCGCACTGTTGCCGTATCAACACATCTGTCTCAGTTAGTCTAGTACTACAGCCCAGTCAGGTTGAGGTAACGGCAGACCTTGCAGACGAAAACCTTGCGGAGGCTCATGGCTAGATCGAGTGGTAGACAGTGCCGATTTGAAGTCTTTCAAACTATGCTCGCTGTCTTTGAATTCGGCTGTGTTTGTTGTGGTCGTCGTTGTGGACGACATTATGCGTCTCAAGGCGGAACAAATGCGGTTCTGTCAGCCTTTTCCAGTAATGCTGCGATATACTCGCTCTATCGATTGACAGGTCCCTTTAAATCCTCACTGCATGCGAAAGCCACAACTCCTTCATCGCTCGGATGTCCAAGTGCGACTCGGATGCTGCGACTCAGCGCAGAACCGACGGCGTTACAAGCCTATTTAGGTCGTTTCGATTAGTGAACAAACATTGGCCCTTTATCAGCTCCCTCTCATGAGCTGGCGTACTTAACACTGCGTTATGTGCGGGGCGGGTGGCTCCAAATTGCGGGGCAGAGAGCCGTAACCCCCCGAAGCAAGGTCTCAGCCATCGTCAGGCTAGAATGCCACTCGGCCGGCTCGGATACTCGTAGGATCCGACACAATCACAAAAGCTTACAGACCGTTAGTGGGTGACAGCACCCTGCTACCGCAAACAAATCGCGAAACCTTCTGCTAGATCCAACTGATTCGTAACCTCGATACCTCCCAAAGCCAAACATATGCTGGATTCTGCTAGCCAAAATGGCATGTTGTATTCTCACTGCCTTCGTCATGAATCGAATCATCAAGATCTGTGATACCTTCGACATACGCTTCCTGGAGATTAGATACAGCGATGCAGAAGATAGCTGCGCACCAGCGGAATCGGTGAAGAAAACAACTTCGAAGACATGCCGCATCAGTATCGGTGGTATGACATGTGGTGCTTGCGTTGCGACCGTCACGAAAGAGCTAGAAAAGGGTTTAGGTGTTCTCAGAGCGAACGTCTCGCTGCATCTGGGTCGTGCCAGCGTATTATACAATCCTGCCTTGACTGATCCTGGGCGTTTGATGAAAGCGATCCGCACTGCAGGTTACGAGGCAACGCTGGGAGAAAGAAGCTCGGATGAGACAATGGAGAGACTGCGACAGTCGAGTGAGCTGCAATCACTTCGAGCTGCTATCTCGTCCGCGAGTGTATTTTCTACACTTATCCTTGGTCTGGAGTATGTTCCCATACTCTCTAAGAAGCTCTCTCTGGTATCTGTGCAGCCCAGAATAATTTCCTGGCTACTATTTTTGATAAGTTTCAGAGTCCAAGCGTGGGATGCACAGACTATCCATTTCCGAGCATGGTCTGGACAAAACAAACCGGCCGTCACGATGGATACGCTATTGAGCCTCTCTCTGATTGTCGGGCTCGGTTTATCGATATTACAAGTAACTTCCGGGACTTTGACGATTAGCTCTCAGCCATATGCCTCGTCGGGCTCGTTTTTGACTGTTGTCATCCTTGCTGGTAGATATCTCGAAGCAGTAATACGGAGAGAGGGGAATGCACACCTCATAGCGCTTTATGAGATGAAAAAGGAGAAGGAAACCTACCAGATCTTTGGAACTGATGATGTAATACCAGCATCTTTGCTGAAGAAGGGCGATGATGTCGTCATTTTGCCGCAAGCTACGGTGCCATGCGATTGCTACATCGTTGACGGTAGCTCATCCATCGATGAATCCACTATTACTGGAGAAGCATCACCCGTAACAAAAGAGATGGGAGACTTTCTGCTCGCGGGAACGAAAAATCTATCCCGCCGGCTGCGAATCACTATCTGTCAAGACCAAAGCGAGTCTTCCCTTACTAAGGTCATCGAAGGTGTGTCTACTGCTAGCGAACAGCGACTCGAAGGCACAGAGTCACTCGACGTCATCATGAGGGTCTTCGTATCTGGGGTGATGCTGCTCGCACTTGTAGCATTCACGATTACTCTCAATCGTCACTGGGGATCACCTATCATGGACATGATCACGGCCGCATGTGAACGCGCCATGACCGTACTGGCTGCTGCATGTCCTTGTGGGATAGGCTTAGCGACTCCGTCTGCGGCGATGGCTGGAGTCGATGCTGCATACTCAGAGGGTATCCTTCTGAGTGGCGGTATCAGAACCATGGAAGCCCTATCCAAGGCGACACATGTCGTTATGGATAAGACCGGCACTCTGACAAAAGGGAATCTCAATGTCGTGATCCACCACTTTGATGAACAATTGACGCTCAACAAAGATATATGTTATCGGCTGTTAGCGGCCGCGGAAGCAGAAGACGCTCGCGTCCATCCTGTGGCAAAGGCAGTCTTCAAGTGGGCGCTGACTGCAGGCACTTCGAGCGGGACGATGCACTTCCCAGAACACGTAAGACAAACACGCCATCTCAGGTCCACTCCTGGTAAAGGAATGAGCTGTGAAGTGCAGGCTTTCACCGATGTCTGGATCAAGGTTAGCATAGGAACAGCTGGATACCTTAACCAGAACGGCATCGAGGTTGCAACCGAGAGCACTGAAACCTCCAAAATCTATTTCGCTTTCGACGGGCGATATGGCGGTTACGTTTATGTTCAAGACACCATCCGCCCTGAAGCTTCCTCAGTCATCAAACGTCTCTTGTCAGACGGCTTGCGAGTCACTATGCTTACAGGTGATGCCGAGCCCGAAGCCTCGCGCATATCTTCCCTCCTCGACATACCAGTTCTCGCGTCGCGCGCATCGCCTTTCGACAAAATGCGACACGTTCAAGACTTACAACGACAGGGTCACCACGTCGTGATGGTCGGCGATGGTGTGAACGATGTTCTGGCACAATCAAAAGCGGACGTAGGTGTATCGGTATCATTGGCACAGGGATGTTTAGCTCGCGCGGGGAGCGTTGTCATACTATCGGGTGATTTGCGATGTCTTGCTGCTGCGTTCTCGATTTCAAAACAGGTATTAGCTCAAGCGAGAATGAACGTAAAATGGGCTTTGGTCTACAATGCCGTTGCTTTGAGTCTGGCGTTAGGCTTGTTCCAGGGTTGGAGTATTGCTATCACTCCGTAAGCTAAGCCATCAAGCAAATTTGTTTAAAACCTTGCTGACCCAAGTGTAGCTCGATGGCTGGGAGTATGATGGCAATGTCAAGCGTAAGCGTGCTTTCTATGAGCCTTTGGTTGAGACATCGGCTCCAGTCCCACAGAGATTGATATTGTGAGGAGTCGCGGGCGGGCCACTGCCTACAGAGATCGGATGGGGTAATGACGGACTTGTCTCGAGCCTGAACAGATGTAAAACATCAGCTATCTCAGGAGTATCAAGGATAATACGTCGCCATGTTGATCGCATCAAGTAACGTTGGCGGGCTTCGCGGCCTGATGGCGGTTGTCGCGGCGGTTGTTATTCGGCGGATGCCATGAGTCAGGCGCGTCACCAGCAGTAAAATACGCGAAAGTTGCGAATAAAAGAACAGGACAAGAATATCTGGTTCTCGTGGCTCAAACCTCTAAGAGTCCATTCACAAACACTATTACTATGCAGAATCCTCCTCTAGACCCCAAAGGTCCTTCCTAGATGCCTCGTATTGCTCAATCTCAGCCATATCAGCCATATAGTGTATCGCAGTAGGGCGTCGATTAGACAACACATTGCTCGAAACAATAATCCTAGTGTCACTTGCCCGTTTATATCGAATATGGCGGTCAGGTCCCGGTACATCCAGCAATCTGTTTGACCGACGGTTAGAACTGGAGGCAACAAGTGACAACGGAACGCGGTCATTCCATTCGAAATCCGTACGATATTTCTGTACCTTCCTTGCCCTAATCAGCGGCTCTGGATCCAGTATATAACTCGTAATGAGCACTGCGATCAACTTGTCGCATCTTGAATTCGTGGGACGTGATGCACATGCGAACAGCGGCTTATGCCTCACAAGTGCGTCTTGAGGAGAGAGGCCACTTAATTGACCTTCATCTGATATCAAGTTTGGGTTTGCACCCCAAGACAAGAGAAGCGATATCTTCTCACAGACCAGCTTTACAAGCGAGCAAATGCCGAAGTGCTCGCATTTGATTTTTCTGGAAAATGGTGTCCCGAAATCCACCGAATTTCTGCGGGCTCGATGCGGCTGTAGCTCTTGCCCGTCCATAACCTCTTCTTCTTGACATGTTAGACTCAATAGGTCTCTCACAGCTGTTGATAAGAGGGAAGTATGTGACATAGCTTCTGTAGATCCCATCCCTACACCTTTTTGTAATAGCACCTCGAGCATACTCAACGATGCGGAAGATTCGCTCTCAATACACGTAGTCAGCCACCGCCGATCCAGGTCAGGATCGCGTGCCTCAAGAGGAAGATAACTGCAGAGTCTCTTAAGCAGCGCAACCGAACGCTTCTCCAATGCTTCACATATGGGAGTCCAACCAGAGTAGGCTTGGGATAGCACGGATGCACCACGTGCCAGCAAGGCACTCACAACATCGCCTTCCGAGTGCTTGATGTGTGAGACGTGTCGTCTCTTGACGGAATGGCGAACTGCAATCTGGAGCGGACACTGCCCAGTCATGTCTCTCAATTCGAGGTCTGCTCCGTGGTCGTGAAGATTCCTGATTTGTGTAACTTTCTGATCGATCGCAGCCAAATGCAAAGCGCTTTGCCCACAATCGTTCTGTACGTTGACATCTCCGAGTTGATTCCAAATAACCTCAGGACAATCGGATTGATGACTAGCTTCTCTTAGCAACAGTATCTTAGCATCACAATCTTGACTTGGTGTGGCTTGCTGGGACAAGAGGCATTCCGCAGCAAGGAAACGCTTTTGGCGCAGCGCAATAAGAATTGGCGTCTGACCGGCATTGTCCTGAGTGTAGGGGTTGGCTCCGTAGTGCAACAATAGCTTAGTAGCTCCCACTGGATCTCTGGTCGATTCCATTAGGATGTGAAGTGGTGTCGCACCTTCCTTGTCTTTGACTTGTATCTTTGCGCCCCCCTCGAGCAGAATCCGGAGACAACTTTCGTCGCCCAGAACACAAGCCCAAGCAAGGCAAGTGCGACCGTTGTTAGAAGCCTGCTCAATGTGCGTTCCACCTCTAAGAAGTAGTCCGGTAAGCTGAGGGAGATGCTGCACAGCATAATGAAGAGGGGTTTGTTCTGCGCTTGTAAGGTTATTCTGTACGGCACCGCCATTCACAAGAGTCTCCGCTACTTTCGCGTGACCCCGCCTTATGGCAATGTGTAAAGGCGTCACACGATCAACGTCTGCGACGTTGAGCAAATCCAATTGACTGACTTCCTCGCGTGTGAGTAAATACTGCAGTACTTTAGTACTAGCACAGTATGCGGCCCAGTATACACACGTCCGATCGTTGCGATCTTTTGCAGCAACAGAAGCTCCGTGCTTGACCAGGTCTTGCACCGCCTCCAGGTTGTCGACCATGGAAGCAAGATGAAGAGGAGTCAAACCCATCGAATTTGGCTTGTCGAGGCTCGAGTAGCTATGTTCCGCTACAGCGAGATGCTTTTGCACACAATGTAGGACAACAGGGGGACATTGCAGTAGGGCTGCAACATGTATTGTCAAGAAGCCTTCACCATCGATTAGTGGGTGTGGTAGAAGTCCAAGAAACTTGATGAGAGCCACAAGTATAGGACTTCCAGCGATCCTTTCCGCGATCTTGAGGCCGACCGACGTAGCCCGAAACTTTGCTTTGCAAACATGGTAGCCCCAGTCACGCATCGCGTAGTCGAGTAGCCTATGCGTTCGACATAGAGAACTGATATCTGCCCAACTACTAGCTGTCGAGACAGGAAGCTGGGAGTCAAAGACTCCAAAGCACAGATACGCTTCTAATACCTCTGCTACGGAAAGATGGGTGTTGAGAAGAGCTGCTCCTTTCGCGCCGTGTAGGTACGCCTGCAAGGTTTCGTGCACAAGTCGCACGTGTTGTGATTCTGACTCATACACTAGTAGGCCCCCAGTCATACTCAGTAGTCGCTCGATCGTTATCATGCCCGTTCTGTCCAGATCTGTATCATGTGCCCGAATGGCTATAGCTTCAAGGAGCTCAGGAGCGGTCAATGGACGACGAGCCAAATGTACCCACGAGATAGCCTTCAATGCCAACTGACTCTGTCGTTGTGATTGTATTCTTCTCAGATAGACATCGTAGTGGTCAATCACTTGATCAGATGTACCATGCAGTAGATCACGAACCTCGCGCTCTGATAAGGCATCCTCGAGTGAGGTGAAGTGTAGGCTCGCTAGAAGGAACATGCCATCAGACCGAGATATGATTTTAGACACGATCTCTTCTTTTATCAAGGGCCGGCGAGCCAGGATCTCACGAAGGTCTTCGGATTTGGTGTCAGAAACTCGAGCCTCCAGGTATGTGCGTAAATCCTCCACCGTAGCGATAATCCTATGTTCGAGAAAGATGCTCCCCCATGGTCGGACCTTGATGTTGCTTCTAGACATGAGCAATGTCTTCAGTGAGCGATGTGCGGAGGTACAGGACAGCCAACTTAGTAACTCATGCTGAACCGGCTCGGAGATCTCGTCAAGGGCGTCGAAACATAGGATAAATGAGTATCCAAGGTCCTCGATGCAAAGTAGCAGTCCATCCAAGTCGGAAACGTTTGGCGCCGATTGACCACGCACTGTGCATGTGTCTTTCGTGGGCCGCACTAGTTCTACTAACCGCTCGGCATCGAGTGAAGACTCGATCAGTTGTCTTGTAAGTGCCGCCAGAACGGACCTCAAATCGTGGAACCTCTGGTCTTTGTAGTCGAGATAGATTGCTGCGACTAAAGTACACTTTGGATCGGACTGAGCCTTGATGTGCTCGAGTATAGTCGAGAAAATGACAGTCTTTCCGCATCCGGGAATGCCATGGCACCACAGAGTCCTAGAGGATTGCTTGTAGAGCCAATCTGTCTCTCGTAACATCTGTTCTGACCATCCGCCAGTACCCTTTTGGCGTGTGCCCAGGACCTGACGATGCTTCACAAGCAAATCATCTGCTGAAAGCCAGTTCAGAAGCTCGTTATGTGACCGCTTTCGCTCTTCCATAGATTCCTTATCAAGATGCGCCTGTAGATGAACCTTGATCTCTTCGAGCTTTGGAGCTGTGGAATCTCTCAATAGTTCTAATCCTGCTTCGATCACCCTGCAGTGTGAACGGATGTGCTGGAGATCCTCGGACATGTTATTTAACGGTTGTAGCGTCTTTCTGACCTCTTTCCACTCATCCAACTCCTGCTTCAACATCTTGCCCGCCTCCTCAGCCTCTTTGCAGAAGTAGGACCAGCCGTTGACGCTCAATGCTAGATGAAAGAGGTTGACGAACTTCTGTATCCCTTCTAGTCGCTTCTCGAGTCCCGGTTTCGCGTCAAGAGGCCAAAGAAGACGTGACTGTGTTTTCTTCTCTGCGAAGTATTGTTCGAGCTCGACAACGTGGTCTTTGCACTTGTCGACGAAGATGAATATTGGACATGATTCGGTGAAGCCAATTCTCGCAACGCGTGCAGACTTGAGAAAACCTCGTAGTGCAGAGGTTACAGACTCCAGTGTCTCCAATTCGTCTTTCAGGCGCTCCAAATGTTTTGGAGCGGCCTTTACTTCTGAGATGTACTCGAGGCTCTTTAGTGTTGCACGTGCGATAACATCACACGCACCAATGACGCCGGTGACAGCTCCGAGTACGTCAGGCATTCCACCTGCAATCTCGTGCAGTCTTAGATCGATCAGAGATGGTAGAAAGGGTGCGGACTTGTGTATCGGTCATCAAACTCTTGGTGTACAATAAGGATTGATTTCCATGAAAGCTACAACATTGCGGGTGCGCGGGAGACGCATTTAGATCAGTGGCAATCATTCTACTCGCACATGATGCACCTTATACCCCGCGCCTGATAATCACTTGGCAGCCAGTTCGCAGCTGATGCACAGCCCACTTCAGCAAATCTGTAGGGCGCAAGGCTGAAACGAAACATTGGGTTGAGATATGAACAACCGTAATAGAGCCCGGCCGCATGCCTTTGGACACAATGCTCTATTTGCCTCTAGGTATAAATGGTCGAATCCGCGACTCGCAATATCGTTATTGGTTTGTGAGTAACTACTCTTGTTCTTGAGTTATCGAGTTGCGAGCCTCGTTCGCTTCCATTGTTGTACACGATGATTGGCTGCATGACCGGTAAGCGCCTGTTCCTCGGATGGTCGGCGAATGGCTGATATCATGCCTCAGGCGCGTTGCGTCCCGTTGACAGGGTTCTCAGCGTCGCAGTAGTATGCGTCATCGTCGGCGCTCACTCTTCTTGTCAACTCATACTCTCCCGCATGTTCCAACTGCGTAGCAAGGTTGCTGTTGATGCCCTTGAACATGCGGTAGAAAACCATACCAGCGATAGCGGCAGTGAATGCTAAGACAAAGTATAGCCACTGCAAGTGCGGATCTCTTGCCAACGGAGCGATGAGGATACCCAAGGCACTTCCTCCCGCGCTTGTGAGCAAGAAGAGACTCATGATGAAGCTCTTCATATTCTCCGGAGCTTTCGCATACGCCAGCTCCAAACCCGTAACGCTGGCGAGGATTTCGCTCAGTGCGATCAGTACATACGCCGGAGCTTGCCAAGCAACATGGACTTCATTGGGTTTGAATTTCCCTTCGCTGATATTTCCAGCCTTGCAGTTTGAGGGGCTGAAGTAGCACGGTGGTGCTGCGTAGATGAAGGATTGGAGAGCGCCGGCATACAGCATGGCAAATGCAGCCATGAGGAAACCGAGAGAGATGCGCGTTATCGGCATCAATGCGATGTGCAGCCGTGTGCGAACGAACGGGTAGATGAGGCGGTCCATGATCGGAATGAGCAGAATGATAGTAACAGGGTCAATATTGGGAAGGATGTCGTTTGGAAGGCCATGCAGTTCCATCTGGCCAGCCTGCGAAACAAAGTTGTTTAGCATTTGCGAGTACGAAAGCCAGTAGATCGGGAAGAACAGGAAGACCTTGCATGCCACCAGCGCAGTCTTCAACTCGTCGATAAACTTGTCGTCCCACGTCACTTTCGATCTGCCTTGTCCATGACCCTGAGCAGAAGCCTTCGCTTTGTTGAGGTCTCCGCCATTTCTTGCAGCGATGAATAGGGCGCGGAAGCAATTGCCGATAACACCGCCTTGTGGCGGTTTGATGATGTACTGCTTCCTCCCTCGCACCAGTACGACATATCCCACGCAGAACATGATCAACGGCAACAAATATGCGCTCCAGAACCCGACGTGTAGTTCTAGCATCGTTGTTGCTATTGCAGATATCGAACCAACATTTATGCACATGTAGAATATCATGTAAATCCTCTGTACCGTGATTTCAGGATCCACAATGACCTGCTTGCCGCTCGCCAGAGTCTTGACAAAGGGTTTATTTGACCGCACTTGCTCCGCGATCAAAGGCGATACATTGCTCTTGATGCCGCCGGTACCAAGGCCAATAACCAGCATTGCGACAATGAGTCCAGGGTACGCAGCTCCACCTCGGACCGCCCACGGTAAGCTGGTAACGAAGAGAATTGCGATGCCGACCATGTACACTAGACTGAACCACTTGATCGTCGCATACTTGCCTAAGTACTGGTCCGCAACAACAGCTCCAAACAAAGGTGTCAGGTAGCACCAGAATTGGAAGAAGTTTGTCATGGCTGTCGCACCACTTTGCTTCAAACCAAGAGCTCCTGGTAGCCCATTAGGGTCGTCATAGTCATTGGCGATATAATTCTGAAATGGCCCAGAAAGTCCGTAATAAGCGAAGCGCTCGCAAAGCTCTACGATTGCTACCAGAAAGGCGCCGTATGGAAGAGTGTCAGCTACACGAGGAAGAAACAGCATATCTTCGGGCGTCGGTATAGAGCCAATATGTACCGGAGGATCGAACGGCATAGCCTCCACGTCTTCGGCTGCAATGTCTTTGCTATGGCTTGTCAGATCCGCGCCTGCAACCTCCGTCTGCGCGACGGTTGTGTATGCACCCCGTTCTTGGCCATTTTGTCGCCAAGAAGAGGACATCATGGATAGTGCAATTTGGTCCGCCTTTCTCAAATTGTGCTTGTTGTCTCTGGCTCCTCCTTCTGGCTCCCTTGGGTATCTGCCTGTTCCAGCGATCGAACCCTTTTGCTGTGAGTGTTGGTTGCGCTCACATAATCGAAATGCGCGCGGACTGTATGGTAGCGGGCATTGCGAGAGAGATGGGCGTTCGGGCTATGAATAGATGGAATTGAAGATGAAGACACGCATTCTGGAATGTGAGACAGTGCTCGCGCCCGATCTAGGCCGGATTGGTCGCTGAATAGCCCCACAGTGCACAGCCACACCTAGAGGGACCTCGTGGCCGCGACGTTCACAGCTTAAAATTATCTCGCAGGATCTCAAGACAAAGTAGATACCCAATCATTTTCGACGCGCCACGTGCGATTCTATTTGGATCGTTGAATGTGGTCATCCTTGGGTTCGCGTTTACTCTGGGCAATGAGCCACTCACGACGCTCGCAACGTCAGTATCGACGACATGAACAACGTGAAAGTCCTCCCGTACATGCAGGACATCAGAACATGAAGGGTAAGCCCGATCAACTTTTCTCCTTGCTTATGCCTTATCCGCAAAAAACCCATCCAACCTCTTTCCTACATCTTGCACCCCCAACCCACCCGTCAAACTCCCCCTAATCCACTTCGGCAGCTTGTCCTGTATCCTCTTACTTCCATACCTCCTATCCAACATTAAAATCGTGGCATAATCCCCCTTATGTCTAATCGCCCTCCCCACACACTGATTAACAGCGCGCATACAAGCATTCTCATAAAACTCACGCGCAGCCGCCTTACCATCGCCACCACTCTTCGCTTGTTTGGCGGAGATGTACTGCATCTTTGCTTTCCACTCCGCCGAATGCGGGTTGGGGAAGGGGAGGCCGACGACGACGACGCCGCGGCCGAGTGCGTCGCTGAAGTTGATGCCTTCAGATAAGGTGCCGCCGATTACGGCGAAGAGGAGAGCACCGCGGCCGTTACCGGAGGCGATTGCTGCGCTGTAGGCTGTGAGAACGGAGTCTACTGTCGCTTCTTTGGTTGCTGGTGACTGGCTAGACGGCTGCTGTTGGCTGCGCTGCTCCAGGAAAACAGGCTTTGTTCGTGTGAAGCTATCCCAGTAAGTGGACGTCGAAGATGGTTGCTTGATGCGCTTCCAGGCTGCGATACAAGCGTCGAGAAATGAATAGCTGGGGAAGAAGACTACCACACCATCTGGAATGTGCTGCGCGAATGTCATAATGGTGTTGCCGAGATCGACCATGGTTTTCTCTTTGTTGCGATTTTCGAACGTGAAGTCAAACTCAGCCCCGCTGGTTGCTCGAACGATGGGTGCAGCAAGGAGGTTAGAAGGCGGTATGACATGGCCGCAGGAGAGCGTCATAATATTTGAGGGGTTGAGATATGATAGCAGGTGTTGCTCATAGTCGCTCATCGGCGACATGGTACCACCCGCCAATACCACTGCTCTCGCTTCTTCAACGATGTCTTTGAAGTGGTAGGTTGGATCCAGGAGCATGTATCGCAACGTTGTGCCTACGGCCTCTTCCTTCGAATAGAAGAAGCGGCCTTCGCTGGACGGGTTCATCAGAGAGAGAAGAAAGGCTTGCACATGCATCAAGACCGGTACAGTGTGTCGTGGCCCACTTTTGACCGACTTTGTGATTGACATGTGCGCGCTTCCACTTTCCGCTTGCTCGGAATATACAGTGTACCCGTCTACTTTGCGCGCCAGCCTGCTTTCCTGAAGGTACGTATTGAGCTTATAAATGTTGATCTGATCAACGCCTTTACCAGACATGATCGCAGCCATGTCTATCAAGCCGTCTGTCGCCTTCGCGTTGGCGTCAATTGACTGCAAGTAGGCGATGATTGAGTCCAGTATGCGAACCGTCTGGGCGACATAAACCCGATTTTTCCCTTTGAGCTTATTCCGGAACTTCTGGAGGTATGCCGTAAGTTGGGCGCGCGCTTGTTGCACTTGGTCTAGGGTTACAGACACGGAGTAAATGCCTGTGATGGCATCCATCAGGTTGTGCGCTTCATCAATGATGACAATGTGATCTTTGAGGGAGAGACCAAGTGCTTCGCGAGCCGTGCGCTGTAGGAGTAGCGGATATGGCAACGTTACAATCTAACCCTATCAGTACATAAATCCATCTTGGAGAAGCGCCGCCAGACTTACCTCACAGTACTTGGTTGCTGGTCTAGAAGCGTAGTAAGGACATACACCCAGCTTCTTCCCCAGCACTCCCAAGTCCTCGATGTCTCTAATCTTCGCAAGCGCATGGTCTCGAAATTCATTGACTAACGGCTCGCTCTCTTTTGTTGGCATATGAGGACAGCGGCTCTCCGTCTTGGTGTTCTGTTGAAGCTCTAAGCAACGTTCATTGATCGCAGTGGCGCTTCCAAGCTTGTTGACTTTGCTGTTGATGCAAAGATTCTTCCTAGATCCAAGAGTGAGATGCTTCGCGTCTTCTACGAGTGAATCTACCCCGGCATCGTTCGCATTGTCGTCCGGAGCGATGGCGGGCGGCATCTTGACGCGGCCCAGCTCGCTGGAGAACTGGGTCAACTGGGAGTGTGTTCGAGAGCAGAAGAATATCTTCGTTTCGTCAGGCGGCTCTCCATCCTCATCTTTCGAAGCATCGGCAGTATAACCAAGTGATGCCATCAACGCTTGAGTTTCTGCTGATAGCCCGGACTCATCAAACGTGCCAGCTCTTGCACGTTTGTGAGATTCCTCATCACTCTCATAGTCGCCCAGCGCGAATTGCGCTTCGTCATCGTTCTCGACATCGCCCCCCGCAACCTTCTGTCTCTTGTACTTTGGCTCGCCGCTTTCATACCGTACTTTCGCACGCTTCTCCTTTGCTTTGATTTTGGCGATGCGGTCATTCAGGTCTTGTTTGCGCCGAAGCGCTTCTTGCTTCCGCTGTTTTTGAGCATGTTCAACTATCCAAGACGGCTCTTCGCTATTTGCCGCATCTGCCGTGAACCCTTCCTCGAAGGTACGTCTCTTGTGATCGCGCAGCCAAGTCAGCGAGCCACAGATCAAGCTCAGCGATTTGCCTGTTCCCGTCGGCGATTCGAAAATACCGACTTTGCCGTCTTCCAAACACGTGTAAACAGCGGCCATGAACTCATTCTGAATGTCGTACGGCGTGTATGGATGATAAAAGTTTCGCTTCTCGTTGGTGTTGTGCATTGTGGTCTGTTTGTTGCGGAGTTGAGCGACTCGACGCGACGCGTCCGCGGTGGAGGAAAACGGGTGTTCACGTGGTGCTTTTAGTGCGCGGGCCTATGCCGACTCAACAATCGTCCTTTCACCTCCATTTCCACGGGCACATTATCGGTGTCTTGATTAGGGACGACCTCGTTTCCCATGGCTTCCAATTTTCATAGTACGATACGCTTGACTTGCGTAGCGTAGCCGACATGGCTTTTTGTCCATACGCGGTGGCTGAGAGGCCTCTCGTGGAAAATGTAACTGGGCTTGTACACTTCATGCTATGGGCGTTGCAAATATCACGTTACGACACGCCAGACTCATCTAATATTACCCTGGTAGCAGTACATATCCGTGTCAATACGCGACCCTGATTTATGACTATTAAGCCAATCCCATCGAACACATGGTAAGAACATCGTCAAAAGGACCAGGCTTGCTACACAGTGAATTGCATCTCACAAATTTTCAATTGCACCCTTTTCCGTTGACTCAAAGCAGCATCCTCAAGGTCTGTCTTCGTGGTCTCAATTCTGCCCGCCATGATGACCACCCATGCTTCCGACCCCTCCCTACAGCCTCGAGAGGTCACCGATCTCTAACTCTGCGCTCTCTACCGTTGAGCAAGGACAGGCTGCACAGAGGGCTACACAACTTCAGCGGTACCTACTCGAGGTCGTCGCATACACTCTTGGGGCTGATCTCTCAAAGCTTGTCACCGCAATCTCATTCGAGTGGCCGACCTTCGACGGCTTCCGCAGCTCTGTTCTCGAGAAGAGGGAACAAACCCATCTCTTGCACCTTTTTCACATCATTGCGCAGATGCACCGTCGGCTTGCAACATCGTCTCTTGAAGATGTCAGAACGATCCTTCTTCAGGTCGTCGAAGCAAGCAGAACGCTCAAGGTCGATCCCGGCTTTACACTCGAGCTCGTGGCAGCGTACGCAAACCACCAGGCCAAAGCCTGGAAGCATGGGTGTAAACACTCACTTATCGTTGACCTCGTGGGGATCCGCCTTCCAAGAGCGCTTTGTGCGTACCTCGACGAAATTTCCTTACTCATACTACAATTGCTACCCAATGATATGATGCAGAAAACACTTGGCCTAGCATTAGAGAAGTTCGAGAAAGGGAGCCAGTACGAAAGCCTCCTCGGATGGATATTGACTCTCAACCCTATGAATCATGGCTACTCGAGACTTGCCGAATTTCTTACAGGCATAAATATGCTTGGGGAGGATGCGACTTGGCAACAATTGTAGGTCTCGATGTCGATGCCAAAGATATGAGAAGATGAAAGATGATCGTGCGTCTGATGCAAGCATTGTTATCTTACTGTGCCACCTTGAATTCACCTTGGTTTTTTGATCCCTTCATTTAGTAAGGGGGTTATGGTATGGTTTGTGTCGTTGCTGATGCGGTACGACTTACCTCCATACTACTGCATTCATGCTCTCGATACCACCACCACACATACCGAGTAAAAACCACGATTACCGACTGCAAGCATGTTTCAAGTATTGCCAGGCCTGCTATACTCGCTCAAGAGCAGTCAGAGATGTACAACACTCGCAACGCACCCAATACACACGTCCCAACCACTGCCAATCATCCAATACGCAACTCCAATCCATCACCGTTCCTCGCAAATACCACTTGATACTTTCTTCCACCTCATCGCCAAGCCTTCACCGAAGCAGAATACCGTAAGCTACGTTCACGGCCACGCTCCAACTTCGACACAATCGAACATGAAATGGCTCCTCATATCTTCACATGGGCGAGTTCATGTCCAGTGGATCCACAACAGAAAGCACCGGTTCCAGTAATAGATATGTTTGCCTGCTCCCAGCAAGTCAGGACGTAGCTAGGTTGTTGTGGAATGGTATTATGGCTTCGTTCCACCTCTTGATAGTCTAATCCCATCTAATTCCATCTGCCAAAGCAGCGACCAGCCATGCAAAGCCTATATCCTTAACCCTACCCAAACCTTTCTACTTCTTGGCTCATGGAACAGTGTGTTCGAATCGCCGCAATGACCACTTCGCATCCGATAGCGGCAACGCTGTTTGCTCGCACCGACCCAGAACATGCCTGCTCCACGCTCTCTTCGCTTTCCGATCCCGCTGCGACAGATCGCCTAGAAGAGGGGGCTGAGTAAAACATTGCTCCTTTGTTGTAAATGCAGGGCGGTCACATTCAATACTAATGTAATCCGCCAAGCCAGCGTCACCAGCAAAACTCGCGATACCATCAAACATTACCCAAGCACTCTCCCCCTCAGCCCCGTCTTCCCCAGAACTTCCTTGTCCGCCAACCCATCAGCACTTACCTCATGCTCTTTACTCCCCGCCTTTTCACTCTTCCATCCCAAATTCTTCTTCCCCGCTCCTACACTGCCCCAGCCCCAATTCTCTTCTACCCAACTGACAGGCCAGAGTAGCACAGTCCCCGCAACACAAAACACCGTCGCCCAAGCCTGCCACAGCCAGATTAACATCCACGCGCCTGGTGCGATGAAACGTATCCATTGGTCGACTTGGTAGAGGTCGTCTTGTTTCTGAATATAGTATTTGGGTTTCGAGGATATGTCGGAGAGGAGGGAAAAATTGGGGGCCGTGGAAGAGGTGGTGGTGGAAGAGGTGGTGGTGGAAGAGGTGGTGGTGGAAGAGGGCGGGGAGCGGCGGAGATAAAGAACAGTGGTAAGTCGCACAGGCGCGTAGTAAAACGGTATAAGCCAGATACGGAAGATTTGGAAAATGGTTACGTAGAGGATTAGGTTGGTTTCGTCGAATGCTGGTCTTTTGTTAGCCTCTGTTACCCTCAATCTCATCCTATCTCATTCTTCTACTACTACCACCACCATCATCACTCGTCCTGCTCCTTCGATCGGGGGTCGAGGGTCAACATACCGACACTCTGTACAGTACAATCAATCCTTGGACTCATAATCTTGTACCACCGATACGTTCTCTCCACCAACCACCTCGAATTCGGGCGACTCCATGTACGGCAAAATGGGTGCGAGAAGGCAGCGTCAGGTGTGAAGTATTTCTCGATGGTTGCGCGCTGAAGCGAAGGCGGTGATTGTGTGAGGAGGTGGATTATCGCGGGTATTTCTTTGACTATCGCGCGTAGGACTGGTTAGTGGGAGAGGTGACTGCGGAAATAAAGGAATCGAGGAGTACGGATAATACGGACCTGGGTTTTCCATTTCGGGTGCGGTGAGAGGGTTGGTGGGTGTGCGACGTGTGGTTGGTGAAGGCAAGGCTACTGAGTGTACTGTGGATGGTCGCGGACGCGAAGTCGAAGTCGCGCTAGTATGACGTCATGGTAGGTCACAGCTTCACGTCGATGCACCATTGAACATTGCAGTTGGACGATGAAGTTTATTATTCTGTTTGATTACTTCTTTGTGATCATTATGCTATCTTGCCGCTCTTCATGCAGCATCAATCGATCCTAACTCACATGCTTGCATCTACTGAGACCTGTACTGTTGGATCTCCGCCTCATCAAGGTGCCTCAGCTTGTTGACGCTTGGTGCCTCTCCAGTCGCAATGCCCTTTGCTAGCTCCACAAAGCCACCGATCTGTGTCCTCTTGGAGATAGCGTACTGTGCCGTGCTGACCTTGACGCGGATGATGCCAATACGCGGGTCTTCTGGGCCACCGTCGTGTGTGCCGTCGCCGAGATCACCGATCCAGGCCTTGAGCGCTGGTGAATAGTGCTTGCGGACGACATCACGGTCTGTCTCGATGGAAGCGTGACCGGAAATGGATGCCCACTCGCCGGAGCTGTTGATGAAGCCGATGTTGACGGACTTGTGCTCCTTCAAGTCGTCGGTCTTGCCGGACTCGGTGTTGGTGTGGAAAAGGAGGTCGAAGCCATGTCCCTCCTGTTTGTTCGTTAGCAAGGTCTTTAATGACCAATTGAGTGAGCCGTACCTTGGCAGCAACAGCCATGGCTCTTGAGGCCAGGAGGTCGCTGTCTGCAACCTGTGTGGTCAACAGGCAGAACTTGGTCTTGTCGACGAAGTTGAGCAGGTCCTCGCACTTCTCTTTAAGAGAGGGCTCCTCGATGTTCTTCTGGGTGTAAGGGTCGGCATTCTTGGAGCCGGTATCCGCGTTGCTGAAGCCAGACATGTTGTAGGTAGTTGTGGAGAATACGCGTTGAGGAGTAGAGTTGTGTGATAGCTGCGGAGATGGCGTCAGCTTCTGTAGGCACAATGTTCGAGGAGACCTTCGCGCTGTTCTTGCGATGCAGTGAGAAAGAAAACGAGACTGAAGCATACCTTTTGATGAGCAATTGTCGGTAAGCAGGTAGTGCGTTAGAGAGAAGCTGAGGATATCGCGCGAGTTTTGTTCATTGAGTTTGATGATGATGTCATTCGTGATGATGCTCGCGTTTGGAACCACATCCACCCCGCTATGTGGGGTAGCTTCATTTGACCATCACCCGGCTCTACTTTTAGTGTACGGGTGATCTAATCTGTAGTTCAGGGTCTTGCGTCATATCATGCTTGTACAAGCCAACGACCAAGTTCTAGATGGTTGAGTCGTAGAAATCGCCACGATCAGCAACAAACGTGAGCGCAGATTGGAAATAAGATGGTGATATTATCCCTCTAGATCTGCTGCGCGTCTGATAGAAACACATCGTACCCCACTCCGTGACCCCGTCCAATGCCATGCTGGTATCCCGTAAACAATAGCGGAGAACGTACCGATTCCAAGCTAGAAATGAAAATGTGGGCTAGATCCAGACTATGCATATGCCCCGGATATATGACCCAAATTCCGAGAGGCTAATACCTCTAGCGACAAGCGTTACACTGCGCGCTCTATGCGTCAGCGGCAGTCTCCTTGTCCTCAATCGACGCCTTCTTGAGGTCGTCAGCAGCATCGGCCGCAGCGTCCTTCTCCTGATCGAGCTCAGCTTCGGCGGATGCGTTGCCATTGACGGCCTGGTTCTTCTGTGCGGGCTTGCGGGCTGCGTCAGTGTTTCCGTTCGCAGCGTCCTCTTCGGCTTCCTCTGCCTCGAGGCGGTCGATCTCCTTCTGTGCCTTGGCAATGTTCTGTAAACCAATTAGTAATATTCTAGCTGTCGGAATTGGAATCACCTACCTCCTTAGTCTTGCGGTCCTGGTCCTCCTTCCAGTGTGCAAGCTTGGCCTTGAGCTTCTCGACGGTGGCAGGGACGTCTTCTTGGCTTGAAGGAGCCTCAACACCGACCTTGGCAAGCTCCTCAATGATACCCATGTTGAGGTTGAACTTGCCGGGAGTAGAAGCAGCACCGCCCTTCTTTCCCTTCTTGCCCTTCTTTCCACCAGTACCAGCGAAGTAGCTCTCCTCCTCAGTGTCCTTCTTCGATATACGGGTGCCTTTGAGGCCGGAATCGTCGACGGTACGCTGAGCAGAGGCGGCGAACTTGCTGGCGGCGGTGGTCTCCTTAGGTGGGAGTGCGGAGGGGTCGAAGTGGCGGATCAAGCCCTCGCAAGCAATGATCTCGTCGCCGTAGGCAGGTGTGCTGGCTTCCTCGAGACGCTTGGCGGCAGTCTCCTTGCGCTTGCCGGCAACGTACTGGAGCTGCTCCAGACGCCTCTTCTCGGCGCGAACCTTGCGGGCCTCGAACTCGTAGTTCTTGAACGCGCGGAGCTGCTGGAAGTAGTTGTCCTTGAGCTCCTTGCGTGCCTGGTACTTCTCCTGCTGCACCGCACGCGCCTTGTCCGTCTCCTCGCGGAGTGACCTCAGGTTCTTGAAGGCCTCGTCCTGTTCAGCCTTCAGTCCGTCCAACTCAGTCTGAAGCTTGGTGTACTTGTCGCTAAGCGCCTTGTTCTCGGGGTCGTCCAACAGCTTCTTCTGCTCGGCGATCTGGGCCTTGATGTCGTCAATCTTCTTCTGCTGGTTGTCGAAGCCAGAAAAGTTCTTGCGAGCCTTGTTGAGGGCGCTGATCTCAGCCAGGGCCTTCTTCTCGTCCACCAGCTTCATCATGCCGGTGTCGACCTGCTTCTGCAGACGGGCAATTTCCTGGTCAACATCCTCGGCCGACTTGTAGTTGGACTTGCCCTTTGCAGTCTTGAGCTCGTTGAGTTGCTGCTTAAGCTGCTCGTCGAGCTTCTTGATCTTCTCGAAGATGGCATTACGTCCGGACTTGTTGCCCTGCTGGGACTGGCGGATGGCGTTGAGCTCCGTCTTGAGTTCTTGCTGGCGCTTTGCGTTTGGCGAGTCCTTGTTGTTGGGCTTGGCGAGGTCGAGCTTAGCCTTGCAGGCGTTCTAGTCGTCGTTAGCAATTTTCCTAATTAACATGGTGGTGTGCGATGCAGCTACCCGCTGGCTCATCCCCGTGCGACTGCGCGCATTACACCGGGACATGTACTCACCAGCTTCTCCTGGGCGGCGGCGTGCTCCTTCTCCAACTTGGCGAGCTCCTCCTTGTACTTGTCCTCGTCAGGCTTGTCGGGCTTGACAATCTGCTGCTTTTCCTTGGGGGCAGCAGCGCCGTTTGTGGACGTGGCCTGGGCGGCGGGTGGAGTTGCGACGTCGGCCATAGTTGCTGTGCAGTCAATTGGATTGAGAGGCTGACTGGTAAATACAGCGGTGGGGGGAGATCTGCGAGACCTGAGTTGACCGCCGAAAAGTGAGGGTTGAGGGCTAAGAGCGGTGGAAGGACAACTATTAAATTCGAGGGTCTCGAGTGAACCACGGGCGGCATCCTGGCAACTTTTCCCGACCTTTAGCGGACGGGCTAGTGCCGCCCGCAGTCTCCATGAATCGAACATTCATTCGGGCCTCAGACATTCACCCACTAAACCACAAAATGGCAGAGCAATCGCGGGGCAAGATCCCTATTTTACTGCTCAAGACAAAATCGGTTCCAAAGGATACATATAAGGAGCTTTTTCTTACCCTCGACAACGGCCGCTATGCACCAGTCTTTGTGCCGGTTCTAGAGCACAGGTTCAAGCGGGATGCCCTGCTTAAGGTGCGCCAACATGTCACCGACCGCGGCTTCGTGCCAAAGTCACAGCAGGGTCTTGCGACCTATGGTGCACTTATTTTCACCTCGCAGCGCGCAGTCGAAGCTTTTAGTGAGGTTGTCGAGGAAATCCGCAAACAGGGGACCCTCGATATCGACCATCTGCTTCCAGAGAGCCTGCCGCTGTACGTAGTAGGTCCAGCGACAGCCCGCGGGCTGCGATCGCTGGGTCTCAAATGCCCAGTCTTAGGTGACGACACTGGCAACGGTGAAGCTCTGGCGGGTTACATCTTGAGGCACTACAATGCCCTCCACTCAGGTGTTCCGAATCCACCCATACTGTTCATGGTCGGCGACAAGAGGAGGGATATAATACCGAAGACACTCCAGTCAGAAGAGCTGGATCCGAAGGAGAGGGCGAAAGTAGATGAGCTGGTCATATACGAGACTGGAGAGATGCAGTCTTTCAAGGAGGACTTTTCGACCATCTGGCGGAGAAATGCTGATGAAGGCTCGAAGCAACAATGGGTTGTTGTATTCTCTCCAAGTGGATGTCAAGCCATGCTCGAGAGCCTGGGTCTTTTGGACGCGGAGACTGGGAAAGCCAAAGTTACTGCTGATCAGAGGGACATCCTGATAGCCACCATCGGCCCGACTACACGCGATTACCTGAAGCAGGAATTTGGCTTCACTCCCGATGTATGTGCGGAGAGACCAAGTCCAGAGGGCATTGCAGAGGGTATCGAATCCTTTCTCGAGAGACACGAATAAAATAAGCAATTCTGGTTTTTCCAGGGGCTTCGTATTAGTTGGCCAGGATGCGCGACTCTCGATGTAGGTTTGGAGGCGCTGCGTATAAGGTTCGCATAGCGGGAGGTCTGCTAGATCATGCGTATGGCTGTGTATCGCAAATCTAGGCACTCTCAATTCATTTCCCATATCCATCGTGGCTTCCGTACGATTGCTCGAGGCTGCACGTGCCTTCCTGACGCGTCGATGAACTAATTACTGCCATTGACGTCACCATTCACGCGACGCGCCTGCCACAAACTTCCAGCGCGCGCAAACGTCAGGCTTCTTCGTCACTTCACTCATCCTTTCCACCTGTTCTTGCACCAAACTCCAAAAAATTCCATCTCAATTGACCAGAATTTACCGACAATGGCAGGAACACGCTCTTCTGCACGCAAAACCGACAACAGTTCAAGCCCTGCAAAAGGCAACGATGTCGCAGCTGGCACGAAACGCAAGCCAGAAGTCGAGCCGTCCCCCAAGCGAGATCGCAAGGCGACGAAAAAACAGGCGACTATCGAGGAGACAATGGACACGACCAAGGAGGAAGACAGTGAGATGAAAGACGCTTCTGACGACGCTCAGGACACAAAGCAAGCAGAAGATTCCGAAGAGAAGGCCGAAGCGGCAGCTGTTGAAGACCTTGTGGACGCGAGCGATGCGACAGCGTTAGCCACTGGTGACGACGAGAAGCCTTCAACGACTGACGCCAGGACGAAAAAGGACGACACTGAAGCCGCCCCCAAGGCAGACGAGACTACACAAGGAGAGAAGACGGAAGAGAACAATTCCGAGAAACAAGAGAGCGCAGCGAAAGAGCCTGCTGGAGATGGAGAAGGCGCGATCGAGGAGTCTTCCCAACGCGCAAAGCAAATGCCGTCAAACATTCTTGAAAAGGGCATCATCTACTTCTTCACCCGCAACCGCGTCGGCATCGAGGACTCCGAGAGCGTTGGCGATCTTCAACGCACTTTCTTCGTTCTGCGACCCATGCCATCTGGAGCCAAGCTGGGCGATGGTGCGCTCGCCGACGATAACAACATCCGACTCTTTGCGCTTCCCAAGAAAGTCTTTCCCAAATCACACAACGACCGCTTCATGGCGTTTGTCGAGAAGGCGAATACTTCCATCAAGGAACTGAAGGAGAGTTTCTTCGGCGCAAACGAGTACGAGACAAAGACACAGGGCAGCCGACGCACCGAGCCTGTCGCACCAGTAGCCGAAGGTGTATATGCGATCACGCGCACTGAAGACCGCACATGCCATCTTGTCTACTCCACCACCATACCCTCTGAACTTGGTGAGGTGCAAGAAGACCTAGGCATCAAGGATCAAGGCAGCTTCATCATGAGTGTAAAGAATCCTGAGCGCAGTGGACCGGCTTCAGCTCAACTTGACCAGAAGCCTGGCTTCCCCAAAGAGTACGCACCATCGCTCTGTCTACCTATTTTTGGCTAATCACTAGCAGATTCATCGAAGAGTTCCGCGGATTAGCTTGGGTCGAAGTAAAGCCAAAATACTTGGACTACGAATATTGCCAGATTCTGCTCATCGGCGAGAAGATGGAGGCTGGCGTCGAGCCTACTACCAAGGACCAGAAGCATGACAAGGAGACCCCACTAGAGGAAATCGAGAAGCTTGAACACGAGGATGAGCTGCGCGTTGAGCATCTTCACGGTACGTTGTTGGGTTCGCTGCCAGATGCAATGTTTGCTAATCAATTACCAGGCGATGATTCTGTCTACGATGACCTCAAGATTAGCAAGAAGGAGTATCCTCAGGTTGCTACTACCTGGTGAGCTCGATCTTGAGCTCAGCTTCATACGACACCGGACAAGCTTTTTCCTTATCTACTGTACAAAATGTGGGCCATGGGCGTTTCAAGGGCGCAGGGCATATTGCAGGAAGGTCTTTTGGAGCTGGAATTTGGATAGCGACGGTCAAAAGAACGGATCCAGATTCTGGCTTCGTTCATGAACTTAGTAGCATAAATCAACGCACCACCTTCCATGTAGATGACGAGATGAAAAACCTTGTATGGGCTCAAAGTAAGATCTATATCAAGATGAACCACTCATTGTCCTCGTCCGATTCTCCTTCCCAAAACTGGCCGTTCATAATCCCATCCACAAAAGCTGCACCAATGAAGTTGAAACCTCCTTTGCAAGGCCTTATAAGACATGGTGTTGCCATGCCGTGAAGTAGAACTAACAGATCCCCAGGCCTAGCATTATGATTACTCATGCCTAAGCATGAGTTATCTGCTGTTCGAAAAGCCATCTTCCATATGAATGGCAGCATGTATTCAAAAGCTCTTTGCATTGGTTGACTAAGCTTCATTTCGCCGTTACGCAGATACTCTGACAAGTCGTCGTCAGGATGAATTAAAGATGCGCGGAAGGCTGTATCGTACTCCCTGGCGCAACCGATGAGGACAGAGAGATATTCGGCGAATCGATCAGGAGGTTCAGTCGTCTTAGCGCGTCCGGTTGTGAGAAGACGGGCAAGGTCTGAGACAGCTACGAGTTCGTCCGCAACACTCGCACTGCTGTTGTGGGTCCTGTTCCGGTGCAAGGCGACTTCGAACCACGAGTCAATACAGTTCAGGAGACAATCATAAACCTGACCTGAATTGGATTCTGCGCCTCCTAGTAGTGTGGTGGCTGAATCGACCTGCCAAGGTTTGCTAACAGCCGCCACGTAGTCGCATCTCTTTCCACACACTTTTAGTTGTCTTGCTTCTGGCATGAAAATCCACTTGTTTTGAGTCGCCCCCGAATACTGCTTGTTCTGGAGAATTGGCATGCATATTCTTGGCGGCTTTGACGGACTACATTCTGTCATACGCGCTGAGAAGTCCGGCACCCAAGATGGCAGTCCCGATTCGCCCATCGCTGGACCTATGGCCAGAGTCATGACTGTGAGGTTTTTAGACTGCGACATACAAGCGACTGTAGCCTCTGTATAAGCCTGAGCAACGGATTTCGTGTAGTCTGGGAGTGGCCATTCCAACTCCAATCTTTTAGCACACCCATACATCCCATAGATCTTATCCACTGGCTGTGTAGCATCCAAGTTCGTTATTACGTAGAAAAGGGCCATGTGGTCAAGATTCGTTTCTTTTTCCTGTGCCTTTAGCCGAACACAACGGGCGGTCGCATCATGACCGTCAAGATACGATTTCCAGTGAAGTGCGTGTGCGTCCAGTTTCGAATATGGAATACGTGTGAAATCCGCTGCCAGGACCAGGTTCTCAAAATTGAGCAAATGCTCGCCACAATAGAATACCACTTTCCGTGCTAACACGACCTCTTGGAAGACCCAGACTCTTTTGAACCAGGGTAAACGAAATAATGGGTGGAGTTTGCCGTATGGGAAGTCTGGAGTAATTACTAACCGATGTCAGCGACCTTACTTTAGCAAGTCACGAGGGATCACTGATGTCTTTCGAACAGAAGTGCTAATGCGCTTTTCTATTCCTTCGAGCAGACTAGGAGCGAATGACTTACGAAGGACTTCTTCAGCAACCTTCTCGTACTTATTCCTCATTGTCTCTTCCCCTATTCCAAGTCTCTTCGCCCCCAATGCAGCTACAGAAGCAGCCAATAAACGATTCACCGCTTTGATCGCTACCTCAGTTCTCTCGTCTCCCTCGCCCAGATGGACATTCACCTGCATCGCTTTGTTGTAAATCACATCCATCAAAGCAACCTGTGCACCTCTTTCTTCGATCGCCTGCGTGTCATGTTCTTTAAATAGTCAGTACTAAGCGAATCCATAAATCATGCCCGCACATACTTGCTTGGTTTATGCAGATAGAGTCTACCCATATCGTCCTTCCAGACTTGCCTTTAAGCATTCGACGTAGTGCAGCTGCGCATGATCGCGTTATCTTCAGCGCCCGTTCGTCAATCAGAATGACATCACTAAGTGTAGGGTCTCCCCAAGTATAGGATAGAGCAAAGTACTCCGGCACATCGTCAAGAGAGGTTTCCACGAGGGTACCGCGTAGCACCACGTCCTTCCAATCTGCTGGTTTTTCAAGCCAAGGGGCCGTCAAATGTAGGAGTCTGAAATGACGCGGGTGTTTCAGAGGCGTATACGTAAAGGTGGCGCAGGAATCGTGAGATGTAGAAGGGGAAAATGGAGAAGTCGACTTATGAGCCGAGGATTTGGATTGAGAATGACCCATGGTCTACGTGAAAGATAGTGAGGATTCAGGAAAGAAAGAGAAAAGGAATCGTCTCAAGCCCACACTCGATGCTGAATCTTGATTGGCGAATTGCTTTGATTCTCTGCAATGACGTGAGTGATGATAGTAAAAGAAGTGAGAGCATAGTAAGGCAGTACGGAGTGGAAGCGCAAGGCAGCGCAGAAACATCGAGGAAATACGTCTGATAAGACAGCCCCAAGCAGGGAGTAGAGACGCCTACATGTCGCTTAACGCATCAGGTGGATGTATACTTCCATTGTAGAGTGTATGTGAAGTCCTGAAGGGGTTGAGCGTCCAGCCTTCTGATGCTCAGAGAGGCTGGTTGTGATAGACACTAGTCCTCTTTGGGCTTAAAAGCGGGGTTGAACTGGCAAGCCAGCAACGTGGGTTGCAGATACTCTCAGCTGTAACTCTGCGATAGGCATAGCCTTAAAGACAGAATCATTCTTCCCGTGCTAAGCCTCCACATGCCCAGCGTCTGTACCTTTAGTATTGCACCTAGACGGCTTTTCTTTGCGAAGCCCTAGCATGTGCTTCGTCTTAGCACGTTGCTGTGATTGGATATCCTCTTATATGTTGAAGACGGCAAGGTAGCGGAACTTTACCGCACTAAACGGCAACAGAGAATACCAAGCTAATGGCGTATATATATGGAATTTGTATATTCCTGTGAAGATCGTCCGAAGATGATCTAGGGTTGGTTCTCGGGGAATGAGTGGGCGACGATGGACGAGAGGGTTGTACTAGCACGATTGGTAGATCGATGTAATAACACAAGGGTTTAAGAATTAAGTAGTAATCCTTAGATTGAAACTTAAGTTAAACACAATGAACTCTTACAGTTCATTGCCTAATACTATATACTGAGGGTGATAGTTGTGATAGCCGCGCGCAGGACTAACGATAGTCCTTGGCGTAGCTATCAGTCACGTGACCTAGCCTTCCTTCAGGTGCCTGGCGCCTAGCGATACAGTCCCTGTTCCGCTGTGCCTAATGATGAAGCCTGCGGCTGTTATTCGTAACAATCCCTTCGCATTGTACTGGTAAAATTGTGACACGGGCTTATGGTGCGAGCAGAATGTGTGAGTAGCACCATAGTCGAAGACAGGATATTGCAGGTCAAAACAGCCGTCTCATGCGCTGACATCTATTATATCATAAGTATTACGCTAATAGACTACTTGGACTACTCTTCAAATTACGATTCTGGCAATATCTGCAGTCAAGATTACAGATGGCTTGTTGGCAGCTCTGAATATAGCACGTGTGATGTTTGCATGCCACTTGCGGGGAAGTACACACTGTCGTACAACCTGGGGCCGCGCATGTTTGATGGTTCTCGCAAAGCGTGCGATTTTCTTATATCCCAACTTGCCACAACGGGCGTGGTTGTGACATAAATCAGTATTTTCGCATCTGACATAAGGACATTGTTGAGCGGCACAACGATGTTGTGAGCACATGGTGAACTTTTGGTCGGGTGTCGCACCCGCATCGAGCGTAGACACCAAACATCCGGTGGCATTGCATGTATGGGTAATGCAGTAGTAGCGACCTTGGTGATAGTCTGCACCCATCTCGTTACAATCATTTGTCATGATTCGGCAAACGTGAGCTGGATAGGCTCTTCGCCCATCACACACGGGGTGAGGGCAGCCAGGATCCTGACAAGTATGAGTCCAACAGGCGAAGAGGCCTTCCCGAGTAGGTTCCACGCATTGAGCAAACTTGCAGTTATGCGTCGCGCAAGATTGAAGCCCGGATGAGACTGGATTTGGCACGTCGGGAATTGACAACCATGGGCCGTGCAAAAGAGAGACTTGGTTCCGTAAACCGAAGCTGTGCAGTCAAGGTTGCGACGGGAATACCAGTGCTCTCGACAGAAGGGGGAAGATTGTTCATTGCTGTCGGCGTGGTACCGCGGTGTAGGACAGCCAGTTTTTAGGCACGTTAGATGATTGGTACAGAAACCGCTAGCGGAACTCGTAGCATTTGAAAAAGCGTCTGATTGACAACGATGGGAATCGCAGTATCTCTGTGGGGTGTAGACGTAGGCATTGCATGCAGACCTAGAGCATAGGTAAGAAGCTATAACGCGAGGAGATGGGTGACAGTGTTCAGAGCACGAAGATAACAGCTAGAGATCAGCCAGGAGATAAAGAAGTGAAAAAATCAAGCGGCTGACATGATGGGCAGCTCCGCGTTTTGAGGCATGAAAAGGTGGAGTGCTAATTCGTTTTATGTTCATGTAGTATTGGCCAACTTTCCAATCTGATGAGCCTGAGGATATTAGCGGCTAGGCATGATCGTTGCCATAGGTGTTTTATGTTGTGGTAAAAGCCCCAAGGATTCATGTGGGAGGGTTCAGTTGTGCCATGATAGGGTCAGGTATTGACGCTAGTTCGGAACACGTTCACCGGAATCGAGACGATCTGAAGCAATGTGCATGTGTGCAATTACATTATCCCTCGTCCTAAGCAAGATTTCGTGGTGGAATCCGATGGCTCCTTTCTCATAACTGTCAACTCGACCAATTCCTCTTCTCCAAACCATATCCAGAGCGTCGACGCCGCCGTTCAGCTTTTCATCCAGAACAACATCACAGATGGCTCCACTCAAGTACCGGACTCTCTTGAGGTCGAAATTCGTTCTGCTGATGGATTACCGGGGCCAACATCCGAAGACCAGATGGTTCAAAAGGCTAGAACCAATTTTGAAGAATTGCTCCTAGGCTACGGACTGTTTTTGTTGGGCAGCCAAACTTTGTCGCAACCCCAAAACGTCATCAACATCCCAGTACAGCAATCCTTCGGAACACTTGCCACGCATGCGACCTCCTTCTCTCACTACAACCTAAGCGAAACAGACGCTATCGTTATCACGTTCAATCTAGCAGCTTCGGTCTACTGGGTCGTTCCCACTACTACCTTGTAGATGATTATCGACCGGCCAGAAGAGCAAGTGAAATCTCTCAACAACGATCAGGCTGTTTCCAACGGGAATGGAACTTATACTATCGTTCTGAGTAGCTCGGATCCTGGAATGTGGAACTGGATTATGACCTCTAAGGGTGGCGTTGGTACTGCTATGTGTCATATCCAGGGATTTCCTGCGGGTAATACTGGCAATCTAGATATTCGGCTGTGGAGCCACGTAGTTCCTTTGGATAGCCTTGCGAGTGTTCTACCCCAAGACACAAAGTGGGTGTCACAGCAAGAGCGAGACGCTCAGTCGAGAGAGAGGCTTGAGAAGTACGATATAGCACACAACTTCTAGGTACAGTTTGCGGCTAGAATCAGGCGGATGACTGGAGTGAAGCACCGCGAGGTACCTGGGGCGAGTGAGCTCAAAGGTCCACGTTCAGCTAAGCGGTGATATTTTGGCATTCGCGGCGCATTTGAGAGTCGGAGGGGTCGGCCTGTTTGTCAATAACGCGCATTCGAAGGATCAGACCTTGTTGTTCGTGAAGATATAATTCGCCAAACAAATGTTTGCATTCTTCGCCTGAGCGCAGCTGTGTTATTGTCGCGTCGTATTTGGAAGGCGCTCCGTGGCAATGACAACCTTGTCACAGATGACCGGACCTGAATGATAGTACTAGGGTCATCTCATTGTGAAACAGCAAGTCGAACAGCAACCATTCGCACGTAAAGTCTGGTTATGTGCATCCTTGATTGAAGTTACAGCCAACCTCTCGCTGATAGCTTAGGTAGATGCGTCTAATTCCAAGTCATGATGGTGAATCGTTGTAGGGTGGTCTGCGGATGACTGGTTGACGTCAACGCGGAATGGCATCTGCTCGCCGGCGTACATGAACAACGCGTTCGTAGACCATTGCAAAAGCGGCTAGGTCATGTTTCTGTCACTCTCGATGCCTGGAAGCGTTTTATCCCCCAAGGCGTTGGATTAAGGATAGACATAAACAGTGAGGTTCTTTGGTATTGCGCTTGGGTATTGCGGAGGATAGACGGTAAGAGAGGGTATGCCAAGCTGTATTTTTCGAGGTCGATGCTCGGTTTGGCTAGTGCAGGGCAATCACGTGTTCCATGCATCTCATCGGGGCCATGACGCGTGCGCGTAGGCTTAATGCATCGTCTGCCGGGCCGTCGACCATGAACCCTCTTCCACCGCTGCGCCCGGACCCTCGCGCCCGGATCCTTCGACCTCTACCACTGCGCAATAATGACAATGTCGCCCATCCCTCTCTGGCCAGATTTACGAGACCTCAGTCGGTGAAAGTAAACCAGCCATGGCCCTAAAATAGTTTGCATGTTACTTACGCACACCTGCAAGGACAACAAACCGTTCTCAGCACAAGTTCATGCAAGCAGCACGCTCTTTTCCCTCGTCGCATCCAATCGTACAAAACTGAGAAACGCTCGAGCCCACGAGCTGAGCCAGTAGGATTCCTGTTCTCTCTCGCTGTAGAATTCCTGTCCTCTGTCGCACCTCCTTCGCTTGGACAAGATTCGGCTCCATACTGGAGGGAGTTGTGCCAAGGTCTTGGATGGCGCTTTTGCGAGGCACCGAATGGTCGCGTCGGTGGTTCTCAGAACTTCTATCGAGCGCAAGCCCCGATCGTCCACCGCATGCATCTGTCTAGGAAGCTTCTATACTCGGCCACAGTTGTACTGTAAGTGTATAGATCTAGCTACTCAGAAGCTATGTGTTACAGCAAAACTGCAGCCCACCACGTGCATGCACCGCTAGCTGCTCTTCTCTTTAGAGGGCAGCCGGTGGTGCTATTGTTTGCCAGATCTGACCCGGGAAGTCCAAAGGACTCGCAGCGAGGGAGAACCCCTGTCGGCGAGAGAGAACCCCTGTCGGTGAGAGAGCCCCTGTACGCGGGATACAGAGACCAGAATGCGATGATACATTTACCGGTTGTTCGCCATTGACTAGCAGTCCATTTGCGCAGTATAAAGTCGAAATGGTAGCCGCCCAACATACGTCGATATCCATTCGCTCAGTTAAACGGCTCCTTGTCTGATCATATCAGTCCGATTCAAAGCAACGATCACTTCATACGGCAACCAGCTCGTTCATCTTTGCACACCATCCTTACCTACAAGCCCCGATCGTGAAATAGCAATCGATCCTAGCGTAGACCTTTGGCTCGGCTTTCAAGAAACGGACTGAGTAATGAAGACCAATGGTAAGATCCTCTTTCTTCATAGTTCAACGTATAGACTTACAGTTCGGCCCAGATACTATATCGCACAACGTATCCTCTTCATCGGGCTGGTCAAAAGAAGCCATCTTTACCCTTCTCAGCGTCTTCCTCACCGTACTGCTTGCCGTGATCGGTCTCACATTCCGATACTACATGAGGAAGGACGCGCTAGGGTATCGAAGCTCTAGACAATGTAGGCGTGTAGAAGGAGGTAAGCAATATGATGGATCATTCTTGTTTGATACATACTAAGAGAGTTTAGATGAGGAGCACCATTTGGGGCGAGGGTCGAAGAAATCTTGCTGGATCGAACTAGCTGAGGCTCGGCATCATCAGCAGCGAGCGTATACCTCCGTCTCCAGGCTGAGAAAAGGTCCCAGGTCATAAGGGTCATGAGGTCGATGGTGGCATTACTGAAATGCAAAATGAGTGCGGCACGACCTAGACGTCTGTTCTTTGATGTAAGCTAACAAAGTCTAGAAATCATCTAGAGAATGTTGTTGCAGATACATCAGCCGTTGCAATGCCTCCCGTTCGTCGTTGCAGTGATCATATGGTCCTTTTTTGCCGGACATATTCGCGTTCGCTCGTTGCAGGGTGATGAGCTAAGAATGGAGATGAGCATATGTCCACTGATCACGACAATAACTGGGCAAGGACACCATGGTACCTATCTGAGCTAAGTTGAATTGAAAGCCCGTAGGTGTTATGTCCGTACCTGGCTGGCGTGCGAACGACAGTATCTAAGTACATACCCTCGCGCCACGCTAATTCCATCTAAAGGCCCGGGCAGCCTATGCTCTCGGCTCGGAATTCCTGCGTCATTGCATAGCTTTGGAACGCCTGTGTTCATCCTGAATCTGTACTCTAGCCGTCCAGCTCACGCTTGATCTCATGTCTACGAAATATACCACCGGCTGCCTGGAGTATGGTAATGACAGCATCGAGTTTGGTCAACGCGTCTAGATTCTCTTCGAGCGTATTCGGCGTATCACTCTGCATTGCTTTAACATAGCGTTCCTTCTCGATAGCTGCTGTATCCAGCGGTGTCTCGTGCCATGTCACATTTACATTTATGCCGTCTTCGTATGTCCGCTGCTGAATTTGGTTAAGCGCATTCAGCGGAGCGTTGTTAGACAGAAAAGCGCGTACGCAGTGTTGCATACCACTCCGAGCATAGCGGTGTAACAAGGTGTAGCCAAATCCGTCACTTTCGTCGATGACACGCCGCTTCTTTGCTCCGTCCGCGCAAGAGAAAACGTACATTTTCAAGATTCTCTTAATTCTTCGATCGACGCTATCGTTGAATGGCTGACCTACTCTAGGTAGTCTGCCAAAAATGCTAAAGTCTCTACCATTTTGTACGGGCGATTGTCCAGGTTCGATGTCTGCGCCCTTGCCGAGCAGGAACTCGACAGTATCGAGCATTGGGTGACCGGGGAGACAAAAGAGCGGGGTTGCGTCATTCTTATCGACATGATTGACATCTGCTCCATATGCAACTAAGTTAGATCTTTGCAGCCGCTTCTAGGTTTTCTGATATGCACATCAGCGCGGTGTGACCTCGATCGTTCACAGCATCGACCTTCTGCGCCAGCTAACAGTAAGGCCTCAACCAGCTCGGCAGATGTTCCTAATGCTGCCATCATAAGCGGCGTGTATCGGGGACGTGCAACTTCTCGACCGTTATGCTCGTCCAGTGTTATTAACGGCGTAGTCAAGAGCTCTAGATCACCTCCGAGTTTCATTATAGCCTCCAATGTCCTGGTCAAGTCTTCGTGTCTTTTCGATGGCGCACCAATGAACAAGCTGTTACAGAATACAGTACCAGTTCGGGTACGACGTCTTGGGCTAGTGCTCAAGCGATGAAGAACGCTCAAACCCTCTTCATCAACGTCGTTGATGTCAACCGATACATTATGACGAAGTAGAAGCTCAAAGATAAACGGATCGCGAGACATAGCCGCATAATCTAGTGCGAACAATCCTTCTATTCTCCCTTTAGGTACAGAGTAGGCTTCCATGTTCGGACCGCCGAACTTGTTCAATATCCTGACGCGGTCATCGTATATGTAGATATGATAGCTATCGCGAGCCGGCACATCAGCTCCATGGTGGTACAGTGCTTCGGTGACTGTGTGCGATCCTGTGGCCACTGACCAATGAAGCGGTGTTCCTGGAGGCAGTATGGAAGTGTAGTGCGGGAATGGCTTAGGATCGGTTGTCATTGCATGGAGTCTAGCGCCAGCGTCGACCAGATATGAGACTACTTGAGCCTGCCTATTTTCTTCGAACGCGAAAGCCCAATGCAAACAGCTAATCGACCATCGAGTGCACATTATAAGGCAGTCCATTTCATAAGACAAGAGCAACTGCAAAGCTTCCCATGAGCCGCGGGCGCAGGCGAAGTAAACAGCGGTTTCTCCAGTGTCCGTCTTCACGTCGATCTCAAATCCTTTCTCTTCTTCCAAATATGACTTTAATGCCATGGGCGTACCATAGTTAGCGAGCCAGTGAAGATGAGAGTACTTCTGTTCTTGCGCAATAGGTTGGTGTTGCTGCGGTGTGTTGAAACTGCCATACAATGTAGCATACCCTCCCCTTGCTTGAAAGAGCTTCTCACATTCAGCTAGAGTGTCGCGATCGCTGACTGCTAGCTCTCTTTTGGTAAGTAGCGAACCTGTAGCGGCTGACGTGGCTCGCCATTCGCGGAGACGTGCTTGAGATTGCCTATCCAAGGTGGCGCCGTAAGAGATTGCTACAGTGCCGACTACTCCACGAGCTGCGATGGATCCCCTGTCTGCTGCTAGAAGAAGAACGTCTAAACCTGAGTTGACCAATTCATGCGGCCAAGCGGTGGCCCCTAGAAACATGCCGAAGAGCATGTCAGCGTCCATGCTTTTCGGCTTGCTCGACATCCTGCTGTAAAAATGTCGAATAAAGACTTGACCCACAGCAGGTGCTTCCCAAGAATAGTAAGGTCCGTTATAGTGCAACTGATCGAAAGAATCGTCGTCGGATTCCAATATACTTGAATCATCCGAGGATAGCCTCATGCGGTCCAGTTCTTGTAATCTAGACCATACGAGTCAGCTGGTATACCTCATCGACCTTGTTCAACACACCCATCTTGGCTCGCTTCCTGCCATTCGTGAAAACGTGGCTGTAGGCGATTGGGGCGTTGAGATGGATCTTCCCCCAACAATTTGCTTATAGCTTTTACCATGCACTCCCTCACATCGGGGGGACATTCCGGGGCCAACAAAACTTCCATCTGTTCCCTAGCTGTAACAATTCTGCAAATGGGTTCGCCTTTCAGTGGTTTGCGCCTTTGGAGAAGCAAAACACTCCACACCACAAGGCCGAACGAATAATTGTCGGTTAATTGCCAGAGATCGTGAGCTATAGACTTTTCTGATTCAACTTCGGGCGCTTGCCATCCATAGGTTCCCCTAATGGTAACACTTGTGTCGGTCATCGCGTCAGCAATCGCAAGGCCAAAGTCTGCCACTTTAGCTGTGTAATTGCCGCTCTAGTTCCTGAAGATCAGGATGTTATCCGGCTTCAGATCACCATGAATAAGACCACACTCGTGCAAAAAGTCCACACCAGCAGCGATATCTTGACAGAATTGGTACTTGAGTCGCATTGCCACACATCCGCCAGCATGGTCTTGCAAATATGATCCAAGGCTCGAGTGAGCTAGCTCCATCACGAGGAATATGCGAGCGTGCATTGTAGTATGGTCGTAGCTCCACGCGAGGAGCCGAGCAACATGTGGGTCATCCCTGATCTTTGGGTTGGTCAATGCCAGCACTTCAAGGTACATGTCATGAAGGTGCTTCTGGACGTCGGGGTCAGCGAGTCCCAAAGGCACATCTGGATCTAGCGAATCTGGGTATCTTGACTGCTACAAGGCGAGTTGAAAAAGTCCTAGATTCAGACACATTCATCAATTGCTGGTATACAATGAATTGGCCACCCCGTCCGATTATAGCTGGGTCTGCGCTTTGATCAATCAGAACGACAGGCCCTGTAAGGTTTGCACTATGTAAGATTTCAACAAAGAAGTCTATTGCAGTCGTATGGCTAGATGCGGATGATTCGGTACCGAACGCTCTGCCTTCCAAAACATACGACACTTTACTAGAAGATCAATGCGACTGCTACTCTTGAAACAAGACGAAATAACCATGCTCGAGAAGTCTTTAGACAATATTGACTCGCAAGAAGACCGACAACTGTTTCTAGGTTCCGCACGCCGGGATACGAATGCTTCGAGAAGAGTATCATCCAGAAGTTGACGATAGCACTTACTGAGTACGGTATTTGCTGTACGAATGATCGTAGCGGAAAACGTATTAACAACGTTCTGCCTTCAAGATTCCTTGCTCGAGCAAAATCAGCGAGCCCTGACGCTTCCGAAAGCGCAATCAAGAGACATCAAGAGTCTTCAGAAATGGGTCAAAGGGACTATAAGCATCTCTCGAAACGAATCTGCTTATCTAGAGCAAGGTGAGGATATGGCGAACCTGACTGGGGCGGCAGACAGCGCGCTTGCGCTCATTGAGGATCTTGCATGAAGCGCAGTCACAAACCAACGGCTGACGAACACATCTTCCTTCTTGACCCATGCATGACCGTCCTCAGCCGTGCGCTCACTACTTGGCTTGCCACCACAGTGTTGATGGTACCAGTAATTGCATTGAGCAACATCTCGAGCTCGTCTGGTCGAGTTGTCACGATCGCGCTTTCAGCAGGCCTGTTCCTGACAGCAGTTTCGCTGTTTACGCGAGCTAGAACAGTGGAGATATTCACTGCTGGAGCTAGGTAAGTGCTAGATGTCTTGTGAAGATCCTTGCTGACGTCGTTCCGTAATAGTTACGCTGCTGTTCTGGCGGTTTTTACCTCGGTAGGCAATGATGATATGAAGTATAATCGGATTTGATTTACTGCGATCAAGTGACTTCTGGTGATGGCGGATGAGTACGAGGAGGGACGAAAGCAATTAAGATCCAAGGGTACTCACGTCGCTGATAACATATACACTTAAATCATACAACACGAATTGATGGAGTAACCTCACGACACTGGCAAAGAATGTCATGCAATTGACTGAGATGTTGCTATGGCCAAGCACGTGCCCTCGCGTCACGCTAACCCCATCCGCAAGCCCAGCCCAAGCTCTCCGCTCACAACCCCACAAGCACGTGAAAGCCGCCCCTCCACGCGTCGTCACCTCCCCAATGGCCCCCGATGTAGCCTCCATGACCTCGACACCCTCGACGCCCGCTCTCAAGCCCTCACAGAAGCCTCCAAGCGGTCCCAACGTCCTCGAAGTCGTCTTCGGCTCGCTGCTCATCCAGCCCTGGTACCCGTCCTTCTACCCCGAAGAGCTTGTCGGGCGACGCGTGGAACGGCTGTATGTGTGTCAATGGTGCTTCAAGTATAGCAAGGAGTTAGTAGGGTTTATTGGGCATTTGGTAAGCTTGGAATTTATGTGGGTTGGGATACAGAGCTGACGCGATACGCCGTGTAGAAAGCATGCCCACTCCGCAACACGCCGCCGCCGGGCGTGAACGTCTACACAAAAGACAACTACTCCTTGTACGAGATCGATGGTGAAAAACACAAACTCTACGCGCAGAACCTCTCGCTTTTCGCCAAGCTCTTCCTCGATACTAAATCCGTCTTCTACGATGTCACAACGTTCTTGTACTACCTCCTCGTCGCGCACAAACCCACGCCAGAAATCCCAAATACCAGTTTCGGCGACGAGGTTGACGGGGGCGAGATTGGTGCGCAAGGGCAGGTTGTTGGCTTCTTCAGCAAAGAGAAGATGAGCTGGGACAACAACAATCTAGCGTGTATCTTGGTGTTTCCGCCGTGGCAGAAACAAGGGCTGGGGCAGATATTGATGGGCGCGAGCTATGAGATGAGTAGACGCGAAGAGAGGCTGGGCGGACCTGAGAAACGTACGTCTTCGTCCATGCATATGTCATCTCTGGCACTTGTGCTAACACTACTACTGCAGCGCTGTCAGATCTTGGTCGTATCGCATATATCCATTACTGGTCGCAAACGCTCGCTCGCACGATCCTCGCCTGTCCTTCCAAGAAGGCACTTACGGTGCAAGATCTGCGTGAGAAGACGTACATTGTGCCCGAGGATATAATCGCGACACTACAAACTATGGACGTGCTGGAGCAGAAGAAGAGAGGAGGTGCCAACGCTGTTATCAACAAGGCCAAGGTAAGAGCTTGGGCAGATATGCATAAGGTGGATTTGAAGGCCTGTCTAGTTGATTCCGATGCTTTTGTTGTGAGGGAAGTGAGTCGAAGTGTGAGTGAGGAATCGTGAGGCTTGTGGATGGAAGAGGTAGATGCTCAGGTGTCAGATACCCATACCTTATTGATCGAATGATTTCAGTCATACTGATGGATATGTTTTCATGTGACTGGTAGAACAAATAAGTTGGTCGACCGCAGCGATCTGGATTGGAACACACCCGTGGACGATATCCTGCCGTTTTTCAAAGAGAACGCCTCAAAGAAGTCGAGACGGATTCCACCAGATTTCCTGTGCCATCGGACAGCAACCACATGGAGCGACGTCCTGTATATGCAGTCGAACAACAACCTCATGTTATCGGAAGGCGAAAGCTCTACAACATTCCAGGATTCGTTATCGATGGAGTAGCCAAGCAATCTTACGGTATGTTCCTTTAGGATACCATTTCCGGCTCTCTGAAGATGATTCGCACCTTGTGGACAGCCGTGACGCAGCTGTGTAACATTTATCTTGATTTTCTCATCCCGAGCATCCAATAGCATCCGACACGCATACAAATCGAAAGTGTTACACAAGGCCCCACTTTAAGCAGCCCGCTTCAAAAGCAATATTCTAGCTCGACCAATGCCAGCAAAACATTGCCCAGAAAGCAAACTCCTTCTCATACACAAGGCAAATGTACATTGCGATCGAATTGCGAAGGCATGATGGAATAGGGTCACACCCACTATCAGAGTCCAAACAGCCCTTCACCTGCACCTAGATAGGCAGTTCCCACATAGGCAGTTGCCACTTTGTCCTTCTCTCCGCCTGCACCTGGCAACATCATAACCACTCCTTTTCTGTATGAACAAGTTCCCCTGCATGAACCGCTAAATCTTGTAGCATCACCAATGGCGCGTAAATGTTTAAATCGTCCAGTCCAATTTCGGAGCAAGGATGATTGGTTGCGGCTGAAGAGGCCTAGGTTCTTGTTCAGCTGATGCACGCCGGTGCATGCATTCTATAGATAGAAGGCAATGTATGAACTCGGCCTCATCAGAGATGTACAAAAGCTTAGTGAAGACGGATCAGTTCTACGGCTTGCACAAACGCACGCATCTTCTATCTCGTATACTCATTCACACGGCACTTCCCGAGGCTGAGATATGCACTCAGTTATCTTCTCTTTTGCGCAAGTTGACAGGCCAGCGCCCTGGTTGATGACCACTCGCCATGGACAACTCGACATCGTACAACTTCACACAGCTCGACCTGTACGACTACTCGGATAACAACTGCCATGATATCATGCAAATCTGGAATTTCTTGCAATACAAAGCAACGCAAGACCGCGATGCTTATCAGAACTATGATTCGGACGAAGGCGTTTATCGGTACATTATACAGGGGTTTGAAGCACTTAAAAACGGTTCACTAGAAACTCCACCCATGAACCAAAACTTCTGGGACTGGGCTGTCAGAGACAAGCTGCTCCAAGCCTACGTCACGGATGTCGGCTGGGTTTATTGCCCTAACCAGTTGTGCGCAGCTCTTGGCTGGGAGGGTAGTCCTGACATTGCGGGAGTTGGGGTGAGCACCATGCTCAAGATGCTCAGGCCGAGATGAATATGTGCTGATCGTTGTAGACGCTAGCCACATATATCATACAGGCTGTTCTGATAACGGTCTACCTATGCGGGATCCTCATGGTCAACCTCAACCAACGACCAAATCGATCAAGAATGTGGTCCCCACTCTCGTGGACCCTAAGCGCGATGCTCAACTCAACTCGCGAGTTTCTTACTGCATCGGCAATATTTTCACTCGCGTTGTTGGTTGCCTCCGTTTGTTCAATTGCGCAACCCAAAGTGACCACAACCTCCACAACGTGGATTCTCGAGCTAGTCATACCTCTGTACTCAGTCCTCGCAGTAGGAGTACTACACCTCGCGGCATATGAGATACTCCAAAGATACAAAGGACGAGTTTTGGTGCTGCTGATTATAGACGTCATGGTTATAGTTCTAACCGCGCGCAGTTCGACTCTCTTCAATGGCGCAGACGGATCAGGGTGGAAAGCAAAGGATCCAGCCTTCGATGAGAGTTCTTGTTTGAAGGCGGAGTCATACAATGATATGGCAATCTTAGCCTGGACAATCGCTGGAATCCTGTGCCTCAGTATCACCGCATATCTTATCGACTTCCTTGTCTCTATGGCTCGGCATCGACCTGGACTACTCACACGATTCTCCGGTATGGTGCGTTGGGGAATCATTGGCGTCGGTCTATGCACTATGTGGTATCTCATCGGTTGGTTCGTTAAGTTGACCCTCGACATACGATCTCGCGCTGGAGACACAACAAAGACAACGAATGGACATTCGGACAGGTGTTGGCGCTATCAACATGGTGAGCCTCAGATGTAAGGAACTCATGTGATGCACGTACTGACTTTATATCTTCATCCGCAGGTCGCCTTTTGTAAAAGATTTTGCGTACAACATGTGGGAAGGGCCCAGGAAAGCGAACGAATGGCGATCGAATTATCCATCCAAGTCGGTCCTACATGATTCGCTTGCAATGCGGTCACCGGAGGAAGATGAAGAAAGAAGCAACTTTGAGATGCTCAAGTGAGTACGGAATTTGGTACTCTGCTGTTAATAATCTTATACTTGTTGTGTTCCCCGATGCAAAGTCACAATCAGGCGCAGGCGCCCTTTGCGTGCATAATATAAGTGTTTCCATTGGAGAACTTCTGCTACGTTGTTGGAAAATTGGCATGCTGTCGAAATGCTGAACACGTCATGCTAATCATTACTTTTTCTTTGTCTGTCAGACTTCATAATAACTCAGTACTGTCAATACTAACATCGGTAAAGCAACGATGAAACTTCCAGCACCGAATACTATCTCCCAGCTGCCCCAGAAAAGTTTTCCTCCGGCTACGACACAAAAGAGAATACCTAGAAATACATAGAGGCATTTGATAGAATCCCAAGCAGTTTCAATGTATAAGCCATCTAGTTCTATATATCTATTCTGCCCTCGGAACTTGTCGCGTGGCAAACTGATATGGCTGATGATGATGTTAGTTGAGTTTTAGAGCATATATACCTTAGACTTACCTGTACCTCTGAATGAAGAAATGGTCAAAACACCCAGAGAGTATATTTTGATAGCGTGCTCCGGCTGGGTTGCGGAAGTAGCAAGAGAGGAAAGGCAAAGTTTCGACCCAACTTAGGTCATCGTCGCAAGTTTTCAAGTTATGAAACGGGCAGATATGATCACTACAGTCATTTGTTAAGTAGTACGAGGAATCGTCGTTGCAAGAATGCTTCCATTCTCCCAAGCGGTTGCCATAGCACTTGTTTGGAAAATCGTCCGCGTAAAAGAGCAGTTCAACCCCCAGGTCGCCGAAACCCTCTGGTATCGCCTTCTCAACGGGGAGTTGATGAGAACCAACCGAATTGAAGTTTTGTATGGTTCTAATAATTGTCACCACTTTCTCTCGCCGCTCAGAGGCGATCTTGTGGAGATTGACCAGGTCTAAAGGTTTAGCGAAAGCTAAGAATCTGTTTGAGGAACGGCTGATCAACCGGAACTATATCTGACTTTAGTACAGATAGATACGCCACGATATGGTTGAAACATACAGTGACGGGCCTGAGTTTACTGAATTTTCGAAAAGAAAGAAACCTTCGCAAGAAGCCAAGTTCCGTAGCATACTGTTTTGCTAACGAAGCGAAGACCTCATCTTCATTCATTGGATCGGCAATTGGAACGTCCACAGCCCAGGTTGTTGAGATTTCAGAGTTTTCAGAGCCCCATAGTAAGAACACGCAGTGGACATTTTCTTTCTCTTCAGCCTTTTTCTGGAAATGTGTGAAGATCATGTTTTTAGGCGATTCCGGCGGCTTTGGCAAGATGTCGTGCGTGGCCCTTGGCCGTCTTCTGTTCTTTTGACTCTTTAGACCTTGGTACGAAGTATTCTGGAATCCAGTCGCTTCACTCGCGACATTTTCTGTGTACTTGTTGTGAGCACTCTCTGGTCGTGACGGAAGGTCTGGTGACAATGGTGACATGATGTAAGTTGATGTTGATAAGGACGGTTAAGGACGAGAGGACTTGCGCATACCTATAAAGTACAACAGCTTATGCAAACGACGATGAGGCAACACTGTCCCCAAAGCTACTACTGTTGTCTCAGCGCGAAGGATTTAGACAGACAGGTAGGATTGCTACCCAGCTCTTACTTTACACGTGAGGCTGAATGCACTGCCCACATGTGGCGGAGTAAGGCTGATGTTGCTATCGTCCCCAGCGCATAAACTGGTTAACTTCTCTACATCTCTGGTTTTCTAGAGATTACCGATCTCTCCAACTTCATACGAAACGTGCGTCAGATGTGATACACAAAGTCCTCGAATCATATCTATTTCCACTGAAGACATCCTGCTACGTTGTTGTAGATTTGCCATGCTGTCGAAACGCTGAAGACGTCATACATGCCTGCTATGTCAGAGAATCTACTCGCCTTAGGAAGTTGAAACCTGGCGTGGAGATGCCTGAATTTGGAATCTAGAGCTTGAAATCGGCCGGGATCCCCAGTTCGGGGAAGAGTTGAGTCGCGAAACTCGTGCAGTGAACTTCGAGTGGAGTGAACCAGAACTGCTCACTTCGCCAATCCTGGTCATTGTTGCAGTAGTTTGTTGACGTGGCAGTGACAGAGCAGCGGGCGATATGGATGCTTATGGTCCTTCCGCGAAACAGGAGCAAGATGCCTCACCACTGGATAGAGATTTGCCATGCGAATGCATCATCGCGATGCGCGTCGACGGATTTAGCACACGATGGAAGCGTGGAGGAAGGGAGGGCGAGCGACGATAGGACCCACATTGTGGGGTACCGTCGCTTGACGGCCTTAACGGGACGTCATTGGGTAGCAGCGCGGCACTTCCGGTCCACTCCCGGTCAACAGCACAGCCAACGTTTAACTGCATGCGCAAGGCGGTGACTGACTGGCTGAATTTCCTCATCGTTGCTTCTTCCAGTTCAACATGCGTTCCCTTCGTCCTCCATATACCCCATTTCCATGATTATGGCGCACATCAGCTGTGATAGTCAGCAGGCCTTGAGGCGTACCACGACATCCACCGTTTGCTTGCTTTGCCCTCTTCAGCCTCTCTCGTCACACAACGTGTGCTTGTAATCGCTTCAGCATGCCAGAAATCCCACTCTGCGTCACTGTCTATATTCACACCCCTCACACCATCCCCATCCTCGCACCAGGCCATCGCCGCCAATATCAGATCCATTGACGCAAGCGCCACCTCCGCTGACGATAGCTGAACCCTGTAAACACTACGTAGCATGGTGGGTAGATAATATAAACACGCTCTTTGTCTCTCTACCCTGAACTACTAGATTGCTTTTGAAACTGACCCAGATGATTCGACACACAGTCGGACCACACAGCAGCCTTTGAGGGCTCTGATCCACCCTCACGACAGCGCAGTCCTCCCGCAGGCGATCCTAAATACCACTACGAAAGCCTCAATGACATAGGCACAAGTCCGTCTGCTAGTGTACCGTATACTAGACGTCGTCCATCTCGCACCAGTTCGGGCACGAAAGGTTCCCCACCTTCGGCCTCACCGCCACGCGGAGACGACCATGACGAGAGCGAGCAGAGGACGAAGCCACCTCGCAGCACTTTGAAGAAGCTCCTGAGACGAGACTCACACCATACCGACACTGGATCAACATCACAGGGCAAACAAGAAGAGTTGGATGAGGAGGGAAGTACCATCGGCTACATGCCCAGGCTCGGCCAGATAAGAGAAAGCAGGTCCAAGGTCAGCACACGTTCAAGACGTCGGGGAAGCTCTGCTGTCAGTATCCCGGTCGATCCGAGGGTTCTCCGCCGCCGGCATACTGGAGACAACGCCGTGAAACGCTCACACGCACGTGACAAACGCAGCTCTTTGCAGCGGCATGCTGGGGATATGGCCAACATGTCAGATCCCTCTCTAGTTTCGAGCGTGACGCAACAATCAGATGCTTCGGGTGGTAGTAACTCGACAGTGTTGCAGCGGCCGTACAGCGGTTATAGCCAAGTCGACCAGTACCTAGAACCTCAAGAAAGCCATAGCCCATCCGCATCAACGGCTGTGGAAAGTCCTGCCTTTGACAATATCGGCGCCGCTCAGTCTGAAGTATTCAAGTACCTACAGACTAGCGACACGACCGCAAGCATTACGCCAACAGACCTTCAAGCTATGCCCCCATCAACCGTTGTCTCGTCGTCTTCGTCATCATCAGGTGACACTCAACATGACGACCGGTCGTCTGTAGCAGCAGACTCACAGCACACCATTGACTCTGCCATGACCTCACCAGCCTCAACACGAAGGAGTCTCCAAACATCTTCACATCTCCCTAATCAAGAATTCCGCACGTTCAAGAAGCCGCTGTACGCCAGTAGCTTTGTGCATGGCCCTGGGGACGAAGTCGAAGCCAATGAAGAAGAGGGCAGTGAAGAGGAGAACGACGGTGGGTCAGAGAGCGAGGAAGAAGTCAACCAAAAGAAGCAGATACCTAACAAAAGTCCAATGGAAACCCTCCCTCCTCGAGCTCCATCAGCGGCCTCTTGTCAAAGTGATGCGCACGCCACGCGTCTCAAACAACAGGAGCGCGAGCTCGCCAACCATATTTCACAAAACCCACAGCCGTACAGCGACTACCAATATAGCGCAGAGCAACCCGCACACAACTACCCACCCATGCCAATGTACAGTCCTCAGGGATACTCCGGTGCGTCTCCTGCTGCAATGAATGCAGTCGTCAATTCACCACCAGGATGGGCACCCATGCCCTCATTCCCAGCCCCATTAGCCATCGGCTACGCGCCTCACCAATCCCCCGAAGCGGCGCATGCACATCCCCTATCGATACGACCCCCTGATGGTATGCTTCAGTACATGCCCCCGCCTTTTTCCCCACATCCAGGGCAACCGCCACTCTACCAACAGCACGCGCCGTCGTCCAGCCAGACCAGACCAACAATAGTGGGTTACGAACTCCTAGCCAACGAGCTTAGCGGATCGTCGTCGTCGTCGAGCTCCCATGGCCGGAAGAAGCGTCTCGTGCCCATGTACCGAAAGTTCTCGCACCTAAACCACCGCGTCTTGCTTCACCTACAAGACGAAACGAGTGAACTAGAAGAAGAGCTTCGTCACCTAGACGAATGCATTGCGCAGATAACCCCCCGAGATGCGGAGGGGTACGCGTACCCTGCGTCGAGGCGGAGTGACGCACGCTACGGTGGTGAAATGCACTTCAAGAGGACCGAACTCCTGGGGCGTATCTACCAGAAGCTAGAGCAATACAGTAAGTTGTGGCTTAACTCAAATGCACGAGATGAGATCGTCGCTGCCACCGATCATGATCGGTCCCGCTGACTCGGTACAGACAAGGCTTTATCTTCGTTTAGCAACCTCTCGACGAGTCTCGTTCCTGCCACCGCTAAAGACGTGCAAGCCTACCGCGCGTGGATGGACGAGCACGACCCAGTCGATGAGGCGGAATCTCACTTCCTCGAGCAAGACTCTGATTTAGTGACGATTTCGCGGAAGCCATCATCAACTGTTACTGCTAGCACGGCAGCACAGCCGGCAACCGGACAAGACGCGTCCCAGTCAGCGCCATCAGCAGTATGGTTTCCACTAACCCTCGTGATACCCCTCATGGCGTTTGCGATAGTCCCTAGTTTGCTCGGACGCCTCGTCGTTATCGTGCTTATCGTTGGCGCGGAGCTAAAGCTGATCATGTCGACCCCTAAGCTCATGAGTTTACTGTCTACGCGTGAGTGGACTGCGGCTGCTTCAATGTGAGTTCCTTCCTTTCTTCCTTCCTTCCTTTCTCTGAAGACTCTCTCTCCTGCGCCCAATCAAGTTACGACCGCGCAAATGTCGTGACGTCTGTCATCGAACACAAGCGACAAGGGGAAGGAATGCGTGGGGGGGGGCACACCACCTCGCAACTCGGGAAATTACCATTCACATACTCTCGGGAATATGTTCAATAACGTCTTTTCACCCACACACACACGTATGATCGGGTGGAGACAGGCCAACAAGCACCGCCTCAGAAAACGGTTCAGGCTGGAAAATAGGAAAGTTGAGGCTAACGCAAGACAAACGCAGCTATTTCGGGGTAAATGTGCTCCTCGCGGCCCTGGTGCGCTGACGGGCACTGGATTGGTTTTGGATCATGAATGGATGGGGTTATTTGGTTAGTGCCGAGGTCGTCGCTGACTCGGCAGGGTAGGCGGGCGGCGCTATATGCAGGCGTTCAGGTGGAGGAGGAGTTTGGCGGCGCAAATGATCGCCCATGGTTTCGGGCGCACGGGCCCAGGTACAGTCCACGGGTAACAAACTGGGCGCAATGCGCGTCAAGGTATCAATGTGTGCCTGTATACCCGCAGCTGCTCACAAGTCTGACCGAAGAGATCGCGAGGGAAGTGTGGAGTTGGAGTTGGCCTTGTTTTTTCTATATCTTGTTTCCTGCGGCGAAATGTCTTGTTGCCGTGTATGCAATGCATGTAATGTAGTTGTACTATATAGGTTCGCAGGCGTTCACTCTATCTGTTCGGCACGGCGCGGCGCATGAATGATGATGATGGGGACTTGCTTGCGTTGGAAGCAAGGAAGAAGGTGTGTAGCTTACTAGAAATGATTGGAGCCCGCTCTATTGGTATATTCCCCTTGGTTTCCGACTTTTTGCTTTGCCCATCTTAGTGGTAGGAATGGTATACATAAACGTAAACAGGGCTCGGATATGCTGTGTCCTGCAAGCGGAGCGTGGGCGGCTACCAAAGTACTCTATCCAAGGCATGCACATGAATCGCTCGCAGCTTGCAGGATTCATTGTTCAATCTCCAGCCTTTGAAGGAAGGAAACAGAGCGGGGCTATGGCGTGATGGGATTCCGAGCGACTCGATCCCTGTGCACTGCTGCAGGTGATGTATGAATGTGACGGGAATTAATAGATATGTGCAAGTGACTTTTTTTTTCTTTGGCGATTGTCCCGCGGCTTTGCGGATCCTGTGGCGCAAAGTGTATTGGTATCACGGTTATTTGATAGTCAAGGATTGCCGATCGCTAGCGTGCGGAAGAGTTTATCAGTTGGCAACATTGCGATAGCCATGATTGTTTCTACTTGATGGAGCGGAGAGAAGGATCATCGGACCGAAGACGTAAAGTGGAAAATGGGATGGGTTGATCGTCGACGCTCGACGAAAAACTTGATCAGTGACGAGTCTTGATAACGGCGACCAAGGCTTTTCCGATGCCGTGCCCATGTCAATCGATGACGGACGGTTAGAGTGGCATGCTGGGCAATTTAGCAGCAAGGCAAGCAGGTGTCGGCACGCTATGGCCCACTCCTCCACATGTTGGTGCAGCCCGCCGCCTTGTATCTACCGTGGTACGAGCCAAACGAGGACGTCGGCGCGTCTTCCTTGTGTCGTCGGCAGCCAATATCTCTGGCACTGCACAACTGTTATGAAGGTGACTCTCAGCCCAGTCAGCTCAATAGCCTCGACAACGGACTAGTTGATCGAGACATGTACGGCCGCCGGCAAACGGAAAGTCAAATGCATGCTGATTGGTGTCGGGCTTGACGTTTGCTAGTCGGCCTTAGCCAGGAACCAGCGGCGTCGCTTGGGCGCGGACCATGTTCTGCTTCAGGCACAGAGGGCGTGAGAGGATCGGGGTTCAGGGGGAGGCGAGCGAGCAGCTGACCACGGTTTCAGAGAAAGTTGAGGAGACGAGGCCTGTCCTCTAATGAATACCGACACGGGCATTGCCAGAGCAGGGTCTGCACACACTCTGGCCCGTCTACTGTGTAGGTTGCAGGGTACTGTCTCGCTCTATCATGTACGCATTGAGGTAGTCAGTCGGTTATGTTGTTGTGGGTGCCCGTTTGCCCCTGCCTCGTTTGACGTCCCACCTTCCTGCAGCTCGCGGCCTCCACGCTTTCTTGGCCCACTCTTGCACCAGCAACTGAAACACGCGTGAATCTGTAGTTGGCGACATGGACAGAGACTAACTACTACACAACTGCACTCGCCCATTCACCCTCTTCGTCCCTTGGAACTCAGCCTCGGTCGCCTATACCCAAGTCCACGTCCAAGTCCAAGTCCAAATCCAAGTCCACGTCCGGGTTCGCATCTGCCGTAGCATCGCGCTGCCTCTCTGGAATGTCGCAGCCTGCCCATTGCCCACTCACCGTCTGAGCTCCCCCGCAGCCCCCTCTCGACCATTCACGCCCTTCCTGCTGCCAGCGCCCTCTCCGACTACTGGCGCACCCCCTAATTCAGCTGCCAACCACGCTGCACTTTGCACCTCTCGCTCTCTCTCGCTGGACGGGTCCTCCCGCTGCAATTCCGCCCTAGACGACGCTGATTGATCGACGCCCATCCGCGACCGCGCCTACAAACAAAGTCACCGCCTCCTGCCCGTCGCTCTCTCCGCGACACTACCCCTCTCCAAACATGGCAGTCTCTATGCTGCACGCTCCTTCGCGAGCCTCGACGTCTTCATCGTCGTCGTTTGTGCCCGTATCGCGCCAGAACACAATGTCCTCCCACGATGGATCGCGCTCGGTGCGCCAGTCGAAGCGCTACTCTGTTACCGCCTTGTACCTGTCCATGTCCGCCAAGGACAAGGAACTCGAGATTGAAGATGACCTGGCTAGAGGTACGAGGCTACCCGCCTATAATGCGCCATAGTAGGCTAATTGTTGGCAGCTCAGAAGATACTCCGTGAACTCAAGGCCAAGATCTCGTCGCAATCCAAGAAGAACTTCGTCCTGGAAAAGGATGTGCGCTACCTTGACTCACGGATAGCCCTGCTGATTCAGAACCGCATGGCATTGGAAGAGGTGCGCTCTACGCCTTACTTCTTGTCTTGTCTCTTACGCGATACTGACTACTTTGCAGCAAAATGAAGTCGCCGACCACCTTGCAGACGGCCTCGAACTCCAGGAAGGTTTCTTTCCCAATGACGAGAAGACGCAGAAATACGGCAATCTGCTCTTCCTCCTCCAATCCGAACCACGCCACATTGCCCACCTATGTCGACTCGTCTCCATGGCCGAGATTGACGCCTTACTACAAACTGTCATGTTCACAATCTACGGAAACCAGTACGAGAGTCGCGAAGAACACTTGCTTTTGACCATGTTCCAGGTATGTTGCGCGTCCAGCTTTCGTGTGTCACAACTAACCTAGCTACAGTCAGTACTCACGTACCAATTCGATAGTACCCCAGACTACAGCTCGCTTCTGCGCGCCAACACCCCAGTCTCCCGCATGATGACCACATATACCCGGAGAGGACCCGGTCAGAGCTACCTCAAGGTTGTCTTGCAGGATAGCATCAACTCCCTCATTGAGCTAAAGGATCTCGACCTTGAGATCAACCCGCTCAAAGTGTACGAGAAGATGATTACTGAGCTTGAGATTCAAGGAAACCTTCCCCCAAATCTGCCCAAAGGAGTCACAGCAGAGCAGGCGGCCGAGAACGAGACTGTTCAGAATATCATCACACCGCGAGTCAACATGCTCATGGAGATTGCCAACAACTTCCTCACGACCATCATCAAAGGCCTCGAGGAGACACCATACGGTATTCGATGGATATGCAAACAGATTCGAAGTTTGACGAGACGAAAGTACCCTGATGCCCAGGATCAGACCATATGCACCCTCATCGGAGGCTTCTTCTTCCTGCGCTTCATCAACCCTGCCATCGTTACCCCGAGGTCATATATGCTCATTGATGTGCTGCCAGCAGAGAACCCCAAGCGGACATTAACATATATCGCCAAGATGCTGCAGAATCTCGCAAACAAGCCATCGTATGCAAAGGAGCCCTACATGGTCAAGTTGCAGCCCTTTATCCACCAAAACAAGGAGCGAATCAACAAGTTTCTGTTGGATCTCTGCGAAGTGCAAGACTTTTACGATACACTCGAGATGGACAACTACGTTGCTTTGTCCAAGAAGGACCTGGAGCTTTCCATTACGCTGAATGAAGTGTATGCGACGCACTCGCTTTTAGAGCGACATGCTGCCGAACTGGTAAGCAAACCTGAAGCTTCAATGCGCATTATCAAACTAACGTCACCAGGCCAAGGAAGACAGTTCGCATCTGGGTGTCATTCTACAGGAACTCGGTACTGCGCCAGCACAGCTTCCACGGAAAGAGAACCGGGCTATCAATCTCCCACTATTCAGCAAATGGGAAACGCCACTCGACGATCTCACAGCAGCGCTGGATATCACGCAAGAAGAGATCTTCTTCATGGAAGCCAAGTCGACATTCGTTATGATCCTCCGCTCGCTCCCCTCCAACACCTCCATTACGCGACGGCCATTGCGACTAGACAGGATTGCGGAGGCGGCTGCTACAACAAAGAACGATTCCATCATGGTCAAGAAGGGCATTCGCAGCATGGAGCTCCTAAGCCAACTGCAAGACCTCGGCGTAATTGACAAGGAAGACGGTTTTTCTTTACTCAGAGACGAAGTTGAACAGGAGCTGGTCCACTTAGGTTCGATGAAGGAAAAAGTCATCGAAGAGACGCGGAAGCTCGAAGAAGTCTTCCGCACAATCCGCGACCACAACGGCTTCCTAGTCAGCCAGCTCGACACATACAAGTCCTATCTCCATAACGTACGCAGTCAATCCGAGGGCAAAACAAGGAAACAACAAAAACACCAGGTCCTCGGCCCTTACAAATTCACCCACCAGCAGCTCGAGCGTGAAGGCGTGATCCAGAAGAGCAATGTCCCTGAGAACAGGAGAGCCAACATCTACTTCAACTTCACGAGCCCGCTCCCGGGTACCTTTGTCATCTCGCTGCACTACAAGGGAAGGAATCGCGGGCTGCTGGAACTTGATCTTAAGCTCGATGATTTGCTTGAGATGCAAAAGGACAACCAAGAAGATCTTGATCTGGAATACGTCCAGTTCAACGTGACCAAGGTGTTGGTCCTCCTCAATAAGCGATTCGCTCGTAAGAAGGGGTGGTAGGGCCGTTCCCTTGTACTTCCTGCGCGCGATACAACGTCCAAGTCACGAAGAAGATACGATACCCCCGATTATTACTACGTCTTTCCTGCTGTTTGACGCCACGCCATACAATTACCGACCCACATCGAAATCACGCCTTATCTCATCTATCCCTCCACACATACTTTCTCATTACTACGATTCATCTAGTTACCAGCATCTCGGCGCCGGAGTATAGGCGTATATTGGGCGCTCCTAAATTCTTCGAGGATACCCCCTGGTGTGAAAGGATTGGTTTGGGCTACTACCAAGGACACGGTGGAAACGTCTAATTTCCGTTCTTGCTCCGTTTCCGCAGTGTCGTTTCTTTTGGCGGGTTATTCTGAGCTGTGGCAGTTCGTTTTTTCTGGTTCTAGCTGCGCTGTTTATGGAACGTTATGCACTTTGCTTTCTTTTCGTCCACTTGGTGCTTGCTTTTCTCACTTTTCAATTACAACTGTCTCTCGCTACTAATACGAGGTCGTCGGCAGGATCCGAGGTCCATCTCACCCTTTATTTTGGTTGCCTTTTCCTTTTGAGCGAACGAGCGATATCCAAACTATTTGTACGATATATGGAATGCGTATGCAATGGTGTCTTATGGGGGGGGACAAGGTAGTATAAGTGTAGTTCCAGTCCATGGAACTCTTGGGAATTGCGGATTTCTGCGTTGCAATGGAATTGAGCTATTTGTAGCTCGTTGTCACAAAGAATGTGTCGCATATGCCTGTGATATACGCCAAGTGAACAACTCAGCAGAGGACGCATACATGGCGTGCGTTGTTCCGGTGTGTGCGTGTCTGGTCGGGTCAGGAACCGGGTGATAACGGTCCCTAGTCCTTCGACACGCTTGCTGCTACGTCACTCCTCAGTACCCAGATGACCAGACCTGACACCCCGGAATTATCCTCTGACCCAATTTGCCCCGCCGCGGCCATGACCGTATTTCGTTGCGCACTGGATGTCGTCGGCTCCTGCAGGTTCGCTTTCCAGCATGCTTTAGATGTATAGAGCAGCGAGATAAGATAAGAGATAACAACCTTGTACATGACGCTACGGCTACGAATGCATGCATCATGCAACATGCAAGGTGGATAGGCACGCAAGGCAGAGAGAGACATGAAGTGCGGGTGCCTGTCACACGTGCCCCACGCCCCATACAGTGAGGCGTGACGCGCCATTGCAAGACACGGCCAATCACAACAACACACCTTGCTTCCGCCTGTCGATCGCCCGCAATCCGTGGAGTCAGACGAGGCTACGACGACGAAACGGACTGGGCGTGGTGTGAGTCCGAGGTTGTGACTGTCCTTTCTCCAACTCTTCTTCTTCCTTCCTTACTTCCTCCACTTGTTTCCTGTATGATTGTATATGATTGATTCGTAAACGGTGGTTGTCTTTTGCTGCCTGCCTACCTGCTTGCTTTCTTGACTTGTTCATTTGCTATCTATCTCGGCCGTCACTTATCATCATCGTCGTTGTCGTTCCAAAGACACAATGTCGTCGTCCATTGCGATACCTAAGCGTAAGGGCAAGGGCCCTGCTCATAACCCTCGGAACTCATCCTCGTCGTCGTCATTCGTGGCTTCCACACCCGAGACACCCAATCACTACAATTACAACTTCTCGACGCCTTCGCCGACCCGCTTCTCGTACGCCGGAGGGGGGAGTAGCTATGGTTCTACACCTTCGTCAACGTCGTCGTCGGGGAGTCCGACACAGAATAATGCGAGTAACATGCGCCGCCGAGAGAGCCTAATGAGCGAGACGTTTGCTCGACAGGAACATATCGTTGTGAATGTTGGGGAAGAGGATGAGGGGGGTCTCAGGCTGATCACTTGTGTCAAGGCTAGTCAAGGGTTTGATTGGAATCAGGGTATGTGGTTTTCTCTTCTCTCCTCTATCTTTCTCTCTCTCTCGCTCCCTCTCTAGTGTTGTGGTACTTTTGGTTATGAGAGTAGAAGATGTGGAAAGTAGGCTAACAATCTAACAGAGATGTTTCTCCCTTCCTACATAGACTACCATTTCGATGACCTCGAGCGACGACAGGATCCTGTGCAGGATATCATTATCACGGATGAGGAGGTTAGGAATATGTTTCCGCAGTAGGGAGTTGGGTGGGTGGTCTGGGGAAGGGGATACTTGTCCGGTTATGCGCATCGATTCCAGGCGCGGGTTGAGGGATAATGGATGGAGCGCATGCTTTGACATTTTTTACGCATGACGCGATATCGAAATCATGTTTATATGGGCTGGGAAAGGATAGGCGTTTGGGTTGAAGGTTTCATGATAGGAGATTGGATGGGTGACGGCGTTGCGGGATGCGTTTATTCGCTACTTGACGGGCTTTTAGGACTGTTAATAGGCATGTACTTTGAATCAAGCGATACATAAGCTACATTGCTATCGCTAAATGTTCAGCTGTCTCATGACTATGTTTGTTCACAGCTTCGCAGAGGGTGCAGCGACCCCACACCTCGGCCCCCGATAAGACGGGCTGATAAGGCGATCAAAGTCGCGCGCGGTCCATGTTCCGCGTTCGCAAACAAACAGCCAAAACAAAGTCAACCACCATACCAACAACCGCCATTCCACTCCACAGACTACACATCCGCGTCTTCAAACAGCCCTGAACATATATCCATCTCCCTAGAACTCGCGCACACCATCCGCCGTATCGAGAATCCACGTTGCACCTACAAATTCCTTTCACGGGCGCACACGCGCACAACACAACCCTCACACTACCACACACACACACACACACACACAAAACCACCCACCCACCCACAATGGACCCCTCGCACCGCAAAATCGAACTCCAATCCCCCTCCGACTTAACCTACCTCACATCCCGCATCCGCACAGCCGCGCGCCAAAAACTCGATCTCCACCTGCCCCCCGTCCCCTCCTCAGACACAAACCCCAACGCACCCGACGAACTACGTCGCTCCGTCGAAGACCTCGTCGACATATTCGTTGCGCATGTTTTACAGGGAATGCGGCATAACATTAGCATAAACGGTATCGACGTTGTGTCCTCTCAAGGAGATGAGGGGGAGCGGATGGATGGGATAGTAAATGGAGACGGAGGAGGAGAAGGCGGGTCAATGGTGGAGAAGGAGGAGTATGAAGTTTTTGATGAAAAGTTGCGGGGAGAGCTGAGTGCAATGGTAGCGAGGCGCGATGCACTTGTTGGTAAGATCAGTCAGCAAAGAAGGACGACGCCCAAGGTTGCGGCCGAGGAGTGGATGAGGGCATTTGAGGAAGAGGGCAGAGTTTGGGCGGAGATGACTGAGTCGTTGAGGAAAGAGGCTGCTGGGGTGGGTGGTGGAAATGCGGGTAATGGAGTTGCGGGAATTGCAGATGTAGAGACGATACAGAGACAAGAAGAGGTTGAGAGGAATTGGGAGAAGGCGGTGCAGGCACTGCAGAGGTTGAACAAGGGGTTGCCGGAGACGAGGGCGAGATTGGAGAGGGCGGGGGATGTGGTGGGGTATTTGGGGGTGCGAAGAAGTGAAGAAGTAGGGAATATTATTTTGAAGGCGTTTGGGAGTGCATGGTGTACAGGCGTTTTTTTAAGAGTATGGGTTGGGTTTGAAGGGGATGGGATGGTATACCCACTTGTATCACTACTACTGGTACTGCATCAGCAAAGTATGCGCAGTTTGCTATATTCATATAGATAGTTCAATACGCCGAGAGTGAGAGTTGTGTTTGACAACATACCTTTTACCGTAACAACCACCTTGTTTTCACATGAGATTCAAAATTACTAAGTGTCGTCACTCAAAAGAAACAAGCCAGTTCCAGGTTTCTCAATCAGCCGAAACAACTCTTGCATTCTATACAATACACGACGTCTTCCTGTCGATGTTGAACTATGCCCTTGGACTATGTTGCATCGTGACGCTAACGCGACATGGTAGTTCTTTTCATCCACGCTGACCGAACCCAATCATCGCTATACCATGTCCATACCAATTCGCAAAATATCTCGATATGAATGACCCACCAAAGTCATCATCTTTTCGCGCAATCAGCATTTTAATCACATGTGGGAACTATTTCGGCAACATTCGGCGCGTCAAGCTTGCAAAAACTATACGTCATGGCGTCAACGCCGACCTCCGCGTTGGTCGTCCCGCAAGCACCCGGGGGTCGTTGATAATGAAAAGTTCAGTTTCCTTTGTAATCGGTTTACTTTTTTAATCTCTGCTGCGATTCAAGGGATTTATTTGAACGTGACAGAGTAAAGATGCTTTCGCCGGCTCGTTTGTCGATGTTGCCGGGTGGTATTAGGGAGCTTGCGGCCAGCTCGCGCACGGGATCGCTATGTCGAACTGGCGCTTTGATAAGCAGCAAATATGGCAAGAGCTTGGAACAAAGAAGGACAATTACTATTGAGCAGTTGGATAAAGCGAGAGACAGTAAGTACTCCCCATTACCAACCTCCTCGCAAGATGATACTTTTCTCTGGCAGGAGGAGAACTTGTTTACTAACAACTTCCTCTCAGACCGCGAGCGCGTAGTCATTCTAGGATCAGGATGGGCAGGTTTCACAGTCGCACGCTCTCTCGACTCCTCAAAATTCCAAACCTTGGTCGTATCCCCCCGTTCCTACTTCGCCTTCACCCCTCTCCTGGCGTCCACCGCTGTCGGCACGCTGGAATTCCGAACTGCGCTAGAACCCGTGCGGAGCCGACGAACGAAAGTCGACTTTTTTCAGGGATGGGCTGATGATGTGGATTTCAAGAATAAGACGATTACCATTGAAGAGGCGGTTGATGATCCGAAACAAGGTGTTGCACTAACTACAGATCGACACGCTGGACAATCACCGGAAGAAAGAGCTGCGGAGAAGAAGAAGGAGGCGAAAGTGGGAAAATTGTTTGATGTGGAGTATGATAAATTGATTGTGACGGTGGGATGTTATAGTCAAACGTTCGGCACGCCGGGTGTCAAGGAACACGCCTTCTTCCTCAAAGATGTAGGCGACGCACGCAGAATCCGGAATCGCATCCTGGCCTGCTTTGAAGGCGCGGCTTTACCCACGACTTCCATCGAGATGAAGAAGCAGTTGCTCAATTTTGCTGTTGTTGGGGGTGGACCTACGGGTATCGAGTTCAGCGCCGAGTTGCACGATCTGATCAACGAGGATATGAAGAGACTATATCCGGAATTAGTTCAGTACCACAAGATCACTGTCTACGATGTCGCAGAGAAAGTGCTCCCTATGTTTGACAAGAAACTCGCGGGGTATGCGATGCAGAAGTTCAAGCGCAAGGGCATTGACATTAAGACGAGTCATCATGTGGAGGAGTTGAGACCGGGGGCGCCGGCTGAGAGGAGCTTTTCAGATGATGTAAACGACTACCATTTGTACACACTCAAGATCAAAGAGGAGGGTGAGATTGGTGTTGGCATGTGTGTTTGGAGTATACTTTCCCCCCCTTTATCGTCTGGATATCAAAAGCTAATCGTGATAAACAGGCACAGGACTGATGCAAAACCCCTTCGTTCATCACGCCCTCTCTTCCGTCCGCGAAGCGCCCACAGATCTCTTCCTACCCTCATCTGCCGACCAACCCTCCACCCCCGACAAAGAAGTGAAATGGATAGTGAAGAAACATCCCAAATCTGGCTCCATAATAACCGACGACCACCTGCGCATCAAACTCATTCCCTCGTCCTCTTCCTCTACCTCTTCCTCACCATCCACCAAAGAAGCAGGAGGAGATACCTCCAACAAAACCGAAGCAATCCACCCCTCCGTCTTCGCCCTCGGCGACTGCGGAATAATAGAATCAACAACCTACCCCGCCACCGCACAAGTCGCCTCCCAAAAAGCCTTTTGGCTAGCCAAACGTCTCAACAAAGGCGACCTATCCCCTTCTTCCCCCTCAGAGTCTAAAGGCTTCACATACCGTGACCTCGGTACCCTGGCCTATATCGGCAACTGGAATGCGTTGTTCCAAGGGGGCGGAAAGTGGGGTGGGAGGTTGCAGGGCTATGTAGCGTGGATTATTTGGAGGGGAGCGTATTTGACGCGGACGGTTAGTTGGAGGAATAAGGTTCTTGTGCCGGTTTATTGGGTTGTTAATTGGATTTTTGGGAGGGATGTTAGCCGGTTTTAGATGGGACTGGGGATTGGGGGTAGGGCGAGGTGGTGGATAAGGAGGAGTGTACTATCAAGTCTGAAGGCGAGACCTTAGGCTTCAGTGGAGCCATATAACGATGTGCCATCACCACTGACAAGTCGTCAAGGTAACATGATTGGAATGTTTGTCACGACGAGGGGTACATTCTCAGCTATAACTTCGCAGAGTTGATTATGCTAATTCTACTCTTTGTAATACAGGACATGTTAGACGAGTGCGTACTCGTCCCGATGTCCAGCTTCCGGGCGCATCCAGTTGTAAGAATAAAAGCTTTGATGTCCTTCAAACTGAGCGGCGTTAAGCATGACATGTACCAAAGCTTTTTTGGAGGGCCTCAAGATGAAAGGAACGTTGTACCCAAACAAATTGGCGATAACGTCACCGGCTTGTATCCCGACAGTATCTGGATGCCAAGTCAATGCAAGATCGCCTTCTTTCGTAACTATCAGACATCGACAACCCAAACCTAAGTTTTCATTATTGTGAGCATCGAAATCGTCCATCATTACACTCTCTGGATGGTATTCGTTCTCAGTTGCTAGTAAATGAGTAATGAAGTCATTCAAATTGTTGTTCAGTCCGTGTATGGAGCGTAGTACATCTGATAGACGTTGTGGTGTTATGTTGAGTGGCTTTAGCACCCTGTGATAGAATTCGTATAGCGTAGCCGGTATCGAGGTTGTATCATGGCTTATCTCATCCGCAATTGTTTGGCAGGATAGAACGGCTAAGATCGTGCCGACGTATCTACCTTGTGTAAAAAGAGTCTGGCAATCTTCCGACAGGCGCACTAAACCGTTTCGCTGCTTCTTCTCATGCAAAGGTAGTTTTTCAACTTCCCCAGTTTTGTTGAATTCGTTCCGATGAAAGCCCAGCATCCATGAAGGCTTGTAGACGATTTCATTAGATTGTATATGGGGCGGGAAGGGTAACTCGAGATAGTACCCTGGGGATTCTTCTATGATTTCGACCACAGTAGCCTCGGCGAGGACTTGTAGGAGACTTTTCGCATAGTCAGCTACAATTGGATCGGTCACTAGAAATTGACAGACTCCAAGTAGACCGTAGATCTTATCCCGGTCGTCAGTAGCTTGTGAGGGGGACGACTTGGCCAGCCACCACGATAGGCTGCGATTTTTCCCACCCTCATATCTCATTGTGTTCAAACCCTCAAGTGGCCGAATAGAACAAAATAGATCATGGTCCAATCTTGCAAACTCCTCATCGAGAGTTCCAAGGGTCTCGCTGTGTTTATAAGCAACGGCTTTAGCCGCTTCCTGACTTCCTTTTATAGCGTAAAGAAGATCTGGCCATCTAGTAGCGTGGCGTCCTATGTGTACAACTGGATCTTCTTTGGCCAAGATAAACTCTTGGATGATCCACAAACGCCTGAACCAGGGTTGGGACATAATATCTAAGAGATGACCCAAGAAATGACACACGTCGGAAGCCAATGTAATCGGCATTAGAAACCTGGACATGGCTAAGAGACGTTCCTGAGACCGAAAGATAGGAGTGAGCATTAAGTTGACTAGACGCGATCTAGTGAGAAGTTTAGAGAAGGTTGTTTGACAGCGCTCTTGATCCGGGCACGTGGCGGACGGTACCCATTCTCCAAGCCATATCAGTACAGTCTTCGCTGAACTGTATATCATAGCCATGTGCTGGACCTGATGCGATCTCTCCTGAACATCGTTCTGGTTGATACACAAGGCGTCAACCCACAAGATGCGAGACCGGTTAGCATACCGCAGGCGTCTGAGGCCAAGATCCAGGCTTTTAGTCATAGAAACCGAGGCTCCGCTAAGAAAAGCCTCGCGCGGGCTAATAGCTGTTCCCCACGCATACGAGAGGGCCTCATAGTCTATCTTTTTATTTGGCTTCTTTGTGCGCAAGCACATGTGAATGGTATCGTCGTATCGTCCGGGCAGCAATTGTAATAATCGGATTTCCCCATTTTCGGAATCGATCCTCTCATATGCGGGATGGGGTGGACCGGGAGGTTTGAGGGCTTGGGGATGGTCTTCCAGGGGAGTCTCATTCATTGCGAGAGCCAGCTGAGCCGTTACTCAGCGGGAAGAGAACTAGAGGTGACCGCAGATTGACCCGAGAGACCATGGGGATGCCAGGGCAAAGGTCATAAGAGCGCGTAGTCTCAGGGGGAAAATGAGGTGAGGTAGTTGTGATACTAGGGGAGCAAGAGCCACTGTGTCAATTGCGATTAGATTCTAGGCAGACACGAGGCTGGAAAAAATAGCTAAGCGGACGGTACGGATTAGACGCCATCCAGCACGCGCAGTAGGTGGCGTATAACTGGTTACGAGTCGAAGCGTACTGTATAAAACAAGGGCGCAACTTGGGCCGGGTGGTGGAGTGCACGTCCCACACAAGAAACCTGGAGCCAGCTTCCCAGCAACCCCAATGAGAGTAGCTTAAAAAGAACGCGTACCCCATCGCAGTACCTACAATTCTCGCACACCCGGTTAGACCAGCGACAGGATCACGATAGACATCAAGACAGATCCGCATGCCGTGCATGCATCCAACACTTAGGAAACATATCACAATATCACGGAGACATATTATATCTCTCCTCGAACCACTCGAGCCTTACTATATGCAAGAATCCATAATGTCTCCATAACCCAAGACAGTAAGCTGTATGTGTCTACTCAAGATCACACGCGTGCTGTTGCGCGGTATGCCACATCGGCTCGTCCAAATAAGCGACGAAGACGAGAGGAGGTCGTATACGTAGTCGACTCTAATAGAAATGAGGAGATGCCACCAGAAAGGACAATGCTATACAAAACCAGGTTTTGAGCATAGACCGAAATACTAATAGCTTCTTGGTATCATCAGAGACACACCGTAACGCATAGTTAGTAGAGGACGTGGAAAGAACTAATGTAGGTCTCGCGAACCGAGATTGCTACGTGTGCAGCAGTTACGCGTGTAACATTTTCGACAAGAGAGTCCCATCAGTTACATGCAACAAACACAACATCATCAGGGAATTTTCCTGCAGAAAGAATATGAAACCAAGTTATTCAAGAAGAGACTAGACCATTGTTAACGCCTAGAGCAGAGCCCACAACCAAGTAAAACAACGCAGTATAAGCACCAAGTTATGTAACCGCGTCGCACCTGCCTTTGCATCAATCAACACAGCTCGGCTGGAATGAGAGAGCTTCTAGAACGACGTCCTATCTTCATAGCAAATAAGATAGTAGAGACCAGCGAACAAACAGAATCGCATAGGAAACAAGTCGGCATTGACTCCCGGCGCTCAACGTAGAGGTTGACCAGATTTGAAGTACCTGTTCTTCGAGTGATACCCACAGTCTTCATACAAACGCCCGACACCCACCACCAACGACGATCACCACACACACCACATTGCACAGTAAACTCAACTCATGCCAACATTTGTCATAGATCGATAGGTAATATCAATATACTACAAAAATTTTCACATCTCAAAAATCCACCGACTATCATAAAGCTAAATCTGAAAAGGAAGGGGGTATCAAAAGGGCTAAAAATCCTTGTGAGAAGAAAAACCGTTTGCCAAACCGTCCTTGTTAGTAAAAGAAAAAGAAAAAAAGAGAAGAGAAAAACCCAAACTCCTCATCGTGGGATCCCAAACGTGAACGCTCAAATTTTGCGAAATGATAATTAGAATAGTCAAATCACTCCCCCATGCGCCTATTCTTGGGACTCTTCTTCGGCGGCTGAGTAAAAGAATCGCTCGTCCTCGCCCTCTTCAAACCCGGCGATGGACCAACCCTGCTGCTGCTTGCACTGCTGCTGGCCATGCTCGCTTTCTTCGCCAAGTTGACAGTTTCGCGAATACCGCCAACAGGACTGTTGAAACCGCTTCCGCCACCAGCAGTTGCTGCGGAACTACCAGCAGGAATCTCCTCAGCCAGTCGATCAGCCAATGCGGCGTCGTATTCGCGCTCACTAGCCCTCACAGCCGAAGGATCCTGTTGGCGAGCCGTAGCAAGTAAATCTACGGAACCGTCATCGCTATCCTCGTAGTCGGACTCTGAGCCTTCAGACACGTCGGAGGCGATGGGGGCGATATTGAGGATTTGCATGGCGGTTGTGGGACTGCCGGAGTCCGAGTCGCTGTCGGGTTCGGAGGAGGCGTCGGATGCGAGGTCTGAGTCGACGTCGCCGGAAGAGCAGGAGTCCAAGGGAAGAAAGGACGCGGGGGGAAGGGTAGAGCTGGGAAGGTTTTTCCGTGATGCGGAGAGGATTCTCTCTTCGATTACACGCTGGGGACTTGATCTAGGAGACTCAACCTCGGGAGATGATTGTTTAGAGTGGAGTGCGTCCTGGATGGCCTTGGGGTATAAGTTTGACCAGCGACGGGCGGCGACATGAGATGGTGCGGTCGGTACTTGGGATCGGCGGATGTGGATGGAGAAGTTGTCTTCTGGCTGTACACCACCCAGACCTGAAGCTTCAAAGTCCATTAGTTCTGGGCTAGTGTTTCCGCTGTCGTTCCTCAGGGCCTCTGGCGAGAAGCCAAGATCATCTCCGCTCGAAACAGTGCGTGCTCCGCTAACGGAGTCAACGTCCATTGGCGTAGTGTCCAAAGGGCCTCGGGGCTCGACCAGATCCAAGGATGCCTTGGTCTGTGGTAGACTGCTCTGTGTAGCACCGAGAGGCTGAGTTGTAATTGGTTGATAGTTGCCAGGCATTGTGAGGAATGCTCCGTTACGATCACCGCTCAGATCAGTGCAGAACTTGGCTTTTGTATAGAAAATCATGGGTCCGTCATCGCGTCTGCGAGGCTTTGATGAAGAGCTCTGCATGATGGAGCTGCTGAAACCTGAGGAGTTTCCAGCAGGTTGCGGCTGGTAAGAATAATTGGCTGAAGACTCGGCGTCGAAACCGTAAAAGTCATCTTCGTTCTCCGAATCATCCTTATGGAAGAAAAGAGGCTTGTAGGCAAACTTGTTCTGTTCCTTCTCCCGCTGGACCCGAGCTAACTTTCTTGCTTTTCCAGACTCGTCAAGCAGTTCACTACTGGTGCCGCTCGTGCCAGTCTTCATGCGTTTGAATGGCGACACGGAGCCAGTCTCGTTTGGTGATGCACCACTCCAATGCTCCGACAAGCTGTCGCCGCTGTGCTTGGTGACGTCGAGACCGCCCTTCCATCGAATCTTGCGCCCATCGCGAGATATCTCGAGATGAGTGCTGTACTCATGCAAGGCATCCTTGACAAACTCGGGTGTCACGTTCAGAGTGTGTAGTTGCGCCATGTTGATGAGCAGGTTGAGGTAGATCCATCCATGGCCGAGAGGTGCTTCTCCGGAGTTCATGTCTGGTGGGGTGAATCCAAGATGGCGAATATAGTCCATATTTTCTGTGGGCACCTGAGCACGGTAAGGGTCCAAGTCGAGCGGTCGTGTCGGTCGTTGATCAGGAGATGAGCCTGAGCCGGCAAAGTCATGTTCCTCAATGTGTAGACTGGGGCGGAATCCCTGGATGACTTCATCCTGAGGGGTACCCTTCTCTTCAGCAGCACTGGCACTGTGATCATTCCTTATGCGTGCTTCGCGCAGACCCTCGGGCTTGTAGTTCTGTCCAGTCGCTTCCCGCTGCTCGCGGTCCGCTGTAGCTGCTGACTGAGCTACCTCCTGTTGCTGCATTTGCTGTGGATGAGATCCGGCTGCCGACCGCTTGCCAGCAAAGATTTGCTCCAAACGGCGCACGACCATCTTCTTCTTTGATTTGTCAGTCATGGGAGCGCTCTTGTTGTTGTTGGGTAGCAGGCCCATGGGGATGTCGTGAAGATAAGAATGAATGGTTTCTTGTTGACGGCTGTATGCGGACTTGGTCATCTTGCGACGGTCGTTGTCTTGGTTAGTTGCCGAAGACTTGTGGCCAGATGCGGACAGGGAGGCGTAGCCCGACTCGGCAAATCGTGACGTTGAAGAAGCGGTGTTGTGTGTTTGGAGCGCCGGCGTGTATGCTGAGATGTCGGCGTACTCATTGGCGGTGCCTTCGTCAAGCTCAGAGGCGAACTTGCGCAGAGTCTCCTCGAGTTCCTTCTTCTTGTGGTCTGGCAGACCGTGAAACCTGACTTCAAACAACTTCTCCTCCTGTAGGTGGGCATCGTAAAGCTTCTCGTACTTCCTCAGTCTCTGCTTGAGTTTCTTGTTTGCAACAGTCAGGTCGTCAATGACGCTTCGGAAGTCCTCGGTGCTGCTGCCATCTGTGCCCATTTGGCCGAGGCCTGGGCGGTATGGGATGGCGGAACGTGCATAAGCGTACTGGGAGTTGTCGGGCGGCGTCTCGGACGAGGACGAGTTTCGAAGGAAGAAAGGCGGTTCGTCTACAAGCGACGGGTTAGTCAGGGCCCGACAGTTGGGTTGAGAGGCACTCACTGTCGACGAAAGAGGGCTTGCCCTGGCTGGCCGTGTTGTTTGTCTTCTCGAACCACTGTCCGGCGTCGCTGCTCTCTCCGGAACTGGTCTTGTTGGCGAGAAGCTGTGGCGAGACGCTCGATGGCGGGTTGGCCTTGTCGCTCGCCAGAGTTGGTGAGCTTCGGGTTGTGGTCGACTCTTTCGCCCTACGCCTTGGCACAGACTGAGGCGGGCTATGCCGAAGAGAGACGGATTTGTGGGCTGGTGGACGGCGTGGATGGGATGGCGCAGCCGCAGGTATTGTCCCAGGACGGTCGTTCATGATGGCTGCTGTGGAGTTGACAGGCTAAGCACGAAGGATGCTCCCCATGTGGGTAAGAGGGTGAATGTTCAAGTGCCGCCGGCTCCGTGTGCGTATATTGGAGACCAGGAGAGACTAAGACGTGCGTGAACAGCTCGAGTACGGGTAGCGAAGCAAGTTATCGTGTGGCCCAGGCTCGGAGGGATCACGGCTTAAAAAGGTCCAAGGCTTCTGCGGCGGTTGTTGGAATGAGAGGGGGTGTGTTTGATGGTGCGGATTGTAAAGCTGGTGGAAGAGGGTTCGGCGTGCGCTCTTGGTTGGAGAGGGCAGCCATGATGAACTCGATCTTGATGTGGGTAAGCAAGTCGATGCCCTCGATTTCTACGATGCCAAGACACGAGCTGGAGATCGAGGGTACCTGGGTGAGAGAGGCAGCCTGTGGCGTTCCGGCCTAGGTTAATTGCGCTAGATGCTACCGACGACCGCACGCAGCACCCCGGCACATCGTCGATGAGCCTCGTCTGAGAGCCCACCATTGCCCAAGAGGGAACACGTCGCTATTTTGTCCTGCCTGTAGACCCTGTTTCCGCTCGATGCCTCTCTCAATCGCTGATCACCGCCGACGGCCCGCCGCTGTATACACCAAGTCTGGCCATCCAGCCCGCGCATTAACAACGTATTCTGCCGCTCATCAACATGCCAACTAGGCCCGCATCTGACAATTACTGCACGACATGGCAGTCCTGAGATGGTTCTGATGGTCCAGACTCGTCGTTACAAGACACCAAAACCATCACAACAGAGTCATGGGCGGCACGAACCGCTGACACTCTGCACTATGCCCTCACCAGCCACACCTCACACATGCCACAGCCATCGAGATTGCAAACAACTAGCTCGGCATCTCCTGACGCGCGCTGCTTCGTGTCCCCTCCCTAAATGAGGTCACTTTTGCAACGGCTGGGAGGCATGCATCGATTTCCTGGACCCTGATCTGACCTTGGTTGTTCGGCTCCCACAGCCTGCTACGGTGATTGGCGGCATCCGCCCCGGGCAACAACGTGGTTGGTGTTTCTGCTGGTGCACTTGAATCGAATGCGCCGTGCTCAATCGCTGCCGCCATCGCCATCGAGGGTCATCAGAAATAAAGGGTCCAGCTGGAACACTCGCCAATGCATCGCACATGGCATGCATGCACCTGATCAGCGTCTACAGGGCACAGCAAAAGAGTCTTATTCAAGCCTAGATCCTCAGGGGGCTTTGGTGTTGGCATGAGCTGCTGACCATGACTGCTTGCTGCCCTGCTGTCCGTGGAGTATATTTTTCTCTCTTGGTGGGGTGATGCCACTTTCGACTTGAGATCACCGATTGAGCTCGGATCGCAGATTGCTTGTTACAAGAATGCAGGGCAAGGTGCTCCGCGAAGACGTTCCGGGCAAATCACCGAACCAACCAAATATCGTTTCCTATGTCACCAGCGCGTTCGAAGCCATTGGCGTTATTGAATATAAACTTGTTGTCCCCATCATACGATGGTTTTGTGGGAAATTTGGAGAGACTGAGTGGATGTCAGTACAAGACATGTCACATCTAAACTTTGATCTCGATCAAATGTGCCATTACATCGTGGCTAGCGTAGCGAGAAAAAATAGAAACATAGAAATACACACAATATAGTATAGCCTCGGTATGAAGCCCCGAACAACGGAGTCAACACCCACCGATGTATAGCATATGCGCCGATGTATACGCAAACTCAGATACGCACGCCCTTACTCCTCAGCACGTTCACGGCAGAGTGACCCGTGTAGTTGAGCCACTCACCCAGCCCTCCCATGAACCCACCAACCTTCATGAGGTCTTGCAATCTATTGTCGAGAAACTGTTCCGTCTCAACAAAGTTTGCCGATTTATCCTGCGTCATGTATACCTCGGTCGAAGAGTAGATGGCGGAGAGAGTTGCGCGCTTGCTGTACCAGCTGCTGTCGACGCTTTGATCGCCAGACAGAAACCAGATCTCGTCTGCGAGTCTTGCAAGCTCAGCGAACGATGCGGGGACGTACGTGGGTTGAGCCATGATCGCAAGTGCCTGTCAACCATCAGCAAGTTGACCTTCACTGTTTTGTACTTGTTGCCCTACCTCCTGCCACCGATGTATAACGGGTTCATTCGCTCGCAGTCGCGCCAACGTCAATGTCCTGACTTTTGCGCCAACGCCCATCTTCTTGCCTTGCTCTCCTTCCTCTGGAAATTGAACATTGTTCTGCAGGGCCAAGCGCTGGGTGACAAGATGGTAATTGATCAAATCGAAAACACCGCGTGGAAGCAGATTCGTAGAAACATCAAGATAGCCGGCGTCTCTCGCACCAAGCTTCAGCGCATCTATAGTGAAGCCATGGTTCGGTACGTGTGCATATGCGGAAGAAAGTATCGCAGACTCGGCGGGAGGAAATGGCGGCGGTTGAGCATAATCATACGAATGGTACAAGCATCGCTGTCTCAAGGCCGCTGCTGCTGGACGATTTGAGGCAGCTCGGAAAGTCCCGCGTAGCGAGTTGGCTAGTCGTGCTGGTGGTGGCATGTTTGATGTGCAATTGAAGATGTTCAGATCAGCCGATGCGGACAATTGCTGCCTTCTCCATAAATCTGCCAAGACCACAATCGATCAGATATCCACACTAACATCTCTGACGTCGGCGTCGATCAATTGCAGCGTCAACGGTCAGGTCCGACAATCGCTGGGAATGCCTGCAAAGATCCATGTACATGACAAAAGTGCTTTTCCACATGGCTACTAGGCACCGTTTCTGAAGGCTTGGTAGATCCACACGCCTGTATTTGCACAAGTTTTTGATCTCCACGTCAACACGTGACCGACGCGTCGGACGCGTCCACGCTAGTGGCAACCCTTCTAGATCTCATCCAGCATCGGCCTGGTAATCCACAAGTCCCCTCCAACAGACCTTCACCATCCGATCTTCAGGAACTCATCGGCTGCCCCGCAAATCTCAGAGGCGACATCCAGCGACCCAAACGCGATCTTCACGACGACAAACCCCACGCGCATCGCGGCTCAAACGTCCCCACCGCCAGCCTCAGTCGATTGTTCCAGCCCCAGATTCGAGAAGCCGTCTCTTCGTATACAACGATTGAATCTGCCATGGCACGCGGCAAGAATGTCGAGATCAGCGAGTATGAGCGGAAACGGCAGGAGAATATTGCAAAGACGCAGGCGCTACTGCGCAACCTCGAGATGGAGGCAGCAGAAGCTGGTCTAGGTCCCACAGGCAAGGCGAAGACGTCTGTACCTTCCAGACCAAAAGTAAAGAAGCCGACGCCGAAGAAGATCAAGCAAGAAGAAGTTGTGCCGCGGAGGACATCCTCACGGTTAAAGGGCATTGTGGCAGACAGTGAAGTTGCAAAGCGTAAAGCAGAGGACGAATATGTCGCCTTACAAGCTGCGGATCGTGCGAAGAGACAACGCGTTAGTGATGCGTTTAACTTCAGTGACATCGTCGTAGCAGGCAAGGACTGGAACAGGAGTGGAAACTTCCTCTCTGTTGGCCCTGCGGATCCGTATGCTCGGACATTCGACTACAATGACGTCAAGGAGACTACGGACAAAGAGTTGCGTGCACTGCGGGAACGCATGAGTGGCCTGCAACTATGGGAAGACTTTGAGCCGAATGAGATAAAGATTACACCGGAGCGCATATATTCCATGGGATTTCATCCCACAACCGAAAAACCATTAGTGTTTGCGGGCGACAAGCTGGGTAACTTGGGTATCTGTGATGCCTCCCAGAAAGCCGCCGAAGTCAAAGTAGAAGACGACGAAGATGCAGATCGCGAAGGACCGACCATCACAACCTTAAAACCGCATACACGCACAATCCACACCTTCCAGTTTAGCCCCCATGATGCAAACGCACTCTACACCGCGTCCTACGACTCCTCTGTTCGTAAACTAGATCTCGCCAAGGGTGTCGCAGTGGAAGTCTACGCCCCCTCCGACCCCGACTCCGAAGCTCCCTTATCCGGACTCGAAATATCAAAAGACGATCCTCACACGCTCTACTTTTCCACCCTGGACGGTGAATTCGGCATCTACGATATGCGAACGCCCTCTGAGAAGGCAGCAGGACTACAAGTCTTTCAACTTTCGGACAAAAAGATCGGAGGTTTCACTCTGCATCCTCTTCATCCGCACCTCGTCGCAACCGCTTCCCTAGATCGCACACTGAAGATCTGGGATCTGCGGAAGATTACCGGCAAAGGAGAGAATCGGTCACCAGCGCTCGTGGGAGAGCATACGAGTAAACTGTCCGTGTCGCATGCTGCGTGGAATTCTGCGGGGCAGGTTGCTACTGCGAGTTACGACGATACAATCAAGATCCACGATTTTGGCAACTGTGCGGAGTGGAAGGTAGGGACGGAGATGGGAGAGGAGGACATGGAACCGAGTGTGGTAGTACCACACAACAACCAAACTGGACGATGGGTTACCATGTGAGTTTCGCCCTATGGGGGAGGGATGGAGGTGGAACTCCCTCACACCTCTAATACCTACCCTTATACCCTCCCACCTCTAACAAACATTCTTTACTAATAATTCGTACCAGACTCCGAGCACAATGGCAGCAGTTTCCCCAAGACAACGTCCAACGTTTCTGCATTGGTAACATGAACCGTTTTGTCGATATCTACACTGCAAAGGGGCAGCAACTTGCGCAACTTGGGGGCGAGGGCATCACGGCGGTGCCAGCTGTTGCAAAGTTTCATCCTACCATCGACTGGGTGGCTGCGGGGACTGCTAGTGGGAAGTTGTGTTTGTGGATGTAATGTGAAGGGAGGGGAAGAGTAATGGAGGAGAAGAAGAGTGAGCGCTGGTTAGTGAAGTTGTAGTTTGGTCTTCATCTTGATACCCCCCCAGGAGGTCTTTTGCAAATTGCGCGCTACATTCTTTCATATTGGTTGTGTTACACCGCTGTTTCTTTGCGAAGAGTAAATCATTCATGCATGATTCCGAACAGCCTAGAAGATTATCGCATCATCGCATTATTGATTTTTGCGACGCGTGCATGTATGCGATCTATTGTGAACCATCGTCTGCTATTTCCTCGGCCAAATAGAGTAGTATCTCCATAGTATCGACAGGGGGCGGAACAGCGGTTCGTGCAATGCTTGAAAGAAGGGTAGCCGCATGCATACCATGAGGAATCTGCTGTTTGCTGTTGTTAAAGGTGTCTACCTAGATGGTACCGTGGCTCGAAAGCAGACTGGAGACTTCCTTGGAGTGAGTGCAAAATTGATGATGCTCTCTGTCATGGTAGCACAGACGTCCGACATATCCACCGCACACCATCTTCCGCGTCTGTCTTCATACTCTCCAAATAACCGGTCGTATCTGCTAGCAAGTTACCCCAAAGCAAAGCGCTGGAGGCAATACGAGATTTGGTGGATTTCTATTTCCGGATGTGGCAATGGAAGACGGTAGTGTAGGAGCACTAAGATAAGCGGGTGTGGCACCACACCAGCCAGCGCCAGCGGGGATTGTGAAATCCTTCGCCAGCCTCGTTTTATCCTAGTCCCCTTGCCTGGTACTGTGCCACGAAGTTGTTACCATGGTACCTCTTCATTGAGGGCGTGTAAACTGAAGTCACCGCCACACGGAGGCGCTCCGACGTGGAACACGTGTGTGATGAGAATACGATGGTGGAAGCAGCTATTGAGATGGAGCCTGAACGAAATGCAGCGGTCAGCTACTATGACTATCGATACTGACATGTGGAAAAATGTTTCAAATGCTACCGCTGCCACCGCACGGAACCATGTGCATACCGCCGCCCGTTATCGCTTAAGCAAGCAAGATGCAAGTGGCTGATGGTGGGAAAACCGCACCCGACATGGAACCACTATAATAGGTCACACAGCCAGTCCAACTCCCTAGCCTTGCATCTTGTGACATGGAAACACGAGGTCATGACCAACGACGATAATCCGGAGCAGCGTGCGGTATACGGCACGGTACGATACGTCAGGGTAAAGATATGACGTTCCTTTGTCGGACACGCTTTTGATTCCTGATGCAACGCTGCCGGCTAGTCCGGTCCCTCTCGCGTCACTGTTTCCAGTGATATTGACTGGGTTGATCATCGCCTGAAACATGCTTAGGGCGAGCTTTAAACGGCCGGGACATTACTGCGAAGGGCATGGTCTAGGGATTTTGCGTTGGTGCAGGGACCATACGAGGAGTGACGATGGCGCCCACGGTGGGGAAATAGGTGGATTGTCAATGTTACTTTACTTAGCAGATTAGTAGATTTGGAAGATGGCAGAACAAACCCCTCATCATCCGTGTGTATAAAGGAGTCTGCCAACGGCGCAAACAAAGTACCTCATCCTCAGCAAACTCTCAAAAGCAATTAGCAGCAATAATCACTTGAAGCTCCTCCCTTTTCTCAACCTTTGCTCCTGTCAAAGAAAACACTCGCTTTCGATACTATTCTTCTCATATAACCAGCAAGATGAAGTACACAATCGCCCTCTCCGCCCTCGCCGCCAGCGCAATGGCAACCTACTCCTCCGACTGCGCCGAGCCCTCGCACACCAAGACTGTCACCACCGGCGAACCTTCTGCGACGCCCACCCCACCCGCCGTCGACAACGGCTACTTCGGCGTCGTCTCCGCGCGCTCTGCCTCCCCCATCCACCTCCAATCCCTCACCGCACGCGGCGGCAAGTTCTACCTCGGCGGCGGACCCCCCTCTTCTTACTGCCCCGCTGAAACCATCGGCGCGGAGAACTGCCCACCGGGTAACAGCACCGTTCTCACTGGCGGTGCCGGCACCCTCTCTCTCGGTGTTGTGGTCCCTGGTGGCCAGCAAGTCTACGTTGCGCCCGACGGTGCGTTGAGCTACACAGTCGCACACAGCGCGTACATCCCCGAGGGCAGCGACATCGATGGCTTCAGCCGGACTGCTCCCACAAATGGGAATGCGTTCGGGTACTTGAACTTTGAGACAGGCTTCGTTGCTTGCCCGGCTGCTGAGGGAGAGGGATACCAGGTCTACGGTCAGATTACGACGGGTACCTTTGGTGACGACTGCTTGGGCTTCAGCGCTCTTACCGTTGCGACTGAGAAGCCTGGTGCGTGGCAGTACTAGGATTCCCGCGAAGCACCTGGAAATGGTGATAGTGAGGAACTTTAATGTCTGTCTATTCGATGTAATGGGATGGGGTAATGAACACTGATGAAGTGGATGCATACATTTATGGTGTATATACGACGCTCCTTAATGACTTGGGCACAAAAAGTAATATAATAGTAATGCCTCAATATGCTTCTTCTTCCCTCATATCGTGTCTTCCAATACCTCTCTAATGCGATTAACCTCTTCCTCAGCCGTGCCTTTCACATCTGTCCGAACAGCCACCGTCTTCTCTCTACCCCTCATGCCCTTGATAACCTCAACATCAGACTTTGCAACTCGAAGCGTATTAGCAATGACTTCCCTCACTGCCTTGTTTGCCTCGCCATCTTTTGGTTGAGCCGCAACGCAGATGTCGATACGCTCATCCGATACCGCTGCGATGCCCTCGCGGTTCGCACTAACCCCAGGCTTTACATGACAGAGCAATTGAATAGTCCCTGTGCAATTCCTCGCGGACTTTGAGGCCACGAAACGGATCGCGGGACCGGACATGGACGGCGTCGGGGTCGAATAAGATAGAGCGCATGTGACTGCGATGACCGGTGTGTAAGAAGGTCAGCTGGCTTCGCGTCTGATGCGGCTGAATCGCCAAAGCCGATTGCAGCCGCCCATTCCTCGCTCGGATTAGCATGGCTAACGCGCCTAACCAATCGCGCTCCCAGTGGCTTGCCCCAAACACCCCCAACCTGTACTGCCTACGAAAACAACAAACCTTTACATTGCAATCGTCCTTTAATAACGTACGGGCTACATGTCTTCTCAATTCCACTGCATGTGAAAAATGCCACGTTGCTACCGATGACCCCGTCCCACCTACCTAAAGCGAGATGGCGGCAAGTTGCGGTAGTGGGGGCTTTCTTACGGTACCAGACCTAAGATAAAGAACTACTTCCCCTAAGTGATAAATTTGACGAGAGCCTCATCGATGTTTCCCTTAAGTACAGGTGTACACGATGCAACGAAAATTCAGCGACACACAATTACCTAAGAGCTTGCGCGGTCCAGAGATAAAAGGCAGACTGCCTGCACCCATTTTGTAGATTTGTATTTCCATAAAATTCCTCGTTCTTGACAACGTAGTTAAAGTTGAGAGTGTAATTGTACGCATTGCGATATAAGCACCTTCTCTTTGCATTGCTGGATAAGCTTATTCCTTTGATCATCGCTATAGAGATTAATCACAAAAGGTAAGAGATTGCAGCGATTGCTTTTTATGACGTGGTATGCGATGTGGTGGTTGGTTGTCTGGAAGTCGCAGAAGTGCGACGAACAACCCACAAACAAAGCCCTCTCTCTCTCTCCACCACCTTATCCAACAAAACCGTTTGCGAATAATAACACTAACATCCTTCCCAGCAAAATGACTTCCGCACCCACAATACAGCCCAAGTTCTTGCCCAACAGGCATGACCTAGGCATCGTCGCAGTCGGCTTCAGCGGCGGCCAGGTAAGCCTTGCCCCCATTCACCTTACCTAGAAACAACACCAACCAACAATGCATTTCAGCCCAAAGCCGGCGTCGACGCCGCCCCCATGGCGCTCATCGAAAACGGCCTCATCAAGCAACTAGAAGAAGACCTAGAATTCAAAGTCAGCTACGATGGCCAAGTCCACAACTACACCGAGCTCCAGCCCTCAGAAGACCCAGACTACCGCGGCATGAAGCGACCCAAATTCGCCTCAGCCGTAACAAAGCAAGTTTCGGACCAAGTCTACGCCCACGCCTCTTCGGGCAAACTCGTACTCACACTCGGCGGCGACCACTCCATCGCCATCGGCACCGTCTCCGGTACCGCAAAAGCCATCCGCGAGCGTCTGGGCAAGGACATTGCGGTCATCTGGGTCGATGCACACGCTGATATTAACACGCCTGAGACGAGCGACAGCGGGAATATTCATGGTATGCCGGTTAGTTTCCTGACGGGATTGGCGACGGAGGAGCGCGAGGATGTGTTTGGTTGGATTAAAGAGGAGCATCGGTTGAGCACGAAGAAGTTGGTGTATATCGGGTTGAGGGATATCGATAGCGGGGAGAAGAAGATCCTGAGGGAGCATGGTATCAAGGCGTTTAGTATGCATGATATCGACAGACATGGTATCGGAAAGGTCATGGATATGGCCCTGGGCTGGATTGGAAGCGACACACCTATCCATCTCTCCTTCGACGTCGACGCTCTCGACCCCATGTGGGCGCCCAGCACCGGTACTCCTGTTCGTGGCGGTCTGACTCTCCGTGAGGGCGACTTCATCGCAGAGTGCGTTGCCGAGACTGGTCAGCTCATCGCGTTGGATCTCGTTGAGGTTAACCCCAGCCTTGATGCTGAGGGTGCTGGCGACACTGTCCGCGCTGGTGTTTCAATTGTTCGTTGCGCGCTTGGTGACACTCTTTTGTAAGCATGTATGGTTCATGGAGTTCTAGAGACATTTGGTCAGGGTAGACATAGATGATACGTGTAGACGATCAATGACGCAAGTTTACATGGCATTTGCACCATGATTCAAGAAGCTTCACTACTATTCGTAATATCAGTCATGCTATCGTGTACGTATAAGATTTATGTACTGTCTTGTTTTACTGGGAACCAAAAGGGTATGCTGACTGTAGAAGCTTCGCGGCTGTACATATTTCCAGGCAATGATGAACCTTTGCGACAAATGGTGTTTACATGCACAGTAGCAGAGTGATCATGTAGTTCAAACTTGCAAACAGGATAATTTTAGACGGCAGCAATGCATCGTTTGGTTTCTTATCGATGCATCAGGATACAAAGGAATTGAGGCCAGTTCTAGTATACATATGTAGCTGTCCGCGGCAATGTAGGCTTTCCATTGTGCCCTCCATCGCCGCTATTACTTCTTGGAGCCCACCTGACGTCTTCAGGTCCATATCGTCTTGAAGGGTACCCAGGAATGATTATGGCCTCTCTTGTTGGTGATGGTCGAATATTGGGTGTCCGATTACCACCGGGATGCGCGACCATACTATCGTCAGAATCATCTCCGCTCTGGGTCTCTTCCCTCTGGACATCATGAGGTCTAGCTGGAATGGTGCTGGCGTCTCGATTGTCTTCATAGGTCCGACGTTCTTCTGCCCCGCGCCGAGCTTCCGCCTCAGTGCGGCGATCATAGGCTGCCGCGTAGCGCGCCATCTCGTTCGATGATGGCTCACTATCGACATTGGCAGATTTAGGGTCACTTCGGGTTTCCTTAGCTGGATCTCTTTGTCGCCGGCTTGGGGGTTCGCGCTTGACGGGATGATACACTGGATACCCTGGTTTCTGCTGGGATCGTCCATTTGTAACCAGAACGACATTTGCCTGTGGTTCTGCTGAAGTAGGCCTGGGTGGTGTGATTGGCCTGGATTGAGACGTTCTGTAGGTTGGTCCTGATCTCCGGGATCGTCCACTTGTAGCTGGCTCCACAAATACCCATGGTTCTGCTGAGGTAGGCCTAGGCGGAGGATATCTGTAGGTTGATACCGTCGGTCGGTTTCTAGCTTCGGCACGTTTGTTAGACTGCGCTTCTTGGTGCGATTCATCACTAGAATAACCACTCTCAAGAAAATGCAACAGGCCAGTCAAGCGATTCACGTCAAGAAGTGGTCTACTTGCGACAGATCCTGAGCGATCATTCGCCGAGTTAGGTTTGGTATCAGTATGCTCATCTTTTGGCTTGCGCTTCTTGGATCTTCCCTCAACAGGCGCCCTATGCTCTTGCGAGGCCAAGCTGGGATCTGAGCCTGAGGTCGGCTGCACAGGAGCAGATTGAATAGAGAGACGTCCGGTTAATGCTGCTAGCGATTCACCGCGGCGCGAAACCGACGGCGAGTTTTTCAAGATAGACTTTCCAGGGGAAGCTGAGCGTGGTAGCGGGTCATGTTTAGGCCCAGGAGGGCTGACGGGCATAACCGGGAAACGAGTAAGGCGTTCTTTTCTCATTTGTGTTTCCTCCGTATCAGGCTCCGCTAATCGAGGAGTTCGAACAGGAGGTAGTATGCGCACTGAACTGTCAAACCGAACAGATCGCGGGTTATCCCGATCTCGATTGTGGTGATCTCGTTTTTGAACCCACGGATCAGATTCGGAATGATAGCGATTAGCTTGGCTGGCCGGTTTCTTATCCGCCGAGTTGCATGTGGGGCAGGAGGTACTGGAGCGTGCATAGCCCTGTGCATAGCAGCTTTTGTGGATCCAGTGATAACAGGAAAGTCTGACAGCATCGGTCGCAACACTTAGCGGTGAAGTACAGAGTCTGCAACGGATTGCGGGAACTGCTGGAGAATCAGGATATCTATCCATGCTCTTGGGTGCGGCTGCTGAGTAAGGTAAAGAAGAAGTTGAAGACGCTCGTGGTGATGTTCTGTCCATTTTCCCTCTCTTGGGAGTTTGATGGGTGTCTTTTCCACTTCCTTTATCGCCGCCGCGTGCACCGTCCGCTCCGCTACGCAGACCGCTCATACCAAAGCCACTGGAGTCAAAGTGCTCATCGCCGCCGCTGTTCTGCATGAATACGCGAAATATATCGTCGGCGTTTAAGAAGTCGAAGTTTCTTACGGCTCGTGGTGGTGCTTCGTTCGTCTCTTCTCTCCCAGAAGGATCACTCACTCTAACGAAAGAGATAGTGTCGTCATGGTCGGTGTTCACATCTTCCGAGACTTTTGTTGATACTGAAGGTTCGTAGATCTCCCTTGATAAAGACTCGCTCTCATCTTCAACAAACGCTCCTGGAGGAACATGGCAGTCGTTGACGACTATACGGGGGACCGGCACATCAGGCTGGGCTGGTGACACCAAAGCGGCAGTATCAGGAGACTCAGTACGTGCTACGCTCTCAGACCGAGAGATATCCGATGCTGTAAGTCCTACAGTTTTCTCCGAACCGCTTCGTTCGAGACTCGGTGGTGACTGCGTGACATCCTCAGATTCGGAATGTTCATCGAAACATTCAGAAGATCCAGTTCCATCGGTAGTGTCATCATCTAGCTCTAGGCAGCATAATCCTTTGAAAGCATACTCTGACGAAGGATCTGAGCTCGCTTCCTGGATATGGTTTGCGAGAATATGGCAGTTCCACCGAGATTTTGGCTGGTGCTGAAGCATGTTCTGAATCCACTTTGACAGTGCCATATCGCATGATGGCCCCGTTGCATTCTCGAGCATCTGTACCCAACTAGCAACGGCCTCAAGGTTATGATGATACTCTTTAACGTGAGTTCCGTGGGCTGACATGTGGGTTTTCAGTCCATCGAGTGTATGACGCTTCAAAACTGTCCACATCTCCAGGAAAACGCAGCCGAGAGACCATATGTCAGAAGATGTATTACGTTCAACAAACGCCATCACCTCTGGTGCACAGTAGCGTGGTGTTGTTGGCAGAGCGGTCTCCGTGGTACTATTGTCACACCCGGACCAATCCAGTGATGTTCCGAAATCAGTCAAGTAGACCTGGTCATGCTTGATGAGTACGTTGGATGGTTTGATGTCCTTATGACGTATACGATTGTCATGTAGATACGAAAGCGCCGAAGTGAGACAGCCGAAGAAGGGTCTCAGGAAGGACCGGGATGTGTCATCAAGATCAGCTTTTTCCAGGAACGTCTGCAGGTTCATGTCCGCCACCGGAAGCATGATAATGGCCACGAACTTTCTGTCGCTATAACTTCCAGCGAGTTTCACAAGATGTCTATGTGATAGACCTTTGAGATTCGACAACTCCTTGGTGAAAGCACGCAGAACCTGCTTGTCCTATTGGATGAGAAGCTTTGTCAGTATAGTCATCCTCACAGTTTGTGTAAAAAACGTACCTTTCGGAAAGTTTTCCCTCTTGATATGAGCTTCCGTGCATATTCCTTATGGCTGATCGTGCTCACAACATGATCAACGTATCCAAAACCCCCCTTCCCTAATTCACCAAGTTTCTTCAAAGGCACATCTTTCGGATTGCTGAAGTGGCCGTGCCGTGCTTGCCGTTCGAGATCGAGGGCTTCCGTATGGTAGACGAGATGCTGCAGCTCTAGGAATTTGAGTCGTGCGGAGTGGTCGCGTAGTGCTTCGGGTAAGGTGGCGCCAGAGAATGGGAAAGATACGTCTGTGCATCCATCGGCAATGAAAGCATCGATTGCGTTGAGTTCTCCAATCATTCTTAATATGCTGTAAATTCTTGGAATGCGACTCCACGCATCTCTCGAACTGCGCACCAAGACTTCTGCGATGTTGCAGATGTCACTCTCGGTAAGGTGCTTATCAGGCCCTTCCGCGTCTTCTGGGAACCATCTTCGTAAGAGGTCTTCTTCGTAGCCTTGCTGCGCCATGGAGTTGCGACTGCATGAGCAGTACTCCTATCCGTAGGGCTTGGATATGTTGCGCACGAATAGCATATTCGAGAGTGATACAGGCAGCTCTAGTACCAGCCTAGAGAGACAGAAGCATAGCCGTAGGATAAGGTTGTGGGAGATGTGATAAGGCAATGTCGCTGTGAGACGAAAGACGGGCGGGGTAGTGGTAACCGCCTATGTAGTGTGCTCAGCCTCCACCTCCATAGCCTTAGGCAGCCTGTCAACCATCGATCACACATCTACTGCGCCACATAGCAGTGATATGTAATCCAATAGCACTAGGTCCAGACGTCGTATTCATGTGTCAGCTCCGAACGTATAGCTGGGTGATCCAGCCGGATGTTGCTTATTCTGATTGTAACGCGCATGCTGTGCGGGTTGGAACGTTGTATCGCTCTCGATACATTTCCTCCATGGTATCGATACGATGGAGGTTTCCAGAGGAAGCATCCGAGAAAATTGTTGAAATCCTTCCAGTGCGCAGATGCGGCCAATGCAATGACGATAAGGGTTGTCGAGGTAGTGGTGACACGCTATTTCACGCTAGGTTTTGGTGGGGCCGCGAACGCGTCCGCCGTTAGCCCCAACTTGTCATCGCCTTCCAGTCTGCCTGAATTCGCTCATTTCTTATCCATTTCGCAGGAAGCTTGTATACGTGACATGCGAGGCTGATGCTTGAACCAGTCATGACGATACGATGCCATTATGTACGCGGAGCTGTTTGTCAGTTCGGCGTAAATCGCTTCACATTTGCAACCGGTCAATGCAAGTGGCGGAGTTGCCGGTGGTGAACAGTCGAGTGGCTGCCGGTACACATTTCCATTCGTCTAATGTCGAACCTAGACGCTAAAGCAACTTTGCATCCGTGCACTTGCCGCGATGATCTCGATTGGATTGACATGCAGCTCATCACAGCGCCCGCACGAGGCTGAACATTGGCATGGGAATCATTGCTATAACGACTTCCCCACAACTCTTTCATGATCCCAGCCTGATCACAATTGCTCAAGAATTCCCCCTGGCCATGTCACGACCGTACAACGATTGCGAAGATCGCAGCCCAGGCTGTACTAGGAACACTGCCGAGGTTTGGTACTGTGTGGATTGTGCTAGTGAGTTCTGCGAGCCTTGTTGGCAGCAATTTTTGGCGCATCGCGGTGGGAGAACAGGCAGAGACGGATCACACGAGAAGGTAGAGTATCATGTGTATGAAAAACTCAAGAACATACTAGAGCCAAGGTACACCAAAGACGACGTAGAAAAACTCCACGAGGATGACCTGGCCACTACCTGGTTCGGTACGATTCGTACCCAAAGAAGAGCTCAGATCACCACTGACATTATCGAAGGTATAAAAAGGGATGGTGATACCGAACGACATGACAGTTTGACGAGAAGAGACGGCCAGTCGGACCGTCAGCAATTCCTCGACTATGATGTGTATTCAGCTTTGTTAGGCAGTCCGCTCAAAAGCGGTAAAGAAAAGTATCCGCGACTGGTTTCTTTCATTGGTCAAACGAGTAATAATCCCATCAATTCATGTCCCAATAGTTTCAATGGCACTGACCATGCACCAGATGCCGGGAAAAGTACACTGATCAAGATGCTCATTCAACTACGAGGGGCCGGCAATCTAGCGAATCAGTATCCTTCTCCCATCGTTGGCTTGAGGCGTCTAGAGCCACAAGCTGGGAATGAGAGACCTGGTAATGATCCAGTCGAGCACATTCCAACATCCGCCGATGTACATTTGTACGCAGATCCCATGAGCGTCAGCTCACGAACACCTCTGTTGTACGCAGATTGTGAAGGCTTGGAGGGGGGAGAGAACCCACCAACTGGTGCCCAAGAAAACCGCAGGGCCCGGTCGAATCCTGATTGGCTCTCTGCGCGGCTGACTCCTGGCCGCATACGATCATTGGCATGGGCCACTGCAGGTACCGAAAGAGCAAAAAGAAGCTATATCGTGAAAGAGTTGTACCCGCGCATCCTTTATACTCTCTCAGATGTGGTAGTCTTTGTTATGCAGAGCACAAATTCCAAGTATGGGCAACGTCTCCTCTTAGGCTCTATTTGCTTACTCTTCCTCAGAACGTTCGAAGTATCAACCCTGCAGCCCTTATTGCAATGGGCTGACGCATCCTTGGAGACATCTGTCAACCAGCCGACGCTTCCCCATGCGATTATTGCACTGAACGAATGTGAACCAAGTGTCGAGCCAAATGAATGGGACAGTATATCGGCAACGAACAGCTTGTTGGCAGCCAACAAACACTGTATCGACCCTAGACATGGGCATCCCTTCTTTATCGGTCTGGCCGAGAGCTGGAGAGGAAAAGGACGACGCATTAGATCCATCCTTGATTTGATACTTTGCTATTACTCCACGTTTCAGGTTATACGCATACCACGCGGAGGTAGATACCAGCTATTACACGACCAAGTAAATAGCTTCTACCAGGTGATCACGGCTTCGTGCGAAAAGTCCTTCAATTCCCGGAAGCGAGCGAACATGCTCTTCAGATCTTTTGAGCTGGACGTGCATTTCCAAGCAGTATTCAGTCATTTCTCACGTACACTGACCATGCCTTTCGACTTCATTGCCATGTCCCTACTCACCAATCCGATACCCAATGACTTTGGTGGTCATATGCTCCAACTCGCACTTGCCATACAGGCTCACGATAAGGAATCCAAAAGTGCTCATGAGAGGACGCGCAAAGCTACTTCCATCTTTGATCGCATGTCTAGACTTGTAGCTTGCAGCATTTCTCTCGATTGCGTCCGTCATCGAAAAGGTACGTAATATTAGGCATTCTCGTTGCATGTTTTCCCTTCCAATGTCTAAATCTCAAACGCTCAGCATAAGGGTATTTTCGCCATGCGAGTAGCAATGGAGTACATAGGAGCACCAAGCTTTTCGTGTAGCTCGAAACCTAGCTCCTGGTTACTGCCTCCTATGTCGAGTGTATCACTAGATGCTCTTAGTACCGGTGGTTTCTTCTTTTTCCCAATCATTCACTTCTCTTTCCTCTGACGCATCACAGGCTCTGCTCTGGATCACTTTGTTTATTACATGAACTACTGCGAGTTCTCAGTGGAGACCTTTTGGAGCCAACATCTCACTTGCGAATTTCGCAACGGTTCGTATCGATGCGTAAACGTTGGCGCTAACCATGATCCGAAGGGGCACCAGAACGCCAAAGGCAAAGTAATACCAGGCGATTTCGAGTCCAGCTTTCAACCGGAAATTTATCTTCCAATCTGGAAGAACGCAATTCGATCGCAGATGCGCGACATCGATCTCGAACTTGAGAATGCCTCACGACGAGCTCCAAGCTACTCCAGGGAAGCCTACATGATGCAGGTTCATCACGACACCATGATCGCGTTTTATGATACTGTGGGCTCAGCTGCTGGAATCTTGAGTCATGCAACATGCTTCTGCTGTCTTATGCAATCACCTGAGCACGCCCTCCGTTGTGGTCATGTGCTCTGCACACAGTGCGTGCGGGCCCATGGGGAGCTTTCGCATGATAACATCAGCACGCGAGCTGTGGTCAGCCTAAAATGCTGCCCCATGCACCCTACAGAGACGCAATGGGAAATACCATGTCTCGTCAGATTTAAGCCTGAACACGCTGGAGTTCGTCTATTATGCCTTGACGGGTGAGTGGTTCCCAATTACCGGTGGAGGTTCTTAGAGACCCACGAAGTCCAAATAGATCGAGCAAAGGCCTTGCGTAGCTATGTTCACCAACAATCCCTACTTCCACCTCTTTCTTTGATCCCCTTCCAGTCCTCCAGATACTGACCCATATAAAGAGGTGGCATGCGCGGGATCGTTGAGATCGAAGTGCTACGAACCCTACAACAACAGATTGGTGACCGAATACCTGTTCAGGCATTCTTCGACCTAATTATGGGAACAAGGTAAGTTCTGACCAGTCCTAAATACCACAAGACTCACATCTTGAAGCACTGGTGGCATCATTGCACTAGCAATGGTGGCCAAAAATTGGAGCTTGAGGCGTTGTTCCGATAAGTTTAGAAGGCTGTGTAGTACCGCCTTCACACCACGGAAGCTACAAAGCATTCCTTTTTTGAAGCACCTGATAACTCTGAAGCTCACTTCGAAGTACTCGACAGGCCCTTTCAGAGAGACGCTGGTACAAAACTTTGGGGAAGATCATCTTTTTGGCAACTATGGAGAGCGAAGTTCCTATCTCAACACGAAGGTCGCCGTGACAACCACAGACAAAACCGGGTCGAAAGCAATTATCATTGCAAACTATAGCCGAAAGGAGGGTGATCACAACAAATTGCGTCCCGCGGAGTATGAATTCTTGAGACCTGACCGGCGCGAGTTCGGCCTTTCGATCGCAGACGCCGCAGCTGCCACATCAGCTGCGCCGAGCTTTTTCAAGCCATTTGAGCACGCTGACACTCATCGGACATACTTGGATGGTGCAATATACCACAACAATCCCGTTCGGCTCATGAACCATGAGAGAAAACTGCTGTGGCCCGATGTTGCTGATCATGCGCCCGATCTCTTTCTGTCCATAGGTACAAGTCAAAACAAGGCAGACTTGCGAGTCGATCAACCCGATTCGACAGCAGTACCTCCCGAATCAAGGCACGTATCTTTAACAGAACACGCTCACATTTCCCAAGAGTCTGACTTACAGCTGAAGGAGTCGTCACGCTGAACATGCACATGAGAAAAGTACTCGACAATCCACGTTTCACATGATGCCTCAGATCGTTACTACGATGGTATGATCTTCTAACGTTTAGGATGACCGTTAGATGTAGATTTCTAGACGAACTCTTCTGACAACCCGGCAGAAAAATCTCATGGATAACATTCTCGACGCCGAGAAAGCGTGGGAGCAATTTCGATCCGACGTGGCTCCGACGAGCGATGATGCATCACGATACGTACGCATCAACCCAGATATTGGACGTCAGCCGCCAAAGCTGGACGAAGTAAAAAAGATTGGAGAGTTGATTCGAGATGCTCGCAAAGCACTGAAAACACCAGAAAGCCGTACTCAGATTGCAAGGCTTGCACACATACTTGTGGCTAGTACTTTCTATTTTGAACTACGTAATGGACCTGTGTCGAATAGTGATGGAACTTTCTCTTGCGCAGGTACGCGACCGTCGTACGTGACACAAAGCGATTGCAGCTAACTGTTTCGCGAAGGTCACATTTGCTGTAGGTTCGAGGACGATTCTCCTTACCTCCCAGGCCTGGGTGAGTTCTTCGCAAAACGGCAGACTGTTACTTTCCAATCTTATTTCGAAATTGAGTTCGACCTGGACGGTCCTCGTACTCATCAGGTAAGCACTCTAATTATGGCTCCGGTCCTAAGCTGAACGTTCAAGATCCCTCTGTCGTTGGAAATAATTTCTGATATGCGACAATTGGCCTCGTTTCGAATGCCTGCTCCTGCTATACGAACGAGGAGTAAGGACTCGGAAATCAACATCTCGCTGCACATTCGAAGCCGCGATCTGACCCCCACTAAATACCACATAAGTGGATTCCCGCGGGCAGTCATGAAAGATAATGAACCCAAAAGTGAGTAGTAGCCAGAATCAGTCCGTTAGCAAGTGCTGATGTCATTAAGGCTCGGATAGCACGATTTCGCTGAGTGCAAGGAGGGATTCGACTCGCGAGCCTCTGGAATTACCCACTTCGGGCAGCATGCCGGAGTTGGATGCTTCACCGGGACGACCCGCAGCTGTCTACAGAGGTGTCTCAGAACAAACTACTTTGGTCGGCATTGAGCAGGCATTGACTGACAGAAGACTGGGACAGAGGTCGATATACACCTCGACTAATCGTCAAGCTGGCCGACAGCAACAGTCAGTCGACCTACCATCAGAACGAACGAGGAGCCATCGTGCGCCTCAAGACCCCACCCAGCATCGATACGCCATCCGTCCTAGGAGTACAATTCCAACGGAATTACATAGCAACGATGTATCTGTACCCAACAGACCGTTGCAACAGCATCAAAGCGAGAATACATCTCGTGTCGCTATCGGTTCCGCTGGCCAGATTAGAACTGCTCTGGCAAATGACTCTGAACAATCCTTGAATTCGAGTGGAATGATGGAAACTGGCCGTGTACAGGTTACCGAAGGTCGCGCTGAACGGTACGACCCAAGTTCCCAACCAGCGAGCAATGCTACCCGTGCCCCAGCTCTTCGACGTATGAGCGATCAGTCAAATATGCGACCAAGTAGACGGCCCGCATCACCTGCTGATGATGTCTTACTCCAATCAGCATATAGCAGAATCAGACAACAGTATCCGAGTGAATTGGAAGCACTCAGATCCGGCAATACCAACACACACGGCGGAAGCACTCTATCTTCGAACGTTGCGATATCCCCCAATCGACGGGCTGCAAGTGACAGTAAAGCGCAGACTCTAAGCAATACCAATCAAGCACGACCGATACCAAACCAAAGCCACAGGCAAGCTTCCTACCAAGGACCATCGCATCCCAGCCATGCAGCGATACAACGTCGAAAACCCTCCATGGAGCATCCGTTATCTTCTCTCAATCTGCCCACTGCCCTGGAACGACCTCCCCTTACACCGTCTCCAGGCCTGTCTTCAACAGCGACCGCACCAAGTGTGCAAACAACTTCTCCGTTGTCGGACATTTCTGATCGGGAAGATACGCCACCGCGAGAAAGGCGAAGACGATTTTTGCCTCGAAACATGCCTTCTGTGGTGTTCGGTGAGCGATGATTAGAGTGAGCTATCGAGCGCGTCTACGCTGGGACGAAGGAGGCTCAGTTAAGGCTATTCAGACTACGCGAGTTTGTGAAGTTGCTATATATAGAATTCAGGAGTCTTGCCCAGATTTGGCTATACCGTGAATCCTCACAACATGGCAGAGGGCATTCGAGACTTGGAACATTGGACATGCGCTTCGCGTCTACTACATGGAGGAAAACCAGTAACGCTGCCTTACGAAGCGATGAATGAGAGAATTCAATTTGTGATGTATGAAGAAGACCAGTTGATACTAAGACCATACGAACAGTCTTTTATCGAGTATTGCAACGTTGGTGAGGATGGGCCGTGACGGTTGACGATGGTGACATCTGGTGCTGCCAAGCATCTTTGCACTAAAGTTATTGCCGCCGCAAAGCCGGGGACGGCGGTGTGGAGAACATCTTTTCCTCCACTTACCATTCGTAAACAAGCTCGCCAACCTTGATCATGGCGGCAAGTTTCGTCTATTCGCATAGCCTTGCCGAGATTTATACTCCCCTAGATCACCTTTAATCTTCCTGCCTCAACCGCCAAGGTAGTTTTCACGTCTCCAAAATTTGCCCGGTCATGACGACATCTTCATTGTAACATCGCCTGCAGCAGATATCCGTAGCGTACCCACCCAGGGCTACGACCTCGCCATAGACGAACCAATGTCTTCGAATTATGCGAATAGATCGTGGAAGTCGCGTGTATTCCATCCCTCAAAGCGCAATGCCACGCCGAATAACGATCTTGATCGAGAGAACACGCGCCAAACGCATGGATCGGCTGCCTCGAGCAAGGCTGCCTGGTGGGAGACACGCCTTTTCAGTGGCATGATAAATGACATACGGCGACGGGCACCGTTCTACTGGAGTGACTGGAAAGATGCGTGGGACTATCGCGTTGTGCCTGCGACGATCTACATGTACTTCGCAAACATCCTTCCAGCGCTCGCCTTCTCGCTTGACATGTTCGAAAAGACGAATGAAAGCTTTGGCGTCAACGAGGTTCTCCTTGCCTCAGTGCTAGCCTCTGTCGTCTTCTCGCTCGCAGCAGCGCAACCTCTGGTCATCGTGGGCGTTACTGGACCGATAACCGTCTTCAACTACACCGTATACGATATCATCACCCCACGGGGAACGAACTACTTCGCGTTCATGTGCTGGATAGGCATATGGTCTTTGATCTTCCACTGGATACTCGCGATCACGAACTCCTGCAACGGTTTACGATACGTTACGCGCTTTTCCTGCGACATTTTCGGCTTCTACGTCGCGTTCATATATCTACAAAAGGGAATACAAGTCTTGATGAGGCAATGGGCTGTCAACGACGCGTCGGCATACCTTTCAATCATGATTGCTCTGCTGGTTACTGCGGTCGCATATATTTGTGGCATTGTTGGACAATCGTCGCTGCTTCAGCGTCACGTTCGGAAGTTTGTTGAAGATTACGGTACACCGCTTACCGTTATCTTCTTCACTGGTTTCGTGCATATTGGTAAGATGGCTGGCATTGAGTTGCTCAAGCTACCTACCTCGAAGGCGTTTTTTCCAACTACAGATCGTGGATGGTTCATACACTTCTGGGACATAAGTGTTGGCGACGTGTTCCTGGCTATCCCGTTTGCCGTACTTTTGACCATTCTGTTCTGGTTTGATCACAACGTTTCTAGTCTCATCGCGCAAGGCACTGAATTCCCGCTGCGCAAACCGGCAGGTTTCCACTGGGATATCTTCCTCCTAGGCATCACGACTGGGGTTGCAGGACTATTAGGCATTCCGTTTCCGAATGGTCTCATCCCACAGGCACCATTCCATACCACATCGCTTTGTGTTACACACACTGTATCCGATTCGGACGATGAAGAGAACAAAGGTCATGCCAAGCGGGTCGTCGACCACGTGGTAGAGCAGCGCGTATCGAACCTTGCACAAGGCCTCCTTACGCTGGGTACTATGAGCGGACCTCTTCTCGTCGTTCTGCACCTTATTCCACAAGCTGTGCTAGCAGGCTTGTTCTTTGTCATGGGTATTCAGGCACTAGAAGCAAATGGCATCACGCTCAAGCTCATCTTCCTCCTAAAGGATAAACATCTCACATCCCGATCCGACCCGTTGACACAAGTCAAACGCCGATGGGTGATCTGGGCTTTTGTCGGTCTGGAGCTTGTTGGCTTCGGTGCTACCTTCGCGATCACTCAGACAATCGCCGCGATTGGTTTCCCGGTCTTCATCTTCCTGTACATTCCAATGCGAACGTTCCTGATGCCGAACTTCTTTACACAAGAAGAATTGGGTATTCTTGATGCGCCAACTGCGAGTCCATTTACCATGGAGTCGGTGGGTGGTAATCACGGGCAGGTGGTGGAACCAAGCCCAAACAATCAGGTACTCGAGGAGAGCGAAGAGGCTGAAAGAGGTGAAAGGCGCAGTACGGGTGAAGAGAAGATGGGGGTTGTTGGAGGACCAAGTAGAAGGAGAAACAGTTTGCTGAGGAGAGATTGATCAAGCCCAATAGTTCGAGAGACTTTCAAAAAGCGAAAGTGGCGGCTGGAGCCACGGCCCTGTGCTACGTTGTAAAAAAAAATGGAGAGCAGAGATTTCAGCTTGCATCCTACACTAACGGCGAAAGTCGATATGCGGTGCCATACTTTCTTGGCACGTTGTAAATGATGACAGCAGAGTATAACAGCATGAATGCCGTATGTGGTGGTTGGGTTGACCAGTCCGTGGTTTGGAACGGGAGAACTACCTAATTGTGCCCAGGTGTGCTTGGCAGCTCACCGCGTCGCTCTTGGCATGATAGCGTCGAGTCGACGGACCTTCGAGATCGCCTACACTTATCCCCTTCCATCGGCCAAGACTCAGAGATATCGCCCGCTCCAATCAATGATCGGATTTAAATATACCGACTCCGAGCATGCGGGTGCCGGGCTACGTGGGTGGATCTAGACAAGCAGTTGCGGGCAACACTCCAATGAGCTTCGTAAGTGGGGGATCCTGGATTCGTGAAGCTGCTCGCAACTACTCAAAACTACCAGTGATAGCTCTTGACAATCGCCACTGAGACGGCATAGCGACCATAGTCCCGGAGGTTTATCGGCGGCTCTTCGGTGAGCTTACCTGGAGAAAAGTACAAGGCAGCGTACGATAACATCGCGGGATGACCGATAGATACACTCAACAGTGGGTATCTAGGACATCAAGGTAGATACCAACGATGCTTGGCATTGCCAAGAAGTTGCTCTGAAAGATTCATAAGAAGGCATAGACAGATACCATTGCACGATGTTGTTGACCAGTAGCTTCATTCTACAACAGCCATCGGTATGCCGCCCTTCACCAAGTTGCTGCCACTCCTAGCAAGCCTTGCTTTACTCTCCGAATCGAAGCCTCTGAGCCAGCCATCGGTCATCTTCGCTCCTCTACAAGGAACTACCCCCGGAAGCGCTCAAAACATCGTTGTCGACTACTTCGGTGATGTAGATGGTGAGCTCACAATCACATACGCGGCATGTGATGATGCTTCCGCTTCTATCAATTCCACGAAGCAACGCATAGGTCGAACGCATGTTGGAGCCCATCCTCTGGCTAAACGCCATGAGCAACACGAGAACAGGCGGCCGAACAAGTTCGTTTGGTTGACCCCGACCGAAATGTCCGGCGGATGTCTCCATGCATTTCTCGATGGAGAGCTTGTCGGCAAGTCGGAAGAACTGGCTATCAGCAAGCGCCATGCTCGTCGCAATGAAAAGAAGTCGTTTGTTGATGTCGCAGGAGTTGACAGCAACTGGTTCGATGGCGTTGCGTACTTGCAACAAAAGCAGCCAGATGACGTTTTTGTCGCCTCAACTAAGAACAAGTCCTTCGGTATCCTTGGCGGAGGTATTTCTGGGCTCATGACATCTGTACGTACTCAAATTCTCTATACCAACATCGCGCTAACGAAACGATCAACAGTTATTGCTGGACTCTGTTGGTATCCACAACTGGAAGATCCTCGAGTCATCTCACCGTATTGGTGGCCGTATTCGCACAGTCTATCTTAATGGCACTTCTCCGGATGAAGGTCAATACCATGAGCTTGGGCCTATGCGTTTCCCGTATGAGATCACTGACTCCGAGACCAACGAGACCTTTCCCTTCAATGACCAGCGCATAATCTTCCAACTGGCTGATGTTCTCAATGAACGTAACACTGGAAACAAAGAGCTTCTTGTTGATTTCATCGAATGGATCCAGACCTCCCCAAACACCCCAGCTGACAGTCCCTTCCGTCGTCCCGATGGAACCATCCCTAGCAGGACTGAGATTGCGAACGACCCCGCATACCAGAACCCGACATCATACGGCAACGCAACTGCTGCTGAAGAGGCTATCGCGGCTCTTGACGAGTTCAAGGGTCTAGACAAGGAACGCGTTAAGATGTACGCCACCAACATCTTCAAGGCATACAAGCAAGCCAAAGACGACGGCATGTTCGATTACTCTGAAGTAGCGTACCTTCGAAACAAGCTAAAGTTTGATCTCAACACCACTGATGAGGTCGGACAATCCCACATCTACTGGCCCATGTGGGAGTATGAAACTGTCTACTTCCTCGCGACTAAATGGGTCACCATCAAAGGCGGTCTCTCAAGGATGCCCGCAGCTTTCGAGCCATTGGTCAAGGACAAAGTCCAATATGGTACCAAGATCAACGGCCTACACTGGAATGAGAACAACAAGACGATGTCTGTCTCCTGGAGGCCCACCGGAGCCGAGCCCTACGAAACTCCGGATAGCATCGAGAACTTTGACTACGTACTCAACAGCGTACCCCTAAACCTGATGAAATTCTGGCATCTCCCGCGCTACTCGAGTCTCCTGAAGCGCGCCATCGACCGTACCCTATTCGCCAACGCCTGTAAAGTCGCCGTGCAGTTCAAAACGCGTTTCTGGGAGCATCTCGACAAGCCCATCATCGGTGGTTGCACGCGCCTCTACCAACCCCAACTCGGCCAGATTTGCTACCCGTCCTGGCAGATAAACGCCACAGGTCCCGGAACAATGCTCGCATCCTACCTCTCCGACTACGAAGCCACTGTCGCATGTGCCATGCCCGAAGCCGAACATATGGCCTATATCAAGCGCGCCTTTATCGAAATGCACGGCAAGGACGTCGTCGAAGAGAATTGGACTGGCAACTATGCTCGTCAGTGCTGGGAACAAGATGAACACCAGGCTGGTGCGTTTACGATGCAGATTTTTGGACAGCAGCATTTGTATCTACCGGCTTTCTATCAGACGGAGTTTAACACGGTGTTCATTGGGGAGGCAGCGACTTTCACGCATACATGGATCTTTAGTGCGTTGGAGAGTGCTACCCGCGGAACTGTCCAGTTGCTTTTGGATATGGGTCTTGTTGATGAGGCTAAGCAGATTACTGAGACGTGGATGGCGAGGTTCATTACGGTGTAGATTATGTAAGTTAGAGCATATGATGCTGAGTTTACGAACTAGTGGTTTCGAGCCACCTCCACGTGTCGTGTCTATCTTCTAATAAGTCGAAGTATGCGTGCATCCGAACCTTCGCAGCTTCTTCGCGTGTACGGACAATTGTTTACCCTCTTCTTCGTCTCGGTTTAGCTATATGGCAACCCTTCAACCCAATCTGGGCATTTAGCAGATCGTATGACTGACTGCGCACCGCGCATGGTTTAGCCTTCAGTGTTCTCACAGATGACCCTCATACTCGGCTAAGCCAAATCTGGGCTAGCGCGGGACGCCTGGATGCGCCTAGAGACCTCTTCGTTGCGAGCGACACCACCTTGCCCATCCTTGCCCCAGGACACTGATTACACCACTTCAACTTCTCAACAACTAGTTTGCACTGCAAAGTGGTTCTGAATCATCCTTCTCCAACTTGCCTTTTGGCGTTCTTGCGCGACCGCCTTGCAGTGTGCCCACTGCTGCTTATGGTCGAATCACATCCGCCTCAAGGATTCGGTGGTCCTTCACCGAAGCCACAGTATATGCTGTGCGACCCGGAAGTCTACGTTTACTGGCCAGCGACAAGGATGTCTCCAGATAGAAGCTGCAGCCGATGCGACACAATCCTTCAACTACTGATGCTAAGTACTGCATCCGGCTGATCACCTCTCAACTGAGCGCGCAGCTCGAATCTTTGCTGGCTTGCATGCACTGATTTTACGATTTGCCTCGCTTTCTTTGATATCATTCAGAGAATTACAGGGCGTCTTAGTCAATCAAGTTAAGCATGTGAGTCAAAACTCTGCTCCTTCGAAACCATCAGAAGTGAAGATCGTGATGCTCTTGGTATAACGTTGGCGTGCAGCGGCAACATCAAGGGTCATGGCTCGCTGCTAAATCTCCTACTCCGATGTCTACAGGTATCGAGCCATGAGGAGGCAGTGCTGGAGGTAGACCCTAGCTCATGCCGCACATCAACAATCACATGCCGCCGCTTCTCAGCCTGATCGCGATTGAGCCTTGTCAGCCTTGAAGTAACTGAACCTCCCAGTCGACAACTCTGTATTGAGTTATCTTCCCGAGACCCGAAGGCGTTTGCGCATGCTTCGATACAAAGGTAAAAAGTCCCTTGAGAAGACGAAAGCTTCTCGTAATGTGGACAAGCAAAAGAGTGTCGCTGACAAGGTAGCATCAACTCAGCCTTACCACCTCCTCACCTACCTTCCTAACATTGGATTCATCCATAAACTTCTCTCCGCACGCTCGCCGCACGCCCTCCACACACGCGCATACACACATCGTTGAAACACGCCTTTAGATGCCACCCAACAATTGTCATCTCTGCAACAATGCACGCCGTGTCCCGATACGCTGCGATCCCTGTAACGGCACAGGTAAACGAAGCGCACAATGCCACCGATGTCCCGGCACCGGTATACGTGGGGCGCATCTCAGAGCCCCGAAGCGTTGTATAACTTGCGATGGGTCAGGAAACGTGATCAGCAACTGTGTGAAGTGTAGGGGCACGGGGCAGAGTACAAAGCCATGTAGTTGTCTGGCTTCGTAGATAATGTGTGGGGAGAGGATAATCTAGAGGGCAAAGGTGGTAGTAATAGATATTTGCAATTCTGTTCCTCATATTTTACACTCTTTGTAGAGCATATACAGGTGAAGAAGTACAAAGAGGAGGGGCCTGGAAGATAGGTCGGCTACTCATGTCGTATCAAGTATGTACTCGCTTGGAGAACAGATTCGATGTATACAAGGGTTCTAGACTGCAAGAGGCAAAAGACGCTACTGAGAAGAGCCTCGAAATATATACTGCAGCAAACGAGGAAGACGACGCAGCGTTAGCGCGGGAGGAGCTGGGTTTGATCTTTGAGGATATGGGCTAACTTCCTGATGCCAGAGAAATTCGGTTGCAGAGTAAGAGTAAAAAGATAATGAGGTGCTCAAGTTTACAGGTATGTTGAACGGAGTGCGACCTGAAGCGATCGCCCTAATATGCTTGGTGTAGTGTCCTTCCGCAAAGTTCGAGTATCGCATACAGAACGATGGATGCCCTTGTCTGTTGAAGTCAGATGAAGTGAAACCAAGACTCAAGCAAGCGCTGCAAAGAGGAAGGACGAGGTCGTTGAAGAGATCAGTGAAGAGAGTGCTCGAGAAGATGATGGAAGAGCTGACGGATAAGATGACGGAAAGGCTGATGGGGAGACAAAGGGGGAGCGCGATGGAGAAGGTACGGACGCTGACGATAACCTTGTAACTGTCAAGCTGTCTTCCGGCGAAGAATGCAGAGTCTCGAAGATCGATGCATTCCTCCTCGAGATCGGTCTCGATAGATGAACCGATGCCATGTTCAAGAATTAAAGTGCCGCATCTAGATGCCAGCGAGGCGCCTACCTAGGCAGTCACGATGATATTCCGGGACGCGATGTATGCCCAGAGCAACTACGTCCACGCTCAAGACATTACGGAACATCCTCGTGGCTAGTGGTCGGAGTCTAGCAAGTGTTACGGCGTCGTTGGTGACGCTACAAACACAATACCCTCGTACTGGAACTAGCGGCTGCGATGAGTTGCATAGCTTGCTGTTAAATCTAACACTTAGCTCCCGTTCTTTGAAAGCGCCAACATGCGTAATCTGCCGTCTGTGGCATCAAGCAAATCATGCAAGTCTTGATGAGCGACGTGAACTGACAAAGATCTGCATGCAAAGCTCGGCGTGGAATAAGACATCAGAACATCATGCGATAGCACGGCGATCAAATGTGTGCGGTTCATTCTACCGACATGCTTTCAGGTGTCTATGGTCAAGGCAAGACGTCTGCGTAATAGAGAACCTTATGTCTGTCGCGACGATGTCTCCTAAGGTCATATTTGAGTGACTGTACACACGGAGGATGATAGGCTAGCCTCGGCGGTAAGATCTGGGCTTGCAAGAGTCGCCGCGAGAACGAGCGTTTGGGCGATATCGACCTGCCTAAGTGGGCCTGCGCCGTTGCGGATCGCTACCATGACGTTATCGTGAAGGAAGCTCATCCTAGACTTCTGTAATCATTCCTAATCCACGGTCTGAATCGCGTGGCGTTCAAGAACAGCGGAGTATGAATCGCACGAGCTGCGCGTCAAGTCTATCTCCAGGTCAGAAGCAATATGTTGGCGTGCTTGCTCAGATGTTCAAAGTGGCAGAAAGAAAAGACGTATGCGCTATGCTTGAACAAAGAGCTACAGGGGCCGAGAAGCCGCATGTTTATTGATAATTGGGAGAGTGACGCGTCCGGCGTTCAGCAGATGAACTGGTTAGGGGCCAGATGCCGGGCTGCAGGGTCAGGCGGCCTGTGCAATTTCCCGAATCAGGGTCTCAGGGGCACCCAACGCCGGTTCATGCAAGATCATTAGCAAGGTAATGGAAAAGCAAGAAACGTAGGCTTAACGACACAACATGAAAGGCTTCGTGAAGAGAGTCATCAGAACCGTTGCATATCGGGGAACGAAAACATTAGGTAGAGAAAGTGTCGATCAAAATCCATTCATGCAAAAGATATGTACAAGGGTATCGGACATGGGGTAATCAGAACGTAGAGTAAAGGTGGTAATCATGTCATTAAGTTGCCAACTCATCTCAGAATAGGCAAAGAGTCTAGGAACAAAGAAGACCACCGGGACCACACGACTCCCTCCATAGGGCCAGTAGGCATTCCAACCAAGGCGTATTACAATACCAAGTATATTAACCATCGAAATGCTGCTGCGACTGTGATTGCGCAAGGAAGCAAAGAGCTCGTACCGCCAACACCGCGCTCCCAATCCTAGACTGAATCGTGATGCAGAGTTGAAGTCGTAACCCGTGAAGCCATGTTTTATTTCCTCCTCTTTCTAAAACTCGAGAAGACACTAGCAGAGATATGGAAGACCATATCCCGACACATCACTCAAGAGCGAACCGCTTACAAGAAAGCAGCAACGGCACCAGCAATGGCGAAGAAGCCAACGGTGACCTTGCCAGCGGCACCAGTGAACTCAGGGGTGGCGGGCTTGGTGGAGCTGGGGACAGCACCGGTGCCAGTGGGGTAGCCAGTTCCGGCAGGGACGTGGGGAACGGTGCCGTTGGAGCTGGGGTACAGAGGAGCGGGAGGAGCAGCAGAGTATCCCGGGGCAGTGGCCGAAGCCTCAGGGACAGCAGGGGTCTCAGAGACGGTGGGCTTGGGGACAGCAGGGACCTCAGCGCTGGGGGTGTGGACGTAGGTAGCAGTGTACTCAGGGATGCTGAGAGTGGTGCTGGAGGAGATGGTGTAGGTGGAGGCACCGTAGGTGATGGTGGTAGGCTCAGGGCAGACGTAGCTGGTGGCGTGGACAACCTCGGTGGTGGTGTAGGCGGGCTTGGAGGCAGAGTAGACGGGAGCAGCGGAGCTGGCCTCGTACGCAGGCTTGGAGGCCTCGTAGGCGGGGGCAGAGCTGGCGGCCTCGTAGGCGGGCTTGGAAGCCTCGTATCCAGCGGAGGAAGTCTCAGCGGGGTAGGCTGGGTACTCAGCAGCGGAGGAAGCAGCCTCGTAGGCAGGGGCCGAAGAGGTCTCGGCAGGGTAGGCCGGGTACTCAGCGGCAGCTGAGGAAGAGGCAGGGGCAGCAGGGTAAGCCTCGTACTGGGGAGCAGCAAGGGCAACGGCGGCGAAGCCAGCAATGACGGCGAAGGAACGCATTTTGATTGTTGGTTTGGGGGGTGGTATTAAAATACGGAAGGTATTAATTTGTAAGGCGTTGGAGGTCGTGGAAAACGAGTGTGATCGGTGATAACCGTGTATTAGTGAGTGTAGTGAGTGTGTGGTAGGGAAACAACTGAGGAGCAGCTGGCGAAGACATTATATAGAACTGTGCACGAGTTGGCCTTACCAAGAATGCCAACGTCCATGAACAGGGGAGCTTTGGCATAGTTTCGCTCGTTTGGCAGAATCGCGAAAGCGCTGGCGTGCTGGTGGCGCCGTTTGGTGGACTGTGCCTGGCGATAGTACGGGATAGGGGAACCTGTGGAAAGCTTCGACATGGGCCGTTGTGAGCTGTTTATTGATGGATATGAAGCAGACCAATGAGAGGGTGGACGACGCGCAGAAACGAAATGAGGTTGACAATTTCCCCTGCCAAGGGGCCTTGCCGCCTCAACACATCGCCCGTCGTTCTAACCGCATTTGCCCCAAGTGTTCGACTTGTGCACGAGGAACATGTTCAATCGCCCGGTGGACACCTATCTCCGGCCTGTGTTCCGCACCTGCATATCAGTCCTGAATAGAGAAGAGGTCGCGCGACTTAGTCACTGGCTCTACCCTCGTCCCAATGTGTCTTGCACTTTGACAGTGCCTGTGACAATGAACACCTGAACAAAGCGATGATTAGGGGCTCCTTGCTAGTCAGCATTGAGATACCGATCACAGTGGAGATGGCTAATCGTGGCAACATCTGGAGCAATTCCCGCGGCCGAGCAAAAATAGCTTGCCGTGCTGATAGGAGAAGGGCCAAATTGGAGCGGTCTGCTGGTGTCGAGGTCTTTGGCCAATGATGCAGCGGGGACGTGCGGGTTCCTGCATTGTCCTTGCATCTAGACCTGAGACTAGATCTGGCGAAGGGCCGACAGCCCGTCCAGTATTGCGCGGAATGGCAGCCATCGAAGATGTTGCGGAAAGGTACTGCCGAAGCTGCTGTAAACTCATAGAGGCTGACCAAGTTCTGGCTCTCTCAGCTCTTGTCTTACTTTGACTCTTCTTACGAGAGCCATCCACTGCGCATGCACTCGTCGACGAAATAATAACAGCGCAATCTCGCGTTCAGCATCCCTCAGCAGAGGCGCATGAGCTTAGTGAGCGCCACAATAGTAGGCTTATGTTACGCATTAAGCGCGGCACCTATTTGGGCGTGTGTGTCCTACTGGGAGCAAATGACGTGCCGCACAACACGATCCTTTCGCATTATCATATTCCACAAATGGTCGTTATTTCCGGGTTATCGCTAGAGGATAATTGAGTCGGTAAAAGACGAGGCGTAGTGTAGTGTAGTGTTAGTGAGGGAGTTACGGTGAGGGAAATAGGTGTTCTTGTCGCTTCTATCCCGTCGCGCCGAAGTGATACCGGCCAGGCAAGAGCCCCTCGATAACCTAGGACTGTCTTTGACTTCACCACCAACACTACAACTCTACGATCTGAGTACGTCGCCGTTCGACCTCAGGCTCTCCACTGAAGCACTTACTGGATCTGTATACTGCTATTTTAGGGGTCTGGAGATTTGCTTACCCGTCAAGCTCGCTCCCTCAAACCCACTCTGGTCACATCGGCTGCCTAGACTCCAAGAGCAAACGGCGCATGTTTAGCAATCTGGATGTTAGAATGCCGAAATCACCAGGTACAGTGCCGAAGGGATGGGATGAGCAAACCATCTACCTTCACGCACCCTCTTACTCGAAAAAGCTTGGTGGTGACAAGGTCAGCGCACTCATACTGCCAAAGTCCAATCTAGCGCCCGATACGCAGGTTTACAAGCCTAAAGGACCATACTCGAATGTCAAGATTACGCCAGTGACGGACTCTACCCATCCTGCACATGGACAGCATGCGCTATATGCTAACCAGCATCTGCCACCAGACTCGTTCATCTTGCCATATTTAGGCTATGTGCACGACCAGACTGACATTGACGAAGCATCCGACTACGACTTATCACTCGACCGTGAACTAAGCATCGGCGTCGATGCATCGAAGATGGGCAACGAAGCGCGATTTATCAACGACTACCGTGGCGTGTCCACCGCACCGAGCGCCGAATTTCGCGACATCTTTGTGGACATTGGAAATGGGAAGGTGGAGAAGAGGGTTGGCGTCTTCGTGCTCAGCGCTGGCAAAAGTGGAAAGAGAGCAAAGGGCATCGGGCGTGGACAAGAGATTCTTGTCAGCTACGGCAAAGGATTTTGGTCAGATCGACGATCGACAGGAGAATGACACTCCAGTACCAGTGCTTCCTCGAAATGTCCCAATGTGTTCCATCACTTTGATGTACCTGAGTCCAACATCGGTACACGTTTGCTTTTCGAGAAATCCCTTCTAGTACAACGGGACTTTGATCAACAACGTTGCATGATCAGCGCGTTTAAGCCCTCGATCTTCTGAGACTAAACCAACTCAAATAATTGCGCCGTACACGTATCATACGGATTCCGTAGTTGAGACATGACGCTTACTCAAGGATCTACGAATACCTGAATGTCAGAATGTACAGTCGCGACACGTCAGGACAACGATAAGCCAAGGTCTGCTTTCCGCTATCACTGATTAGACGGCACTGGGCACGGATACCCTTAGCTTCCCGTGCCAACGTGGCACTCCAGCGTGACGCTCCCTTGCGGGATGAAGGATCAAGGGTCTGTTCTGGAAGCCTTGTCGAGGTACCTTACGGGAACCTGATACGCTATAAGCGACGATCATATTTCGAACAGCCCTGTTATGCCCATGCTTGTGGTTTGAGGCTTGCACAGGGACGTCACATCCAAACCGAAACCCGGATTCACGTGGGACTGAGCCACTTATGTGGCGTCGAAACCTGATTTTCTCTCGTGCTAAGCCTGACTTTTGGCCTCTAGACACATTGATCGGGAAAACGCAAGAAGCCAAATGCAGCGCCTGATTATCGTTTGGGACGCCTCCAGAAAAGCCACAACTCTGATTGCGCCCGGGTAGCAGCAAAGTTGGCCAATCTCAGCACCACGCCAATGTGACGTCGGAGAAGAGTCTCCGCGCCTCCGCCAGGGCCCAGTTTACTCAGAAGTACTTTCGGTCTCAACAGAACGTCATTTTGTGTCAGAATGGCATTTTCGCAACATCATGGCATTCTGACGGAGGGTTGAAAATTCGCATGCGAAAATATTCCGCCTCGGGACCATTGTTACCCACAAGTGACAGGCAAAGTTTGCAGGCTAAATTACTCACAAAAATGCAGGTACCATGTGCTATCACACTCTACAAGACCATTTGTGTCCGATCCTGCTACTGGATCGCGATCCTACGCCATGGCCTGTACATTCAGGTTCTTACCGGTGACGTTATGTCGCTTAGTTTACCTTTCGTAGCGACATGAAGATGGGCGAGGGGGCCAAACTCCGCCAATCACAGCAGACTATATCCTCAACCCCTGGCTATTCCAACAAGGTTTTGCGAAACGGCCCCGTTACCCAAAGGTGTCTGGACACAATGACCGCGGAAAGACGGATTCAGCCGCGCTGTGTTTCGGAGCAGGTGTGCTATTCGCACGTCATGGCCTATTCTGGGATGTGAATGCGCGGCCCTGTCGCAAACTGTTTAAGTTGGAAGTGATTCCCCAGACTTAAAGAGACCTCGTTAGCCAAAATATCAACTCCTAAATAATCTCTAGTCGTAACATCTGTACGTCAGCCATCACCGAGTCTTCGCAACACCATCATCATCTTATCAACGTTACTCCACTCGGATCCACCACCAAGAACTTTTGCGTACCCACACTTCCGGGATTCCGTCGATCCCTTAGCACCTACGCCCTTGGCATTGTCAACTGGTATTTCTATCAGAACCCCGACAACCCCACATCAGCAAGAATCAAATCTCCCTCCCCGTCCAACGACAAGAGCACCAAACAACATCACATCAGACCACACCATGGCTCCCATGTCGAGACCCACTTTATGTAGGGTGAGTTCCTCCGAAGTACTTCCTCCTTCTACACATACTAACATGGTCATTTAGAATGAGTCGATGCAGAAGTACATGCTTCTCTCAGCCCAGAAGGAAGCTCTCCAGCGCCGTATGGCCATGGAGATTCCATTCAACGCACCCATGGCAGCAACCTCGCCAGAGTTTCAGTCTCTGTCATCATCGCCTACCTCACCGACAAAGTACTCGACGCCGTTCCCCACAGCCAGTGACCCCGTTCCCGTCAGCTCGAGGACTAGCGCAACCCCGCGCAACAGCATCGATGATATGCACACTGAAGAATCTCACAAGCTCGCCGAGATCAACCAGCAAATCGTCGCTATCCTCACCGAGCTCATGAACACCGAATGCATCCGCAACGACGACAAGCAGCGCGCCTGGGTTCAAGGCCGCCTCATGGAAGCCGAGCACCAAATACGTCGTGAGCGCCGCCGTCACTCATCCAACGCTGGCGGTGACTTTGCAGATGCCATTGCACAGCATCTCGAGCTTGGTCTCAACACTTCCAAGACTTGGGCGTAAACTTGCGTCCTGCACGCGCGTTTTGCATGATGCGATGACGTGAGGGTTACGAGGATCATGATCGGCTTTTCTCTCTTGTATTTGCGATGGGGCGTTTGCTTTTTGGCTGGCAATGGCGCAATGGTTCTGAAATGAAGTGCTCAAATCAGACACATATACCCCCTTTGATGCACTGCATCAGTTCGATGGAACTGCCAGGTTCCCGAATCAACTCTGTATAGTTTACGAATTCATGATCACTACATCAACCATCATTACTGTTCATCTTGCTGTCGGACGTATCCGTGCTTTGAACGACGTAGTTTTTGCTCTTCTCACAGTGCTTTTCGTGTGCTTTGTTTTAGGCCATCCCAAAATAACGCTTTGCAAGCGTACCGGAGCGTTTTGTCGGTACAGCTTCCCCGCTCCAGTTGGAGGTGTTCGCGGCGGATTGATGCGCAGTCCCTGCATCCTCTTGTGCAGCATGCTTTTTCATAGGTTCTCTCCACACAGAAGGCTGACGCGCGATCATTGTGTTTGACAGTTGGAATGATCTCAAACTGCATCTTCCAGGGCTGTAGAGCGGGGTCATCCTTTGCGTCTACTTCTCAACCGCTTGAGATGAGGACTAGATGACAAGAATGCGGATGCCACCAATCATGTATGCTCCTCGAATCTTCCAATGGTACTTCTGACGTCACACCACGCTTTCCCCTCAATAAGCAACACGACACGGGACACATGCATCAAATCGTATTCTGACACCTAACAAGCTGCCAAATTCTGGTTCAAAGCCGCTCATACTTCTCAACAGAGCCCCAGGCATCGAGGCATGAGTGGTTCGATCTCGCTCTTGAGCTTGCCTAGGTGTATCATCGGTCCGTATGATTGCGGTATGTGATTGACAGAGCAGCAGCAAGCTTGCGCAAGCTTACATGGCCCTTACCCCTCTTTTTTTGGGAAGGAGCTGTTTGGGGGGCGTGGTTCGGATGCGGGGCTGTTGTGCTTAGCTGGCCGTTTCGGGGATGGGTTGGGATAAGAGGTTGGGGTCTAAGCGTGATTTGATGGTGTGATGTGGTGTGCTGCGGGATCGTATGAAAGAATATTCCCGAACTGGACGCACAACCGAGTAACTTTGACGGGTTACCACAAGAACGGGCTGGGCTTGGATGATATGGTGTTATGGTTGGTACGTAAGTTTTTCGTGCTCATAATATAACGGTAGATGATTGATCTGCTATGTACGGTACGAGGTTGGATACCTAGGTAGATCTTATCTGAACAAAAGAGGCATGCACTCACTGGTTTTGAGGCTGGGTATCGCCTACTGATGATGATGCTAAGCTGAAATGGCCGTCTCTGGCCAAAACTAACGTACAGTCTCTTGATTATTGCTTTTGTTTTACGATCGTCTGCTCGGGAAAGTCGTGCTCTGCTTCTACTTCAAGCACGACGTCGCTATATATCTAGATGCACCATGTGCCTCACAACGCGCAGAATTTGATCAGCCGGAGGAATGGCAGACTGATGTTACACAATCTGCCTGCTGGTATGCGCCCTCACCTAGCATAGGCAGCGGTGGGGGCGCAGCATACAATACCTTCTACTTCAGCCTTTCGCAGCCTTTCGTAGCCTTTGCAACATCACCAAATCCTCCATTTCTCTCAACAGAGCCCACAACATATTTCTTCTTGGTTTCTGAGCCTCATCCATCTCCCAGACGTTCACGGACTCCAGTCTCGGCAACAAAGTACCCTACGAGCACACCCGTGGACTGCTACCGCCCAAACCCAGATCCAAGCGCAGACTCTCTTCCCCTCACAGAATACCTACGGCAGTGGGCATGGACGAGAGTGTCGAAACTGCAGTAGCGCAATCTCTAGCATTATCGGAAGCAAATGGATTGTACTGCGAAGAGTGCCTACGCGTCAATGAATCCTTCAACGATATACCCAATGCTGCGATCAAAGTGGGCGACCAAGTTATCCTGTCTTTGAAAGCGGATGTGGCCGGCATCACGCAAGGCACGACGTGACCATCATGTAAAGACTATCTCAATGTGCTACGACTATCAAACACCAAATCTGTTAAGCTCAAATTTTCCGTACGCGAAGGATTGTTATGGAATGTCACAATCACGCCTTTGGCCGCGTTTGAAGGCATTCGTGGTTTATATCTGCTTCGGCGCTCGTTGTATCCCATGCGGCTTCGAAGCGACTCTCCCACGACCGCCAGGGCTGCGAATCGTCCCGTTACAAATATCAAATCATGGCTGCAGACATGCCAGCGCGAACATATAGCATGTCGACAGAGCCCTGCCAGCGAAATGACTACGTCATTGTATCTTATGACGTGGTTGAGGAATGTATCACATTTATGCCCGTCTTGCGGGAGAACTACGTAGCTCTCAGCTATGTCTGGGGCAATGCTGAGTGTACTAAGTTAACTACCGAAAACACTGAAATACTCCAAAGATCTCGAAGCCTTTCATCCAAATCACATGTCACGACAGTTCCGCTTACAATAAGAGACGCAATGCGTTTGACCGCAGACTTGGACATTCGCTACATATGGGTAGATTGTCTCTATCTGGATCAAATGCATCTCATCTATCACAACGCTTGTCTCACCATCACGGTGGTGGATAAGGCCAGTGCAGATGGCGGCATCACCGGCTACGAAACCCGCTCGACTGGACGTGTACTACCAGATAGAGTCGCCAACTACCCAAACTACGTTTTCGGTAAGCTTGCTCGAAGCACAGCGAATTCGGACCTTACATGGTTTTCGCGAGGCTGGGCACTACAAGAAGGGTTTTTCTCTCGATGCGCTCTGGTAATCAGCGATCGCATCTATCTGAAATGTGCGGAGGATGTTTCAGAAGAAGGTGCAGATTTCGGGTTCAAGGACCTCGACCATTCATACCCAGGGATACGATCACTTCTGATTTCCATCTGCGAGTCGTCTGCTAACATTCGCCTCACGAAAGCCTGGAGTCGGTATTATCTAGACGACACAAGATGGGAAACGTACTCAAAGGTAGTAGAAGCGTTCGCCTCTCGCTCCTTTTCCCATGAGTCCGATATCATGAAAGCATTCTTAGGAGTCATAAGCTTTTGTAAGAGGCCTTATGAGAGTGGGGATAACCTCAATACAGATTTGCTTTACGGACATCCAGTGCAAACCCTTCCTAAAACGTTTTTGTGGACCCCGCGCGAGCACAACACAAGGAGGAGAAATCTGCGGTCACGGCAGGATGGGTTACCTGCCATTCCTAGCTGGTCGTGGATGGCTTGGCAACATGATGCTCGGGCGGAATTGTCGATGTATCCCTCGTTGGTGAGTTCTTACAAAGATCTCAACACGCCCACAATCGTACATGCGCAATGTAGTACTTGCCTGCAAACGCATGAGACGTCTACCAAGGGATGCAATAATGAAGCTTCCCTGGAACACATCGACCCAGAATGTCTACATCCATACCTGTACATCGAAGCACAGAGAGGCCGATTCAGTGTTTCAAAGCAACTAGAACGAGACGAAAAAAAGCAAACGTTCTGCTACCTGTGCACACTATGCAGAATGAAGAACCTAGTATTGTAGGCGACATAATCTTCGACATCTGCCACCCGCACATACCCTTAAATGGAGTTGAGACTCTAGACGTCCTTGGTATCTCATGTTATGAGAGCATTATCGATACTCTTAGCAAAACCAGGCAGTAGAGGAGCAAACCCTACAACGAAAGACACATATGCTCTCCAGTTCCAACCACCATTGTACCAGTAGATGCCGCGATCGGTGTATAGTTGATCCACATCGAGTTTGCCCTTTTTGACAAGGTAAAAGTCGCTGACCATGGTACCTGCAAGAGGACCCATGAGACATGAGTAGCCGCTCAAGAATGAAAGCAAGCCTGATGCATTTTTAATGATGTTCCACGGTGTGGATACGATGCAAAAGACAGAAATGATGATAGTAGCCCTGAAGATATTGATGTACTTTGGTAGCATACCAGCAACATCGTTTGCAAATGGATACGTGTCCGCTGCGATCTGATTGCCGATCGTTGCAAGAAGGAAGCTGGCGGATACAAAGAATTTTGCAGCTCGCGAGTCAAACTTGGCAATAACAGTTGGCATATACCATTCGAACTCGCCCCATATGTAGGAATGAGCATCGGTGACAAAGATTGGTGTCAGCGCTCCCAACGTTCCAATGATGGGGAGGGCCAGGAATTGATGGTAGCCAGCGAGCTGGTTCTTCGAGAACCTGCCAAAATCAGGCATGTTGACGGCTAAAGAGGAGAAAAGTCCGACGACAGCGTTGAGACCGGTAAGGGCTGAGTAGGCAGTGTTCATGTAAGTTGAAGTAATCTCCACCTTTCCTTTAATGAGCGGACCACCACTGAATACGGAGTCAGCTTCAGCCATGGCTGCGAAGCCTCAAGAAATTACTCCCCCTCTGGTCACAATGACGGCCCACAGGAACAGGGCAAAAAACGTGGGTGGCACGACAATACCCTTAATCCAAAAGAGGATGCGCAGTTTGGAGATTGGCATGAGGGCGAGCGCGGTCTGGAGGAACCAGTATAGAAACAAGCAAAGCAAACCGGCCGCTGCAAGACTGTCAGTAACGCGCAAATATACTGAGAAGAATGTGACGTACAGTCTATACCAGTGCTCTCAGGTAGATGATTCGGGAAGGTGATAAATCTTGGCCAAATCGCCTCAAGGCAACGTTGCAAAAAATTACTGGCCTGAACTGTGAGAATAGCAGCCCACATCATGGCAACGAAAGCTCGAATACAGATTGCCGGGAATGAGCCATACATGCCAAAGACACTTCGGATGATGACGGGAAAGGAAACGGCGTATGTGGCACTCATTTTGCCAGTTAGCGTTATCACCACGCTGCAGATAGCAAAGCCAAAGAACACGATGGGGATTGTTTCTCTAGCTGTGAATCCCAGCGCCATGACGCTGCTCACGGTAGACGCCAAAGGAGGAGCGAGCATGTCCGAGCACCAGTACGCCCAGTAGTCAAGCCCACCCCAGGTACGCTGTTCCAGAGGAACCGGATCCAGGTCTATCATCGACCCAATGGTTAGCTTGGGCCCGATAGATACACGTACTGTCAATCACATACCCTTGTTCGACCAGCGCGAGCCATATTTGCCACTTTCGAAAGGTACTCTAAGATGAAGATGAGGTGCAAGCCTCGCCTTGAGCACAGACATTGTCGAATACAACAAGGTACAATAAAATGATATCAATCGAACAGGGCTACATTCAACCTTTATGAAGCTCCATAATCTTGATTCCTGAACCGCGACAGCTACATAGCCAAATCATGATCGTCCCCAGCTTGATAACCATATCAGTACCTATCTCGGAGGTACTCGCCTTTGGCGCGGCGGGGTGAATGCGGAGGCGGCAACGGTTTGGCATAACTTTCAAGGAACATAACACTCCAATCTCGATATGTAGACAGGCATGGATGAACGTCAGCCGCTGGGCACTGCGGAGGTTTCTTATCGGAGAGGTGAGCTAATCCAACTTGGTGTTAGTGTCTTTTGATAAGAAGCCGTCGCCCGCCGTAGGCCCGCTGCATACACCGTCCGCGGCCAGTCTTAGAACTCCCGCGTCTGGTGAAGTCGATATCGGACGCAGATATGGCGGATCGTCGCTTCGTTCCGAGTCTCTGTATATCTTTCTTCCCAACTTGAGCTTAGATTTTCAGCCTGTCCGCACATGTACAAACAACCCTCCCACCATCGCGTCTTTGTAACACTACACGAACAACGGCAAACATGTCCCCCAATGGCACAGTGCTTTCCTTTGACGCGAAACCATACGCGTTCTCTTTCCCTCTGGAGCATACTGCGTTACTCATAATCGACATGCAACGCGACTTCCTGCTCACCAAAGGTTTTGGCGAAATTCAAGGAGGAAACCTAGAGGCCGTTCAAGCATCAATCGCACCAACGAAAAAGCTGTTAGAAGCATGTCGAGGTGCTGACATGACTGTCTTCCATACTCGGGAAGGCCATAAACCAGATCTCTCTGACTGTCCATCATCAAAGTTGATCAGGCAAGAAGCTGCACCTGGCAATACCCAGCACAAACTAGTCATAGGCGACAAGGGAGATCTTGGTCGCCTGCTTACCCGGGGCGAATACGGACACAATATCATAGATGAGCTAAAACCGCTTCCTGGAGAGGTTGTCATCGATAAACCTGGCAAAGGCTCGTTCTAGAACACGACCATTCTGCATCAACTCAAAGCGAGAGCGATCACACATCTTATCGTGTCTGGCGTCACTACGGAATGTTGCTTTGCTACTACAATACGAGAAGCGAACGACCGTGGCTTTGAATGTTGTGGCATTGAGGAAGCTACCAGTGGGTATAATGACGCATGCTTCAAGAAGTCAACGCTGGATATGATACATTGGTCGCAGGGCCTGTTCGGATTCATCGGTAGCTTAGAGCCTCTACTGAACACTCTCGCACCGTTGTCAAGCAAAAGATTTGACGCCAATTCGACACCCCCTCAAACACCGCCGATATTCGATGGCGACCTCACGATACCTGCTTTGCAGCGAGCTTACAAGAACGGACTTTCGCCAGTAACCGTCGTTGAAGCGGTCTACGACAAGATTGAAGCATACAAGGAGATAGACCCAGCAGTCTGGATTTACCTGCAGCCACGCGAAGCAGCTCTAGACGCTGCAAGGCGATTAGCATCTACTTTCCCTGATCGAAACGCACTTCCACCGTTGTTTGGGGTGCCCTTTAGTGTCAAAGACAGTATCGATATTGCTGGTCTTTCTACCACGACTGCATGTCCGCCACTTGCTCGCGTACCCTCCTCCTCTGCTCCCGTATACGACAAAATTATCGCCGAAGGTGCCTTATTTGTAGGGAAGGCCAACTTGGATCAGCTTGCTACTGGCCTCGTAGGCTGTCGCAGCCCATACGGAATCCCCCATTCAGTCTATCACAAAGACTACATAAGCGGCGGTTCAAGCAGCGGCAGCACAGTGTCAGTAGGAGCAAACCTCGTCTCATTCTCGCTGGCAACAGACACAGCCGGCTCAGGCAGAGTGCCTGCTGGCTTCAACGGCATCGTCGGGTACAAGCCTACAAGAGGAACAATCTCCTTCCGGGGTATCACACCAGCATGCTTGTCACTAGACTGTATTGCACTTTCCACCAAAACAGTATCCGACGCGCGAACTCTGTGGCAGACCCTCGAAGGCCACGACCCACTCGACCCATACGCAAAGCCGGAGATAGCATTCGAACGCCACATAATAGTATCGGTCCTCAATCACGCACGTTCAAATTCGGTATTCCACCTCCTGAAGCACTCGCCATCTGCTCGATACCCGCTCGTCGCATGTTCAACGAGACCGTATCGAGATTACAAGCAATCGGTGGTGTTCTCACACCAATTGACTGGTCTCCGTTCCAGAAAGCCGGCCAGCTACTCTACGACGGTACATTCGTTTCTGAACGCCTAGCCTCCCTCCCAGACGACTTCCTCGAGAAGAACCGCTCGGCGCTCCACCCAGTGACCGCCCAGCTTATGGACGCTGTTGTTGCCCGGAAGAGCTCGGCTGTAGATGTATACCGCGATCTGCAAGCCCAAGTCCTCTACACCCGTCAAGCAGAGAGAGTATTCGCATATTCCGCTTCTGGTGTCGATATAGTTGTCGTACCAACAACGCCTACCCACTGGAGGATAGATGAGATACTCGCTGATCCTATCAAGAAGAACAGCATACTGGGCGAGTTTACGCATTGCGGGAATGTGTTGGATTTGTGTGGTGTGGCTGTTCCGGCGGGCACGTATCCTGTTGCCGAGTTGAGTGGGGAAAATACGGATCAAGGTGTGTTGCCGTTTAGTGTGACGTTCTTGAGTGGATCGAGGTTGGATGCTGAAATTTTGGAGATTGCTAGGCGGTTTGAGGAAAGCATGAAGTAAGATAGCCAGCCAGTTGCTCTCTCAGAATTGATAGCGGTGCACACATCATACAGATCGTATCCGATGTGTCCTGGCAAGACGCTCGAGGAGCGACTCCAAGACATATGGAGACATTAACTGAGATGTGTCACCCATGAGCGAGTCCCTTGTCAAGCTAATGTCTTTCATTATCGTTTGCTAGATCATACAACAGCTGCACACTCCTCACAACAGGAAACAATAACTCAATACATCGTTCAACCTGTCCTTCATGAACATACAATCGCGCCGTAGTAGCTATTGTCCTCACTGCATAACCAAAATCATGGCTTCAAATACAGAGATAGCACGGTATCAACCTGTTGACTGTCATGACTCCGCCATGCCAGCCAACGATCAAGATCAGCCTCCTGTCTTCCATTCAGCCATTTACAGAGGCGGACGATTCCTAGATAAGCGCACTCATCCAGGACCTCGCGACTACGGCCTCCCTCTCCACGACTCTGCATCTCAACCTTCCAGCCCCCATAAAACAGAAAGCTCTCATTCTTCTTCGCTACCTCCTACAGAACAACCCCATCCTACCTTTCCAAACGACGTCGATGAAGACCCCGTCATCCCGTTTGCAGGCAAAGCACTAGACTTGTCTATCTACACCGACTCACTGCATTTCCTGCGCACCTATGCTAACAAAACCCCCGGAGGAAAAGCGAGAACGAAAAGGAATGAACATCATGTGGAGAATCTTATGAGTAAGATAGAGAAAGAGATAAATATCTGGACCTTCAACTCCTGGCTAGCAGCCACCGGGGGAAATAGAAAACCACAATGCAAATATGGTAATCGACGAAAACTTAATCACCCAAGGGATGATCTGGACGATGAGGTGTGCTGGTTTCATGAGAGTAAGCGGGGGGTTAAGGATAAAGAGGATGAGGATTGTCGGCGTTGAGTATGGAGGCTAGCTGCAGTCTTTGTGTTGAGTGTTCGAAGGAGGTGTGTCGTAGTCATAGTCGTGTTTGTCCCCCTTGAGGCGAAGTAGCACGTTTCCTTGCACATGTATAGAAGACAAGGATCAATCGTCACAATCTTATAATTGTATGAGGAATAGAAAGCTATGCACAAGAAAACAGGAAAAAAAAAGCAGACCATGCCGCTATGCAAGAACCTAGATTATCCAAATCAAAACAACGCCATACATCGTGTACGTTCATCACTACTAAGCACTCACAGTGCTACTGGTCCATAGGGCCTTTACAAAGACAGAGCAACAGCAGCAAAGAGCGCAACCACGAAGCTAATCGTAGCACCGCTCTGTAGCTTACCACCCGCACTATCTCCATGAATACCCAGAATCTCCGCCTGCCTTGAGAAGGTAACGTTCTGGGGAATCGTCTCGTTCAAGCACTGTCCGTTGGCGATATCCAAACCAGCCAAGTCATTCGGCTCACGGAAGAACATGTAGCTCCTGTTGTTCAGACCCTTGAAGCCCTCGGTGTTGTACGGGAACCACATGTCCGAGTCGGTGGCGGAGGTGTTGCGCAGGAAGATACACTGGACTTGGTTGGGGAAGTCGTGTGCGAGCTGTGGGTAGTCCTTCATGACGTCGCTGTTGGAGGTATCGGCTACGAGAACGAACTTGCGCTGGGGGAAGGTCGCAAAGACTTTCTGGAGGAGGAACATGCGGATGGACAGTGTGGCGGAAACGTCTGAGAAGTTCAATGGGCGCGTATCGAAGGAGCCGCCTGGGTATGTCTTGTAGATATAGTCCATGTAGAGACGGGTGGCTTGTTCGGGAGTGGTGGTCAGGTAATGGAAATGCGTGTTGTTGGGGAGGGTCCGCGACCAGTTGGCGTAGATCTCGGGCATGTTCATCCAGGGGGTGAAGGGGCGAGCGAAGGAGTTTAGGAGACCTTCCTTAGGATCGTAGATCTTGGTAACGCGGAGGATGTCGTCAATGTCGGAGATGAAGGTGATACCCTCGGAAGGGACAAGGAAGGCAGTGGCATTGCCGCTCATGGTGCCGTTGGTGTAGACGTTCAAGCGCTGGACGTTGTTGGTCTCGTTACCAGGAAGGAGGCCGTTGGACTGGATCGGTACGAAAACATCAAAGTCACCTTCTACCGTCGTCTCGTAGGGGAGAGTGAGGTTCTGTACGCCGCCGGGAGCCTCGATGGAGTTGCCGCCTCCAGGCTCGCCGTCGCCACCCTGCATGGGCGCGGGCTCGAGCGACATGGAGACATTGACACCGCCTTGCTGGACGATGAAGATAGATCGCGTGAGGTTGCGTGCCTGAGCCTTCTGGTTGTCAGGCAGCTCGGCGACGCTCGTGTCGATCAAGAAGACGTTGGCCAAGTCGTCGACCTTGTTCTGGTCGATATCCGGGAACTTGTAGACATTGCCGTGGAAGCGCACGTTCCAGCCCTGGTCAGTCCAGTTCGCATAGGGAGGAATGTTGAGGACTTCGGTGGGCTTCGCAGCCAAATCGTCGTCGCCGATGCCGAGGCTTGAGAGAACTTCGCTGCCGGTGGGCAGGCCCTCGAACCAGCCGGGAATGCCTAGAGAAGAAGTGTCAGCACAAGCCTTACTAGCGCGAAGCTTGCTTTGCAAGTATTTGCTTACCATCTGTGAAGAAGCTGGGCAGGTCTGTTCCCAATACGCTGCCAATTGAGTTTGCATAGTTCTCAACGCCACTCTTGATATCATCGATAATGTCCCTCCTCTGCACGTAGCTGTGCCGTCCTTCGAACCGGATCGCCGCGGGAGTCACAACAGGCGCCCGAACTTCGACCTTGGCGGGGACAGCTGTCGGCTCTGGCACGGCGACTGCACCGGCAAGGCCGAGTGTCGCGCTCAGCAGTAGAGCTCGCTGAGATACGCGTTGGTGCACCATCTTGATGGCTTTGTTGTGATGACAAGGGTTAAGGTCGAAAGGGGCCCTCGCGTGCAGTTCGCGTGTAAGGAGATTAAAGTCGGAGCGACAGACTGAAAGGAATAGAAAGAGATGCACAAGGGAAAGAGGAGCGAGCGCCGGAGAAACCTTGGAAGATGGCGATATCGAAACGGCGCTTGTCGTGTTTCGTCGCGGGCTAACAGCAGGTTTACAGCGAAATTGGTGGTGTTGGTTGCTGCAGGTACACTCAACATGATGTCATTGTGGCTGTTAGCGCTTGGGGCGGTGCGTAGGGGCTGTGCTAGTCTGGTTGATCGCCTCCCGAGGTCCACCCCGATCAAACTCCACAACTCAAATACTCCTTCGGAACTCGGCAGTCACAGATTGATGGCGAGCCACATTTGATACGAATAAAAAGCCGATGATTGTTTTCATGTCGTTGGAAGGAATTATGGTGCGGGCGAAAGACAAGATACCTACACAGTGATTCATGACCCACTAACCACAACTCAAGGCTCCGATGCCATCATATTCTGTAGCGATTCCCCGTATGAAGATATTCATATCTCATTGGCCAACAAATTGTCGAATGGACCAACTGACCCAACACGCGACGCCTCCGAGAATCGTCCCATGCTTCACATAACACGCCGTGCACCTTGTCATTAGGCGCGATGTATTTGATGATATTCAAAAGTGCTCTCATACATTCCTTGACCTGCGCTTTGTAGCCTTTCGATTCTAAGTATGGCCATGGGTCCGTCTCCCAATATCCGGGAATGGTGGATGCCCAGCCTGTACCAGATGGCCATCGCACTTCTTCGCCGTACCACCCTATCATGTCCAAAGAGTAGCTAGGCAGTGTGCTGTCGCGCTCGAGGCTTTCCACAGGTTGAACGATAGTTGCACAAAGTTTATTCTCATCCTTTCGATCTATCATCGTCTTTTCGTTGCGTACGAGATGCCCGTGGACTTTGCGTACGAGGTTGGATTGTGCGAGGAGGTCCGCGCGCTCAGAATCGCAAAGGACTGTGTTCGTGCCACTTGGTACGGGAATGTTGTAGATGGCTGCATTCAGCTCGTCGAAGTTCGCATGGAAGGTTATTGCGAGGATTTCAATGAGGAAACGACACACCTGCTCAGTCTTGCATTCTGGTGGTTGAGCTTGTGATGGAGCGTGGTACTTAGTTTCGATTTTGGCAATGTCAGTATACTCAGGTGGCGGGGATGATAGTAGATCCGGGTGCTTTGTTCGCGATGAGGTGTGTGAAGGAAGAAGACGGGATATTTGGAAGCGGCCTAGTCGGCCTAGACTGAATGTTGGCATGATGGCAATATCTCGGTGCAACTGAAACGAGCTTGGAGATACCAGGAGATAGAAAATTGAGAGGAGAATGAGAGGAAGGTTTTGTACATCTGGTGAGAGCGCACTAGCGAAACCAGGGTTCACGGTCGCCTGGGTCAGCAAAGAGGGGGCCTGTACCAAGATAAAGTATATGCGTGGGTTCAATTGTATAAAGGCAAAGTTGAAGTGACTGGCTGGAAATCGTGGTTGGTTTTGGTCTAAAGGTACGAGTTAATTTGCTTGCTTGCGAATGCATTCCAAAGGGAGTGTGATTTAGAGCTCTTACCTTCAGCCCTCGGAAATGATTTGAACACTAAGATCCTCGCAGGAGCATGCGTTCAGGAGGCAGGACAGACTACGACAGCAGGCCACAGAGATTATTGCTGACATATTCGAGGCAGATGTAGTTATCATACATATCTATCGTATCCTGGAATTTCCTCAGGACTGTCTTGGTAGTTGCCTAGCTGGTATTGATCTCTGCCACATGTACTCTCATGTTAACAAGACCACGCACTGTTGACAGAGCTCCAAGACGATGAGCGGCGGCAGGAACATGGTCGTTAACTACGATATTGCGCATTACAATGACGACGAACTGTGCAAGATACTCTACAGTATGGCTGAAGACAAGGACGTTTCCTTTTTTTGGAAGACTTCAAGATCATCGGCCTGCCGATGAGGCAAGAGACCGTCAGTAGAATCAAACAAGCTCTTATACGTATTCGAGTTCTGTATCAAAAATCGTCTACTAATACAACGACAGAGCACCACAGCGCCGCCGCGACCATCCAGTAACCAAAGCTACATGATGGATGAGGGCATGGATTCCATCGATGACTACCTCAACTCAATTCTGAACGAAGCGAATACCAAGGCTAAGGAGAACGACTATAAGGCCGACCCCTTCCACTCAACGGAGATGCGCCCGTCTGTCAAGGCCAAGGTGGACGGTTACGATGAAGACTACGAGGACGACATTCTCTACTCAACGCCGCGTTGAATCATCAATATTGAGATTACGTCATATGACTAATTGCTTGCAGGTAGGGTATCCTGCCGCCCACATTTGGGCGGCACGCACTGAACGCCATCTTTGGGCATTTGGTCGCCTCTAACTCCCATGTCGCCTCCTAGGGTACCTAAGAGACAACGGGAATATACATATAGAATCAGTCATAGCCTTGCAGCTGCAATGCGTGGATAGTAAAGAATGAGCACATTACCCCTGTAAGGATCAGCCAACTTTCTTTAGTCCTTGCTACCCTTGATCGCGATCCCTGAGTGTGCACACCCGAACATGTCTGTTGCATTTATACATAGAAAATAGATACGTTCAACATCCCCAAGATGTTCAAGATGCTTTCGTGAGTCTTTCTTCAAATGTAGATGTGTGCACTTACACCTCATTTCAACATAGATTCTAGAGGTATTTGCAGCCTCCTACTTTTCCATTATACATTAGCTTATCAATTCCCGTACACATACAACCTGAATGATATATGCTTCTCTGTGTTCTCGGATGCTTTGTTGCCATATCAGCTGTCATCAAAGTCCGTTTCGATCCGAAAGATGTTGTGATGCATACGAACATGGCGTGATCATACATGCTGGTGTAACAGCCTCAACCAGTTTACCACACCAAGATGTAGTGTAGATTCGGCCAGAACTGCGTGAGCATAGATGCCGTACCGTTAATTCAGAGCACTTCACTGCACTGACATGTAGACCTTGATTGGGTTGAAGTTTGCCATTACACTATACCATGCTAAAACTCGAGAATGCTAAACCGAGACAAACAGGAAATGGGGTATCATATCGAACATAGTGACTCAGTCTTTTTCCCTTCCAAAACGCCCATCCCTTAACCCTGCAAAACATATTCCGTCCGAACATCGGGGTATTGTGCATGACGCATTCGGATATAGCAGCGCTTGCTATACTCGCCAATACCACGATGCTGCTACTCGACAAAAAAGTAAAAACCATATCGTCGTATGCGCACCGAGGCCGCCGTGAAAAGATCGTATTGGGTTGCCGCTAAGTGTTTCCACAGTCATATCTCGGGACCGGTCCGGTACTCATTGTCGACTGACCATTCAGCGCCCAGTGCCCACCTTCCCTTGGCCCTTGCTCAGCTTCTTTCCCACACCCAAGTCGTCGATGTCGCTCTTCTTATGATAGTGCGGTGCTGCTTCCACCAACCAGTCCGGCTCGATAGGTGCGACGTTCCTGGCCCATTCTTTGGATGTCAATACGAGCTCGGCGTAGATGATCAACTTCGGTCGTGTCTTGCTAAGGCAAGAAGAGGGGTGGATGTGGATGGATAGCCCTCCTCTCAGGCTGCGGTAGCTCATCCCATCCTTGTTCAGAACTGCGGCATTTGCGAAAAAGCCAGCACAGAAGCTCTTCAGGATCTTGACGTGATCTTGTATACCACAACTGGAAGGTGCGATCTCCACCCGGTCACAAAGCTTATGGAGCTGGTCTCTAACATCCCGTATCCTGTTCAGACTGCGATACTGGATGAAGTTCTCCTTGCACCAAAGCATGCTATATTCGTTTTCAACAAATTCGTCCCATACTTTCAAAAGAGTGATGAGGTCTCCCCCTTCTGTGCTAGAGAAATGCTGGCGCGCTATATCCGCAGCAGCCTTCTTGTCTTTGGGGGAGAAGAAGAGAGTTCCTGCTTCTTGTATCATGGCGACCAATGTAATCGCCTCATCTACACAGCCCAGTTCGTCGGCTGCGAGAAGAACCTTGGCCAGTCGAGGATCCAGGGGTAGTTCGGTGGCGCGCCTACCCATCTTGGTCACGATACCCTCCTGCTGGATGTATCCGAGAGCGTAGAGATTCTCCAAAGACGCCGCAATCGATTCGACAGGGGGTTTAGCCATGAAATCGAAAGACAGTACGTCGTTTATTCCCTGTGGGTGTACGAAGTCAGTATATGTCTCATTTTCAGTTCGTACAGGGGCATCTCTTACCATGCTTTTCAACAAAAGGTACACAGAGTCTAAATTCGCCCTGAGGATCTCGGGCGGCGTCGAGGTTGGTAATTCGTTGTAAAACGCGTGCCGGGTAAAAAGGCGGAAAGCCATACCAGCTTGAGTACGTCCAGCTCTCCCTGCCCTTTGCTCACAGCTAGCTTGACTGCATGGTTCAACAACTAAAGAGCTCATGAACGAGCGTGGGTTGTATTCCAAACTCTTTTGAAGGCCACAGTCAATGACCATAGTGATGCCATCTATAGTCAGACTTGTCTCTGCAATGTTTGTAGCCAGGACCACTTTTCGAGTGCCTTTCGGAGGTTCAGCGAAGATAAGCTGCTGAGATTCGGATGGGAGTGCACCGTAAACAGGGGCGACGATCAGTGGCGGTGCTCTATTTCCGAGCTTACGCATAGTCGATTCGATCTGTTCTTGAGCGAGAAGGATCTCGTCCTCGCCAGTAAGGAAGACCAGGATGTCACCAGGCGGCGCTGCGAGATGCAATTGAAAAACGGTGCTGACGCTTGCCGCAACGTAGTTTGCCTCGGGGGCACTGACATGATGTTTGGTGATAGGGAAGAGCTTACCGGGGACGTTTAGCACGGGACAGTTTCCGAAGTAGTCCGAGAACTCTGTAGCGTTCATTGTGGCAGAGGCGATGATGAGCCTGAACTCTGGTCTGACGGCACATACGTCCTTCAGAAGAGCCATCAAGACTTCCGTGCTGAGCGTCCTCTCGTGAGCCTCGTCGATGATGACAGCAGAGTAGTCTTCGAGCAATACTGACCCAAGACATTGACGGAGCAGAAGACCATCTGTCATGTACTCAATCTTGGTCACGTCCGACATAGCATTTTCGAAACGCACGGAGTAGCCCACTTCTCTGCCAACCTTACATCCATACTCCGTCGCGACACGCTTTGCAACTGACATTGCCGCCACACGTCGAGGCTGAGTACAAGCTATGCGGCCGGTCTTCGCGTATCCGGCGTCGAGGAGGTACTGTGTCAGTTGGGTCGTCTTGCCACTACCAGTTGAACCAACCAGGACAAGGATCTGATGGTTGGCGACGGCATTAATGAACTCGTCCTTGTATTTGTATACCGGCAAACTTTGTCTGACTTCCTGAATGGACTTCGCGGCAGCCTCTGCCTCGTCTAGCGTTGATTGAAGCCTTTGCTTTGCCATGTCGAGCGACCCCAGATCGATTTTGCTGGCATCGAATACATTCGCCGATTCGTCGAAGACATACTCGTAATCCTCTTGGACGACGCGTTCCGCCTTAGGCTGACTCTTGATCTTTCTCATCTGCTCCTCCTCCCATAGCTGAACCTCACTCTTCTCGTAACCCTTGTCTTTATGTCGCTTGGTAAGAGCCTCATGCTTATTCGAGTAATCTGCATCGGGAATGAAGAACCTGCCGTCGATATTGTCGTCGATAGCATTACGCGCCTCCGCCAACTCCAGAGTTTTCCGATTAGTTTCGAACTCCTTTTTTTCTTTCGCGCTCAGTCTATTCCCCAGTCTCTCCTCCTCTTCTGCTTCTTCTGCGACCTGGCGGCGAAGTAGGGCGAGTTGTTGCGCTTCTCGTTCGGCGAGATATTTCTGGCGCGACGCCAGCCTCAACGCGCTGACGTCTTGGTCGCCGGTCTTGCGGCGTTTCGAGTCCATGATGTGTGATGTATGCAGGTAGCCCGTCAAGTTCGGCGGTCGCGCGATTCGGCGGGAGTTTGGTGTGTGCGTGTGTCGAGTCGTAGATATGGGATGTGCGAAGTTTGTGGTGTGGAGGTAGAGACAGTGGTGGAGTCTCTCTACGAAATGTTGAAGCTCGGACCAAGTGGCGCCGTGGCGCTAGTATGTTCGGGATGATTCGGTACCACCTTCAATCATAACAACCACACTAGACTATGACTTAATCCAAACTGTCCAAGCCATTCATACAAGCCATTTCAATTGCACATCAACCCTATGATACTCTTGCTATTCGCACTAAATGATACATCCTATATAACTCTACTATCCTCTCCAACAACATGACTCAACACATCCTCGCGAGTAGAGTACCAGCAATTACACGAAACCACATGCAAGACACAAACAAGAAAGCCAACACAAGAAATAAGAAGCGAAATGAACAAGTCTTCCAAACGTAAAGATATCATATTCGTTATCATCAAACACCTAAACATCAACGCCTCTCGCGATGCCACGCTTCATGAACGCTAGAAACCTCTAAACGATACGCAAACGCCCTCCACCTCTCAACGCCGATGATAATAAACCGCTCAATGACTAATATACTGGAACACGGCACTAACATCCTTCAAATCATTCGCCGTCTCCTGCCTAAGCAACAAATCTTGGATCTTGCCCAATGGACCAGTCTCGCCATCATTGACAAAGTGATTCCACGTACTCGTGTCACCGTATAACATAGCCGGCGCCTTAGCCACCTGTCTCCCATCCTCCTTCCTACAACGCTTACACTTGAACGTGTCGTGCGTGTCGCTCGTAGTGTTGTCGCGGTACTGGAAGAGCTCACGAAGGGAGTCGAGACTGAAATGACGTTCAACGTCTTCCGCAGAATCAACGACACAGTTTGACAAAGCCTGTTTATGCGACTGTCGCTGGAAGACCTTCTCTTCAATTGTACCAGTGGTGATGAAACGGTAAACGAAACAATCCTTCTTTTGCCCGTCACGCCATACACGAGCGAGGGCTTGCTGGTCGGCAGCAGGGTTCCAATCGGGATCGAAGAGGACGAGGCGGTTGGCACCAATGAGGTTGAGACCGCATCCACCCGCCTTGGACGACAGCAGGAAAACAAATTCAGGGCTCTCGGGGTCGTTGAATTTATCGACTAGCTTCTGCCGTTTGGACACGTTCATCGTGCCGTCAAGGCGGAAACAGCCATAGCCGCGGGACCGACATAGCATGGCAAAGATATCGAGGGTTTGCGTGTAGTTGGAAATCAAGACGATTTTGTCGTTCGTCTCAGCACGGATGCGGGCAAGCATACGGTCCAGGACAGCCATCTTTCCAGAGTACCAGACCTTGACCTCCCGGTCTCTGCCTCGCGCGTCCTTTGGTACAAAGTCTTCCGGGAGCTTGTCTTCGCAGCCGGGCAAGTCTTCTGGCAAGTTGAGTAGGTCGGGGTGGTTGCAGAGCTTCTTGAGCATGCCAATGACTTTGAGGGGCTGCGAGCCTTTGCCGCGGAGGAGACTCTGGACATCTGGGGATTTGATGAAGTGGTTGTACAGGTCTTTTTGGAATGGCGCGAGGTTGCAGAACACGACGTGCTCGTACTTGACTGGCAGGTACTTGGAGAGAATGTCGTTGGTTCGCCGGATAATGAACTTGTTCACCAGCCCAAGAAGCTCGGTGAGCCGCTCAGTACCCTTCTTGACATCCTCATCTGTTCCGTTGGCATCGCGACCTTTCAGGATAGGAATCTCGTAATGCTTGCGGAATTCCATACGTGTGCCGAGGTAGTTCGGGTTCGCGAAGTTGAGTAGCGCGAAGTACTCTGATAGATCGTTCTGAATGGGTGTTCCGGAAAGGATGACTCTCCTCTGCACGTTCAGGTTGTTGAGCGCGGTAAATGTCAAGCTGTCACCGTTCTTCAATCGATGCCCTTCGTCACAAAGCATCAAACCGATAGGTGTCTGTCCAAACTCGTCGGCATAGAGACGCAGTGTTTCGTACGATACGATGAGCACAGGTCTGACGACTGCGCGTCCGGATGCGATCGACCATTGCCGTATCTGCTGGATGAGCTCCTCTTTCGATGCCTTGCCGTCGATCGCAAAGGGGGTGACAGCGTCCTTCCCAAGCCACTTGATAAGCTCGTTCGCCCAATTCCTCACCAAACTAGAGGGACAAGCGATAACGCACTTTTGTATCGTCGACTTGCCAGCGTCGGGTGACTGCTTCAACAAAGTCCACATGAGAGCGATGCATTGCAGCGTTTTTCCGAGACCCATCTCGTCAGCCATAATACACCCGTTCGCCTTGGGGTCAATCATGCCAGTCGTGGCACGATACAAGAACTTCACACCTTCGACTTGATGCGGTCGTAGAACCTTCGCAAGCCTCGGATCTATAACGACTGGCACGCGCGGTCGTTCGTTGTCCACTTTCTTCTTCAACCCCAGTATCTCCGCCAAACTCTTGTGTACCAGCGGAGCTTCCATCTCCTTCTTCTCTGTTTGACTCAGCTTGGGTTCGGCCTCTTCTTTAGGTACCGGCTTATCGTCGACTGTGGGGTCATAGAGTACTATCGCGAACTCTCCGCTGGGGTCGTGCAGTGGTCGCGCAACAAAGACGGTTCCTGTGCGCATACCAAGCAGTGGCGCTGGTCGATTCGGATTATAGGCACCAACGTCCTTGTTGACTAAAGGCACGATGAACTTCGTTCTGAATGCGGTATCTTTGTCTTTTGGCTTGAAGACGGGAAATCGGTTTGCATCGCGTGTGGCGAGGGCTAACCGGTCCTCATTCGAATATGGCTTATCACTCTCTCCATCTTCACCTCCAGCACCAGAATAATCGACCTTCCGCCTCTTCCTCGCAGGTTTGGTTGAGACACTGGATACAATTGCTGAGCCAGGACACCGAAAGGGCTTGATGAGGCGCTCGGTTGACTGCGGAGTGCCACCATATAGACGCGCCGCGGGCTTCGCTGGGGTGGCCTCGCCAGCTGCGAGAGTCTTCGGTCGATGCATGAGGAATTGGCACTTCTGGTGGGTATCCTGAAGTTTTGCAGCCTATATTCGGTCGATGTGGTGGGAGTTGGGAGAAGAGCGACTGTCCTTCGGGAATGATGATTAGTGCTTTCAGGTGGCGGAATTGCGACGCGTAGATTGTTAGCTTCATCACGTCGTCACGTGGAGCGACAGGCAGCATCGTCATCCCACCAACATCCAGAGTTTCCGTTGTGCCTAGAACTGCTATCTGAATGCTCGCCCGATTGTATCCTGATCGTCTATATACATTCAACGCGTCAATTCTTTACCATCATCTTACGTGGAAAACCCTGTGACCGACACCTCCGAGCCCTCTCCGCAAATTCCCCAGCACCCACCCCATCACCAAAAGACACCCCCACCCACCATGGCGCGAAAAGCAATAGCAAAAGACCAAATCGTCAAATTGATCGTAGGCGCAGGGCAAGCGTCGCCCTCGCCGCCCGTCGGTCCAGCGCTCGGTAGTAAAGGTGTGAAGAGCATGGATTTCTGCAAAGTACGTTTCTATCATCTCTCTACTTTGTCGCATATCCCAAACCCATAGGACTAACAAACCACGTTAGGAGTTCAACGCACGAACAGCCCACTACATAGTCGGAACCCCAATACCAGCGCGCATAACAGTCCGACCAGACCGCTCCTTCCACTTCCAACTCCGCACACCACCAACCGCTACTCTCCTCCTTAGCGCCGCCGGCGTCCTCCCAACGAAGAACAAGATAAGAGGTGCTGGAAATGTTCCAGGACCCATGAACAACCATGATGGACAAAAGGGCAAGACGTCGACTAGTAGTCCGACAGTTGGGAATGCAGTAAAGGGCACCGTGGGTACGGTGAGCTTAAAGCACGTGTATGAGATTGCAAAGATCAAGCACAGCGAGACACGATTGAGTGGATTGAGCTTGGAGGGTGTGGCGAGGTCTGTGGTGGGACAGGCGGGGAGTATAGGAGTCGTTGTTGTGCCGTAGGGAACTGTAGGGTGAGGTGGGGGATTAGAGGATGCGCTGTTGAGAGACTTCCTGCTACAGCAGGGACAAACATCATGAAAGGTAGAAAGAGAAAGACCTAAGAATCAACCCCGGCTTGGCGTGGAGGAGATTCCATGGAACAAGGCGTTATGTTAACGAGCCTTGACAATAGGTGTGTATTTGGATGGATGGTTCAGATGTCGAGTAGAGAAAGGACCGTGTACAAATACTGTATACCTGTATAAACTCACGATTACATGATCGGTTTCTGGTTGCGTATGGACTCGGAAGATATGGGGAACGTGTAAATAACTTGTTCAGTTCATTGAAGATGACAAGGCCTTTCGAGTCAATGTATATCCGACTGTACCTAACAATGATGACTCTCCCCATCCTGACGCATTACCCAGCGTCGTATATCCAGTGGTGTGCTTGCACTCTCTCCCTCCTTGCTACTTCACTCATCACCTCCCATACCTTTATCAAAGCCACGGCCCATACCAGCCCACTCCCGCACACTCCCATCATCTACCAAGAAGTCCTCATGTTACTTATATTACAACTTCCTCCTCGAACCTATCCATTCATCAAGAAAACCCATAAACACCCCCTTGTTCCTGAAATCTCAACTGATGATCCCTCAAATCCGCCCAAAGCCTCAACTCACTCTCCTCATCAAGCGCACCACTCGGATCACTCGCCTCAGGACTTACCCTCTCCAGTTTACTCAATATATCGAGGAATTTGTAAAGATAGTCTTGGTGCTGTAGTGCAACACTACCACGCCGCTCCTTGGGCACTTCAAGTAGCGTGCTGGCAATACTTCGTATCTTCTGAGTCTGCGCGGGGAAGAATCGTAAGCTTGCGATCGGGCTGATAGTGTTTAGGCGAAAAAAATCTTGTGTCGACATGGAGAAAACAAAGGCGTCATCGTCGGCTTTGGGTTGATATAGGAAATCGGAATTCTGCAAGTAAACATATAGACTTACAAAGGAGTCGCCATTGGGCTCCATGTTGACCATGTCGATGCTGCCCAGGACTACTAGGAGGTCTTTGACCACTTGTTCGCGTTCTTCCGACATTGCTTTTTCGAGCGCTTCAGCGGAGGTGTTGGTCCTGGATACAAACCTGTCTACTCCTGCTGCGAGAGCATTGGTAGTGCTCTGCGCACCTGCTTGGTTCTTGGACCGCTGGTACTTGTCTAGTTGAAGAAAGTACTTTTCCACGAGGTGTGAGCGGGTAGCCAGATGGCTGGCGTATATGTTCGCTTTCTGGATTTCGTAGCGCCGCATGTCATGGAAATCCGGCTTTTGGTAATTGTCCATAGTCGAATCTCGCATCCCGGAGTACTCCGGGATGGGCGGGTAGTAAGGTTTTTGTTGTTCGAGACCACTGTCTTTGCTGGATTTGGGTTGGACCTTGAGCACTTCTGGTAGACTCTCCAGAATCTGCCTACAGCGCTGCAAGCTCTGTGCAAAGATTTGTTGTTGTCGATCCCAGTCGAATATCTCGTCGATGCCGAATGCCATTTCTGCCGTTGCTAGCGACGAGTATGATAGATAGATGCGCACGTTGATGTTGAAACCAGTTATCATGGACACGACCCCTTCGCGCTGTGGCTGGATTTCATTCGGGAATATGTGTACATCGTCGACTTCGCGGGGTAGTGGAGGTAGGGGCTCGGTGGGCGTCGCAGGAGCAACCATCAACTCTCCGAATGAAGCGCCTAGTTGTTGTATGGTCCTAATCAAAGTTAGTTATGGTTGGCATAGAAGAAGTATGAGAAAACTCACCGCACGCCCACAAACACCGTCCAGAATACGCGTCGACCGATTTCCTCAGTGATATAGTCTACTTTGAACTCTCTTGAGCCATCATAGTTGGGTCCATTGGAACCCCACGCATGTGGCATACCACCAAGATAGGTATAACCCTGAGCCTCTGGTTTGTGAAGACCCAGTGAGCGTATGATAGTCAAGCACTCAGCCAAGTACAATCGTAGTTGCCGCCATTGAAACACGTAGGCTCCAGTCAAGCCCAGGAAGTAGCTAGTACATGCGTCGTACACGTTCAGAGAGGGTCGATCGAGATAACCAGGTCCACGCGCCCGCGCACACACATCTCTACACTTGTCGACCAAGGACAGGTGATTTGGGTATTCGCGTCGCGTCTGTGTGTTGAGATGTAGGCGTGGTTTTCGAGGGAAGGAAGCGACCAGGACGGCGATCATGGATGCCAGCAAGGCAAGGAACGAGGGATTCGACAAGTCCTCTCTCTGCCCCCATGCTTCGCGAAACGACGGCTCGTGTGGGAAGGGACATAGCGGGTGTATGTAGGTGAAGAAGTCGTCGATGAGGGCGTTCAGTGTCGGGAGGGCGCATATCTCTTCAGCAGAGAGCTGGGCTGGATGCGACGACTGCAGTTGGGCCAGCGCATGGGCGGCATTGGTAGGAGACTGCGGGTTCGACGAGCCAGAGTCCACATCGCCAATCCTTCGCTTCTTGATCGCTTCGGCATGCCTGTTGGGCGGTCCGCGTCGTCGGCTCGGGCGCTCAAAGGTACATGGGATTTCTAGAGCTAGGCAAGCTCTACACGGTGGTCCGGATTCGTCGCACTGCCGTCAGATCAATATGCTTATTCCAACACCAAAATAGAATAGCAAGGCGCTCACCTTGACCTTACGTATGCTGCATGAATCGCAAGCTTTGCGCAATCGGTTCGGCTTTGATTGTTGGGGAAGCGGAGGATTCAGGGCATGATTCGCTTGGAGAGCCTGTTGCGCCTGGAGCACCTCATTGATATTCTCGAGCTTCGGGTAGGCGGCTTCTGGCGGGTACGCGATGCGCGGTGGTGCCTGACCTTCCAGAACACGTCCGTTGGGATACAAGGGCGTGTAATTATGCGGGTCCTGGCCATCTGGTGGTGCAGCATACTGCGACGCATGCGGAGAAGAAGTCATGGCGTAGCCGCAGTTCTACCGTGACGAGGGAAGGACGTTGGCTGATGTCCCGTTAGCTTCCGGATATAGAAACGTCTGCAAGGTAGGGTCCAAATGTATTTGATTTGACAGGGCGCATCACTGCCTGATAGCCAGTGACGGATCTTCAGAGTTTCTGGAGTCTAGAGGGCTTACTTGCATCTAAGTTTCGCGGTCCGATCAGGCACGGCAATTACCGATACGGTTAGATACAGGGACACGGGGAGTTGATCTGAGGCCGTGCAGGGTATGCGAATGATTGTAGTAAGAAGAGACGGTGACAATTGAAAAACGTTAACAATTCAGAGCCGAGTCGATATTGTTGGACATTGCGTGCTCATGACTTTGAAAAATTGGCAGCTGTTTCAAGCTACAGATCATGTTAGGCAGCGTCGATCCGCAAGTACGAAAATTCCGCCCCATTACGGCCGTTCGTTGTAGTACTGATTTCTGCTTTAATAGAGGCCTTTCGCTGTAGCGCGTCGCATCCCGATTTCAATACCCGTCAATGACGCAACTCAGCTGATGTTTTAGCGATGTCGATCTTGTCGAAAGGAGTATACTCCGAGCGGGAACGCATGTTCCTGGGTCCGCACGAATCGTGTGCGCCGTAGACAGGCCATGTCACGTACATGTTCTTCGTGACAGTCTGATCGCAGAAACTCGTGTTGTGACGAATGAGTCTCGGAACCAACGCCCGCTAAACCTTCCAAATTGGTATATATGCTCGCATTACCATACCCAACCCATCACATCACAACCCGCCACCACCATGGCTCCCCCATTTCCCTACCGCTCCAACCGTATCTGTCAGAGATCACTATCATCACTCCCCGGCTCACTCCTACTCGGCGGCCTGGAGCTCCTGCTCAACGAGAAATCTAAGATATCCGATTTAGAACCCGCATCGATAAACTTCCTTAGACACCATCCGATTTGCACAGCCGTCGAGGTCTCGTTGCCTAGTGGGTCGATTTGACGGCCCTTGACGAAGACTAGACGGTTGAGGTTAGTAGGAATATGCCATGGGGGAGGGTTGAGGAGGGTTGAGGAGGGTTGAGGGGAAATGGAAGCACATACTGATCTGGTTCTGACTATCCTCACGATCGTACACCTTGTCATTCGAGCCGAATGCAATGATGCCCAACTTGGAACTCCTGTCCTTCTCCTTCGCATTCGCAGCACTACGCTCAAAGCCCTGTTGTGCCAACCCAGCAAGCAAGTGTTCGTAAATCTTGCGTGGCAACTTTGTCGAACTCGGGCTATTCGTAGGCCAAGTCGTGATATTCAGCGTAGCCAGATCCTTTAGATCACCAAGACAATTCTCAAAGTTGATAAAGCTGTCGTTTTTACTGCGGATGACGCTGACACTAGGGAAAGCCACGGAGATTTGTTCGAGGAGGGTGCAGTCTTTGCAGATTTGGGAGAAGGAGGCGTAGTCGTAGATGAGTTCTTCGTCGCACATATCAGGGCCGGTGCTAGCATGTACATTGAGGCTCTTCAGTGTCTTACTGTGGCGCGCGATTCCCGCGGCGGCCGGTAGGGCTTTGACATATGTGAGGTCGAGTGTGAGTGTTTTGATGCCTGAGACGAGGCAGAGGAAACCGTCGATGGCGCCTAGACCGTCGTTTTCTGCGTTGTCATCATGTTTGAACTCGAGGGTTTCTAGCTTATCGGGGAGCTTTGTACTTTTGCTGAGTTCAGCGAAGAGGGCATCGGCGCCAGAACAACCGAAGATGCGAATGCTCTTGATGGACTGAAAGTCGATTAACTTGCAGTATGTTTCGGCTGCATAGCGTAGATGGAGTTTCTGTAGCGTAATCTCGTTGAGAGCGATGGGTGTGCACTTCGCGAACGGCTGCATATGGCTGAACATGGTTGAGGTAATGAGCCCCGGTTCATTGACAGTATCATTCAGCTCGCGCATCGTGATAGACGAGTCCATCTCATCGAAGCTCGCGTGTAACGTAATCTTCTCCAGTTTGCGACCAGCCACGTTCTTCAGCAAGAAGTGACAGAAGTCCAGGACCTCCCGCGAGTCTGGGTATAATCCAAGCTTCCGTACCTCCTGAAAGCACTTGTCGATATTCGGCAGTTTCTGGAGTTCGGGCAGAACATTGCGGTCTAGCGAGATACTCTCTAGCCACCGCATCCGCTTCTGCTTCCTGTACAGTAACACCAGGTTGTCTCCAGAGAACGGCGACCACGGATGCCATGAGAACTTTTCTAGTTGGTTCTCTGGTAACAGTTCCAAGATCATACGGATTGCAAAGTTGGCCTGTTGCTGCTGATTACATTTGTCCAGGACGTCTGCGAGGTAGAGGTCCAGCTTCCGGACATGTTGTAGGCCGATATTCTTGGGGTTGAGGAAGGCTGCGAGGCGCGTATCGTTGGGTGAACCGACATCGAGGGTTACTTCGTAGTAGAGTGGACGGACGGCGATCTCGTGGAGTTGTTTGCAGGTGAGGCAGACGTTCTTGAGGTCGGTTGGGCGGTTGATCTGTAACATGTAGTGTCAGCCTAGTGCTTTTCTTGCAACCATGAACTCGTTTCTGCAAAGAAAGTTAGGACACCCCCGCATCGTTCGAATGCGCCAAACACGTTTTTGTAGAGTGTGCCAGAAGGTCCTCATCCCCATCTACCCCACAGACAGGCCACTCCCTAGCCTCTCCAACCAACAACCCATCAACCCAAAGACTTACATGCTGAACAATCAACGTCTTCAGATCGACCGAAAGGTCCATGAATGCCAATCTTGGTGCCATGATATACGTTCTTGTCTGATCCAGGTGTGATATCGCAAAGAGTATTCCGTAGTACGTTCGTCTTGGTTCCCTTTATCGATACGCGCGACCGTCCACGTAATCTTAACTGTCGTGTCCACGCCCTTCAAGCGTAACTCTTCTTGTTCTTCCTTTTTGCTGCCTAATCGCCAGCAAAAACACACAGCTGCAGTAGATTACAATACGTCCGGCGAACTGATCGGTAAAAGTGAAGTAGTAAGTTATTAAGTTGGTGGGTAACAAAAAAGAAAGTAAGCGCGCAGGCAAGCAACCCTTCAGCCTCACTTGTGTCCCGCCAAAGGGACCCACACCGGTTTAGCTCCGCGCAAGCAAGGGTCCACGCGGGACGAAAACAAGGGCGCTAATGTAGGCGATAAACTGGGGTAAGCGCCGCGTAAGCTCGAGTGATGACATGGAACCTACAAAACTACCTAACATCTAAACTCAAAACCACATCACCATTCCTGTCTTTCACGACTTTTAAACCAGAACAACTCATCTGTCACCCCGTAGCACTCTGACTCCCTTCCCGCTCTAGCATTGGCCTGGCCTAAACGCTTGATTGTACCCAAGTATCCTCTCACAACCCTTAGAGCATTGAACTACAACCCCATCATGCACCTCCATAAGACGTCCCAGCCGCTCCACCCACCATCCCATAGCCCATGCCACCAGCAGTCCTCCCCGTCTTAGCCATCTCTCTGCCCGCAGCCGCTGCATCGTATTTTCCGTTTTCATCGAGGAAACCAGGTGGGCCAGCGGTGGTTCTAGCACTCCCATTCTCACTGTGAGCTCGTAGGTCGGAAGGATTTTTGGGGGTGAGCGAGGACATGGAGAGACATGAACCCATTTTGTAGGACTTGGCGAGCAAGGAGAATGTTGTTGCAAGGATGATGTATGCAGAGGTTGATTGAATTTTGTAAGTAAATGGCAAAAGCCGGTAACCAGTGGTTGCGGTGAGTATGAGTACTTTATCTTTCCCAGAGGGGGTGTATACTTTACCACTGCTTGGCCTTGGAAACAAAGGCGAAGACAAAAGCTTATGTAGCACAGTAGGCTTATGTCCTGGAGTGGTGGTATGCTTGGATGATTTACCCGGTAGATCAACCCCGTGGCTGAGCAAGGCGAACATCACGAGCACCTGGGCAGTGCGCACTCGGTGTATGTCGATCTCACCGTACTATGAGCAATGAACATAGGAACATCCATTACATCTTCAACGATTTGTGCTCATCGTTTCCGCATGCTCTCTTGATCCTCTGCACCACCAACTGAGGTTCTGCCCCGCCACCGCTGCCGCCGCCACCACTACTACTGTCTCCACCTGTGAGACGACAAAGAGGTATGATGGGTATCCTAAGTAAGTAGAGAGGTAGTTCGGGGGAGTTGGGAAGATATCGACAAGGTTGAATGCACCATGTTGGACCCGATCTCCGTTCAATTGATGACAGCTACATCTATTCAGCTGCTGTAGTCAACACAACCAGGCAACAACACCCAAGAGGGCCCAAACAGCTCCACACTACATCACTTTGATCATCCCTTTGACAATAAAAGTAAGCGTATCAAGCTTTCCATCTCATGAAAGCTGAGCTCTCTCGTAATGATCTGATCTTTCCCCAAACCAAGCCCTCCCCAAAAGGATAAAAGCGTCCCAAATGCCAGATGTTATACAACGCCGAATAGCCAAACACCTCGCTATGCAGGTAGGTGGAAAAGAGCATGCCTCATACGCAGCAGAAGACTGCAGTCCACCTTTACATCGTAGAAGAAGGAGAAGAAAGCGGAGAGAAATCCTACTCCTCATCACTATCCCCAAATCCTGCCAACAATTCCGCCTCAAGTCCATCATCGTAGTCGTCTTGGAGATCTGGTGCAGTACCATTTGCTTCCGGATTCAAGACCTTCTCCTCTCCGTCAACTTCATCTCCCTGATCTTCTTCTGGACCTGTCGTCTCTGGACTAGGCAGACCAGAACTCTTACTCTCTGCAAGAACGACATTGGTAAGTGACGTAACGCGTTCCATAGTCCTCTTCTTCCGCCGTTGCAGCCTGCTCGTTGTGCTATTACTGTTGACACTGCTATCGCTTTCCTCTGTGTTCTCGGCTTCACTTCCCTCTGTGGAATTGGTGCTGGTGCGTTTGCGTTTCTTTTTACTGCCAGCACCACCATTCTGTTTCGAGTCGGATATGGATGCGGAGGCTGTGCTGTTTTCCGACCTCACACTATCAGAGTCTGATTCGCTACCGGCTTCTGAGTCCGTCGCGTTCATAAAATCCGCCAACTCATCATCTAGCTGTGCCCAGTCGTCATTCGACATCTCTACAATAGGGGATTGTGGTGCGCCGTCGTCATTTGCTTCGTCGCCTGTTCCGTCGATGCTTTCATCTTCTAGATCAGCGACAGGTGAGCCCGCTGCCTCTGTCTCGATAATATACGGTGTCTCATCTACGTGCTCCCACCTGGTGCAGCACTGGAACATCCATTCCGGGTTTACGATTTTGATGTGGGGGTAGCGGGCGGCGCGCTTTACTTTTGTGGTTTTGCGGTCGGGGTTGGCGATGACGTGGGTTGTGCGGCGAGTTACAGTTGTTGTTACTTCTGCGCCGAAGGACGAGATCCAGAGGGCGAAGTCGGATCTGGTAAGGTTAGCCTGTACTCAAGAGGTTTGTTTGGGGGAGGCCTTACGTGAGGACGTCTACGCCAAGCGGAATGATGCCGGAAAAGACGACCACTGCACCGTCGAGCACTTCGCCCTTGATGCGCGGCATAATCTCGGCAACGTCGGGGATGAAGTCTTCCATGGAGCGTTTCTTCGGGCTCTTCTCACCCTTCAATGCGGCGACGCGACCATCTGCAGGCGCCTTTCCTCTGGCCTTCCTGTACTCGTCGTAAAATGTGCGGTGGACGAGATTGAGGTTCTGTTCAATAACATCCAGTCCTCTATCGTCGTTGTTGAGAATACTATGTCGGGCCTTGTGGTGTTCGACTTGCGGTGAGTCCTCAACAGGTGCCTCTGTATCATCTGCCTCTTCATCTTCCTTGTCTTGCATGAGCTGTTGTTGCAGCAGAGGCCGCTCGGTTTGCTGCGCGATGATAAGCTTTTCCCGCTCCTTGGCCTGCTCCTCCAGGTCTTCGGTTGCGGCCAAGGATATGAGTTGCTGTCCCAGCTCATTCAGATCACCATTTGTAACGTTGGTTGGAGTTGTTTCGAGCGGTTTGCCCGCCACAGAGACGATGTTTGTAGGCGCGGCTTCGATCGTGGCCTTCTTCGGGGTTGGGGGGGATTTGTCCTTCGCGAATGATACGAGCTCCTGCTGCTTAGGTAGGAAGCTCGCGTTGATGTCTCCGGCGCCTGGGAAGAAGTTGAAAACGGGGACGCGAACGAGGTGCGGGCTGTATTGCCAGACGTCTGCTCTGTCATCGATGATAACGCACATTGCCGTGTTCTGGTAGAAGAGTCGCGTCAGACTTTTCAGCTTGTCTGTATAGTTCTCGTCGCGGCTGAGGATGCGGTCACCGAAGTACTTGCGCTCGGGATCAATAATCTTTGCGACTGCTTGCGCATACGCTCGGGTGGCCATGGTGTAGACATGCATCTCGTAGAGCTTCGAAACTCGGTCGAAGAAGTCCTTGAGACCGGGGCGCATCTTAACATAGTACCAATTTGCAGCCACGTTGGAGACATTGTCGTCAGCCAACTGGAAGCCTTCCACATCTTTAACAGCATCGTGGTTCGGGTTCTCGGGGTCGTTCTTCCATTCGGCAATGGTGCGCTCGCAGGTGGTGTGGATAACGGTCTGGTCCAGATCGACGATAAGGGTCAGCTTTCGCGCGCTCAGTAAACGCTTCTTCGCGTCCTCTTCTGCAGCTACCGCCTCTTTATGGCTGACGAGGAGCGCGGTATTGTCGTGCGCCATGTTCACCGTCGCGCGTCCTAGATCGAGTTCCTTGGTGAGGTAGTCGACTTGTGTCATATCTCTGCCGCAGTCGACGCAGAGGCCGCCAAACTGTGTCTCGTGGGTACATGGCTCCTCGATCTCAAGAAGGGGGGTTCTACATGTTTATTAGCATGGCGCGCCTGCAGCAAGCGCGCGGTAGAGACTTACCCATATTTCTCAATGACAGTGCCAGGCTTGATGAACCATCGCGTGATCTTTCCCTCAGTACTTGCAGCGAATGTCTGCCTAAACTTCTTCATGACAGTCTTCTCGCCTCCCCACTTGTCGCCCTCGGTGACGCGACTGTCATAGCTGTAATTGAATAGCTTCCCCGACCGCTGTACGTCATCGTCGCGCTTCTTGAGGAGGTCGATGACGGTGACGGGATAGTTCAAATCCCGGGGCGAAACGATCTTCATTCCGAGTTGAGACAGCCCATGCGACTGGCGACGTGATGTTGATGGTGGGCGCGTTGTGCTTGGGTTCGGCGCATTCGGGACTTCCGCGGCGATGGAAGTGGAAGGAGCTCGAGCTAGGCACTATGACGTAGGTAATCTCTCGCGTGAACGTTCCGAATTTAAGTTGGGGGTGATGTTTTTGTTTTCACGTGTCGTGGTTGGAGCGTGGGTGATTGTATTGCGCGACCGGGGTTGACGTATGGCGTCGCGGCTCGTTTCCCCCCAAATATTTTGGAGCGAGGGGCGCCGACCTTTATACCTTTCAGCCACCAAAACTAGCGTGCACTGCCAGTACTTCAAACATGACAACAAAGACAAAGGACTCCGCGGTTGTGAAGAGTCATTACCAATGCATGAGCGCATTCAAGGATGCCTGATATTGAGAATTGACATAGTGCTTTTTCTCGCAATGGCTTTACCTGGTAGGGGAGTAGTAGCCTAGACGCGTCCAGAGGCTGGACGGGATGACTGCCAAGGCACGACTGTTACGAACACCAGGCTGCGAAAGAGCACAATCTCCATGCCGATTAGCGCGAACTGCATACAACTGATCTCGAGCTCGCCTTGGTCTCATCATTAGTGTACTCCTGCTGCTCGTATCAGCGCATGCTATCTAGATCGGAGTCACCACGAAGGAGCTCGTATTTTCTGAGTCGTACCCCCTAAAAAAAACACCTAGGTAAAGCTAATCCTAAAGGTATACATATTGTTCTACGTTAAATCTCTATTAAGAAGGTAGCAGTGTATACCTTTGGGGTACAACTCAGTAGCTACGAGATTCTTTGTACATAGTCCTGGCCACTTGTCACATGACCCTACCGAGGTTGGCTAGTGTCGGGGTATACGTGGGTCTCGTTCAGTCTTGGCTTAGCTCGGGAGACTCAAACACACTGCATGTGCACATTCGCTCCGAGGGCACAACTTCCAGGCCGCACACTAGCGATGATACACTCTACCGCTGTTGGTAGTCTCTCGATCTACTACGCGTTGAACCTACAGTATGGATAACACAAAGGTTAAAAGTAAACATGCTTGAGAAACTCGCAAGAAGACATCGCCTAATTAGCCTGGCTATAGCTAATCTACGACCTAACGAAGTCTTCAAGACTCCGCAAGTGCTGTCTCTGAGTTGTTTATAAAGTCCAGCCTACAAAGTCTTCAATAACTCTGCCTGCGTTTCATTACTATACATGCTTATCTGGCCCTTTTTTCTTCTTTTCGAGCCATTCTTTGACCCAATCGACCAACTGCTTCAACACTCGATCCTGCACCTCTTTCACCCCGGCATTCACCTTTCCATTCTTGGTGCTGAGGTCACTCGTATGAACACCACTAGGCACAATCTCAACAGGCACCCGCTCAGTGCTCTGCAACGGACCTCCGGGCCTCCCTTTTGCCGAAACGCTGATTTCCCTCCACGGGTCGAACTCGCTGTTGACGAAGATGAGTCGGCTTGTGTTAGTGATTTTCCAGCCTCCAAAGTACGTGTTTGTTTGCTCTGCGGTTTTTCCTGCCGCGATGCCTTATGTTTCTCCATTCGGTCCAGGGGGAAAAACAGTCCGCATTGACGAATCCAGTAGTCTGTTGTTACGAGGCGGGAAACGAGTGATGGACGTCCTGAGGGAGCGCCAACTTCCCAGTTTCCGAAGGGTTCGTTGCAGGTCATCCAGACCCATTGCCGGTTCATGGCATTGCTCGGCGTCGTGTCAGTGAAGAGTGGGGAGCTCGGGTTGTAAGTGTTGAAGCAGTCAGTGTTGTCTAGGGAAATATCTACGAAACGAACGGGCCTCATCTGGTACGTGATCTTCCCGTCACTCAAAAACATGGCTAACACAGCATAATATCAGAGCCATCGTTTTTGCAAAGAATTGATCGCAGCACCCACTCAAACCATAGCAACGTTCCTCTCTTCGCAGGAAGCAACGGCACCATCTGGCAGCAATCGCCAAGCCCAGAAGTCGACGCAGCATGGCACACGCTGACGACAGGCTATCCATTCCTGATAACAGAGAACGACATGCGCATCCTTGGCAAAGATCCCGACCGATATATCAGCGTCCCTCAAAGCTTTGGATATGGCGAGAAGAAGTTCATCACCCGATTCGCACACACGCATAATATTCACTGCCTCGACCACATCCGGAAACGGCTCTATCGGGACTATTACAAATATCCGAACGATACATTGGATTGGATCTACACGAAGCACTGTCTCCACGCTTTGATAGACTACCTGACGTGCCACGTCGAATACGATGTCTTCAACTACATTTGGGTCGGAGAGGAGCCAACGGCAGATCCCGAGCTCACGTACAACCGTCAGTGTCGAGATCTAGAAGCCATGATGCGCTGGACTGAGGACAATCGTGTCGACAAAGACCTGCGAGTATTTTACATCCAGCCAGCGGAGGGAGACCACATTTTCCCACCAGATGCAGAATTCCGCAATCTCGAAAAAGAGTACGATCAGAGTCATCCAGACCGGCCGTCGATGGAGGAGCGACAAAAGGCTTACCGTAAAGCCTATCAAGATGCGATAGGCTATTGGCAGGAAACAGGAGAAGTGCCTATCGAGGAGAGAGAATGGTAGTAGAGACAGCGACAATACATCGGTTACCGCTCAAAATAAGCCAGACACAAAGTGCCAATGCAAATAAAACCGTAGCATCGTCTATTCCATTATTTCCACATGCTAAACATGCGTACATGCACTCTCACAACCGCGTGGTATCGTGCGCGCAGTCTAATTAATGTCTAACCCATGAAAGAAAAAAAAAAGTCCCAAAACGCCTATTACCCCATGCTCATAAACCGACGTCGTGAACGAACGTTAATAGAAAAAGAGAAACTCTTCAATCTTTGTTCTTCGACTCATTCACTCTCCCCTCTTTCCCACCATCCCCCCACCTTTCAACACCATACTCCCCAGCACCAAACTCCCACCCCCAGTCCTACTCGCATCCTGCTGAACACCCGCCATCGCAGCCTGCTCAGCCATGTGCTGCTTCACGGCATCGACTTCCTCTCCCTCCTCGATAATCGTCCAATCAGCCTCAATCTCCTCATCAGTTTGTTCGCCTTCATCACCAGGCTGTTTCGTCTGTTTCCTAATAAGCGTCCTCGCGCGATCGAGTTCGCGGTAGATGGTTTGGATGGCGGTTTGTGTGCCGTTGTCCTAGAAAAACGTTTGTTAGTCCGAGTTGAGGCTTTTTTAGATAAGAACAAAAGATGCGACACGACTTACCTTCCGGATTTTCTGCCCCAGCACCTTGGCCTTGACAATCATCCGCTGACTGTTCGTTACTTCCCACAACGCGCGACTAAAGACACTTGTGTTGACTTTCTTGAGCCAGACACCTACGCCCATGTCCTCTACGCGTTGAGCAAAGAAGAATTGATCTCCAAAGAAAGGCTTGATGATGGTGGGAATACCAGCTCGTAGACTCGCTCCCGTAGTACCAGAGCCTCCATGGTGTACAGCTGCGTCCATTTGGCGGAACAACCAGTCGTGAGGCGCAGATTGAATCTGGAAAATTTCTTCGGGGAGGGGGATCTCAGGTTTGGAAGCATCCTTGGTTGGGTCCATGAGACGGTCGGACCAGCCTTTTGACAAGACACAGCGGACATCTGCCTTCAACACGGAATCAACAACCGTCTTCGTAAGCGCAGCGGGATCGTCAATGACGATAGATCCGAACCCCACGTAAACCAACTTCTTCCCGTCTTTCCGTGCCTTGTGAATGAAAGCCGTGAGTTCAGCTGGCGGCTCATACATGTCGCTTTCGTCCAAGAACCAGTACCCCGTAACCCTCACCCAATCCGGCCAGTCCAGCGGCGGTGGAACAACATGCGGACTGAAGTTATACAAGAACGGTCGCATCGACGCTTGCATCTTATGCTGCGTCGTTCCTTGCAACCCCAATTCACGTCTCCGCCACTTGTTAATCTGTCCCGAGATCGCAGTCCAGAAAATAGTGTCGAAAGTGATGTACGTGAGACTGTTATATCCGCCCCCCATCTTCTTCTCCAGCACAGAGAACGCATGGGGGTATGCTCTAGTGCGCGTCCACGGCATGGTGAAGGCGCGGAAGTAAGGAATTTCCAGGGCCTCAGCGATGTGGATGCCGGCCATGGTGCTAGGACTCTCGATGAGCACATCTGCACCCTGACAGGCGCGCCAGGATGAACTACATACGTCATCGAGCCAGCCCCGGAACTTGGCGTTGGCTTCTTTCATGAAGCCGTACGTAAACATGCCGTGTTCGACGCAGATACGCATCAGCTCGGCTGGGTTGCCGTCGACGACTGCGAAATCGATACCGTGTTTGCGCACCCATGGCTCGAATTCGGCATGGGTTGCGATACGTGGCTTGTGGCCTTCCTTGAGAAGTTCTTTGCACAAAGCAATGTAGGGCTGGACGTCGCCTCGAGATCCGATAGTGAGACAGACGATAGTCAATGGCTCCGAGGGCTTGAAATCGACGAACGAAGCGAGAGGGTCGTCGAAAATAAGAGGAATGCGATCGTGATCCGCAGCGCGAACGATATCCGACACGTTAACCGTCTTGTCCGTGTCGGTATATTCACGGGCCTGTTGTAGCAAATCGTGCTCCGCCTTTGCAGCCTCATCACCACTATCCACACCCGAAGAAGACGAATCCTCATCTTCAAGATACTTGGTATTCTCCAGGACGCGAAGCACCATGATTGCACATTCATCGCGGTACTCAGCCTTTGAGAACTCAAAGAAGAGCTCTTCGTGGCCTTTGATAACGATGGCAAGGCCGTGATAGCCCAGTCGGAATCCCTTCTCCTTGTTGACGTTTTCAATATCCCGCATGGGAAGGATGATCTTGGTCTTGGATGTAGGCATCAAGCTGCGGAAACAAAAGTATCTCCCGCTGATGTAGATCTTTCCATAATTTGGCAGGACACGCTGGAGTGACGCGAAAAACGATGATTGGAGCACTTCAGTCTCGGGGAAGGCGAAGTGATCTCGAAAGTTCTCCGCAGCCTTCGCCGCGTCCTCGTCGTCCTCGAATCCGTGAATCTCGTCTCCGGTCTCCAACCCCTCAGCGGTGTTATAATGCTTCCGCCCACCTGCAAGCATACCGGACACTTTTTCGTAGTAACCCATAGATTCGCTCGCGAGTAGATTGCCCATCTTCTTCGAGCGTGTCCTGAGAAATCCCGCTAAGCCCGAGGCCTTCTGAAGTGGATAGGAAGCGATATCTTGTAGAGCGGAGGAGGAGCCTGATAAGCGGGGCTGGGCGCTGTTATCGGTATCGTCTTCAAAATCAGGCGCGCCAGTCGGTGTTTGGGGTTGCTTTGAGCGATGCGCAGCGTTTGCGGACTTTGGCTGAGTTGATCGCGCCGTGTCCTGTGAATGCCTGGCTTGTGTGTCTAGTTTGTGTAAAGGCACATTGGCAGGACTACGGAAAACGTCGGAGCGGTCTAGGATCTGAGAAGCTGATGCGCCACTTTCATCCATGGACTGAATGGCGGCTGAGGACTCGGTACCTGGGTCGAGTGAGAACGTAGCTGATTCCGAGTCCGCGGCCCTAGGCGACAGAGGCGATCGGTCTCCTGGACGACCCCTAGATTGCGCATTGCTGAAACTCCGTCGCACCTCGTGACTTGGTCGTCGTACCTCTTGGCTCGGCCGTCGAAAGTTACGGCTCGCATCCATGCTGCGTCGCACGTCCCAGCTCTTCCTATTGGCATCATTGCTAGACCTCGCAGACACATCACTATTACTCGACCTGCCCGCATGCGGTGTAGGCAAAGGTGAAAGAGTAGCCCGGACGTTCTCTTGTATTTGTGGTGCCTCAGTAACGTTCGCCGGTGATGCTACACCGGTTGGTGTAGACACTTCGCCGTCACCAGCATGCCGCAGAGCCTGATGGTGCTCGTTGTCGTTGATCATGATGCGTAGAACATTGAGCGCGTCTTGTCCATTGTTGAAGAAGGAGAAGAAGTACTGTTACAGTCAGTGGATATTCCATATATATGGAAACGTTGAGTGGATGGGACAGGATGAGGAGCTCAACATACCTCATCAATAGCAAACGTCTCATCATTGTCAACCACCCTGACCCTAACCGTCTGGGCCAAATCCAACATCTTACTTTCCTCAATCTCCAACACATTTCCAATCGGCAAACATATCTTCACACTATTCCCCTCATTATGCGTTCTGAAGATGACCTTCTGAATAGCTCTCGTCCATTCCTTCGCACTAGCCACGCTGTCGGCCTTGAACAGGTACTTCCGTTCATCCGTTGTAATAGCGAAGCTGGTCTCTTCTTCTTGTACACCTTTCTTGTTGGTATTGCTGTTTTCGATAACTTCGGCAGATAGTGCGTATTGCAAGTTAATCCGATTCCTCGGAAAGTAGAGTTCGGCAGGGTTGGTATAGTAAGCCAGTACGTCCCCCTTTAGGACAAACCAATACCGGTTGAATTTACTGCGGCCGCGCTTGGAGAGATACCCCGTCTTGCTGACGTCGTGATGTTTCTTGGGTATGTACGCGTAGAAGCATATATGCTTCTGCGTGATGTACATGTAACCCTGTAGCAGGATGCTTTGGAGCAGCCAGCATGCGTATTCGGAGATGACTTCCTCAACTTCCTCGAACTCGAATATCTGCTGTATCCTCTGCGCAAGCGTTACGGGTGCTTTGCTCTTAGCTAGCCCGACGGTGCTTCCACGTCTGCTCTTTCGGCCAGAGCTTCGCCCTTTCTCGACATGTATGTCCTCGCCAGCGGTGATCTTGTTCTTGTCCTTGGTATTGGGCGGCAGCTCGCTCGGCGGTGGGCTCGGAAGGTCATCGGGCGATGGTTTCGGCGGTAGGAACTGGGAGGAGGACATTTGGTCGGCGCGGTGACTCCCTGAGCGTGCTTCTTTCCGGCTGGATAACTTCAACTTGGGCAAGGAGCGCAACAACTTGTTTTCGGATAACGTCCGTCTATGCCTGCCTTTCTCCACCGTCGCATCATCCAAGTCCCCGGCTGGGCTCTGAAAGTCGTTGGCGGAGCTCAACCGGCTCAACCGTGCAGCGCCGTCAAGATTACGGTACGTCGCCTTCTGCTTACCCCCGTCGTCGCTATCGCCGGAGTCGACCTCTTGCATTGTGCCCAGGTCCGTCTGCGGCTGTTGACCGGCGCGTGCTATCATTGAGAATAGTGACTGGTTCATCGACATGGTGTTATTCCGCTTCGGCGCTGTAACATCTTCTTGTGCATCGTCCCCATCTCTGAAGCGCTCCGGCACGTCCAGCGACATGCCGCGCGGTTCTCTTCTCGAATCTCTTCGCTTTTTATTCAGTTTGCGACTGATTCTGTCCCGGCCTCTGTCTTGGGATGCCATGTTGAGCAAGGGGTGTTGTCGTGCGCGGGCACTCAACAGTTATTGGATCGTCGAGGTTACTCGCGGATGTGCTGGCGGGTGTACCGCGGCAGGTCAAAGAAGGCGAAGTGGGCTCAGACGTGTGTTGCGTGTTACTATTCTGCAAGGTATCGCTCGCTGCAAGGCAGTTGGGAGATTCGTTAAAGGTCACATATTGGAGCGTTGGAGGAATGACTTGTAGGGCTGCGCAGTGAGCTATGCACGCTCATCAGCCACGAGACTGGCTCCGGGGTACCTGCTAGCGTGACACGATAAGGTTACCCACGCCCGTCTCTAGGCAACAACAGCGACCGGTAACAGTGGAGTGTAGCAAGTAGCGTATTAGTTCTTGTATTCTCTCTAATCCGTTATCATCCCACATGCTTCTAGGTGGCAGAGCTGCAAGCCTCCGTATCCGCCATGGCCAGTCTGAAGACGTCATTGGTCCGACTTATCGATAAGTGAACGTGTAAACGCCCGCTCCAGGCCGTAGCCGTCGGCCTAACGTGTACTATCATAGCTTACGCGTTGACAGTAGCGTAGAAACACGCAGAGCTTCATTATGTACATGAGCAATCAACACATCACGATGCACGACACAATTGTTCTAGATCCTTCTCATTCGCCCTTGTGCTACTGTAGAACCGATACCCAAGTCATTATGCCTAACTACAATTTGATCCAAACGCCGTCATCAAGTCAATGACGTTCCTGAAGTTGTATGATATCCGTATCAACCAAAAGCTTACTTGGACTTGGCAAGTCCGACAGCAGAGTTACCAAGGTCGTATACCGAGTACCACTTCCTGAGGAAAGCGTCACCGAGAATAGCAAGAGGTCCTACTGGCTCGGGAAAGTCCATACCCATCAAAGCAGAGATGCAGGATCCCTGAACCTCGAGGATGTAGTCAAAGGCGCTGATGGTGAAGTTGTGGCCTGTGAGGGTGAAGGTGAGGTCGGGCAGACTGTCACGCTTGTCGCACTCAACGGAGTACTGGCCATTGAAGCCCTTCTTGGCACCGATCTCCTTGTTCAAGAGCTCGGCGATGGTGGAGGGAAGAGCGATCAGAGATGTACCGGTGTCGAGAATGACACCAGTGTCGTCCATCTCAGCCGTCTCCTTGCCAAAGGTGATGGCATCGAGATCAACCTCCCAGTAAGCCTTGCGCCTAAGAGGAAGCTTGACCATCTTGCCAGTGTAGTGGCTCTCATCAATGCCACCGAAGGTAGCCTCTGACTCCTGTCCCTCGTCGGTGTTGCCGAGATAGAAGGCGAAAACTGGCTCGTCCAAGAGACCCTGGTCAAGCATGTTGTAGAAGGGGGGGACTATGCCCTTGACACTGATAGTGTCGTAGCCAAGACCCATGATGCCATCGAACCTGCCAAAGGCAAACGCGAGGCCAGGCTCGGAGGTTGCTTCGGCAAAGTCTTGGTGCTTGACCTTGAGGTCGCCGATCTGGAACACGTCCTGAGAGACGAAGCCGCTGAGCGATCCGGATCCGTAGCGGATCTCGAAATCGGTGCCGTTCTTCTTGTATGTCGACGACGCCGAAGAGTCGTACTTGGTGTGAAGGAAGCAGGCAATCGAGTTGCAGCTCTGCGAGGGAACCCAAAGGTTGGAGCTTCCAGTGTCAAGAATGACCTTGAACGTCTGGGGAGGAGTACCAAGAGAGATCTCGGAGAAGTCTGGGTCTATTAACTTTCGCCACCGAACATGGTGAGCTCTGACACGTACATTGCGCGTTCAAGAAGTTGCTGATAGGCACGGGGTGGGTGCCGTCGGCGATGTAGGGCGCCTTCAACGCGGCCTCCATGTGAGACTGGGGCTTGAGGCCAGTCATGTGCTGTTGAGAGTACTTCTGCTTCAGGCCGGCTATTTGGGTCTCGATGTTGGCAAATTCCTAGTCATGGTCAGACTGCGATCTCGCGCATTTGATAGCGACGATGGCTTACTAGTTGCTCAGACAGAGAGACCTTCTTGAGCGGCGTCTTGTAGACGGCCGCAGAGGCCGAAGTGGCTGCTGCGAGAAGCACCGCCGTCTTCATGATGGCGGATTGGATGGAGTTGGATGGGGTAGAGGAGGAGAAGAGGAATGGATGACGGATGGGATGGCGGGTGGAGTGGGAGAGATGAAGTGAATGTCAGGTGTGTTGGGGATGGAGCTCGAGCTGGAGCTATCTATGGGGCTGGGGAAGGCGCGGCGGGCGAATGACGAATGTGATCAGTGCTGCCTGGCCGCCATGCGGCTAGCGTGACACGTTCCCTGTTCGAGGTCCGTACCTGCGTGCGCCAACCGGATCCGCCGTCACTATGGGAACCGAGGTCGACTCCATCCTAACAAGACAAGACAGTAGTTGGTACTGCACCAAGCTGATGGGTTGAACGAAAAGCATACAGGCACTCTTTGCTTCACGCGACTTATTCTGTACATGGATCGTGACAAGATGGGGACCTGGTAGAAGTCGCGCGAAACCTTCCCGTGATCACGCGCGTCAAGCTTCCATGACCTCAGCACTCCGATCATCTGAGGACCTGAGCAATCGCTCGCTAGCTCAAACACTGATACTGTGCTGTATTCGCATGCGCTGGCATACGGTGAATCCCGACAACTAGATAAGACTACTATCATACACCCGCGTCTGGCTCGTCCGTGTACTGCGGCGCTTGAGCCAGGTTCGCCTCCTGCTCCCTCCTCGCCCTCTCCAAGTCCGCCGCCCACAACGCCGAGCTCGCCGGCGCTGTCATGAGAAAGAACATGCTAAGCGGCGGTACATATTGCAGAACCAAATACACAGTGCCATACCTGCAATTCTGTTAGTCTTGGCATCATCAGTAGGTGTACTTCCTCAAGACTGACCAAGTGTACTGCCACCTCCTCTTCCTTATAGCAGCATTCCTCTGCTTCTTGTCGTAGCCTAAAAGCTGAAAGTACCGCCAATGCTGGAACGGGCCTGCGCGATATCCCGTCAACAAAAGAAATATCGGCACCCCAACATATGGTATGAAGTTCACAGGCAGCAGAATGACAAACTCGGCGATCTGGCGGAACGAAAAGGGCGCGTAGACAGAAGACCGTGTGGGCTTGCCAAGGCGGCGGACGGGGTCGTTCAGCGCATCTTCGCTGACGGGGCGGTGTTTACGGACGAGGTCTTCGTAGCCTTTGTAGATAAGGACTGCGTCAAATACATCGACTTGGGACTCATCCTACGTGCGTGAGGTCAGTGCCTGTGTGTAGTGTGTGTCGTGGTTGTTAGCTACGAACCACCAAGAAGGACTCGAAGAGTAATGCGACTACTGCAGCTCCCTCTCCTAGGACCAGGAATACAGCGTTGACCCAGGCACTACCCGCTGTGTGGAACAGCTTGAGGAAGAGGACCTGTGGCAGCAACGTCCAGACGAAGAGGTTCGTGAGCACGAAGATGCTGAGGAGGACTGCTGGGAGTAATCGTGCCTTGAGCAGAGGGTACAAGAACGGGTGCGCGAGGAAGAAGACGATGCCCTGTTGCCTGTTAGCATATGCGCAAGCAACGCAAGAATTACCTCAAGTACCTTGACGAGGTACGTCGACGCTATAACGTTGTCCACTGTTGGCTGCACTACAACTCTCGGTATATTTCCCAACGCTGACTGCACTCCCTGCTGTGACATCGTGTCGATATTCGTCGTAGGTGCTAGAGTTTGCTGCGAAACACATGCGCGAAGGCAGATGCGTAAAGACCTCGGAGATGACGTATGTGGGTCGGACCCTGAGCAGAGCAGCCACTTGGTCCCACATCCCCCCACGGTTAGCCTTGACCATCTTGAGCGTTTTCCGTCGGAGGAGACGCGCATGTTATTCGCGATGGCTTGCAGTGATGTACAGTAACCTGCATATGGGCACAATGTAAACGGACCACAGTCAAGCTAGGCACGCCCTGTGAACGATTCGTTGATTGTACATGGAACACGCTGCTCTTTAAAGGTTGAAGGCGAGCATCTTCCAACCGACTTTATTCCAGATGTATACTTGGATACCCAACCCATCACAACAGATCTCTGTCCTCCTTCACCATGTTCTACAACCCCTCAGCAGCCACCTATCAACACATTGGGCCCTCATCCAACCCATCCGTCGAGCCTTTCCACCGCACCCTCCCAGACTACTCCGTCACCCCTCTCATTCCTCTATCTGATCTAGCCAAACAACTCGGTCTAGGCCACGTCCTCCTAAAAGACGAGTCCAACCGTCTCGGCCTCCCAGCCTTCAAAATCCTGGGCGCATCATGGGCCATCCACAAAGCCATAGCCTCAAGATGCAACCTCCCCTTAACCGCTACCCTAGATGAACTCGGTGCTGCAGCAAGAGAAGGAGGGATTGAACTAGTCACGTGTACAGAGGGAAACTGGGGTAGAGCTGTTTCAAGAATGGCAAAATACTTGGACATCCCAGCCGTCATCTTCGTCCCTGGTTTCATGGACGAAGCCACCCAAGACAAGATCAGGAGGGAAGGCGCAAAAGTGATTGTCGTGGATGGAGATTACGACTACTCCATCCTCAAAGCTAGAGAAGAAGCAGAGAAGGCGGGAGGCATGTTAGTCATGGATGTATCCTGGCAAGGATATACAGAGATACCCGAGGTACGATAGCCCATAATCCCCCCCAATCCAAACACCACGTCCCCAGTACGATTCGAACAGTGCGGACAACTAACACACAACAACAACCAGTGGGTCGTAGAAGGCTACACAACCATGCTCACCGAAACAGACAAGCAACTCCAAGACATGGGAATCGGTAGCGTAACCCACGCTATAGCCTCTGTTGGCGTAGGTTCCTGGGCCCAAGCCGTAACCATGCACTATAAATCCCTTTCATCACCCTCCGCAACCGTCATAGCCGTCGAACCAGACACAGCAGCGAGTCTGAAAGCGAGTCTTGAAGCTGGAAAAATCACACCTATTCAAACGGGCCATACAATATGCAATGGGATGAATTGCGGTACAACGTCGACGACGGCGTGGGAGGTGTTGAGGAGAGGGGTGGATGTAAGTGTTACGGTAAGGGATATTGATGTTCATAATGATTTGTTGGGGCTGCATAGGCTGGGGGTGAGGAACGGGCCGTGTGGAGCAGCTACGATGACAGCGCTGAAGAAGGTGTGTAAAGATAAGAAGATGAAGAGAGAGTTGGGCTTGGACGATAAGTCGGTGGTGGTATTGTTTAGTACTGAAGGTGCGAGGGGATATGTCGTCCCATCAGATGCCTGAAGATCCATTCCCTAGATATGATATCTAGCTTGCCATATGATACGCGGCTATCTTTTTCTCAGCCAAGCGTCTTCGTCTTCTTCTCCTTCTGTCTCTCCATGACATTAAGAACGTCATCTGCATTATTCTTATCCCCCTTCCTCTTCTTTCCTCCCCTCTTCCTCTTCTCCTTCTTTTCTTTCCCACCCCCTTTACCATCTTCGTCCTCGCCTTCAGCGCCCAGTCCCTTCCACTGACTAAACTTGACCTTCTCACCTTCCCTCTCCATCTCCTCGGCATCGTCGAATCGCGACGCACCGAAACCCATGTCCATGTCTTCCATGTCGCGATCCGACGCCGCCAGCTCGGCAGCGCGCTTCTTGAGACGGGCCTCTTTCGACGCTGGATCGTTGGGGTCTGATGATCCCAGGTTTTGTAGTAGAGTAGAGTTTTCGTCGAGATTGCGTACTTTGGCGAGGGCGGCACGGACGGTGGCGTCGGCAGCGGAGAGATCGGAGGGCTCTTTTGTGGTGGAGGTACTGCGCGTTGTTGAGGTGAAGTAATCTCGTTTGACGGGCGCGGCGGGTGTGTTATCTTTGGGTTTCGCTGGCGCGTTTTCCTCTGCGGATGGAGAAGATACCTCGCCTTCTGAGTGTGATTCCGCTGTAGTATCGACCTTGGGTACAGTAGGCTCTGGCTTCGCTGCCTCTTCGTCTGATTCGTCGTCCGAGTCGTCGAAGTTTGCGAGTGGGTTATAGTTCGACCCTACGCCTTCGAATATGTCCTCGTCTTCTGACTCTTCCTTCTTTGCTGCAGGGAGATTGTGCATGTTGATCGGTTTGCTCGCGTCGTCTAAATCGTGACGTACTTCAGGTGCTGGTTCCTCAACCTTCTGCTTCTTGACCTTCCTCTTCTCCTTGCCATCTGGACCGGTGATGATTAACACCTCACGACCTTTCTCGTCCGTCTCGACGCGATGTGTCTCGCCTTGTGCATTTATCTTGCGAAAACCTGGTCCCAAGGTAGGAAACCTTTTCTCGTGCTCAGCCGCTGCGGCGGCGGCAGCTTCTTCTCGTTGTCTCTTGAGGTCCTTTAGGATATCATTTCGGCTCCTCTTGACGCCAGCGATAGGACGTGGTGATGTCATCTTCTCGCCTTTCTTCTCAACTTTCTCGCGCGTGATGGGCCCGATATCTGCTTCTGCCAACTCATCGAACGCGTCCTCCACTTCCGGTACCTCTTCTGCTTCTTCCTCTTCTACGTTTTCTTCCTTCTTGTCTTGACCACCTAGAACATCCTCACCTCGCCTTACTCTCTCAAGTAGCTTCCTATCAAGGCCTTTTACCAAATGTGTAGTGCCAACATCACCGCCTGTAATCTCTTGCACAAGCTTCTCAAACGTCTCACGATCGATCTCGCCCTTCTTCATAGACTCCTCGAGGTTCTTGACACGTTTCGCAATCTCATTGTCTTCCTCATCGGTGTATGCCTTCGTACGGTCGGTATAGCCTGCAGCGAGCTTCGTCCCTTTGGGTACTATGTTTCTAGCCTTCTTCTGCGGGTTGTTCTTCGCGTTGCGTTCGGCAAGTTGGCGCGCAAAGTCTGACTGGACTGATCCCTTGCCTACTTGGCGACTGCGTGTCTGTTAGCATCAGTCCTGCGCGAGACCATATAGAGAAAACTCACGGTGTCATTGGTATGCTAGAGTGCTTGCGCGCGCCGAGCACCGCCCTCGGCGTTCCAGCCGCAGGGGATTTGCCCTTTCCATCATCCTGGGATTTTGGTGTTTCGACTAGTAGCCGTCTGAATTGCGAGTTATTCATGGTGCGCAGAGTGGAGAGTTTGGTACAGAGTCGTGATTCGCAAAAGATGTGCCAAGCCTTTTGCAGGCGTATCCGGGTCGCGCCTGCACCACGCGAGAACTGCGCTAAAGAGGCGTGGCTGGATCAAACGCGGGGAACCTTGGACGCTCAACACAACACCAGCCTCGTCTATTACCAGAGGTATTGCGTCACCATGAGCACGACGATAGATATATGGACTTCGCCATGCACAGACGACGCCACAATATGCGTAGTCTTTGGTACTGTGCTGTTTTTGCTCTAGTTGACGGACTGTGAGGTTGCAACGCGGTGTTCCTTATGCATGATCAGAAGACTACTACAGTAGAAAAATACTACCTAGGTACCAATTTCCCTGTGTGACAGTTACGCTATACGGCTATGATAAACACCTGCACAGAATCGCGAATGCTTTTGTGCCTTCCATCTTTCACCTGCCCTACCTAGGTACCCTCCGATCCCCACCACCCCGCATTTCCTCTCCACATTAGTATTTGAACCGCCTGATAAATTCGTTGATCACATTCTCCCACACCTACTCCTCCGCTATACCGTGAGGTCCTGACGGCAGTATGTTCAAGCTTCTAGTTGCAGCGGCTCTCGCTGCTGTAGGCGTATCCCAGTACACTCCGCCGCCGTCTTTTGGTAACATGACCAATTCGTCGACATTCATGAACCCGATTGTGGGTACTGGAGCAGATCCGTAAGTCAAGCTTTCCAAGAAAGTAGCTGAGCGTCCGTCTCTGACAGATTATAGTTGGATGTTCCGCCATGATGACTACTACTATATGACCTACACCAACAACGTCAATGTCACCCTCTGGCGCAGCAGGTCCTTGACCGACTGGGCGGAAGCAGAATCCAAGACCATCTTCCATCCCGAGCCCAACCAGGCCTACTCCACCGACCTCTGGGCCCCCGAGATCCACCAAATCGACGGAAGCTGGTGGGTAATCTTCACTGCGGATCCTAATAACGACTCTCCACCGCCTGAGGTAGAGATGTGGTGCGAGTACAACTGCCCCGCTGTGAACCACCGCATGTTTGTTGCCGTGGGTGAAGGTGAAGACCCCTGGACCGCCGACTACAACTACCGCGGCCAACTGGAAACCTACGATCAGTTTGCGATTGATGGAACGTACTTCCAACACGGCGGCCAACTCTACCACATCTACTCATGCTGGTACCGCAAGTACGACGGATGGCCAGCCAATCTTTGCATCACCAAGCTGTCATCTCCCACCACAACCATCTCCCCTTTCTCGGAGCGCCAAATCATTTCCGTCCCGGAATACGCGTGGGAAAAGACGCCCTTTGGCCGCGCAAGCAACGACCGCCTCTCCTCAAACGAAGGCCCCCAACAATTAATCAACCCCGTCACCAACCAGACGTTCCTCATCTACAGCGCCGCCCGCTCGGATAACCGCAACTACTGTCTCGGTCAGCTCGAGCTGGTTGGCGATGACCCGATGAACCCTAGCGACTGGCGCAAGCACCCTTATCCTGTTTTCTACCAGAATCCTAGTGAAAAGGCATATGGCGTTGGCCATGCTTCTTTCACGACTTCTCCTGATGGCACCGAGGACTGGATTGTCTACCATGGTATGGAGGATCCGACGAATGGGTGGAGCGCGCGTACGATCCGGGCGCAGAAGTTTGGGTGGAAGGAGGATGGTACGCCGGATTTTCCTAAGCCTGGTTATGGACCATATCAGGTTCCTAGCGGGCAGTAGGTTTCTGTTCGTTATAGTGTCTGGGGCTGCAAGGTGAGAGCCGTACTGTAGGAGGGGGGTGTTGATGCTCCTTGGCTGGCGCGTCTTGTGTCTTCCGGGCCATTCGCGACTCGGTGCTGTCCTGGTCGGGTTCGTGACAAAATTCTCGTTTGTCCTCTCTCTTGTATACAGAGTTTGGATAACATCTAGGTGTCATTGAATACGTAGTGCCACCGCATAATGATAATGATCATGATGAACTTTGATGGCCATACGCAATGTAATATTTCATGTGCAATCGTAGTAGTGTACGTAAGGCAAATCCTAATGTTCTCAATTATACAAAAAATCATATATCATCAGGGTGGCTTATGGTGATGCCCCGAATACGTATGCCTTTGCGTTGCTCTTCCGACGCGTTTTCGACCGATCAGATCTACTTTCCGGAAGCGATGCGCAACCCACCACAACGCTTAAAATGACGCAGTATATATGTTTCTACGTGTTTTGAAGTCATCAATACCCATTCCGAGACTTCTATGCGAATTTATCTCATGTCTTTTTAGTTTGTGGTGCTTATGTTGAAGGTATCGTTATTTATCTTTACACATGTTTTTCTAAATTCAGACTCAACACGTAACAACTTCAAAAAATTACAACACAACCACACCATGTCCAAATTACCTGAAAACTCTGATATCGAGTATGATGGTATACACAAGCAATTCACATGAGTTTTAGGTAAATCAGACACGGTTGTGGTTTATTAGATTGTGTAAGTCCGCGGAAGCGTCATTCCAGTACAGCCAAAGCACGCATATCTACTACCACCACCACACAACATGCATTGTTAATGCAAAGCGACATGTTATACACATCAGGATCACGCGTATTCAATGAATGCGAAAGGCTACAGATTTGATAATTACGGAGCGCCGCGTTGAGCAGCCATCGGATAGAGGAATGGCATGACGTCATACGCACCACAGCCATAATTCACAATGCCGTGTTCATCGAAGTGGCAAACAGCGATGAGTCACATCGTGTCCGACCAAGGCAACAGCATCAACGAGTCACGGAAACGGCATGTTCATTGTGAGGGAGATGAAAATCGGTCTGGTTGACGTTCGACACTAGCACGACAAAAGGCGGAACAGCACATCACAGAAAGTGGGGTCATCACCGCCATGACCACCGCGTGCAAAGAAGTCAGACGCGTCGCGACAGGATAGAGAAAATTATAGCGCATCACGTTGCAAAGGACAGTAGATGAAGTTATTATGGTATCATTCCATGCAAATCAGAACCCTGACTGATATAACCGTAAACTCCGAGCCTCACTGTACTATACAAAGGCTATGACCATCCCACCAAGCACCGAGACCGACCGTAGACTGAAGCAGTCGGCAAAAGTCGTAACATGAAAACCGTGAAGGAAGAAGCGCGCTTAACCACCGAAACCGTACAGAGTACGTCCTTGACGCTTGAGAGCGTAGACAACGTCGAGGGAGGTGACGGTCTTGCGCTTGGCGTGCTCAGTGTATGTGACGGCGTCACGGATGACACCCTCGAGGAAGGTCTTGAGAACACCGCGGGTCTCCTCGTAGATCACTGAGGCGGGTTAGTGAGAGAATTGGAAGAGGGTAGCGTGAGCAACATACTGGCTGAGATACGCTTGACACCACCACGACGTGCGAGACGACGGATAGCGGGCTTTGTGATACCCTGGATGTTGTCACGGAGAATCTTGCGGTGGCGCTTGGCACCACCCTTTCCGAGACCCTTGCCACCTTTGCCGCCTGCGAGACACGTTAGTAAAGTGTTGATGGTGAAGGACGACGCGTTGAACGCGCCGAATGATGGAGGTAGAGGTAGATGGGGGAATACTCACGTCCAGTCATATTGAATGTGGGGGGAGGAGTTGTGTTTGGGAAGAGGTAAAGTTGGTTGGTTGAGTGAGAGTAGAGTTGATGAGGCTGGTAATGTGCTTGGGATGATGAGAGATAGAGAGGGCGGCGGCGGTCGTGTTTATGAGGCAGCGGGGCGCGTCTCAGAAGCGCGCCGGATCACACGTCCTCCCACCGCCAGATCAAACCGACGCACGGGCGCGCTTTCCAGATCAACGACCGTGCCCCTTCCCAATTGGGGCGCGCCCGTAAGCGAGCCAATGGGGAATCGGCGCGCGACTTGTGGACTTGGGAGTTTTGAAGTTCGCAGCGCGCGCATTACCTGGTGGCTAGTTAGCAGTTGGACTTTGGTGTTCGCTTTTGCACGCGCAACAAAGATTGATTTTCCAGGCAGCCGCCCGCCCCCAATTACCATATAGCTGCGCCCGCCCACCCTCCTCCATCTCTCATCCACTCAACTCCACTCACCATCACAACAACAACCATCTCCATCACAACCACCCACATTTCCATCTCCATCTACCAACAACAACATGGCCCGCACTAAGCAGACCGCCCGCAAGTCCACTGGTGGCAAAGCCCCCCGCAAGCAGTGAGTCTAACCTCAACCTTATCTTCGCATCGCATCTTACTAACATATCTTCTTCAAGGCTCGCTTCCAAGGCAGCCCGTAAATCGGCGCCATCTACCGGTGGTGTCAAGAAGCCTCACCGCTACAAGCCCGGAACCGTCGCTCTCCGTGAGATCCGTCGCTACCAGAAGTCGACTGAGCTCCTCATCCGCAAGCTGCCCTTCCAGCGTCTTGTTCGTGAGATCGCCCAGGACTTCAAGTCCGATCTCCGCTTCCAGTCCTCTGCCATCGGCGCTCTTCAGGAGTCCGTTGAGGCTTACCTCGTCTCCCTCTTCGAGGACACCAACCTCTGCGCCATCCACGCCAAGCGTGTCACCATCCAGAGCAAGGACATCCAGCTTGCCCGCCGCCTCCGTGGTGAGCGTGGTTAAGCTTCTCACTTGATGAGCTTCGATATCGACACGGCATGACAACTTCTTCGGGTCGGTGATGGGATTTGGTCTTTGTGGATAGGATTAGGATATTCAAGGCGTTTGGGTTCATGGTTCACGGTCTTCAACTCGGTTTATGAGTGCACACGAGCGGTGCTGAGCATGTAGTATATCCAGGTTAATCAGTGATGGTCACTGGCGATATTCCACGAAATCAACAGATTTCTACTTCACTCTGCTTCTCAATATGATCGTGATACCTTGCATTGAATCCATCATTTATCTTCTCCATGGCATTTGCTACTTTCTTTAGTGTTGGCCCCCACTGCGCACTACCCCAACCCTTTCGCGAGCAATCGCGATGCCATACTCAACCCTGCATAACCTCAGCAACGCCCACCTGCTCAAACTTTCCACCAAGCACAGCATCAACTCCCTCTTTAAAGTCCGGCATATCATCCGCCCTTTGATCCACCCTCACCCACCTTACCATACCCTCCTTGTCAACCCCAAAGTTCCCCGCCGTCTGCCACCTACTCCCACTCTCCGTACTCCTCACACTAATCCCCTCTTCCTTCAACTTTGCAGTCCCAGGTATACTACCGAGAACATGCCACAAGCTGGATATACCTAAACCCCACGCTGCATAAGCCTCGCGTTCAGCATCAACAATGATTTCAAGGTTAGGTTGAGTGTTGTGCTCAGGTGAAGGCAGTGAAGCAAGCCAGCGGTCCGTAGCCTCTTGATCGCTATGAGAAACAGCTACGCAGCGCATGTCCGGGTGAGCCTGCGCGAGCGCGCGCATGTTTAGGAAGGTTTTCTCTGCGACTGTTGGTTATATAACGTCCCATATTAGTGAGACTGGTTCTTTGTTTGCCTTATGTGCGGACTCCCCATGCTCAAGTTGAAAGGAAAAGGTAGTGGTTACGTACAAGGACATCCGCAGTGCCTTAGGAAACTAATAATCGTCGGCTTGCCATCTTGCGCAGGTACGTTTAGCTTGGGTGTTGAGGGGGCCGGTTGGCCGACGGTGGGCGTTTCTGCTGTCGGCACGCTGGGGGGCGTCAGCCAGGACCAGAGCTCGGTTTGCCAGGTCATCGTGGGTCAGTGGTGTAGAAAGTCGTATAGAGATGCGCGACTGTGTGATATGATGGGAATGGCATGGTAATAGCTTCACTTGTTAGTGTCGTTCCCCATGGTGCCGGACTTGTTGATCGCGTTAGTAGCTAAGATGGGCGGAGGCTTGCGGCGGGGAGGGGTATGGAGGGGTTATCACTATGTTGGTGGTATAGTTTCTGTACGATAGATGTAGCTATTGTGATGGGAGCGCCGTTGCCGCCGCTTGTTCAAGTATGAGAAGTAGATCATCGTGTGTTGGTTGCGACGTGACAGATGAGCTTGGAATCTAACGCATGTGTTCACGCATACTGTATTGCAACCATGAGGATATCGCTGTTTGTGTAATCGCGATATTACAAAGCCTTCATTCTGGTACGATATATTTTCTCCTCCTAGCTGAGTCCGCTGTTATGGTGTTCATAGACGACCCCTCGATTGGCCGGCCCACCGATGACCTCACGAGTACACGCGAAAACGCGCCAGCACTCGAGGCGCGTCAAAGTGTCGCTACACGCACGACAAGACCGCCGCGGCCAGATCATGGCATCATGGCAGCACCGACCACACAGCTGACGAATCGCGTGAGCGAGTATGGCTCAGATACCGACATGCAGTCCATCACGACACTGAGCGACTACGGCTCCGATATCGACATCGACGACGATACCATACTTGCAGATGCCTTTGACACGATAAGAGACGCGGCGCAAACTCAGAAGAGCGCAGTACTGCCCAGCATAGAATTTGAGGAGGGCGAACTCGAAGACGAAGAGCAGGATGTGGACAGCTTCGTGCAGATACACAGACCCACGGTGCTGCGCGTTACAAAGGGCAAGACAAGTGTCGACGTGGATGCACAGAGGGATATACGGAGCTCGCCCATGCGAGAGCGGAAGGCGCTGGAAGTCGAGTACGATGAAAGATCGCGGCGAGCGTGGAGTGGTATGTTGATTGAGATGAATGGCAGGAGACATCTGCATAGACTGACAACTAACAGCGCTTAGTTCCTCACGAACACCCAGCCTCTCCTCCCAAACCCTCACAATTCCGATCCGATCGCAGCACCTCGCAGTCTACTCGCGCCCTTCCTACAACGCAAGCTGTACATGTCGCTGAAAACGACAACCGTCCACCTCTCGAGCGATTTCGAACGAAACCCAAGAAATGTCTCTCAGTGACCGATCTAGTCTCACCAGCATGGTGCGAGCTACAATACTTCTACACCTTGAGCAAATTCGGCCGCAAACCACGAACACAGGCAATGCGCAATGGCAGCAAGATCCACCAAACGCTAGAAGACCAAGTCCACACCACAGTGCCAGTGCAGGTTGAAAGCAAAGAGGACCGCTTCGGCCTACGCATATGGAACGCTATATCAGGCCTGCGATGTCTCCGTGAGACAGGCCTAACACGCGAGCTGGAAGTATGGGGCGTAATTGAAGGCCAAGTCATCAACGGCGTCATCGACGAGATCTCGTACCAATGCCCCGATACCGCATTTGAAGAGCAGGTCGAGCGAACGCGTGCCGAGAAGAATGGTGGTATCGTGCCTTTACCACCAAATCAACCCAGCATTTCAGACGCCTTTGCAAAAGCCTCAAAATCACAAGTTCGAGACAGCCCACCACCCACCGACAAACAGGAACCAGATCGTCAGGTATATATCGCGGATGTAAAAACGCGGTCAGCCCGTTCCCTACCAACAGGCGCTTCGTTGCGTCCAACCTGGATGCAACTCATGCTCTACCGCAAACTACTAGAATCCCTTTCCCTAAACACGGTCGATGCCGAAACTGTGCTTGTACGCTACTCCCTCGATCCACTTGCTCCCTTTACAGAAACCTTCCTCCAAGAGATAAACGACATTGATCCTCATGATAACTTTGAAGCCTCACATTACCCCAACCTCCTCTCCCTCTGGTCCTTACTCGTCACCGAAATGCAAGAAACTTTTCCCCCTTCATCGTTATCTCCCATTTTGCGTGCGGAATTTAGGTATGCAAAGACGGGTGATGTTATCGGCTCGGAACTCACCGTCTATGAAACGGACATGATTGATAAGTATATTGCAGAGGAGATGGCGTGGTGGAAGGGGAGGAGGGAGGCGAAAGGCGTGGAGATTGAAGAGGCGTTCAAGTGTCGGATTTGTGATTTTGCGGAAAGTTGTAGTTGGAGGAAGATGAAGGTCGAGGAGGCGGTTGAGAAGAGTCGGTTGAGGAGAGAGAGCAAGGGGGTGAGCGCTGTTTGAGGGGTTGGGAGTTGGGAGGATCGATGAGGGACAAGCAGGTCTTGTTTGGTGGTATTGAATATCTGACTGAGATATATCATCGTAGCAATGAATCGCTATGCTGTAGTGCGCCCCCAACCCCTCGCCCCACTCGTAGAAAACAACTGCAGGAACGAAGGCAGGCTAATAACTTGAATAAATTATTAACATCTTTACGATACGTTTCCAACTGCGCTCGTAATCTCCAACGCACCGTTACTCATATGTCCTTAATCCCGGACATTCTATCTCCGAGCTATGCCCCGGTGACGTACTGTACATAAACCATGGCGGAACAACCATCACCCAACTACATCTTCAGGTAAACTTCAGCTGGCCGACACCACTACCCTTAATCGCTTCAGAGCTCATTACTGGCACAAACATGGCTTTATCCCCTACTCCGCGCGCACTATTCTTCGATGTATTCGGTACCTGCGTTAACTGGCGCGCGACAGTTGTTAGCGCGCTTTCGCAAGCGGCCCACAAGTCACTCAACTCAGCCACTGCGTCGTTGGCCTCGAGACTGCGGCTTCGAGCTTCTGAGATGAGCGAAGAGCAGTGGGGGAAATTTGCTCAACAGTGGAGGAACAGTTACAAAGTTTTCACCAAACAACTGGCGGCTGACCCTGCACTTCCATGGGTGTCTGTCGATGACCACCACTTGAGTTCGCTCAAAGAACTTGTCACTTCATGGGAGCTCGACGGCCTATGGGACGATGAAGAGATTCGTGAACTGAGTCTAGTGTGGCACCAGTTGTTACCTTGGGGGGACTCTGTCGCAGGCGTCGAGTTGCTGAATAAAGCATTTGCTACAGCCATGCTTTCAAACGGCAATCTCAGTCTCCTCACTGACCTCCGCGCATTCAGTGGTATCCCATTTACACATGTCTTCTCGGCAGAAATGTTCGGCACGTATAAACCTTCACCTAAAGTCTACCTTGGTGCAGCGGAGAAACTCGGTATTCCTCCCAAAGAATGCGTTATGGTCGCTGCACACCTCCCCGATCTCAAAGCTGCACACGAAAATGGGTTACAGACTGTTTATGTCGAGCGTGCTGGTGAGGAAGATTGGAGCGAGGAACAGGTCAAGGAGGCTAGGGAGGGAGGATGGGTGAATTTATGGGTTGGCCTGGAGGAGGGGAGCAAGGGGTTTGTTAGTGTGGCGGAGCAATTGGGTATTGATGTCAAGGAGGAGACGGAAGCGAAGAGAGTCGTTTCTCTTCCTGCGCATATGAATTGATTGGGGGTGTTTTTGGGTGCAGGCTCAAGGTTGGATGGAGGTAGTAGTGCAATTGCGATGAGGTAGTTCTGGCGCCTGAAGCAGCCAGAGAAAGCAGTATCGGATCTCGCAATAACAGGTCTCCCATATTTGAAGTGCGTCTAAGCATTACTCACAAATTACTACCTTGAGAAGGTTGAAGTTGAGCTGCTCAACATTAATGTGGCCAGACAAATTCGGTTCTCAGGAAGCAGTTGCGGGGATACGTCATAGCTTTACCTAGGTAATGTCTAGCCTATTAGCCACTTCTAAGCTATCTACCACAACCTGCACAAATATCACATACGAAGAAACCTACGATACAGAAAAACCAGAACTAACTTGACATCATGCATAGGTCGATGCGCCTACAGCTAGCATCCGGCCAAGCGGGACGCTGTCCCCAGCCGTGCCCAGGTGTTAGCACCCTGCTAGCGCTTTGCGGGGCTTGGGGTAGTCCGAGCCACCTCCTTCCGAGGTCAGCATCGTCGGTCCCCTTGGACCGATCGGCGAGGTCTAAAAGATCAGTGCTCATGACGCCCATATGCTGTTCCTGAAGAGCTACTCATGCTTGACTGCATTCACCATCTCCAGGTCCAGCGCACCACTTGCTTCTCATTCGTCTCATCGCCCACTCATCTGCGCTAGCTTCATCACTAGGTCTAGCAGATTGCTTTTATCACGGAGGCAATCGACACCCTCTATTCAGATCGACAAAATGCCTCAAGGGCACATCCAAGACCAGGTCTATGCGGCCTCTATCAACGATCCCGAGGAGTTCTGGCAGCGTCAAGCGAATAATCTACACTGGCATAAGAAGCCGTCTAAAGCGTTCCAAAGGAGTACCAAGCACTTGAAGAAGAGCAATGTGTCGCATGAGCACTGGGAATGGTTTGCCGATGGTGAGATCTCGACGACATATAATTGTGTAGATCGCCACGTGGCCAATGGCAACGGCGAGAGGGTAGCGATATGCTGGGATAGTCCGGTGACCAGTCAGAAAGAGCAGTACACGTACAAGCAACTGTTGCAAGAAGTGGAGACACTGGCAGGTGTGTTGAGGGAAGAGGGTATCAAGAAAGGCGATGTCGTATTGATTTACATGCCGATGATACCGGCTGCGCTATTTGCTATGCTGGCCATCGCCCGGCTTGGAGCTATACACGCAGTTGTGTTTGGTGGCTTCTCACCTGCAGCACTGGCTCAGCGGATCGAGGCAAGCCGCCCTGTTGCGATCATGACTGCGTCTTGCGGAATTGAAGGAGCGAAGAAACCTGCCGAATACAAGTCGATGATCGAGGGTGCTGTTCATAAGAGTAGCTTCAAGCCATCCAAGACGATCGTCTGGCAGAGGGAGCAGCTAAGATGGGACCCGGTAGTCAAAGAGGAGGGTCAGAGAAACTGGCAACGGCTAGTCAAAAGCGCGAAGAATAGAGGCTTGAAAGCCGATGCTGTGCCTATCAAGAGCGGTGATGGACTGTACATTATCTACACCTCTGGAACTACTGGACTTCCAAAGGGCGTCGTTCGCTCAGCAGGTGGTCATGCTGTTGGGCTGAACTTCTCTATCAAGTACCTGTTTGGTGTTCATGGCCCGGGTGACGTTATGTTCACAGCAAGCGACATCGGTTGGGTTGTTGGGCACTCTTACATTGTCTATGCTCCGCTGCTAGCTGGTGCTACTACTGTTCTGTTCGAAGGCAAACCTGTCGGAACTCCCGATGCGAGCACCTTTTGGCGCGTCATCGAAGAGTACAAAGTAACCACCATGTTCACCGCTCCTACAGCTCTACGAGCAATCCGTAGGGATGACGGTGATAACGAGTTCTTCGAAGCAAGAGGACAGAAGGGTGCGTTAAAGACGCTCAGGGCGCTGTTCCTAGCTGGAGAAAGAAGCGAACCGAGCATCATCCAGATGTACCAAAAATTACTAGCAAAGCACTGCGCTCCTGGTGCGATGGTCGTGGACAATTGGTGGTCCTCTGAATCCGGCTCACCTATCTCTGGAATCGCACTTAGCGCCTCTGCCGGACTGGATTTCTCCTCACAAGAGCGACCTGCGCCGCTTCCAATCAAACCTGGTTCGGCTGGAAAAGCCATGCCTGGGTTCGACGTACGTATCGTGGATGACTCGGGCAAAGAGGTGAAGAGAGGCGAGATGGGTAATATCGTCATGGCGATACCACTTGCTCCAACGGCGTTCACTACACTCTGGGAAGACGAAGAACGCTTCTACAAGGGCTACATGAAGAGATTCGACGGGAAGTGGATTGATACTGGCGATGCTGGCATGATTGACGAGGAGGGCTACATTTCGATCATGGCACGAGCAGATGATGTGATTAACGTTGCGGCACATCGCTTTAGTACTGGTAAGTCGTCTCTGAGTCGCTGAGTCGTGGGAATGAACTGACAAGTAGCAGGTGCCATCGAGCAAGCTATCACGACACATACTTCCATCGCCGAAGCAGCCGTAGTCGGCATCCCCGACGCTTTGAAGGGCCATCTCCCTTTCGCTTTCATCACGCTGTCCACCCACCACCATCCCGAATCCGCAGTCGCAGACGACAAACTCCTCGCTGAAGTCCAACGCCTAGTACGTGAACAAATCGGTGCCATTGCAAGCCTCGGTGGCATCATACAGGGCAAAGGAATGATCCCAAAGACAAGGAGTGGCAAGACGTTGAGGCGAGTGCTACGCGAACTACTGGAGAATGCCACACATGGAGAGTTCGACAAGGAAGTTAGTGTTCCGAGTACGATTGAAGACCGGGAGGCTGTCAACGTTGCGAGAGAGAAGGTTAGGGAGTATTTCAAGGTCAAGGGGAGGGATTTGCACAAGGCTACAGAGGCAAGGGCGAAGTTGTAGTATGTAATGTTGCGGGTGTCTTTGAATGTACGTGCAGAGTAAGAGTCTCCCACTGTTGTGCCTTGCCCCTATTGTTAGTTTCTGCCGTGAGCCACCAACACGCTTACCCAACGTTGTCGTAATATCGGTTCTGGCCGTTTGTATATAGCAGCCACCTCGTATTTGCAGGCTCGTTACCGGATGAATGAGTGGAGTCGGGATTGGGGTGGTGGCAACGGCCCGTCCCCCAGAAAGTCGTGTTACAGGAAGCAACGGTTCAACGCTCGACGCCAAACGCCCCAGCGGTCAACCTCGCGTCATCATGAACAAATAGTTGACGACGACGACGTCCCAAGTGGGAAGCAGGGTAATAGGAGACTGGTTCCCTTACGGCCGCAAGTTGGTGGCCCCACGCCAAACACGTGCTTGCATGTTGCTGCGGGCCATGGCCCAACCGCTGTGCAAATTCCCGGGGCTGACTTGCCGCCCACCACCTGGAAGCTTGACACTTCATCAGCACATATATCAAGGCATTCCCTGGGTCGCGCGTCTGGTCGGCGAGTGAGCCTCGTCGCAGTTGGGCAGGCGCGTCCTGTCAGGTCAGGTTATTGCCTCGCGCCGCCATGCACAAGCTTTGTTACCGGCAGAAGCCACCGTCACCAATCAATACTGCAACGACAGCAAGGCGTCTTAGATGAGATAGCAGGCCGCCCGTCGGTCGCGGAAGTCGCTCGTATTTGCCAAAAGGCGTGCCGGAGACGACGTCTGTTGGTGCAGTGATCCCGTCGGCTCGGCAGAATAACAGCAGCAGTGAGCCAAGCGACTATCGGCTACACGCTGTCGCGGCTTGGGGTCCTGTTCCCCGAAGCACCACCCCTTCAGGGCCAGGAGGTTTGACGAGGACTGAAACCCTGGCGCAAAACTGCCATCCATCTCACGCCTCTGCCTCGTCCTGCAATGACAAAGCATCATTTCACATGCCGGAACACAGCCCTTGCTTTACGCGTCCCTGGTGTGGCTGGAATGTTGTAGCGATGAGGACGAGTTGCTGCTAAAGGGCGGGCTGTCGATGGCTCGGCGTCTTTCTTGTTCCTACAGAGTCGAGGGTGCATGTGTAGTGGCCTGCGCGCTCCCTCTCTCCCCAATGGCACCCCCAAGGGGGTCCCCGTTAGCAGCCCTAGTATAGTCCTAGGGCCTGCCGCCTGCGCTTGCGCACTGAGACGACGGCAGCTCTTCTGGCCGTTGCGCATCGTCGACTTGCAGGCGAGGTGGCACGATGGTCTTGTTCAAGAGACAAGGCTTCCAGGACTTGGACTTTGGCTTTGACTTGGGGGATGGGGGTCCACGGCATCGTCGGCTTATATGTGCACACACACAGCAGCCAGCCACGGGCCCGGGTCGGCGAGGCAGGCTTGAGTGCTTCTGGCGGTGCAGCCCTGGGTAGTTTCTCGTCTGAATGGCCTGGACAGGACTAGGCGAATCCTGACGTTTGGCAGCCCCCCAGTGCTTGCAGCGCCGTCGCCCAAGGCCCAAGGTGCCAACCTCGACGCAGCGTAAAAACCCCGGCTGCCCATGTCGACTAATCGCGCGTTTCTTTTGACCTCCCTCATCCATCACGCCGCTATCGTTGCCCCCTCCACGCCCGCTGCCTGCTCATCCCACGTCGCCCGCGTCCATGCAACGGAGCCCCGATAGTTAGACGTTGATTGATAGGTGATGCCCCGGACTCATCCGACTCTTGCACCCAAATAGCATCGCAGCAGCATTGTGCATTGCCAGATCCAAACCGACCATCTTCACGTGGGGACACGAGCCACGGAGCGAGAACCCTGACCCAGCCTGCCACGCCTCGCCCAACTTTGTCTTGATCATCTCGACCACTCGACCTCTCGACCTCTCGATCTCTCGCTGCCACCAGCCCCATCACCTCCCCGCTCGCTTCTCAAGCCGTTTCTGCCAAAGGCCCTGCTGCACAGGCCACGCCTTTCCGCCTCGACGTCTGCCGTGTGCAACCACTGTGCTCACCACCGAGGCCGCCGCCCCCTCGCATCGTTTCTGAAGCGCCTGCAGCTCCCCGTCGACACGCGCACCTGTGCTGCCGTGCGAGTTGCGGTCCACCTGCCGCGCACCACAACATCGACGCTCTGGACCTCCCTTGCTCCTGGCCCTAAGCTGCGCCCGCTGCAGTACACGAGACGAGTCTGCGACGACGTGGCCAACTGCCTGCACAACGCCCCGCCCTTTATCTGTGCCCTGTTCGCCGCATCCGCACACTAGACATTGACGAGGGCCACTCTGCTCTACTACCGACACCATGGCGGGCAAGATGACGCTGTACAAGCTGGTGGTGCTGGGCGATGGCGGTGTGGGAAAGACCGCCCTGACCATACAGGTAGCCCTGACCTACTGTTCCCTCCCATTCGTTGACATGGCTGACCTGTCGCTAGTTGTGCTTGAATCACTTTGTCGAAACCTACGACCCCACCATCGAAGACTCGTACCGCAAGCAGGTGCAGATTGACGGCCAGTCGTGCATGCTCGAAGTCCTCGATACAGCTGGCCAAGAAGAGTACATTGCTCTGCGGGACCAGTGGATACGCGACGGCGAAGGCTTCGTGCTCGTCTACAGCATCTCATCACGCTCCTCATTCACCCGCATACAGCGTTTCCACAGCCAAATACAGCGCGTCAAAGAGACGGCCATGGCTGGTTCACCCACCTACCCCGGCTCGCCCATCAGCGCATCGGTCCCCATGTTCGGCCAAGCCCCTGTGATGCTTGTTGGAAACAAATGCGACCGTGTCACCGAACGCGAAGTCTCGACCCAAGAGGGCCAGGCGCTCGCAAAGGAACTTGGCTGCGACTTTGTCGAGGCGTCGGCCAAAAACTGCGTCAACGTCGAAAAGGCCTTTTTCGATGTCGTCCGACAGCTCCGACGGCAACGACAAGGCAGTGGACGCTCCCCCACAGACAGGAAAGAACCCCGAGTACGTACCGGCTACCACGAAAAGGATCGCACAAGAGGGGCCAGTGACCGCCGCACACGGGGTGCCGGTATGGCCGGAGGCAACAAACGCGGCAAAGACAAACCGAAGTGCGTGATTCTATGAGCTCCAAGCTTGATAACCCCCCTCGGTCCAGCGACCGATACGCCTTCCGATATACATATTTGGATTTACTGCACAACAACGGGCTACGACACTTGGCATTGTCGTTGGCCTACATCACTGATAGAAAGCACTCAACAAGGCGTCGGCATATGAGCGGCGTTTGCATCGATGGTCTCACTTTGGTTTTGCATGAGACCCATGGAGTATCTGGAGTACTACGAACATTAGCCTATTCTTATTTCCTTAACGACCAAGATCTGCGCAGCACTGAGATCTTGCATGACACTGTACGGCTGAATTGATTAGTGGGCTAGGGCTGGCGGGTTGCAAAAAGAGGCAACATCCTTGACAATCTGGAAGACGGTACCGTGGTAGCATGTGTTTATTGTTAGCGCATGGCATTTGGAAATCTCAAAACCTGGAATAAGGACGGAAAAAAGTCATGGGTTCAGTTTGGGTACTACATTCTTCTATAACGCCCCGAGATACCTTTCGAATTCATCGACCATCTTTTTTTTTTTTGGTAAATAACTTGCCCTTTGGCCAGCCTTGTTCGTCTTCACATGTGTGACCTTCACTATTTGGTCCCGGATAGTCAGTCTCCGATGTTCCGGTGTTCCGGTACCTTAGTATAGGAAACCCTTCCCCACAAAGAAACCGACCCGACTCCGGCAAAGGAGGACATGTGTGGAAACCCCCCGAGAGCGCTTTCCACGCGAGCGACAAAGTGGGGATTGAATTTGCAATTAATGACCCGCACTAGCCAATCGCTCCATTTCCTCCATCGTCAAAACGATTCAATGACAAAACGGCGAGCTGGACGTGCGCGACACGGAGACTTTGCTCGTAACGGAGAGACAATCCCTTCCTTCCCCTGCTTGTTCTGTACGTGCGCTGCTGCGGCAGAGCGGGACAACGTTGACGGGTATCCCCAGCACAACAAGGACTTGCGGCAAATGCAGCTTGGTAGCTCCAGGTACACCAAGAACGTGCATATTGAGACATGAAAAAAAAAAATCGCCGCCCGTGAGCCAGCATGCAACTAAGCGGCATCTCTTCAAGCTACGTATCGGTGATGGGAAAGGAGAGGTGGAATTTTTTTCTCTTTCTCTCTGGCATTTCTCCTGTCGAGTTGGGCAGCATTGCATACTGCGGGTCATCAAAGTGACCCTGCAAGCCTCCCCCGAGACGGCAAGGCTAGCGACATTCCCATCACCCATGTTGCAAATGGGCTGTTTTGGTCGACCGATAATCAGGCGGGCCGTTTCTGCTTGCTTGCTTGCTTGCTTGCTCGCTTGCTCACGGACGAGACCGAGAGCTAAGTGTATTGTGTGAGTTGCATGAGGAGTTCAAAAGCCTTGCTATCGCTGCGGTTGCGGTTGCGGCTTCAAAGATGATCTTGCTTGATCTTTTTCGATGTTTCGAGCAACATCTCACGGTATGGATATGAGTCATTATGAGTTTACGTCGTTTTGTGCCTGTACGCACTTTGACAAGTTGTGTATAAACCAAGGCCATACACTACCAGCACTTTTTTGCTCGGGATGATCCCATCTTGCACACACACCTCAAATCTCAGGCAAGAACCGGGAGGAGAGACTGCGGTCATTTTGCGTCAGGCTTTGACGCGTTCTAGTTTCAGGAAGAGAGCGTCCGTAACGTCAACAGCTGCGGGGTCTGGAAAACCACAATCATACACAGCCCTTACACGTAAGCCCAGCATGTCACTGTTGATGACTTTACTGTATATCCTATCAATTTACTGACATGGCGTTGGAAGATTTGCCGCACCAATCCTAGGCTCGAGCAATGACTCTCCTAGATATGGATATCGACCTGATGGGTGCCCAGCCCGCCCTGTTCAAGCTTTATACCCAACTCGCCTTCATCTTTCCGCTGTCGGAGTCGACGTCACACGCCCAGGTTACCTCGATCGTCACGTCTGGATTGGAGAAGCTAGCCCAAAGATTCCCTTGGGTCGCTGGTCAAGTCGTAAACACGAACCCTGATGATCCAAAAGCTGCGCCCCATTATAAAATTCAGCCGTATCAACCGATACCGCAATTAATTGTACGAGATTATACTTCCGATACGGAAATACCCAGTTTATCGCAGATGCGGGAAAGGGAATTCCCAATGAAGATGTTGGGTGAGCATGTTTGGGCGCCCTGTCCCACTTTGGCTGCCGTTGGGTTTGACCCGAAGAAATCTTCTGGTAACTCTGATCAACCTGCTCCGGTGATGCTCACACAGGTCAGTTTTATACGCGGTGGGCTGGTGCTCTGTGTCAATATGCAACATAATGTGTGCGACATGATGGGACAGGCGGCGGTGTTGGGCTGGTTGTCCAAGGCATGTCGAGGCGAACAGTTCACAGAAGAGGAAATTAAGCTTGGTAACATGTCGAGAACAGACATTGTGCCACTTATCAAGGATGATGGCTGGATGCCTGGACCTGAGCTGCAGAATCAGCTTTTTCCTTCACTTCCTGCTGTTCTCAAAGAGCCGGATACTGTGGAGTCCGCAGCACCTAGCAAGTGCACCTGGATGTACTTTGACTTTCCAGCCTCGTCCTTGGAGTCATTGAAGGATGTTGCGATGGCTACACTTCCCCCAGGCTTCGCCGGCTTTGTATCGACCGATGATGCTCTCTCCGCCTTCATCTTCTTCTCCATTCTACACGCAAGACAATCGCGTCTCCGTCCGGATGCCTCAGTAACTTTGGCACGGGCTGTGGATGCCAGACGCTATCTGAACGTACATCCCAGCTATCCTGGCATACTACAAAACATGGCATACACCAGCTACTCTCTAGACTCCCTACTGTCCACTCCCCTAGGCCACATCGCCGCCAGAATGCGACAAGCAGTCGACCCCAAGACCTCAAACGTCGCATACCGAACCCGCTCTCTCGTCACCTTCCTAGCGCAATCACCAGATAATGCGGCCAAAACGAGTCCTACAGCCACCCTCGACATGAGCGTTGACATTGCGCTTAGCTCGTGGACTAAAGTTCCCGCTTATGAGTGGGACTTTGGGTTTGGATTAGGGCCTCCTGCTTCTGTGAGACGGCCGAGATTTGTGCCTGTGGAGTCACTCATGTATTTGATGCCCAAGAGTCAACAAGGGAGTATAGCTGTTGCCATGTGTTTGCGAGAGGATGATTTGACGTGTCTTATGCGGGACGAGGAGTGGAAAAGGATGGCTAGGTATGTCGGTTAACGACACTTGACTTCAGAGAGACTATTTCAATCCATTCTTAGCCACGACAACCTCTCCCTCCTTGAAAAACACCACATCGCCATCAAACACCATTACTCTCCCATTCTATGCCAAAGGGTTTGCGCCATACTTCAGTTCAACCACAGAACCTAGGCTTCTCCCAAGGAGCCTTTCCGTTATAACAATTCGTAACGTCAAGAGAGTGCCCAGCCAAAAAGCATCCCTGGACTCTAAAGCTCCTCATCTTGCTGCCTGCTGCCGAGACAGATTTCTTCTCCCATATCGTGGGATACGCCGCCGTCGCCGATCCGAGTATCTTTCCGCTGCAGCCGCGCTCGCTGTGCATGGTGATGCTGCACCGGGTCCAGGGCATAGAGCACCACGTGAACGAGTGCACGTTCGCCTCAACCTCGCTGGCAAGGTTGTAGCAGTTGTTCTCACCACGAGCGCTGAAGTACCCGCGACTTTTGCCACAGAAGTTGTCGTCATTGAAAGTGGTGAAGGTCCAGGCGTGTGCGGTGAGGAACACCATACAGAAAGTGACGAGGGAAGAGAGGTACATTGTGTATGATTGCAGGAAGAAATTGTTTGCTTTGGGCGGAACAAAGGATAGAAGTATTGGGTTCTGAGAACCTGTTGTTTGTCCTCTGCGTGGAAGTTGCACTGGTCCGACTAGCTGCTATTTGTATACGCTCTCACCTGCCGCCCAGCAGTCCTACGCAATTGATGAACTGCGATATAAACAGTGCAGCCCTTCCTGAAGCTATAAAAAAAAAGCCATAATTAGATTGGTGTTGGATACGCGCCTAATTCTGGCTCCTGCCGTTGTACGAGAGCGTGGCGGTAACAGGTGACTAACGCCTCGTCGGTTGACTCGCATCCATTGGTTTGGAGTAAATTGAAGCTGAGAACCTTCGAATCATACAAGTTAGCCATATCCCCTCAGCCACCCCCATCTCTTCGGATCACCTCTAATCCTTCGCTGAGAAGCCGTCGCTATTTCTGCTAGACTTTAAATAAGTCAAGGTTCAAACTAGTAGTGTGAGTTGAGCCGAGACATGGAGTGAGAACTACATCCACCGGAGATGATAGATGGCGTGCGGAGGAAATTGCAGACGGGTATGCGCTAGGGCAAGAAGTTTTGGGACATGCGAAAAAGCATGTTGCACATGTAGTAGCTGAGGTTCTCGGAGCGGTTGCTGCGTTGAAAGATACTAGATCATGTCCAAGGAGTGAAGACAAAGCGATTTATTCATGGCTCATATGTATGTGAGAAAGTATTCGTCACTAGTCGCACCTGGCGGATCTTTTGTTTGATGCGTAATGTTATGTGTCTAGTTGTGGTATTGGTGAACCCTGGTTTTCACTAGCGCTGCCGATCGGTCGCATGGGATGAATGCGCTGATGGTCGGGGTCATACCACTTTCAGAAGACACCTTGGTAAAAACAAGGAATCTCCGCACGCCTAGCTGGTCGAGATTCTAAAGATCGGCTGACAAAGTTCCCCCGCTATCGAAGTATGCGTCCTGCATGCACGCTATCTTCATCTGTCTTGGACCAGGCATTGGACCGAGTAGGCGTGGTGTGAGCAATCTGGGCCCGTTGAACTCTGACACGAGCTACCAAACCCTACGTTGTGTACCCAACAAGCCTATCTCTCCGTCAGACCCCGCAGAGAGAAGCAATACTCACGAGATGATCTGATGTCTGGTATCCGCACCACCGCACTCTTCCGAGTCTTGCTCACATGAAGTCAAAGTATAAAGCCTACTGAACGACCGTCCTATAGTAATGAAAAACATCAACTTTTGATGCAAATATGTCTCTTCCGTCACCAAGCACAAAACATACCTTTCTGCCTCTAGTCGCAGAATCCCATCCACATTTCGACAAGGCCTTGCCTCCAACCACTACAAACATATCCGTTTGCACATCAACAATGAAGCAATCTACTTCATCCTCCCCTCCGGAGACCCAAGTGCATTACCGAACACCACCCAGTCTCAATGTCGAGCCTGTAGCGCAAGGAGTGGACCAAGACCCGCCACACAACGACCGACTTCCAACAACAAACATAGGAGACGAAATGCATGCTTGGTCTGTCCCTCATGCAGTGGAACATCAGAAGCATGCCATGTATGCTTCCATGTTGGGCATGGGCGCGGCCAAGGTCAAGGACGAATGGGGTTTTTCTAGCGCGAGCGCCTCACGGTCGCATACTCCTAAACCCGGCGATAAACAGTGAGGAAAGAGACGGAACGAAGGAACGGAAGACAAGGAGCCAGATTAATTAGCATGGCAACTATTTGATGTTCAGAAATGCAAACCAAACGTAAAAGGAAACCAAAAGACGCTTAAATGAGGAAACACGTCATCTACAATTGTCGTTTTGCGGACTCTTTTAACATTTTCTAAACCCTTGTTCTACGTTGAGCTTTTAGTCCTTCTTCTCACCGCCCTTTACCTCATTCTCACCCTCCTCCTTCTCGACAAACATGGTCTCTTGTGCACTCCATAGCTCACTGTACAATCCATCGCGATCAATCAGGTCTTGATGCGTTCCACTCTCAGCCACATTACCCTCGCGCAACACGATAATAACATCAGAGTCGTAAATAGTGCGGAGACGGTGCGCAACAAAGACGGAAGTACGCCTCTTCTCCTTGACGAGTGAGTTGATGTGTGAGAGGAGAGCTTGCTCGGTGTGTGTATCCAAGGCGGAAGTCTGGTATACAGTGTTAGTGACTGATAGCAGGGGCAAATAGTGTATTGAGACAAAGAAAGGAATGGGCGACTTACAGCTTCATCAAAGAATAGGAATGGCGGATCCTTCAAAACCAGTCTCGCGATAGCTAGTCTCTGCTTCTCACCACCCGAGATCATCATACCGCGCTCACCAACCATGGTGTTGTATCCATCTGGGAAACGGCTGATGCTCTCGTCGATACGGGCACGTCTTGCCGCTTCGATGACTTGTTCTTGTGTTGCTTCTAGGTTGCCGTAGTGGATGTTATGTTGAATGGTGTTATTGAAGAGCGGAGTATCCTGTGGTACGACACCGATGGCTCTTCGCAAGCTGTCTAGAGAAACGTCGCGGATGTCTTGGCCGTCGATTAGAATGCGACCTTCTTGAGCGTCGTAGTAACGGAAGAGAAGGCGTAGGATTGTTGATTTTCCGCAGCCGCTGGGTCCGACGATGGCGACCTTTTTTCCGGCGGGGATGGTGAGGTTGAGGTTCTTGATGATGGGTCGGTCGGGTCGGTAACCAAAGGTTACGTTTTCGAATTTGATCTCTCCGGTCTTCAAGGCGAGGGGTTTAGCGTCGGGCTTGTCCTTGACGGCTACGTTGACTTTTTGTAGGTTGAACAATGTCTCCATATCTAGGAGACTCTGTCGTAGTTCGCGGTACATGGAGCCGAGGAAGTTCAGGGGCACGGAGAGCTGGAAGACAAGCTGGTTAACCATGACAAGGTCACCGACTGTCAATTGGCCAGTGGCAACGCCGTTGGCAGCGAGATACATCATGGCAGTTAGAGCGGAAGAGAAGATGATGTTTTGACCAGAGTTGAGGAAGGCGAGGGAGGTGGCGACCTTGATCGAGGCCTTCTCGTAGTCTTTCAGAGCCTTGTCGTAGCGGCCGACCTCATACTTTTCGTTGTTGAAGTACTTTACAGCTTCATAGTTGATCATGGAGTCGACGGCAACGGTGGCCGCCTTGTTGTCTGCGGCATTTGCCTGCTTCCTGAACTTAGTCCGCCATGATGTAGTCATGATGGTGAAGATGGAGTAGGCTGTCATGGTCGTGCCGGTGATGAGAGCGAATTGCCAGCCATATTGATATGTCAGGATGCCGCATACCAATGAGATCTCTAAGGCTGTAGGAAAGATGTGGAAGACCATGGCGGTCAACAAGAAGCTGATGCCCTTGGTTCCGCGATCAATGGCCCGTGTCAAGCCTCCTGTTTGTCTTGATAGATGGAAACTCAGGTCGAGTCTTAGCAGGTGGTCATAAACACTGCAAGCGACCTTGCGTATAGCCTTCTGAGCCACACTGGCGAAGACGGCATTCCGGAGTTCTTGGGATACGGTGGCGCCAATACGAGTCATTCCGTCTGAAGGGAGTCTCAGCCAAGGTGGAATGAGGATGCATTATTGGGTCTAGCTTACATGCGATGATCATAGAGCCTGCCACTGTCGTGGCTGTGCCTCCAACAGCTGCAAAATCTATGTTCATGGCGTCTACAATGCTCTTGAAGTAGAAGGGAACTTGAACGTTCAGCAGCTTTGCGCCTACAAGCAGCCCGACACTGAGGCCGACCCTGAACCTCGTGCCCATGTTATCCTTTGGCCACAAGTATGCCGACATCTCTTTCATAATGGCCCAATCCGCCTTGCGCTGCTCCTTGTTGGTCAAGACCTGCTCTTGAAGCAATGGATCCGTCTTTGCGACTTTGGCAGCGGCGGGGTCGGCGGCAGGTTTGGTGACTTCAATGGCAAGCTTGGAGCCTGGCTTTGGCCGCTGACCGTGCGCATCTTTTCTGTGTAACTGGGAAGAGGTGAAAACGCGAATGCCGTGATGTAGAGGATGCGGGCGCAAACTGCATGTTCGAAGACCCGGCCGGCTGGCGGCGCGGGCAAGTGGTTGGATTAACATGGCGGCCCTCACATGTTAGGAATTACAAGCGCTGTCATATGGTGGAGAGAAGCCTTTTATGCTTCAATTGCTGGCGGAGGAGGTGACTAAGAAGGTGTTTGCGTGAGTACCTAGAGCCATGTCGCCATGCATCCCACGTTGTCTAGCGCGTTTTCCCCGGCAGGGCTGAAGCGAGTCTTGCATCATCGCTGCTCCGAGCTTCTCGAGAACATCACCCATCACCAACACACGCGCCAATTGACCGGCACAGCCATGTTACGACCGGCTGCCTCGCCCTGGAGGACCTTCTCACGCACATCGGCTGTTGCCATACGGCGGACGCCCATTGCTGCGCGATGCATCAACATATCTGCCACCAACTCGTCAACGGAGCCGGCGCTGCAACAGGCAGTCAGTGTTGAGGGCACAGCGACACCCATGCATACTCCAGGTAAGAAAGAAGCCCACACAAGGTATATAAAAACTCACAACACGTCAGACGCCCGTTTCGAAGTCATAGGCACCCCCTTCTCCCTCCTCTCAGTCTCCCTCTCCGCTTCACAGACGCTCTACACCCGCCGCGGAACATTAGTCGGCCTCAGCGGAAAGTCAGAGAACACACTATCCACCCTCTCTTTTCTCGAGCCTTTCCAGAGAGCCCCCGTCGGCATTCCATTCCTCTACCAGAAGGTGTCTTCTACGAGCCCCGTCACAGCTCTCGTGTCCACCAAGTCACCCATATCAAGCATCGTTTCAGTCAACATGGATGGAAGAGACGACTGGATCATCAGCCAAAGACAGGCATTGCTTGCGTGGACTGGCCATACTTTGAAGCTGAAACCGCAGTACAATGTCAAGCTGGGCCTTGCACACTGGGGAAACACATACATCACAGGTAGAGGACTACTCGCGCTTGCTGGTAGCGGGCAAATATACCAGGTCCAAGTCAAGGCTGGCGAAAGCTATGTCGCACATCCTAGGTATGCTGAGACGACGGGCATATTGGATGTTTGTACTAACGGGAATGTAGTAACGTCGTAGCGTACACAGCTTCTAACACACCACCCATTCCGTTCCGATTCAAGTCATCGAACCTCCGCTTCCAGGTGCCAGATCTCGGTTTTGGCTCCATGGTCCAAAACACCAAGTTTTTCCGCACCATGAGCAAGACAGGGACATGGCGAGCTCTAGCGACGACATATTACACCCTCAAGACATGGTTGCGGAGGACGGTCTGGGGCGACAGGGTAAGCTACGAATCTAAAACAAGCGCCTATTACAAATGCTAACACCACGCAGCTATTCCTTCGTTTCGAAGGCCCAACCACCATGCTGATCCAATCTCGTGCCTCACGAATCAGCGACGTCCTTACCTTGAGAAATGTTGACGAAATTGCGGATAGCCCACCAGGTGCCGTCGAAGATGCTGTTACACGCAAAATCAAAGAGGAAATCAAATCAATAGGAGAGGGCACAAAAGCACCGATACCCAACACAGATGCTTCGGGGACAGTGCGGTATGCTACTGTAAAAGATGGCAAGGCTGAGTTTGAGAAGCCTGCAGTAGAGAAGCCTTCGGTATAGAGAGATTTGTACCATGTGTATATGTACGACATGTTTCTTAGCATACGAATGAGTTTAAAGACACGATTCTCACTACTTGTGTGTTGATGGCTGAAACATATAGCTTTTGTGTGTAACGTGAAGCTTGCATACCTCAAGTGACTAAGGTACGCTTTTTTGTTTATTTCCCTACTTCATTTGTAAGGCACAATCTTGATAGGTATAGTTTGAAAGATCCCTTGTTGTGGGAAAGGGTCACTGTTCATGTGCGAATGAAGTGTCATACCTATCTAACCTGACATCTGAAGCTAAATTGTTTAGCGCGAACGCGACCCATGGCTCAGTCGCTACCGATGCGCGCCATATCGCTTCCACCACCATATATTCGCGAAACATGCAAACCCACCCGCGACATTGTAGTCAAAGACGTGTGACGACTGTGCCCTAGTCATTGATATGGCGGGGTACGCCTCTGCATGCGCCTTGCATGACTGGACAGGATGTGCGGTACCACGCCACACGCGAGGCTTGCTTACCTGCCAACGTTTACTACCATTGAAACAGACACGGAGACGAGTCTAGAGACCCCAAATTAACAATCAGAAACCAGCTTCGCCGACGCCCGTCTATACCAAAAGGCCTCAGCTCCAGTCATGTGCGTCAAATCGGAGCGATGCACTAACATGAACAAGACTCGCGGAGTCGCCATTTGAACGACAATAACGTGCTCGCCAAAGACGAACATGCACCGAATATAGCAGAGACCGAAGCAAAGATGGCTCTTCCGGCGTCAGGAACAGCAGCTCCGTATACAGCGTTCACAAAGGCAGAGCGGCGCACAATGACATGGTTAATTGGATGCAGAATGTTCTTTTCTCCATTTACAACCAATGTCTACTATTCATGTCTCGAAGAACTGCAACATGTTGTGGGCGTCAGCTCTAGTCTGATCAATCTCACTATCACGGCATACCTCATCGTTCAAGCGATCGCACCAGCCTTCTGTGGGGACATGGCCGACAATCTAGGACGGCGCCATGTATACCTCATCACTTTCGCTACAGATCTCGGTCCAAGCATAGGTCCCCTTATCGGCGGTATAATGGTAGCAAGAGCTGGATGAAAGTGGGCCATTTGGCTATTGGTCATTGTTGGAGCCACCTTTCTTATCATTCTCATCGTCATCTTCCCCGAGGCTGGACGCAATGCTGTAGGAAACGGCAGTGTTGCGGCACCTAAATAGAACAGGCCCTTTGTTGCAGTCACGGCGACAGCGGGAACTGGCAGCACCCATTGAAGAGGGGTCACGGGAAAGGAGGGGCCTGATACCCAACCCTTTCAAAGCTCTGTTGGTCTGTTTAACCGAGACACTGCTGCTGTCCTATCCATCAGCGCTGTCTACTACGCTGCTTACTATTGCATCCAAGCCTCCACCTCGGTCATCTCCACGGAGATCTACGGTATTGATGAACTTCGAGTGAGATTATGTTACTTTTCGATTGGGACAGGAGTCATCCTCGGAGGCTACATCAACGGCAAGCTAATAGACTTCAACTACCGCTCAACAGCCAAAGCAACTAACATAACTGTCGACAAGGCTGTTGGCGACGACCTAATTCAGTTCCCGATCGAAAAGGCGTGTTCTCGAATGTCTTGGCTCCTGATACTGATATCGACTGCGGTCATTGTTGGGCACGGATGGGATGCACCTTCTGAGCTGTTAACATCTGCCGTCGCATCGTTCATATCACAAAACGACTTGAGATACCAGAATCGCTGTGGACCAGACGCAAAACAACCATATCCATATGGCTTCGGTATTTTGTCAGGTGCTTTACTGTGCCGCATGGTTGGCGATACGATATGACGGCATCAGCTGAAGAAAGGTTGTATGCGAGTATTGACGACTCGGTTAACGTCCTTCAGGGGATTGGCAAGGCATCTGGAACTTGCAAATACAACCTTGGATCCATGGTCTATCTGTGGCTCTCCATGTTTGCGATGTTTCTCATTCGAGAGTGGTATTTCGTATGGGAATGGTACAGAATGCGGAACTCGTGAGCGGGTCGCTGTTCTGCTTTGAGTCACCGCAGTACCAGTGGATCAACCTCATGGCCAACCACAACCATGGTATAGTGATGATCAACGAAACCAAGCGATATCTCCCGGCGTTACTAAGGTCTAAGCGTGTGGATTCGAAGCTGCAGTTATAACGGAAAATCCTCCTCTATTCTTCCTGTCTCCTACACCACACACCTACACTTCATAGCTACGCTTATAGATCATTCAAAACGCAGCGAACCCGGAAGTAACCCTCTATCATCAACCAAGCCGAAAGCAAACAAAAGAAACGATGCTTTCAACCAAAGAACTTACTATGAGCCCTGCGATCCCACCATCACCGGCGTTTCCTCGCTTCTCCGACCTGCCAGCGGAGCTTCAAGTAATGGTCATAGACCAAGCTCTCATCGAAGATATGAAGCAACGCAAAAACAAACTCATAATTCGTCTCCATCGATACCAAACCCCCAAAGAGAAGAACAGCGACAAACTCATGACGAGCACACCTCGCCCTATTGTTCAACTCCCCAAGCTGCCAGCCGTTTACCACACCAGCCGCCTATTTCGCGCAGAGGCACTCCGCATCCGCCCGATCCACCAGCTTCTCGCAGACAACGGGCTCAAAACATTACTTTACCGTCGCGGATCCATGGTCGTCTTTGACCCGGCGCGCGATACAGTCGTGCTCAACCTCCGCAACCGCAGCCCAAGTGGCTTAATGCTCGACGCATTACTCGACAGCCTGTTTGTCCTAGCAAAAGGAATCTGTCGTTCGCCTAGCCTCAAATGCGTATTCAAGATAGGCCCGAAGACACATGGTCGGGCGTCGGAGACAAACGGACAGGTCGTTGGGAGCGCACTTCGCCATCCGCAGTTTCCATCTCGTGCTACGGCTACGTTGATGAGGGAGAAGGGGAAGCTGGGGATATGGCAGGTGGCTGTGGATTTCAAGATGCGGTGAACTTTTGAGGCGAATTGGAGGCAAATAGGCCTAGGCTGTTGAGCATGGAATACGGCGCGATCAATCGCATCTCCAAGAGGAAATACCCTTTTGACACATCATATACGGACGACAAGAACGCGTATGCTTGGGGGCTAGAAGCAAGACATGAAATCTCAGCTGCCTACGTGGCCTGTTATCATCTTTTATCCTCGCTCTTCCATTTGGTTTCTGGGGCTGGTGGCAAGCTACACAACCAGGTGATTTGCAGGATGCCTCCGTACCGGTCACTGTTGTTCTTAGGATGCTCTCTTTATTTTGGGGTATAAACGGGATCCTGACACAGGGGTGTAAATTGGACGAAATAGGGATATGATTTTGTGTCGAATGATGGTGGTGGGTGGAAGCAGCAGATAGTTATGTAGTATCGCACATGTTTCACACGATCACAGCCATATGGATGAGTTTCGTTTTATCAAGATTAGCCTTTCTTCGTAACAGGTCTCGCTAGCAAAATCTAGTATACTACAGCTACGCCAACCTAGTTCTTATCAGCACCCATACTTTCACTTCGCCTTCCCCCCAGCCCTCTCCCTAATCCTTTCATCCTTCTCAAACCTCTCCTCAAACATTCTGTAGAATAGACCAAGCCACTCCTTCTCCCGATCACTCAACTGGCGCGCAGGATTCTTCCAGCTATTCGCCAGAATCTCCTTGATCCGCCGTCTCAACACCTTCAGCGCAACAGCCGCCCTCCATTCCCTAACCGCAAACCGCAGTACATTACCCGGCAGACTGATGACACCGGCGTGCAATTTAAAGTCCATATCTGCGGCTACCATGAGCACCATGGGCAGGGGATACGCGATGGAAGTAGAGTGTGCGTTGTAGAATTTGTTGCTGGATTGCATGATGTTGTAGTAGGAGAGGAAGTGGGCGGTTTGCGAGCCTTTGTTGACCGAGGTTGGCCCTAGACTGACAGTTTGGTTGTTTGAGATGTTTCGCCAGCCTTTGCCTTCGCGGGTTAGGATCTTGGGGTAGAACGCTGTCGCTATGACAGAGTTGACCAGAATGTCGTTGTCGGTATGGATGTCATACTGTGCTGGCACCTCGACGAATACACGATGACGTGACGTGTTCCGGTAGCGGCTCATGGCGCGGCGCTCTTCGGGGGTAAGTTGTATGAAGCCTGCGTCCACCAGTGAGGAGAAGAGTTGGGCTTTGAGGTCCTCGATATTTCCCAGATTTTGCGGGCTGAGAAAGTTCTTGTGGCAGAACTGCATCTCAGACCGTCCTGGAGTAGTACAGACTGCCTTCCAGGCCCTGTAGGCGTTGTAAGTCGTGAGAAGATCAGAATCGCCCTTCTTGAACGCGAGACGAGCGATGTCAGCTCGTTGCTTTGCCCCGAATGGCGTCAAAAACGGAGACTTGGAAGAGACAATTGCAGCTATGGTAATAGCAACGTCGACACAAGCGAATGTGCTTGCAAGCAGTACAAGCTTACCCAAGTGTGCATCCAAGGGGAGCTTTGCGATTTGACGTCCAAGAGGTGTCAGTTCTTCGCTTGGTGTTAACGCATCGACCTCCACAAGTGCATCGATCGCTCGGCGGATGTTTTTGTAAGAGGGTGCGTCGAGTGCTTGAGCAAGGGTAGCCTCGATATCACCCAGTTTGCAGATCTTCACGCGCATGACCAAGTCTTGAAGCGAAAGTCTCAACATCTCAGGTGTCTGCTGTTCCGCCATGAGATTGTCGTGCCGGTACTTTGTAAACAGATGGAAGCATAGTCCTTCCTGTACACGGCCTGCACGACCGCGGCGCTGCTTCGCATTGGCTCTTGAGATGAACGACTGTGTCAAGCGCGATAGCTGTCTGCGTTCGTCAAACCTCATCTCTTTGTGCTTGCCAGTGTCAACAACACAGGTGATATCCGGGATCGTAACTCCAGTCTCAGCGATGTTGGTAGCGAGCACAATCTTGCGTACGCCTGGAGGTGGAACGAGAAATGCGGCCTGTTGATCCTCACTCGAGATGGTGGAGTGCAGCGGATACACATACCAGTCGGCCTTGAAAGAAGGATGACTAACCAGTATGTCATTGAGCTGGCGGATTTCAGCAAGGCCAGGAAGGAAAACCAAGATGGCACTGCTGAAGCGACTCAGCTGCGGATCATACGCAACCGTCTCAATCAGGCGCGTTATCAGATCGTAGTCGATAGCATACTCGTCATAAGCGGAGAGCACATTGCGCGTCGCTGGGCTGTACCCTGGGAGCTTGCTGGGAATGCCGGATTTATCACTTGTGATCTCGTCATTCTCGTCGTCGTCGCTTGTGGCGGCAACTTTGGTCGCATCGGACGCTCCAGCATAATGCGTCAACTCTACTGCATCCTCCAGGTATCGAGTCTGAACTGGGAAAGTGCGACCTGGTACTGTGAGGATCGGCGCATCGTTGAGGTACCTTGAGAACTTTGCGGCATCTACCGTGGCGCTCATTAATATAACCTTGAGTTCAGGTCGGCGCTCCATCAGTGACCGAAGTATAACCAGGAGAAAATCAGTGTCGATAGATCTTTCGTGAACTTCATCAATGACCAGATGGGTAACCTCTTGTAACCCGCCAGATGATTCTAGCATGCGTAATACCACACCCACAGTCGCATACACCAAGCGAGTCTGGGAAGAGGTCTTTGACTCGAGACGAATTGCGTATCCGACGAGTGAGCGCATGGATCCAAGATCCTTGGGCCCTTCGCCTAGTTCCTCGCTCACACGTTGGGCAAGTGAAATGGCAGAGATACGTCTTGGCTCGGTACAGTAGACTTTGCATGCCTTACCTTGGGAGAGCTCGTGCTCGAGGACGAAGGCCGGGATCTGTGTACTCTTTCCGCAGCCAGTCTCACCGCAGATGATGGTGACCTGATTTTTATCGATTGTCGACAAGATGGAATCTTTAAAGTTAAAGACTGGGAGATTCATTCGTCCAATAAGCATACGTTGGTATGATGGAGTTGACGTTTTGGCGGCCCATAGCTCTCTTAGACCATCGTGATGTCGCACCGGTGTGCTATAGCCAGAGTTTGATGCGCTCGAGCTCGTCGCAGCCTGAGCGCGCATCTTGAAGCGATTCGTAAGCACAACACCATCCGACTCTTCGTTCTCGATCTGATCCTCGATAATCGAGCGATAGTGTTTAATAGCATCACGATCCAACGCATCCAGGCGCGTCTTCCGACGCTCCAAAAACTCTCTGTAAATCTCTCTCCAGTTGGATGGAAGCCGGAGATGAACCTTTTCTTCTTTCGGAAGAGAGGCGGAGATCGAAAAGAGCGCGGCGACGGAGATGAAACTTTCACTTTGTTCAACCGATACAGCAGCGATGTCGGTCGCCGCGAATATGATCTGCTTCCTATACGGAGTACAAACCACCCCGGTAATCTCCGTGTCATATTCAACATCTTGTTCCTTGGACCAGTCGATGGTTACCGAGTGTCGGCAAGTATACGTTGTAGGCGAGATCATCTTGTAAGTTAGACGTGCACCAGCATCCCTAAGACTGTTAGTCAATGGTTACGAAGTAGTCGAATAACCAACCTTGATCGGACCGCCTCTTCGAGCACTTTGCGGGGAGACACTCCACTCATCTTGCCGAAGTCACGCAGGGCTATGTCATCAGAACTCACACCGTTGGATGTATTCTCAGAGGCAGGCGTTGCATCAGACACTGCAGTAAACATGCCTCCCAGCAGATCAGCGTCTTCTTCACCTTCGTGTTCGGTTGAAGAAGCTGCTGGTGCAGGTGCAGCTTCAACCTTGGCCGACACTGGAAGTTCGAGAGTGACGTCTTTGTCCTGTACTTGCGAATCGCCAGACTTTGAGTCAGTTCGCTGCCTCTTCTCAGCTTGACTTTGGGCAATCTGGTTACGCTTCGCGGGCCACTGCGCTTCAGCTTGATACTCATCAAAGAGGGGATCTGAAGTTATCTGCTGCAGTTGAGAGAGTAATTTCCTGACATCAGGAGTCTGCGTGGGCACAGGCGCTGTCTTCTTGGATTTACCACCCTTCGGTTTTCGTGTAGAGGCATCGACGAGCTGAGGATCAATTTCGAACAATTTGCCCTTGATCTTCAGATACGCAGGGATAAGCTCGTCGAGCTCAAGGTCGCTGTCAAGATCACTGACGTAAACATCTGACTGACTGGACTCGGCCGGTGCCGGGGCTCTAGGAGCTGTTGAAGGTGAGGCTCCAGATGTGGTCGCTCCGTTTGCTGCTGGCTGAGGTGGCGGTGTAGGGGGCCGAGAAGCGTCGAGAGACTCAAGCCCTGATCGTTTAGGCTGCAGTTCTTCGTACGAGAAAGAGTGGTCCTCGCATTGATCCAAAGCAAGCCACTCTAGCGCTTCTTGAAGACCCCAAATACCGGAAGATGCATCGATGCTTGCAGCATTGGCACAAAGCCATCTCAAGACAGGCTGAATGTGGTCTTGGGAGAAGCCTAGCTCACGTAGGGTAAGATCAAGAGTCCAAAGCTTGGACATGGCATCCTCTTCAGTCAGGGTCTTGAGAAGGGACTGCTGTCCTTGTCTCCTGTTTGAATCATTCGACTCTGCTTGGGCCAGGAGGATGATACTATCCAAGATCTCATTAGGAAGCCAATCATGAACGGTCATGGCATGCGACTGGCTGCGGAGGAGCCTACGGTCTGTCTGGAACTTTGAGACATGTCGACTTGATTCACGCCGAACCTTTGGTGCGTGCTTCTCAACAAGCAGCTGGAGTTCATCTCGCTCTAGCTGGGCCTCGAGTTCCTCTGGAGTGGGTGCGACTTCTGGCTTGGGCGCTTCGGTCGGCTGGGATGTCTGGGGTGCATCTGTAGGTTCCGGTGCCGTCGTGCTTTCCTTTAACGGTGCTTGAGCGACTTCCTTGGTTGGGCCATCTGCGGCCGTCTTTTCTGGCTTGGGCTTGCTCGCAACAGACGTGGTCGCAAAGCCCCGTGCGGGGTTGCCGGCGGGCTTCTTTTTCTTCGCCATGGTAAAAACTCGGAGTTTGGTTGAGTGGTGGTAATGTGAGTGCAGGGGTCTCAAGCGGGCTTCCGTATGGAGTATATCGGAGCTTGATCCCGGGCGAGATCAAGATTGGGTGAATTGTCGTAGCTGGTGGGACGCATCAGGGCGCAAATGTTCCAAGAGAGGCGGTCAGGTGGTTGTCAAGGGCGGAAGTGCTGGTGATGAAGGGCGCTCCACTTTGGTGGTGGAGGTCACCGATGTCATTGCCCTAGCAAATAAACGAAATAGCTTGGCGGTTATCATTTCGCGATACTTTCGCCGACACGCACCCCGCCAACACCCCGCAATCCGCTTTCACATGTGGACTGGACGACATGGCTGCTGTGAATGGGGACGCTGAGTCGCGGGCCATAAGCCGCGACGAGCTGCGGCCGAAGCTCATAACGAGCTCCACCAAGCGCAGAGTGAACGAGCTCTCAGGACTACAACATCAAGTCGCAGACGACTGTGAGTGACTCCGGCGACAGCACATGGTGGGCAACGACGGCTGACTAGATATACTCGATACAGCACTCGTCACTGCCGACCTCCAAGCGCTCCTCGAACTACTCTTCGAAACCTATCCGCTATACGACGACCGCGAATCGCGCCGGGCTGTCGAAGGCGTCCTCAAGTCGCTGGTAAACGGACCACATGGCGACAAGGTGCTACCTCCGATTGTCAAGTTCTTGACGCAGGAATGTGGCAAAAAGGCCATTGCACACGCCAATGCCTTTGTGCTGAACGATTGGTGTTCAGTCTTGCTGTTGCAATTCGCGAAATCACCTGAACGATGGACAAAGCACGGCCTGGACGTGGCTCTTGCGAATGCGCGTGTAATAGAGACATGCGTGGGTGCTGGGGGCGACCGGCGAGCTGGCCGCATCTCAATAGCCGCCCTTGTTTCGACGCGCCGGGCCCTGCGCGCCATATTCCGCTCCGAGGCAATTGGCAAGGACGCTCACTCCAAGCTGATCACGACTCTCACCGCAAAGGGCACCGCGCCCACAGCTGGAAATGCCGTCTTCCTCGGCGTCATCGCAGGTGTCTCGTCCCGTCTCGAGACCGTCAAGCCGCTCCTCGAAGCTCACAAGCAAGACTACTACACATATTACACCAGGGAAATCGTCGGATCAAGGAGCCAGCTACCAGACCACATCTCCAATGCGTTACATGATTTCTTTGACAGCTTCCCCACTCTTGAAGAGCTGCGAAAGGATGTCATACCACCCATCGAAAAGGCCCTGCTAAGAGCGCCAGAAGTAGTACTAAACGACATCGTCTCACCCATGTTCCTGGCCCTCCCCGAAACCATGGATCTCTCTGATATCCTGTTAAGCAACATGCTGAAGCCTTTGCTTTCCAATGTCAAATCGAGCAACGCCTCAATTCGTGCAGGTGCTCTGCGAACTTTCAAGGCGTTAGCTTCGCGGTCAAAAGATGATGCCAAGATTGACAAGGTCGCAGATGAAGTGCTTACCCCCTTGAAGCAAGGCAAAGTATCCGGTGTTGATCAGAAAGTTCTACACGCTCAGATGCTCTCAGCGCTACCTGAGTCAATAGCCTTGTCGAAGAAGATACCAGCAGGCATCGCTCCAGTGGCCCTGAAAGAGCCAAGTGAACCAGCTGTCGTAGCTGAAGTGTCTGCAATGACAACGCACCTGAACTTTGGCTTAGCAAACGGAGTAGCTCTCGACAAGACCGTTTCAGATGCTTTCATCAAGGGTATGGGTGATAAGCGTGTGCCTGTCAAGCGGCTCTGGGCTATTCGTGCAGCGGATATCTGGTGGGGTCTCTCCGATGCACAACAAGCCCAGCCGGACGTACTTGCATTCTGTCAAACCACTTTGCCAAAGCTCATCGAGATCTGGCAGGAAGTCAACGCGAACCCCCTGCCTGCAACGCAGACAGGATTGGTTACGGCAGGACACTATGCTACTGCGATCCTCATTGATAGAGTACAAAGCATAAAGGACGAGAAGCTGGGATCCATCTACAAAAAATCCGATGTCATCTCGCAATCGCTCGCCACGCAACCAAAGCCTTCCTTCCTTCTCAACCCCAAGGTATATTCCAAACTCTCTTCCGAAGAAGACGTTTCGATCGCTCTACGCGCCTTGAACGCCATTGCGCCAGACGTTACTCAAGCTTCAAAAGAAGTAGCAGACGCATGGGCACAGGCATTCATCTTCCTGATCGTCGCTCCAAGCGTCTCTGCCAAAGCGAAGTCGGCCGCTAAACAAGCCCTAACTGCAACATATCTCCAGACCTCTCCCGAGAAGATCAGCAACATCATCATCGAGGGATTGTGGTCGTGGTACAGGTCAAGTGAACTAGAAGACAAGGATAGCGCGGCATTCGCATCCAAGGCGGGCCCAGGCGAGCTTGGAGCTGTGTTGAGCTGCATATGCCTTCCTTCGGAGACAATAAAGAAGCACGAAGCAAGTGTGGATGCTACAAGCCTACAAAAGCAAGCCATGAACCTTGTTGTACTAGCAAGGAAAGAGATCATTCCGAGGGTTTCTTGGATCGATCTATGCCTTCGCATGGGCGTAGACCCAGGCCAGATCGTTCGGGAGAACCTGCAAGACTTCGTAAGCACTATCAACGAAGCAACCGAGGTACTACATCATTTTCACTCCACCAAACAGCCTATCGCTAACACACGGTATAGAACAAGGATAATGAGCGATTACCGGCAATCAGCGCGGCGGCCTACAGTGCTTATACTGACATGGCTTTCGTGGCTCCAGAGGCTGCCTTACCAGCCGTCGTCAAGCAGTTTAGTCAGGATCTCGACCCAAAGCAGATGGAATCCGTAGGCCCAACCGAAGCAGCGATTTTCCGTACCCCAGAGGGCACAGCCTATGTCGACGTTCTATCGAAGAAGGCGCCTCAGGTAATCGACAAAAACACCAAAGACTACGATACCCTGAAGTGGGAGGAAGAGCTAAGGGCCCAGCTTGCACAAAAGAAGGGCCAAGCCAAAAAGCTCAGCGCAGATGACCAGGCCAAGGTCAACGCCCAGCTGGCGAAAGAATCTGCTATTAGAAAAGAAGTGGCTGCCACGGAACACAGGATGAGGCGAGGCGTGGGCATCATTCGCAGCCTTGCTACTGGACCTCCTACTGAGGCGGAGCAATGGATGGGACCTGCCGTGGATCTCTTGATCCAAGCCATTCGTGCTGGCGCTGGTCTGTTGCTGGGAGATGTCCCGGCAACTGCGTTGATCAGCTGTTCGGAGCGAGTATCGAACCGCCTGGGCATGATGCGACCTTTCGTTGGTGTAGCAATACTGCGAACGATTGGTTCCATACAGCTTGCTAGTGAGTATGAAGATGAAGATCTGGGTGGTAAGTCAATCTCGATTAATACGCGTTGGGACCACACTAACCATGCTAGATCTGGTGACACGCGTGCTGTACCGCCTTCGTTTCTTGAGCGAGCAGAGGCCGCTTGACGCAGTGTCTCTGGCGTACTGCTTCCCTTTGCTCTTCCTTGTACTAGAAAAGGGTGGCATAGGCAAGTCTGCGGCTGAAGAAGCCGACGAACAGCTCATCCTAGCCATCGAAGTGTTGACGTTCCACACCAACTCATGTAAGCTCCTAAAAGTACACAGATAGGTTGACTTGCTAACAACTCATAGGCACTGACTCTCGTCTCCCGCGCAAAGCCTTGCTGGAGATTCTGGTGTGGTCCCTGCAAAAATACCAACAGCATTACAAGATCATCAAGGACTGCATTACCAATCTTGCTAGCGGTCTAGCTCCCAACATCAACAACGATGAGCTGGGCGCCCTGCTACGTGGTACTATCGTGCCTGAGACGGGTGTCCGAACTGCAACTCTGCAAGCCATCGATGCTGAGCTCGACATGAACGATCTGACGTTCAGCGAAGAGATCTTCATCGCATGCCATGACGACGAGCCTGAGAACGCCGAGCTGGCCCAGACAATCTGGGAGGAAAACGACCTAGAGCTCAAAGCAGATGCTGGCGTAAAGATGCTACCTTACTTGGACTCTCTCGACAAACCACTCAGAAGGGCAACTGCACGAGCTATTGGCGAGATCATCACCAAGTTCCCTGAGACATTTGACGATATCCTACGGAGACTTCGGGAGACCTACACAGAAAAGGCAAAGCCACGCGTTCCAGAGCGCGATGAATATGGCATGCCGCGAAAGGTCGATCTGCGCGACCCTTGGGAGAGCAGAGACGGTATTGCCCTCACCTTCAAGGAGATGACCCCAGGTTTCAAGCCCGACGACCTTGTGGACTTCTTGAACTTCCTGATCTACGAGGGCCCCTTGGGAGACCGAAGCCCTGCAGTGAGGGAAGAGTTGATCGAAGCAGCAACCTCAGTCATCACCGCCAAAGCGCAAACCAAGGTCGAACCTCTCATGGAGCTATTCGAGAACGCGCTCGAAGCTCCTGATCGCAAGTCGGAAATGTACGATCAAGTCAACGAAGCAGTCATTATTCTCTACGGTGCTTTGGGTCGCCATTTGACTGCCGGCGACGAGCGGGTTCCAAAGGTCGTGCAGAGACTGCTGGCGACTCTCAGTACGCCTTCCGAGACCGTGCAATACGCCGTTGCTCAATGTCTCCCGCCTCTGGTTCGCACGTCTGAACAAGAGGTTTCAAACTACATCAACCAAATGATGGATCAACTACTCACTGCGAAGAAGTACCCTTCGCGTCGCGGTGCTGCTTATGGTCTCGCGGGTATCGTACGCGGCAAGGGCCTGGGTCTGCTCAAAGAACATCGCATCATGTCCACACTCAAAGGAGCTAGCGAGAACAAGAAAGATCCTAACCAGAGACAGGGAGTGTACTTGGCATACGAGCTTTTCTCCTTAATCCTCGGTCGCTTGTTCGAGCCTTACGTTATTCAATTAGTACCGCAACTGCTCGCTGGATTTGGCGATACCAGCACTGACGTCCGAGAAGCCTGTCTGGATGCTGCCAAGACTTGTTTCTCCACGCTCAGTTCTTTCGGTGTCAGGCAGGTGCTACCGATACTTTTGGAAGGACTCGACGAGGATCAATGGCGTAGTAAGAAGGGTGCTTGCGACTCCCTAGGAGCTATGGCCTACCTAGACCCCAACCAGCTGGCTCTGAGCTTGCCCGATATCATCCCGCCCCTCACCGTCGTATTGACAGACAGTCACAAAGAAGTACGAGCTTCGGCGAACCGAAGCTTGCAGCGCTTTGGTGAAGTCATCAGCAACCCAGAGATCAAGAGTGTCGTCAACATCATCTTGAAGGCTCTCAGCGACCCGACTAAATACACAGATGACGCTCTCGACGCCCTGATCAAGATTCAATTCGCACATTTCCTTGATGCGCCTTCTCTTGCCCTTGTGGTGCGCATTCTGGAGCGAGGCCTGGGTGACCGATCTGGAACTAAGCGAAAGTCTTCACAGATTATCGGCAGCTTGGCATACCTTTCGGAAAGGAAGGATCTCACATCTCATCTGCCCATCTTGGTCGCTGGACTAAGGGTCGCGATCGTGGATCCTGTACCGGCTACGCGTGCCACTGCTTCAAAAGCGCTCGGTTCTCTCGTGGAGAAGCTTGGAGAGGATGCCCTGCCAGATCTCATCCCAAGTCTCATGTCTACACTCAAGTCCGATACAGGTGCCGGAGACCGACTTGGTTCTGCCCAAGCTCTTTCAGAAGTCCTCGCCGGTCTCGGAACTGGACGCCTGGAAGAGACACTGCCCAGTATCTTGCAGAACGTGGCCAGCAACAGAGCTTCTGTCCGCGAGGGCTTTATGTCTCTGTTTATCTTCTTGCCAGTCTGTTTCGGAAACAGTTTCGCCAACTACCTCAGCAAGATCATTCCTCCTATTCTCGGCGGTCTTGCAGATGACGTGGAATCAATTCGAGAGACTGCCCTGCGCGCTGGTCGTCTCTTGGTCAAGAACTTTGCTACCAAGGCTATCGACCTGCTACTGCCTGAGCTCGAGAGAGGTCTTGCAGATGACAGCTATAGGATTCGTCTCAGCTCAGTGGAGCTCGTGGGAGACCTACTGTTCAACCTTACAGGTATCAGCGGCAAGGTGGAAGAAGAAGAAGTCGAAGAGGGCGCCAAAGAGGCCGGGCAATCTTTGCTCGAAGTCCTCGGCGAAGAGAAGCGCAACAAGGTTTTGTCTGCTCTGTACATCTGCAGGTGCGATACATCTGGCCTTGTGCGGACAGCCTCTATCAACGTATGGAAGGCATTGGTGGCCAGCCCACGTACTCTACGCGAGCTTGTTCCTACGCTTACCCAACTTCTCATCCGTCGCTTGGCAAGCTCAAACATGGAGCAGAAGGTCATCGCCGGAAACGCGCTCGGAGAGCTCATTCGAAAGGCGGGAGATGGTGTACTTGCTACTCTGTTGCCTACCCTCGAAGAAGGTTTGCACACTACCGATACAGATGCCAAGCAGGGTATTTGCATCGCCCTTCGCGAGCTCATCGCAGCTGCATCACCAGAACAGCTCGAGGACTACGAGAAGACTCTTATCCAGGTTGTTCGAACTGCTCTGGTGGATCCCAACGTGGATGTGCGGGAAGCAGCAGCAGAAGCCTTCGACGCTCTACAACAGATCTTTGGCAAAAAGGCTGTCGACCAAGTTCTGCCTTACCTGCTCAATCTCCTACGTTCGGACGACGATGCGCAGAACGCGCTCTCGGCGCTTCTCACCCTCCTCACAGACCAAGCGCGATCCAACATTATTCTACCAAATCTCCTACCAACACTCCTCACTTCACCTATGTCTGCCTTTAATGCCCGCGCTATCGCGTCTTTGGCCGAAGTTGCAAGCTCTGCTATGACTCGAAGACTGCCCACTATCCTCAACACTATCATGGACAACGTTATCGCTTCCAAGGATGAGGAGCTCAGGTCAGAGCTCGAGACATCGTTCGATAAGGTACTTCTGTCTGTAGACGAGTTCGATGGCCTTAATACTGCCATGAGTGTCATGCTTGCCTTGTCGAAACATGACGATGAGCGGAGACGCACGCGTGCCGACATGCATCTTGCCAAGTTCTTCGCAGAGGCGGACGTCGACTTCTCTAGATACTACCCTGACCTCATTCGGGCTCTCCTCATCTCGTTTGGCGACAGCGATACTGAGGTTGTCAAGGCTGCATGGACTGCTCTCAGCACACTCACTAGCAAGCGTCTTCGGAAAGAAGAGATGGAGTCGCTTGTCATATCTACTCGCCAGACACTCAATCAAGTCGGTGTTGCTGGTGCAGACCTCCCTGGATTCTCACTACCCAAGGGTATCAACGCCATCTTGCCTATCTTCTTGCAGGGTCTCATGAACGGCTCGATAGACCAGCGAACACAAGCCGCTCTGGCCATCTCTGATATTATCGACCGTACCAGCGCAAAGTCACTGCAGCCATTCGTCACTCAGATCACAGGACCTCTCATTCGTGTGGTTACCGAGCGTTCCGTCGAAGTCAAGGCAGCTATCTTGCTTACACTCAACAATCTGCTCGAGAAGATCCCAACCTTCCTCAAACCGTTCTTGCCCCAACTCCAGCGTACGTTTGCTAAATCACTTGCGGATACATCTTCGGATGTCTTGCGAGCGCGAGCAGCCAAGGCCCTTGGTACATTGATCAAGCTTACACCGAGGGTTGACCCGCTTATCGCTGAGTTGGTAACGGGATCCAAGACGAGCGATGAAAATGTCAGAACCGCTATGCTGAAGGCCTTGTTTGAGGTGGTGAGCAAGGCAGGCAAGAATATGAGCGAAGCAAGCAGGAATGCCATCCTAGGTCTCATCGACAATGAGAGCGATGACTCCAACGGTAAGTTTGGAACGACTATGATTCTATCTATGAGTACTAACATGCTGTAGATGCAATGGCGATTACAAATGCTCGACTTCTCGGTGCTCTCATCAGTTGCCTACCTGAGGATATTGCGTCGAGCCTGCTCAAGGCTAGAGTGCTTACTACTCATTACAACAAAGCTTCTGTACTGGCGCTCAACGCTATCCTGCTAGACGCCCCAGAGGCTTTGACAGAATCGTTTGCGGAAGAGACTGTTTCAGTCATCTGCCAGGGAATTGGGCATGCACAGCCGTTCATCTCAGATAACTCTATCCTCGCCGCTGGCAAATATCTCTTGTCGGAAAAGAGCAACAAGAGTTTCGATCACACCAAGCCCATCTTCGAGGCTCTTGCGCCGGTAGTTGAGCCTGGGCACCCCGTTGACACAAGGCGATTGGCATTGGTGGTACTCCGCACAGTTGCTCGAGAGCACAATGAGCTGATTCGTCCGCATATTCCGCTCCTCATACCGGTGGTATTTGCATCGGTGCGCGATCCCGTCATTCCAGTCAAGCTGTCTGCTGAAGCAGCTTTCCTTGCCATTTTCTCAGTGGTGGACGAGGAAACTGCCGTGTTTGATAAGTACATGGCTGGACCTGGCAAGAGTCTATCTCCCGGTCAACAACGCAGCATGGGAGATTACTTCAAGAGGGTTGCCATGAGGCTAGCTGGGCAAGCCAGAGAGAGGAAAGAAGCCGAGGGCGGAGCAGGAGGACTTGGCTTGTCGAGTGACGAGATGGAGGACGAGCGAGAGATCTGGAGCGTAGGGAAAGTGGAGTTGGGAGATGTGTTTGGTGAAAACTAGTGACGTGGTATGGTAGATGGGAACGGTGTATATGGTACAAAAGCGACTGCATTAGCATTTGGACGGGAGCGTGTGTGAGAGCTTTTCATCTTAGTGTACAAATGTCTAGCGAATGAACTTGAAATTGAACATTTTGGGCCTCGAACCTCGACGTGATGTGTGATGTGTACTGGAGGTTTCATGGGGCTTGTTAGGCCGCCCCAGCATCAACTCCGCAAGACCCCCGAGCTCTGACCTCACGCTCTCCACGCCTGTATGCCAGTCCATCAGCGTAGGCCCCGCACGACGCCTCCTGTATCTACACATCATCGGGGAGCATTATCAACTACTCGTGCGACTCTACTGGCAGCTTCAAAGAGTCGCCCAGGGCCCGCTGTCGCTCCCGCGCCGCTCTCTCTTCTCCGCATTCTGCACGCGCATCTGTCTTGCTGCGCGACCAGCTCGCAACGCGCACATCTCAAAGCATTGAGCGCCACCACGGCGCGCTTCCACAGCCATCATGGCAGGCACCATACGCCCAAACGACATGAATGTCTCCACGACTCCAACACTCTCCTCAGGCACCCTGCCCAACCTCACATCCCTCCAAACCGACCTCACCAAGAAGCCCAACGCGCCACGCGCTCCCCGCATAGACGTCGAACCCTTGTATGCAGCGGTAAAGAGCTCCATAAGCGACGCAGACTGGACCATCTACAAGAAAACCCTCTCCTTCTTCCTCCTCGGCAACCTCAACCAAGAAGAGCTGTCCCACAAGCTATCCAAGATCCTCACTACACCGGCCCTCGAACACGCACACAATGCCCTCTTCACAGCTATATACGCCAACATATGGCGCGATCCGCCGGAAGCGGGCATCGCAAGTTGGGTGTCGAGTAGTGATAAGCCGACAAGCGGGACAGTCAAGGGGACAGGGGATGAGAGCGAGAAGAGGCTGAAACACGAGGTTATGCAATTGAGCCGCAGGGAAAGAAAGAGACTCAAGGGTATACCGGCTGGTGAAAGTCCGCTGAGTACGGGGTTGGAAGGCTTGGGCGCGGGTGCTGCTGGGCCAGTGCAGGAGTACGTTGACGCTAGGCGTGCGAAGCAGCTGGATGTTGGGCCGAGCAGCAACCAGGGCGGCGGATTCGGCAAGACAAGTAAGTACATGACCTTCATTATACCCCCCATGGTCTTCGTAGAGGGTTTTAAACATATACTAACACTATTTGCAACACAGACTGGGAACTCGAAATCCGCAAACGCTACACCTCAGCCCTCTATGCCGAGACACACGAATTTCCCACCGCCACTACGATATCCTACCGCCTCCTACCCATATGCTACGAGTTTGGCTTACCACAAGGCCACACATCTGATTGTCCCGACTACCTCAACATCGCTACGGAGACGTACATCAAAGAAGCTCTATCAAATCTGCTAGGCAAAGTAAGCAGCAACGGCCCCGGCTACGTACGAACCGGCGAGTTCAAGAAGAAACTAGCCCGAGAAGAAAGACTAGTAGAGCGAGGCGAGCTCGCACGCGGAACCGCGGGCGAACTCCCCGTCGAAGCAGAAGAACGACGGAAGAGAAAACCCCTCTGCATGGAAGATCTACGCCTAGCGCTCGGACTGGGGGATTCCTATCTCGGCCAGACGCCGCTGATTGCGGGGGCGATTATGAACTCGAGGTTTCTGGATGCCCACGGTATCGAGGAGATTTATAATAATGATTCATTACCGCACCGCAAACTCGGTGCCCTGGCGAATGGTACTACTCCTACTCCTACTCCTACTACTACTACTACTCTCACCAACGGTATCAACGGTATCGGGAACGCGGGTAAGCTCAATCTCAATGGCGAGACGTGGACGGTGGACTTTGGCGATCCCATGCAGATTGATGATGAAGTGGGCATGCATTGGCAAGGGGGTAGTGTGCAGGATATGCAGGAGATGGACGATGCGCTTGACGATGTTTTGAACCTTGGGGACCTGTAGGATGGGGTCAGGGGAGAGCAATGATAGAGAGGGCGTGCATAGAGGCGTTTCTGAGCCGAGTGGCGGGGCATTTCATGGCGCTTAGGGGTTTGCATTATGGTGTCTGGGTGTGGTTATGGGATGATACCCTGTTTTCTTTCCTTGTTGTTACTTCGTGTCTAGGTAGAGGCATAACGTCCGAGCGGTGCCACCGAACTGAGCTGCGAGTTGTTGTTGATTGTAGTCAAATGAAGAACGGTTTGCCATCTCACCGACATCGATCCATGTTCTGCGATGTATGAAATTGTGTTTATTTCATTGCATAATAGCCCGACAATCCCATACCATCACCCTTTCATCCCACCCCGTACTAGCACACCATCCCTCCGCGCCAAAAAGACACCAATCTACGCCTGTAACAAACTCCGTATGCCGTCCCATGCGCCCCATCTCCCTGCCTCCGCCATAAAACATCGGATCCTCCAGCATATTCTCCTGCTTCACACTCCCGACTCCCATGGCACTGCCATCCGTCCACACCCTACACGTCATGTCGTAACTGGCGGAAAGTAAAATATCACTCAGATGCGGGCTCCAGCTCAACTTGCGCACCGCGTACTCGTGGCCGGGGAGAACAGCAACGGGTCCAGCCTGCGGCATCCTAATATCAAACGTACGGATCACGCGGTCCACACCCGCCGTCGCAACGATAGTATCCCGGTATTTATTCCAATCATGTGTCAAGGCCTCTGCAGGCGCAATACCAACGCCCGGCGCTTGCCCCATTCTCGCTTTGGGCGGTTGGTGTATGGGCACGTTCATGGTTAAATGGTTGCTCGCGCTCGCTGGGGTGCGCAGGTCGAAGACGCGGAGGTGCGAGTCTGATGATACGCTGCTCAGCACGCTGGCGTTGTGCGGGCTAAAGGACGCGGAGTAGGTACACGAATGTGTTGGTAGTGTTGTTATACTGGCGTCCGAGTTGGGGTTCCAGATCTTGATGCAGCCATCCCATGATGAGGAGAGGAACGTGTCTTTGGCTACGAGGTTCCAGTGGACGGCGAAGACTTCGCGGCTGTGTTCTTGCCAGGAGGCGATGGGGTACGTGGGCACGTTGATGTCGAAGAGCTTGACAGAGCCGTCGCCGCAGGCTGTTAGGAGCTGGTTCTCGTGCGACTCAGACCAGGTGCTGTCGAAGAGCGAGTCTTGAGTGTCGAACCTGGAGTTTGGGTTAGCATGTGAGAGGCGTGCGTCACTGCATAGTGAGTTTGGTTAATTTTGACGTACCATTTCTCGGCTACTATGCCATTTGCTGTAAGACCTAGTATGTAGAGTCGTCCGTTTCCGACGAGTCCGAAGTTGGCGGATGTTGCGACTGCGATGCGGGAATCGAAGAATGGGCTGTATTTCACGGAGTAGCCGTTGAAGCCTTGGGTTCGGAATTCGAGCATGGTGACGGATCTGATCCAAGAGGGTGATGGGGGACTATGGCGCGTAGAGAAGACGTATGATATGGCGCGTCATGTCGCGCTGGGATGGGATGCTGGTGTTGTGCTGTTGCATGGTTGCGGATGACGATGCGTGGGATTGACCGAGGCGCTTTGGATATGGCGGGGCTGGAGCTGTCCCGTGACAGCGCGTCTACTTGATGCCAGTCGCCACTGTCGATGAAATTAGTTCATGCGTATCAGCGATTCACTATGCGTGTCATCATAATCCCCCACACTCGACATGGACGCGTTCGTGTCGCGCAAGAGAAAGTGGGTTGAACAGTCGCCCTCGTCGAGTAATAATAAAGGCGTGCAACCTCGAGAGAATGCAGAGGAAGAGTCTACCGACTTCAAGCTGGCTCTATTGGCATCTCTACATCCAAATCTTGATGAAGGAACCCTGCTTGAGGCATTGCTCGCCGCCGACGGGGTCGTCGAACAAGCCTCAGAGTGTCTATCACAGCCTCTAGCTGCATCTCCAAGAAAGCGACCCGCACCATCTACGGTTGGTTATCAATCATCACTGAGCTCGTATCGCATTGTTCCTGCCAACGGCACCTTGACCAGAAAGCCGCTTGTAAGAAAAGGCAAGACACTGTTTCTGTACAGTCCAGAAGACATCGAAGCACATACGCCTTGCTCTATCATACATAACTTTCTCCCAGCAAAGCAAGCGGACGCATTGCTGTCCCAGTTGCTTGAAGAGGCATCAACGTATGAAAGATTTGAGTTTAAGCTGTTTGACAGGGTCGTCTTGAGCCCACACACCTATTCCTTCTACGTCAACAGCCTGGCGGAGGCCGAAAGACAGAAGACCGAATACGTTTACAACGGTGGCCAGATCGAGGTGGGAGAGCCCAGACAAGATTATACCAAGATACTAATACCACCTAGGATGTTCGGCAAAGCGTACCAGAAATGCTTAATGCCTGTCCACAAGTCGAAGAAGCCGTCAATCGTGAGATCCAACGCAGAATACGCGACTTTTACCCCAACGGCAAAAAACTCAAGTACCAATCCCCTCATCCATGGAAGGCCAACACTGCTTTTGTCAACTGTTACGATGGACCGCAGGAGAGTGTCGGATACCACGCTGATCAACTTACCTATCTGGGCCCACGAGCCGTCATCGGTAGTCTAAGCCTAGGTGTAGCGCGCGAATTCCGCGTCCGCAGAATACTCGCCGAGGACGACGAGCACCGCAAAGAAGACGGTTCCCTCGCAGATGCTCAAGGCCAGATTAGCATCCATCTTCCGCACAACTCCCTCCTGGTCATGCACGCGGAGATGCAGGAAGAATGGAAACACTCCATTGCGCCGGCTCAAGCTATCGATCCTCACCCACTTGCAGGGAACAAGCGACTTAACATCACTTATCGCTTCTACAAGGATAGCCTACATCCGAGGTATACGCCGAAATGCAAGTGTAATGTGCCGACTGTGTTGAGATGCGCGACGAGGAAGAAGGAGTCAAGGGGGAGGTACATGTGGATGTGTCATGCGGGATACGTGCCAGGTCAGGAGAGCTGCAGCTTTTTTCAGTGGGCTGAATTTGACGACGATGGGGAGCCGCCGTGGGCTTGGAAGATCAAGAAGGAGGGAGGGAGTGAGGAGGAAGAAAGAGCGGATGGCGAACCCGGCAAATAAGAGTCGTAAGTCGACACATTGTTCTTAACGTAGAAGCTGCACTGCGGATGACTGTCGCCTCCATGAGGGTTGTTGGGCGCAACTTCCATCGACGCAAACGCAGATATAGTCTCATTCCCTGCGAAACGTTTGCAGAATCCAACCAAAGTGGTGCAGCGACAATTGTTGAGCACGATTATCAACACTGCCGGTACATTGTATTCGATAAGCGTACGAAACATTACTCAAACCTACTCTACCGCCATACCAATCGACCATGCCACCTCTCTTCCTCTACGAAGCCGTCGTCCCTCAACCACAAGCCGATCGATTCGGAGAATACGTGCCCCAGTCGTCTGCTCCACCATATAATAAGATACTTGATAGCCTCCTCACAGGCTATCTTTGGGGCTGCCTCCTCGTTGCCTTTTTCCTCGTCGTATACTTTGCCATCAGCTTTTGCGTTTGGATCATGGGGACGGCTCTGACTACAATCGATATGGTAGTCGATTGCCTAGGGTGGCGCGGCAGTGTCCCAGACGCTAATACGGATAACGTGATGATGGCCTGGCCCTTGCCGGAGAAACACAACACCGTATACCTGGAGGAAACGATCTTACAGAGCAAAGTTGACAACCTGACGTGGCCATGGGATAATTCTGACAAAGACCTATGGGATGTGCTGTCATCAACTGAGAGATCTACGTTGCTAGAGGAAAAGGGAGTCAAGGACTGTCTTGATCACCGCCAGCGCAGCGAACCCATCGAACATACGGTTCAGCACGTACCCTGCCATAGCGGAGATGCGAACGCCGTGGAATACAATCCGAATACTGCCTACGCTTTGAACCCTACTGACCAGTTCGCTGTATTCGTACATGACTGATCAGCCACCTACACTCCCGGCCCCTTCTTTACGTATTCATCCAACCAGTACACCGCCTGCAGAAACGCCTGTTCCTTCGCAAACCTCGCCTTGTCATGCGACAAATCTCCTTTTGTCGCAAACCCATGCTCCACATCTGAGTACAGAAACATCTGGTATGGGACATTATTCTCTCTAAGGTCATCCTCCGTCGAGCGGCGATGTTCGACAGTAAAGATATCGTCAATCTCTGCTCTTCATTGTTAGCCCATTGTTTCCCAGGGGGTGTGGAGGGGTAGAGGTAGACTTGGTAATACAAAGCCATGTCTGTTTAGTCATACCTGCAGCAGCAATGCTCAACGGCCCCTTGATCCCCTTGACCTCATCTGCCTCGACAAAACTCGGATGAGCAATGAAGCCCGCGTCTAACCCTCCTTCTTTTAACCCTCCGGACTTTAACCACCGACACACGTACTTGCCCCCGAAACAATACCCCACGCCCCCTAATCTCTTGATACCCAGGTCATCCCTCATGTACCTGATTACTGTTTCGTAGATCGGATCCACAGTCTTTGGTCTTGGCATTTTCGTGGCGATGTAGTCTTGTAAGCTAAAGGATGGAGAGATGGGGAAGGATACTTCGTTCCCGTTGAAGACGTCGGGGATGAGGGTTAGGTAGCCATTTTGCGCGAATTGGTCGGCTATGAGTTGTGTGTTGGGGAAGTCCATGCCGAGGACGTCGGTCATGAGGATTATGGCGTTTTCTGGTTTGAAGTTGTAGCCGTCGTTGTTGTTTGGGGGGTAGGTGATGTATGTGCGGACTGTGCAGGGGTTTAGATGACGGGTAGTTAGATCAGGTCATGGGAGGAAATGTACTGTTGTCGATGTATTTGATCTCTCCTTGAGGTGTGCCTTCATGCTTTACGCCGACAACGCAGCAATGTTGCATGGGCCCGGATGCCATGTTGTGAGTCTTCTAGTGAGTTGGCACGGTGGATGTTGAATATTGACCAAGTACCCAAACCCGGATGGGAGCCCGTTGGGATACAGGTATCTACCTCGAGAGCAGATCAAGGACTCGTCTTATTGATTCGGGATCCTAAGGTGTGTTAAGGTATGAGTCTGAAGGTGGTCGCCCCACCGAGACAGGGATTATTGCGCCCTAGGATGCAGACTAGTCATTATCTCCGGATGAGAGCTTCTGGTACTCCTTCATCACGTATGAATGACTGGATGTACGAAGAGAAACCTATTTTCCTGTTCGTAGAAGCATGATATTCGTGATTAGAAAGGCTCTAATATCTCCTATATGTACATGTCTCATCTCAGTACTACATGCGTTAGTAACAAACTCGCTCAACCCACATGACGAGCCATACCGCAATACCCAGTCATTCCTCCAACTCCCAGATTCTATCAATGCCTAACGCGGCTGACACTTCGCCTCGTGACTCTCTCGTCCACATAACTTCCACGTGGATCGACGTAGCTCGTCCTTCCTGGCCTAACAATTTCAACGTCGCTAACGCGTCGCCGGGATACACTCCTCGCACGACTCCTTGCGCGCGTGCGAGGCTCTTCAACATACTCAATTGCACGGGGTCGGGACCGGGATCGCCTAGATGATATAAGCATTTGGCATTGACACTTGCCATTTGAAGAACTACGAACCTGTATTCGACGTAGCGACCGTCATCACTGAAGCTCTCGACAGATGTCCGGCGCCATTCGCGCGGCAGACGCATTACGCCGGCTGGTGGGTGTGAGGTAAAGTTGCCTCGTCGCGGTGGGGGGTCAACGACGCCGCGACCGCGTGTTTCATATGTTTTCATGATACACATGTTGATGATGTTTGATGTCCTTGCTCTTCTTGGATGATGATGTTGAGGATGGTGGCTACCGGATGCCGGGTTTCCGGGATGATGACGTTGGATAGCGAACGACGCGATTGTGTCAAACGAAAGAAGCGGACACGGTTAAAGCGGACTACTCGAGGTACGGACAGTTAATAATGAAGCATGAAGCAGTAGATCGGTCGAGTCTTAAACCAATTCGATGTAGAGAAGACGCGTCGGAGATGACGTGCGCCAAGGTCTACCGGGGCATTCCAAGGTTGTATCTAGTCTACCAGCCTCGTTAATTCACCACGAGTTGTGTATTCGCAGACAGCGGTGAAGTATAGACATGTGCGTATCGTCCCGGGATGCCCAGGTATACTCTTGATCGAGAAGTCTGGCTAGCGATGCAAGCAGCATGTCCCTCTAGACCTTGCGCTGATGACGCAAGGCTCTGTTCGTTTGACGCACACGAACACGCCAATAGTCACAGACTCGCTCGAATTATTGGTGTAAGGGTGAAAGCGATTTCGTGTCCGAGGAGAGATGCAAAGTAGTTGCTCGCGCCTTGAGCTGTCATGTTGGAGCCACCCCCACTTGCCCCGCGACTCGTGGCTCGTTGCTGAAACGTGGGCGGTGACGAGGCAAGCAGAGGCCACCGCCAAAGCCACCAGCTGCCAGTTACCAGCTACCAGGCCGGCACCTTCTCCATTGTACATAGCTCATAGCCTTTTCCCTATCTGATCGACCTTCACAGTAGGCGCACCATGTCTCTAGTATCAGGTATGAGCTCCAGGATAGCTTCGCCGTAGCAACAACTCAGCGTAAACAGAGGCCATCTGGGCAGCGTCCCCTTCGACGACGCGCGGACAGGCAACGCCTCTTTCCTCGGACCCCAAAGGCGAACGCATTGCGTATGCTGTGAGTCTCGGAGTGAGTGGAAGCTATCAAAAAGCTAATCAGACATGTCTAGTCGGGCAAATCTGTCTTCCTTCGCTCCATCGACGATCCGGCTGTTAGTAAACAATACACACAACACACTACGCAGACGACTGTCGCACGCTTCTCGCCCTCGGGCTTTTACGTCGCAAGTGGAGATGTCTCGGGCACGGTCAAGGTGTGGGACTGCGCAGGCGAGGGTGCTACAAAAGGTGGGTGCACGACGGCGGCTGCTAGGGGCAGGAAGCTGATGACCATGCAGGCGACTACCACATCATTGCTGGCCGCATCAACGACTTGGCATGGGACGGCGACTCGCAGCGCATCATAGCAGTCGGCGACGGCAAAGAGCGCTTCGGACATTGCATTACAGCAGATAGCGGTAACAGCGTGGGCGAAATCTCCGGACACTCTTCGCAAATCAACTGCGTGTCCATTCGCCAGCAACGACCTCTTCGTGCTGCCACGGGCTCCGACGACACCAGCCTGGTCTTCTACCATGGTGCTCCTTTCAAGTTCAACACCAGTCTGAGAGGGCAGCACAACCGCTTCGTCTTCGGCACCGCCTTCTCACCCGACGGTTCGGTCTTCGCCAGTGTTGGCGCCGACAAGCGTATATGGCTGTACGACGGCAAGACTGGCGAGGCCAAGGGACAAATTGGCGAGGGAGTACACACTGGCAGCATTTTCGGCGTTTCATGGTCCAAGGACTCGAAGAAGTTTGTTACAGCCAGTGCGGATCAGACTGTCCGGATATGGGACCCTGAAGCGGGCAAGAACATCCAGACCTGGCGAATGGGCGAAGAAGGTGCCGTTAGTATACCCGACCAGCAGGTCGGCGTGGTGTGGCCCACAGGCCGCAGCGATGGCCTGATCGTTAGTGTAGATCTGGACGGAAACTTGAACTACCTCGTCGACGGCAACCCAAAGCCAACGCGTGTCATTCGCGGCCATGCCAAGAATATCACAGCTGCAGCTATTGCTGGATCTACCTTCGCCACGGGAAGCTACGACGGGCGGATCTTAGCATGGGACACCAACACCGGATTGGCCGACAAGGTCGAAGGCGCAGCACATTCCAGCTACGTCGCCGGCATCACGACTTCCGATAGCAAGAGTGAGGCAGAGATGTACAGTGTTGGCTGGGATGACACGTTGCGCTCCATGTCAGTCCCAGACAAGATCTTCACTGGGGAGGCTCACGACCTCAAATTCCAACCCAAGGGCGTTGCTGCGACCTCGAGCACTGTGCTGGTCCCATCATCAGACGCGATAGCGGTATACTCCAAGGGTGCTCAAGTCAGCTCCTTACCACTCAAATTCTCGCCTACTTCAATCGCAGTCCATGGCTCTACTGTAGCCGTTGGCGGAGATGACAAGCTTGTACACATCTACACACTTTCTGGCACCGAGCTCAAGGACACCGAAATAGTGCTTCGCCGCGCAACTGCACCAATTTCCGCGCTTGCCTTCTCCCCTTCAGGTAAGAAGCTAGCAGTGGGTGCTGGAAACGGCAAGATCTACGCATACGAGGCAGGCGGAGACTGGAAGGTTATTACAGACAGGTGGAGTGCTCACACTGCGCGCATCACCTGTCTGGCCTGGGACGAGAGTGAGAACTATGCCGCAAGTGGTAGTCTAGATACGAATGTCATGGTCTGGAGCACCCAAGACCCTGGCAAGCGTATCAAGGCTCTCAACGCGCATAAAGACGGAGTCAATGGTATTGCGTGGGAGAAGACTTCGAAGGTCATTTCGACGGGAGGTGATGCTAGTATCAAGGTGTGGAGCGTCAAGGCGTAAGAAGCCACCAATCTAGTGGAAAGTCGAGCATTGGAAATTCAGCGATCGATCATGATGATAATGACGGACGGCAAAGCTAGATTAGAGAGTAATGGTTACCATTTGAAGGACGTTAATGAAGAGTGAGGCGGACGTTAAGTGTCCCTGCCGCTTTCTGCTTGCATGTGGTGATGCGGCTACTTCACTTCCCTAGGTATGCCTCACCCACCTATGGTCCATGTCGACTTGCATCACGACACATGCATCATTCACCGTGATTTCGTTGCCGTCGCTGGCCGCTTTCTTTCGTTGCGTCGGACTGGGATTCCCTATCTCGTTTGCTCCGCCTTCTGCTAATAACCTTGTATACGGCAATTGTACTCCGTTTGTGTGAATAGGCTGTTGGCTGCGATTGCGCTTTACGTGCGAGCCTCTCGGCGATGACACATGCGTAAGCCCCGTTGCCTTGTTTGCCTTAAGTTTCGGTATGCCTCAGTGCGAACAGCCACCTCGAGGCTAAACACATGCAAGCCGGCTGCAGAGGTCCTTCAAAAGCAACCATCGATAGGGCGCTCGCCCTAGCCGCTTCATTCTTGTATATGGCCGCATGCCTTCGCAGATTCTCTGAATCCTGTACTCGGTCCATTCGAGCCCAGTACCCTTCCTGACACTACTACAACTACCTTACACTAGCTCCGAGTGCCAACTCCTCGACTTATCATAGTTGCAGGTCAAATTCACATGGCCAACAACACATACTTTAGCGGAGGCGGCACCATGCGTGACCTGGTGAACGGTCAGGGAGTTGATTTCGATCTCAACAACCAGAACACTATCGAGATGGCTTTGCAAAGTCACATCAGCCAGCAGCTGCTTTCACCTACGACACCACATCAACGACACGACTCATTCTTCTCGTGCTCTTCGCTAGGCACACCACGAAATTCGATCTCACAGCATCAGGCTGAGATTCAGCCTTATGCCAACGTACACCACAATCTGCACAGCCCCAACGACTACTCTCAACATCCGGTGAACAACGGCATGTCGCGCTCCGCTTCTCAGTACTCTTCCACGTCGTCCGGTCAGCATCCACACCCTCACAGTCTACAGCGATCGTTGCGCGGATCATTTGGCAGTACTTTGGTCTCGAATGGGTCGGAAATGTCTCGCTCCATCTCGAGCACGTCAGCGGGCCAACGCACTGCGCTTCAGCCTTACCCGCTACAGTCCCATTCACAGATCGGTCAATTCCACACTCGGCGATCATCCGGTCTCTCGCCCAACATGGGTTTTGAGCAGTTTCCAACGACTGCAATGAGTCCGTTCGACTACGTAGTTAATGACACCATTGACGAATGCCTGCCTAGAAACGAGAACGAGGACAAGGAATTTGGACAAATTGGATATCGTAACGAGTAAGTGCTCTTCAAAATATTCAACGTTCAATCAATGAACCACAGGATCTTCGGGAAAGCATCCTGGACTATGGAGCCATTTCAATCCTGAAGTTCGGATATCGTCATCACTACCCGGATCTGCTTAGTTGTGCAAGTGGAAATTATGCTTAAACCCTAGGAACACTGAAGTCAAGGCCCTATATACCCTTTACGCTTTGGCGAATGAATCACGCATCTTCGCGTTCAATCATACTGGGGATCTGCTCTACTGGTCCAATCAGTTCGCACACTGTACCTTGGGTAGACTGGCCCGACGACTACAGGATATAACAGCATCAGGGGTCTCTTTTTCCATCCACGAACCGATTAATAGTTCGCAGACGCAGGGGTATTGCTTGAACACACCTGGAAATTGCTTGTTCCCAAGGAATGGAGATTCTCGCATTCTTGATAGTCGAACCCAAATACACAACTGGCCATGGCAACGATTGAGTCGAGCGGCCGTATCCCTCGCCCTCCAGTCACCCACATGTACTGCAATGACGATGATCCATCAAAACCAGGTCCAATACGACAGATCTCACTGGATGCTAGAAGGCCTACTTATTGCCTCTCCCGGAGCAGGCACATTAAGTTCGTCTGAACAATTCTTCACCTGACTGGAATGGACTGGACCGTATTACCACAATCTGCCGTCTGCCGACTGGATCCCCGTAAAGGTAAGGTCCTTTTAGTTCTTATCACCTGTCTTCTGATTCTCTTTTATCGCGCCGATGCTACGCTATGGATTTACCAGTCGAATGAATTGTCATCAATGCTCAATCAAGTGCAGGGATTGTCTGGGAAGCCTAACGGCCAGCAATACTTTTCCGATGCCTTCTGTCGGCACACCTTATGGCGCTTCATCTACGAGATGGCATTCCTTCTAGCGAGCAGCAGATTCGAACTATCCCATTTCTCAACATTTTGTCACAAAGAGTGGTAGTCTCTAAAATAGAGATGCTCTGCCTTCCTAGCACGGTGATGCGAGTCCTGAGCAGCCCGACAACTAGTCTTTCGCTTCCCATAGCTATTGTGCACGGAGGACCAGTGCTCTTTCCATCGAACCAGGTTTTCGTTTGTTCATTCAGCCATCCTGGAGTAGACAGATTCTTGGTTTTTTGGTCAAAGATGCCCCAGAATCCATTCTAACGCCTGCTATTCAGGGATTCGAACCTTTCATCCACACATGGGCCCAGCTCTCGTGCTCCGCAAGGATCGTTTGGTGAATATATTCCGTATCAGAACCAACAGTAAGCACAACTTGGCAAACTGCAAAACTCTGTTTGACTTACGTCTATCCAGTCGCATATCATCGTCTCAGCGCATCGTTATGGACAACTTCTCACCCCAGAGCTCTCGCTCTCCGACACAATCCTTGGCTATCAGCCCGCCGCACTCGAACCGACGTCGGCGTCACGCTTCTAATTCGCCTTCTGCTCGCCCAGATCCTGTCATCGGCCAAGTCACGCTAGCAGGGAAGTTCAAATGTCTCAAAGAAGGCTGCCTTGACGACGGTCAAGACATGACGTTCAACCGCCATGCCGATTTCAAGCGTCACTATGAGAACACGCATGCAGGTCGATGTATTGAGTACTTTTGCCCAGAGTCTGGGTGTCCGCGCTCTAGAAATCCAGGAGGCGGGAAAAAGGGCAGAGGCTTCAAAGGAAGAAAGGATAAGATGTATGAGCATTGCAAAGCAGTGCATCACAACGAAAGCAAGAAGCGAAAGAAGGGTGTTGAGGGCGACAAGTATGCTGAAGAGCGGGACTATGATGAAAGTGCAGGCGCTAGGCTCATAAAGGTAAGGCGAAGGAGCGATACTGCCTGAATGATTGTATCAGAGTCAGTTCTCATTCGGCATTTCTTTGACATGCAGGCGGTCCCTTTTTCGCTCGCTTGATGACACGCTGACAAAAGGTCGGATGTCTAAGATTGTACCATTGCGTGTTCGCTTCTTCCTTTGTGAGTTACTCTACTTGATCGAGCTTTCTCCCGTTCTGGTCGTAACTTCCAAATTTATTCTCCAAGGTCAGCTATCTCTGATGCGTTCCAGCGATCAACTTCTCACTGTTCGAAAAACGTAGCAAATACATAAAATAAAACTATGCTATTACTAAATTTATCATTCATCATCATACTTAATTATGATCGTTCGTTGTTATCGTTCGTTGTTATCGTTCGTTGTTATCGTTCGTTGTTATCGTTCGTTGTTATCTTTCGTTATCATCATTTGCTTGGTCTACTCTTCCAATTTTCTGCAAGCTTTGCGTGCTTTGCAGGACCACTTTGCCACTATGGTTCCCCGGAATGACCGAAGATCTCAAGGTACTCAACACTCTGTTCAGCCTTCATATCCTTACTCGCAACACAAAACAAGTTATTGTATGAGCCCTTGTCGGCCGACCAAAACAAACTAACCATGCGTAAGACAGAGGCGACACTGGTCATGGTAAAGCCCGATCTGCTGACTCCGTCAGCGAGATTCGTTTCCACTAGACCTGGACTTATACACGAGGCCCAGATCTCGCCATCGTTGTTTCGAGCGCTAGGGGAGACGGGACCGTACGTTGCATGAAGGGACTTGGTATGGAGGACATTAGCGAGCTTGTTCGGGCCGTAATGGGCCATGGAACTAGCGTCCTTCAATGTTGGATTTTCGAAGTTGATGCCATGTTTGGGGACGCTCAAGTGCCCTGACGAATTTAGGTTGACGATGCGCACGCTTCCAAGCGGTAGAGCTTTGGAGGTGTCTAGCATCACCTGAAACAGACGATGCGTGAACACCCAGTGCGCTAGATAGTTCGTCTGCCACTGCGCTTCGTGGCGGTCTTTCATCATTTCGAATAATGTATCTAAACAGTCGAATTTGGACTAAATAATCAACAGAACCGCGTATGGCGAATTTGATTGGAATACATCGGACGTGCCGTCGGTGTGGTAAATTCGCTTCAACATGCAAAATTCAATGGATCTCTCACGATCGGTCCGTGTCGATACGCGCTGACCGTACGCTCTGACCGTACGCTCTCTTCAACCTTCGTCTCGCCTCGTCTCTTTGCTTTCCTTCTTTTCTACCTTGTGTGAAGCAACAACGACAAAGCATTTCCAAGCCCTAGACGCAGCTTTGTGCAGCCTCCTAACTGGTACCATTGCACACCAAGGGCGGATTTTCGAATGTGTTCCTGGAAATGCTACTTATGACTATGTGGATATGCTGACCTCCATCTTTGAATCCTCGTTACTATACCAAAGGATTACTATCTAGCATAAGCCTACTATATAGTGGTCGGTGGTGGCACAGCCTACCTTGCGATAGCTTCTCGCATCTCCATGTTTGCATCAGCAGCCGTTGTGGAAGCTGGCAGACTATATGAGTAGAACAATAGCAACCAATCTGTGAGTCTATACCTTGGCCTCATTATGCCTGTCCTTGGCACAAGCGAAGCATACACTCCCTAATCTCTTGTGGAATGGGGCTTGCTGTCTACTGCACAATCTGCTGCAGGCAATCGTCGCATACACTGTGTAGAAGGCAAAACATTTAGAGGGAGCTCGGTGATCAATATAATGGCTTATCACCGGGGCACTGTTGGTTCATACCAGCGCTGGGGAGATTTGGATGGTGACCAAAGTTACACATTCGACAAGATTCTGCCGTACTCTGAGAGGATGGCCACGCTCATAGCTCCTGAACTTCCCAAACGAAATGCGCCAAACGCGACGGTACAGTGTGACGACTCAACATTCGAAAGCTCTCTTCACGGCCCTCTCAAAGTGTCGTGAGCCAATTTGGAGTAATAGCACTGCAGGCAATCGGGCAGAAACCGAGTGTTGATGGTTTCGGCAGCGGTACATTGAACGGTGAAGCATGAGTGCTCACGACCATCGACTCAAAGGATGCGACAGTAGATAGAACAAAGACCGCTTGCTTCCCTTGATATTGTGAATATCTAAGCTTCCAGTGTAAGCTACTATTGACTGCTAGCCTCTCTATCTGCAGTGATTACGTTTGAGGAACGATAAAAGCTTTTAATTCAGCCAGTTATATCTCACACTTTTGTCATATGTAGTGTAATCTTGGAGACAGTATAGATTGAAACAATGTGATAAGATCTAGGAATATATAAAGTCTAAATATATGGGCCGTAGACGAAAATTGAGTGCGCTAGTAAATGAATATAATACAACGTGAGCAGCTCAGCGAAGAGCGCACAAACTGTTACTCAAGGAAATCTATATCTATAATATTCTTCGCACGTCGAGCGCACTCAGAAATGTGCACAAGACGTTCAAACTCGCCACTCGTTTCGCACATGGCGCGGAAGGCACTATGAGGGTTGCGAAGCAGTACCCAAGGGGCGCCCTGTTCGATAATAGCACCACGATCTAGGACAACGATGCGATCATGGTCTGCGACAGTAGCAAGACGGTGCGCTACTGTCAAGACTGTAGCGTCGAGGCCGCTCAACACGGCTTGCACCAGGGTATCACTGGCGTGATCGATGGAAGCCGTCGCTTCGTCGATAATGAGAATGCGGCTTTGCCGCAGGAGAGCGCGTGCGAGGCACAGCAGCTGTCGTTGTCCCTGGGAAAAATTGGCCCCGGCGTCAACGATGAGAGCCCCTGCGTGCAATTCGCCTTCAGTCGTGCCTGACAGCTGCACGTGATGAAGCACTGCGTCCACTTCTGCATCCGAGTGCTCGTGTAGGGGATCTACATTGGACCGGATGGTGCCAGCGAATAGGCTAGGGTCCTGGGGTACTATAGTAACGGCTTGACGGAGGCGCACTAGCGTGACTTGACTGATATCCACGTCGTCTATTAGGATTGCTCCTTCTTCAGCTTCCAAGGCCCGGAAGAGGGCAAGGCCGAGAGTGCTTTTACCTGCGCCCGTACGACCTACAATACCAACCCGCTCCCCGTGGTGAGCGCGGAAACTGATATTGCGAAGGCACAGATCTAGGTCTGGCCGGTAACGCGCTGAGAAGTGCCGAAACTCGATCACGCCGTTCGAGGGCCAGGTAGCGTTGGGATGGTAGAGCGCCGTGTCTGGGTCTGCCTCTTGCTCTGCGCTCAATGTGTTACCAATACGGTGGACGGAGTTCATGTTCTGCTCGAAATGAGCGTACATACGTATAAGCCAAATGAGATTGTTGGAGAAGCTCATCGCATACGTTAATGAGACGGCCGCCAAGCCGGGGTTGATGTTGTCGCTCAGCAGGATGAAGACACTAGTCAGGACAAACAAGAGGTTTCCCAAAAGCTCAGTGCGGAGAGCTAGCCATCGGTTAGCGGCCCAGAGGTGGATAAAGGGCCGCGATTGCGTGTCTATGCGTTCTGCGTTACTCTCGAGGAATAGCTGCTCGTTGTTGTAGGCTCGAATCGTGACAAGCCCGGTGAGCACTTCACCAAATTGCTGGAATAGTGGACTCCGGCCTCTAGCCTCGTGCTCCTTGAGCTTTCGCGATGAGCGTAGGTAGAACCTAGCTATGCCAAGATAGATGAAGATGATGAAGCAGCCCACGATCAGGAGCTGCGGCGTGGTCCATCCAATGACAACAATGGAAACAATCGTGTCGAGGATAAGACTGACAATGTACATGATAGCAGGCGTCATTTGTTGATCGATAATCTCCATATCTTTACTGAAGCGATTCATGAGCTGTCCAAGGGGGGTTGTATCGAAGAAACGGAATGTCGTGTTTGTGGTGACGCTGAGCAACCTGGCGTGCAGTTTTCGTGACGCCGTTAGCGAACCAAAGGCCGCCCAAGCTTCTCGAATGATCACGAAGCCGATGCCTGAAAGACTGATTATAGCGAGGACGAAGATATGATGCCAAGGATTGGTCGAAGAACTGGAGGGATCTTGCGGCAGCACTTGGCTCGCTATCATCAGGTTATGTTGAGTGATAGGCGCAGAGAGACCGGGATGACTCCGGGAATTGAAGAGCCATATGGCATGTGCGTGAACAGTTTGTCCGAACCCCGCAACATTGATATCGTTGCTCAACATAGACTCGTTAGACCATCGTCCAATCCACAAGGTGGACGCCACACCAGCCATTCGTTCTGCCACGAATAAAAAGATCAAGACCACCCAGAATGGCCAAGCTCCCATGGCAAACAGATAAAGTTTACTAGCCGACCAATCGACGACGCCTGCATCCTCGGCACCTGTGCTGTCCTGGAGTGTAGGTGTATGGTTGTCAGGTTCTACGATGGTATCCTGGCTTCCGTTTGGTGAGGTCAGTCGGGATTGCCAGACCTCCCGCGGCGTCTCGAATGATTCGGGCGCCTGCTTCATCTTCGCCATCTCAGAATCCAATGCATCATGGTCAGCGCAAGGGAACACACCGGCATTCAAGACGTGACGGGGAGATCCATAAGCGATAACACGACCTTTGTCCAAAGCAACCACGAAGTCAGCTGCCGGCATGCAAAGCGCCGTGTTATGTGTAACGAGGACGCATGTACGACCTTGAGAAGGGAGCTCTTTGATGCAGTTTTCGAAGATAAACTGAGCAGTATGTGGGTCCAATGCGCTGAGGCAGTCGTCCAGGAGTAAGGTGCGTGAGTGTGAGTAGATCGCACGAGCAAGGGAAATGCGCTGCTTCTGTCCACCAGAAAGTGTAATACCGTTTTCACCCGTGACAGTAGCGTCACCAGCACTCATACAATGCAAGTCGCGCTCGAGAGCACAGATCTCGATGACGTGGTGATATCGTTTTGGGTCGTAGGGGGTCGAGAATAATATGTTTTCCCGTATAGTCCCATGAAATATCCACGGTGTCTGTGCGACGTAGGCGCGGCTCCGGGCAAAAGGGAATGATAGGTCGCCCCTTACTAGACGCATCTCCCCGAGCAAAGCTAGTAGTAGAGAGCTTTTGCCTGCACCTGTTGGGCCGACGATAACATTGAGTTTTGCTGTTTGAAAGCTGAAGTCCATGTCGTGCAGTTCGAAGGCCATGGACGAATCAGATGCAGTTTCACCGCGCTTGCTCCAGCTAAACTGAGCATGATGGAAGCCCAACATGTGACTATCCGTAGTGTCTTCGATGGTAGTGCTGGCAGGAGGCAAGATATCCTCTACATCCCCTAAAAACTCCTCGATACGCCTCAGAGACACGCCCGCCTCATTGACTTGGGCCAACACATGTCCTACGTTGCCCAAAGGAACACACAGGAGTGTAAACATGGATACGGATGCAAAAGCCAAGGAGGGGCGTAATGTTTTCCCCTCCAACGTCGTGTAGCAGGTGAGAGAGATCAGCGTCATTAGGGCAGGAACAGCGAACCAAGCGGTGTTGAATGCGGCCCATAATACGAAACGATAGCGTAAACCTTTCAGTTCCATACGTCGCGCACCGTTTACTACTGCGCGAAAATGACGTTCCCAGGCGAAGAACTTTACAGTGCGGATGTTCCGGAAGAGATCGTTGGATGCATGAATTCGTTGATCCGTCGACGCCATCATTTTTTCTTGATTGTGGACTAGGCCTTTGCTCAGCGTGATGTTGAAAGGAATCGTGAGAAGCATGACAGAGAGACCTGAAAAGGCACTCCATCCCAGGATGCGGTATAGCATCGCGATGGTGATGATAATCTGCATAGGCGCTTGGATGGTAAGGAGGTGCAAATTAGACATGGCATCACCGATTTTGTAGCTGTCGATGGACATCAGGTTGATGACGTTCCCGGTGCCTAGTTCACCGGTTCTCGAATCGACATCTTTGTCTTCTGAGCTAGATAGGCTGGCGGTAGGTGAGTCGATGGGCAAGGTAATAGTGCCCTCCTCCGCAGCTAACTTTGATCGAACCCATGTCTTCAGCCTTACCAGCATGGTATAGGTTGTGTTTGTGTTTCGGGATGTAGGCGCCGTTTCGTGAACTGACTTTCGATGCAGTGTCAACCGGAACACTTCACCAATCAGCAAAGCGCGTGCCCGGAGACAAAGCTTGTGACCCTGCCAGAGGGCCTGTCCGTCTGCAACCGACTTGGCAAGATCGATCAACGGAAATAGTATGACAAGAAGCCACACTAGATGTTGCGGGTAGCGTCCGGGCTGCTCAAGGGAGCTTAGGATCAGGTTCAAAAGCAGAGCGGGGGCAACGGTGAGTATACCCGCAACGAAGGCCCATGTGCCTTGCAAAATTAATGTATCTCCGAATAGAGACACTAATTTCCATAACAATGCAGCGTCTTTCTTCAGTAATTGGTAGGATGCCAGAATATTTTGGGCTTTGTCTGCCTGGTCGAGATACCGCAGCATGTCTATGCTGATACCCTGGGTATACCCTCTCAGCAACATCGGATCCATCCAGAAGAAGGTAAGGCGGGAAAATACTGAAGCTCGTTGTTCAAGTGATGTCGGTATCGCTCTGTCTGGACTTGTTGTGAAGAGGAGAATGCCAACCAGTATCGTCTTGAGACCAAGGTCAAGTAGAAGTGTGTACAAATCCGGGTATATTCCGCGGTCTAGCAGCATCGAGCGAATATTTATCGCCGCCGAGAGCCACTGAGTAAGATAGATCGTGCCGGAATGCGCCCAGGGTCGTTGTTGCTGCCACCTTGCGTTTTTCATGAGCAGAGGTAGATTCAGGACCAGAACCGCGTAAAACCAGGACACTACCGATGCTGACTGTTGAAAAAGGCTAGATCCGCTAGAGAGCGCTTGTAGGAGCTGGCTGATGTGGATGCTAAGCAACCCGCCAAGCACGAGCAGTTCACCCAGGGCAGCGCCACTCAGCAGCACCGCGGGTTTATCTACGGAAAGGCGTTGCCTCTCAAAGCATTCGAAGCACGTACATCCCTCGAACTCTGCGCTGGCCTCATCCGACGAAGCGCTGACAATCTCAAGCTGTGGTAGATGCTGGGACTCATTGTAACTAGCCCGATGCGCGTTCACACGAATGCTGACTAGCAGACTGATACTTGAGATCAGGGTGATAAAAGCCGGAAAGAGCAAGTTGATGAAGCTTCAGATGTCAGCCAGAGAACAATTGATATCGAAGGGAGATAAATGTGTGAGCAACCTACTTCTCTCGAAAACACGCGGTAAAGTCGTCTTCTTGCCAAATCCGCGATACACAGATCGTATGAACCTTCATCGCGTCTGCAACTGATAATGGGAGGATTATAGACAAACTGGGATGATACGTTCGTCTAGTGTTAGCTGACAATGCATTGCTAGAGGCTCAAGGACAAAAAAAGCGAAGGAGAGAAGGTACAGCGTAGCATAGAAATGAACAGCGAGGGAGCGACAAAGCGTAAGGTTTTGTATCAGAAGCACCAACATGATTGTAAAGAGGGATGAAAACGAATATGTTACATAAAAGGAGCTCGTCCCAGAGGTTCAAATAGACTAGCGATCGATGTTTTGTCAACCAATCAGCTTTTGCGACGATTTTCCGCTGGCGAGTCAGTTGCCATTCTGAGTTCACTAATCTCCCACTTGTTGTACAATATGAAAAGGGCAAGTGGGAAAAGACAAGTCCTGCCATCGGAGACGGTAAGAACGATCTATCCATGAAAATAAGCAGCTTCTTCGGATGATGGAGCAAGGCTCTCTGAAACAAAACGAGGCTGCACAAACAAAATAAGAAGAAAGACTGAAGTAGCAAAGACCCAGCCAAGACGCTATTCTCGTGAAATTGGCCCGATCTACTTAGTATTTGGTGACCGCCACTAGTTTGTGCACATCAGCAGTTGGAAAAGGCAAAGGGTGGAAGCAAAAAGGAAAAGGAAAAGAAACAGGAAACGAAACTTCACTGAGAGCACAGCTGAAGCGATACATAACGACAGGTTTATCGTTGTATCAATGATGCTGATTAGCTAGCATATCTAAGCATCTGCGTGGTAATGTGAGCGTAACAACGCCTATCCTGCTGACCACATCCTGCAGAAGTTTGATGAAGAGAAGACATGTGAGACTGACTCTTGAGTCAACCATTCAAAGAGATCTTTCGGAAAGCTCAAAATACCGAGTACTTACAATCAAAAGGCGGGCTATGTTGGCTAAGAGCATTGAGTATCGAGAAGGCCTGTTTCAATGGCAGTAGTGGCTATGCCAACAGCTTAAATATCCACACAGGGCGCCGTGGCAATGGTTGATGCGCTCAATAGGCTGCTTAGTGAGCTGCAGATATGGATGCTTTGAAAACGTCTTTCTTTGTGTGCAGTCGCGGGCGGAGCCCGTATTTGGGTAACAAGAGCAGACCAAGATTTCATACATATATGTACCATCCGTATTGCAGACCGACGCGCCGGTCGTAGCTGGATCTACTAGCTGTGAGAATAGGGGAACAGGGTGACGGAGTCCACAAGGAAAATCTAGATGGTAGCAACCAAGGTACAAGTGGTGAGAACATCAACGTCGCGAAGTCGTGCACTGATCAAGGTGCAGAAGGACCTAACTGCGCTCAAGACGGCGCTGACGAGGAAAAGGGCATTGGTTCTAGAATCACCACGTTCTTAGCAAAAGAATGTGTGTGTATGACATAGAGAGTAGCCTATTATGTAGCGAAAAGAGATGAAGTCATTCACATGCCGTCTCCAAGCACGCTTCCAATAATGTAGAAGTGGAGGAAGAGGAGAGTCTCTCGAACGGGAATTCAGTCTCCGAGCAGGTCGAAGAGGGAGGAGAGAACCCTCCACCGGGCATATCTGATGTTGCTATGGAAGCAGACTATGAGGCTACGCAACGGCCATGTCTCGTGCAGATGGGGTTAGCGAAAAAGCTGTGGGAATCATGATCAGCTTCAGAACGCAAGGCTGGAGATTGCAAAGTGCCACACAAATGGTGAGGATACTGAAATCGGCATAGCCCGCGAACAAAGTAACGCGCACGTTACAGCGTCACCATGTTGCCGCGGGGACATTGCCGTTGGGGGTCGCAAGTTCAGGGCCGGCCATGGCGTAGCCGAGGCTATCGAGGGCTATGGCGAGCATGGAGCACAATCGCACCGATTGCCAGGCGCGTGGTAGAGATGTGGGCTTGGCCATCACGCTGTGGAGCGCTGGCAGCAAGCGCGTAGACACAGGCAACAGGGATTACCCCTTTGTACATGACATGGGCTAGGTGACTTGTATACTACCCGACCGATCAGATGCACATCCTGTGCTGGTCGTGGGTCGTCCCGCCGTTCCACGTCGTAGACTCTTGCCCGCGCAGTCGGCCGGGCAGGTACCCGTAGGCCTTGTGCACACACACATCGCTTTTTCGACGGCCTAGACGGTCTCCTGTATGTCGACTGCGCATCGTGGGTGACTGGGGAGGTAGGCAAGCAAGCGGATCGCCCAAACCTCTTCATTGGCTGGCCAGAGCAAGCACCCCAGACCTGATACGTTGGCGCTAAAGTCTCGGGACACAGCCCGTGAGGCGTGCGCTAGAGTCGGGTTAACTAAGTTAGGCCCGCGTAGGGCGTACATGGCATAGATATCGACGTTCAACAGATCGATCTGGTGCTTCTTGTGGAACCTTAGCAGCACGGCTTGAGCCGCTAATCTCAGGGGATCCATTTGACCAAAAAGCACCCGCATCATCCGCACTCCGGGCCGAAGGTGGAGCATCCCATCCCATGATGGGATTGGTGCAGTAGGAAGGCTCACGTCGGCTAGCCAAACTTTGAGCGCATTGGTTCGGTGGCGACGGTTGGGGCCGCTCTGGGAGCTTGATCAACCGCCGCCACAGCCGTCCTGGTACGCCAGCATGCCACGCGCTGACACATGTGTCAGAAACTCCTGGGGTTGCTTCTCCACTAATTGGTTCCCAACCACGCGGAGGTACTATTCTTATCCAAGAATGCCGATACACGTCGAATCCCATCTTCTTCGATTCCAACAACGAACCTTTCGTTTCGTCTCGTATGCAGCAGCGGTTCCATCAGCTGCGGGTCACCAAGTCTGCCCATATGCTATTGCCTACGCTACTTCCAGACGTAATCCTTTTTCAACCTGTCTCGATGTCTTAAATTCATATCCCCAAGACAGCAGTGCTGCCGAATAACTAGCGTCTATGCCCCACCACACCAACTTCGTCTACAAGCAAAAGCAACACTGCTCGGCAACCTGTATTCTGCCGTGTCACCATGACTCCTGACCGATCAACAAAGGCCACATGAGCAGTCGTACTTCTTGCATTAGCACCCACACTCACGCTATGCGGGCCCATTTTCCACTTTTGGAGATATTGTGGCCGCTGCATCGTTTTGCTGCGCATCAGTCACAAGGCACCTCTCAACTTGTACAGTATGGGAAAATGCTTCACACCTTTTTAGCCTTCGGTGCGACACAGATACGAGGCTTTGCAGTGGAACCATTCGTCCTGCATATCATCATCTAGCAACAGACGCATGCACGACATTGAGTAGCTCCGTGGTTGTCATGCATGATCACGCAATCAAAGCCGTTTCTTGCCAAATTGAACCCTGTGCGAAGCCTAACGGTGGGCGCTAAATGTCGGTCTCTCTCAACGCGCAAGTTTTCGTATGGAAATTTTCTTTGACTGAGTTATGTGGCATGTAATCGAACGAGAATATTTGTTCGATTCTTTGTTCCCACTACAGCTTGCAAGACCTATACAGCTGTCGTAGATACTGTTAGAATCAAGACGTGTTTGCTTCGCGGATGCGGATAGAAACGAGGTTTCAATGTCTGCAACATTTCTTGTTCAATTGTACTGTCGGCGATATATGCTACGTTCTACATGATAGAAGGATAAACCTTGTCCAAAGGTTCTATTTATCTGACCTCTTATCTAGTGTTCAAGCTTCTAATTACATAGCCAGATGGATACAACATCATTTCATGACCGTCCCGCCCAGTCTTCACCATCGCTTATGCCTCTTGATGTCTTTTCCAGTGTAATTGTGTTCAGTGTAGTAGTCATGAACAGAGAAAGTGTGAAAAGGCTCGCTGCCGCAAAGAAGCACATTCTGGCTAATGCGATTCCGCCATACTGCATCCCTGTAGCGAACGTCGTGCTCCAGAGAGTGGTTCCAGCGAGACCAGCCATAGCCTCTACCATGCTGATGGCCGTGTACATTCTTTGAATCTGTCTTTCGTCTTGCAAAGAAGCGGTCACGAAAGATCTCAGAGAGTCAGGCAACGCTGCTCCCAAGTTGTAGATCGCCAAAGCTACAATGTACAGCCATCGGGTTGGAGCGGTGCTGACCATGATCAGACCAATAATATTGCAAATCAGACTGGACTGAATCGCCCAATGATCTACCATTCGCTGCGATGATAAGCGTGGGAGCAGATAAAGCTTGTTGAAGTATGGCAGGGAAAGTAACACGCCGCCATTGACCAGAATTTGGACCGCCGTGACGGCATTCACCTCCGCAAACGTCCAAGAGAAGCTTTTGGAAGCCCATTGTGGGAGTACGACTCTGACGCAGATTGCTGTTTCGTAACAGAAGTAGATGAGTAAGCTCAATAATGCCACTCGGTCTCGGAGTAGGGCCATCAAGACCTGTGATGACTGGTATCCCTCAACTCTGGTCGTCTTCAGTGCCGTCTTCAGTGACTGTTTCCAGGACCGAGGTGGCTCAGCTTCCATGGCGTCGGGCTCAGCCGGTTCTACGTCTGTGGATTGCGCGATAGGCATATAAGGAGATGCAACAAGGCTCGAAGTCAGCAAAGTGGCTAGCCAAGACCGCTCCTGTAGCAATGGGACGAACAGCAAGGCCAGGACGCAAAAGCTCACACCGAGAAAGCAAAGTAGCCACACATTTCTTGTGAGCAGGATCGCTCCCAAGGAAGTGCCGATGAAAGACATGACCATGAGAAGAGTGCTCAATCGATAGAGTTTCCCGCTACTAGATGGTTGTCAGTGGGTGCGTGGGAAACGTCTATACTGAGTATGCTCACAGAGCATCAGGCAAGACTCTCTCGGCCAGATGGATGTATAGCAAAGCATTCCGAGCGGGTGCGCCTCCACTGGCTAACTCAAACAAACCGGTCAGCCAGATCATACGAACATTGAAGACTCCGGGCAGTAACGCTGAATTGACTTGTCAGCAATTTGGTTCGATACATCATGGTGTTTCCATCAGACCCAGGAACGTACTAACGATGGTAGAGTAAAACGCGGCACCACACATCATGAAAACATTGATGGCAATGATCTTGCGTATACCCATGGTAGGAGCCAGACGGATTGTCAATGGAGTGCCCAGGAGTCCTACAAAAGATTTGAAGTTAGTCTCAAAGTTTCCAGTTTAGATGTCCATGCACTTCTCTTACCACCAAGTAACATGCACACTTCGAACATGCCAATGACCATTGATAACTCAGCTTGAATGCCGTCGAGCTTGCATTGCTGCTCGGCAACTCGCCCGTCGGGAGCGAGGATTGCAGGATCGTGGATGGCGTAGTATCCACGGCATATCGCTTGTTCAGCCAAAAATAACCTGGCACTTCGTAACATGGCGTTGCCAACCGCAACTGCGGCAAGCAACGCGACAGCTGGCCAGATGCGAGCCATGTTCTAGGTTTCGAGCAAAGCGTAGGCGAGGTTCTGTCTCGATGGTATATGTAGAGCTGCTCTTCGATGTAGTTCTGGAACTTCTTGTACGTACAATAGTGAGTAGATCTTGCGCAACGGTTTCTCGTCTATCGGTTCCGCGTTGGGCCGAATGTGGGTGAACGTGGCATGTAACGCCCTCAGACTTTCACCGATATCCGACCCAAAAACAGGGACTGATATAGGCTTCAGAGCCAGCGCGCATGGTATTTTCGTTTTTGCCGCTGTCGGCTAACGGCCACCGTCCTCACCCTCCACACTAGCAAGGGGCGGGTCACCCGTTATTGTCAGGCCCTACGGATGAAACAAGTAATGATGCCTTTGCTTCAGAGTTTTTGCACATTGTGATCTTGATAAGCAAGCCTGCTGCTTAATGCACGAAGAGGGTGTTTGGATTCGCTGCTCACACCCGTTGATCGACTCTCATACAGGCGCTATGCCCCAGAAGCTATGTCCCATTGGTCGGCAAGGGGCAAACAGGTCAGTTCTAATCACTATTGGCAATCTCGCATACATTGTCGAGAAACACCGATGTGCACTACCTTGACAATTTCGATGTTGTAACGATCTGCAATCTACACTGAGGGTCATTCCGCATTGGTGGCTGACCCAGGTCAACGTACCGTCGTACTCTGTGGCTGGTGTGGGCAACGTGTCATTGCGCTCTGCAGCTGACCTTGGACAACGATGATCACAACCCTGCGCTAATCCTGGTGGGAGTTCGCGATTGGGGCTGTGCTAGAACAAGAATCTTAGAGAGGAGGCAACACCGCACCACTACAGGGCTTGCATGTGATAATGCATGTCGCTTCGCTAGCTTACCGTAGCCTGCACATGAGCAGTAGCGACTACACAGATAATCGTCTGCATATTTTCAAGCGGGTGGGTGGTTTGTCCCGCTGCGTCTTAAGATTAAGTTCATCTTGCCGGGCGCAGCCGTCGGCTTTTCCGTTCCGCCCCGCCCCTTGCTCAAAATGGAAACGTCACAGCGAGTATCCAACACTTTGCGCTTCTTCCACCAACTTTCCTCGATACTCAAAATGCTGCCTTTTCCATCAGATCCTAAATGGTAATTTAACAATGCAATAGGTCACACTGTAGTCTTCACGACTTTGAGGTTTTCTTGGCGATATGATGTCTATCAAGGCGGTAGCTTGCCCGACCGAGTGAGGACCCATATGACGCTTCGACATTGGGCGTAGCGCTGAGCAAATCAGCTTTTGAAGATGGCTTGTGTGATGAGCAAAGCTAGGTTTAAGATCACGCTTACGTAGTTAGAGGTACTGCTCAAGCAACTAATGAGATCGGTGAGCAGTCGCTACAACGGGCAATCCGCCGCGTATGCACAACATATAGTAAAACTTCTGTTCATCACATATCGCCTAAGTACTATTGTTGACCCATAGCCGAAACTAGATTCATGTTGAAGATGCAGTACGCACTTGTGCTGCAACATTTCGCGCATCAACTTGCAGACGGGTCAAGACTTGCCGCGCATGCGAGCCTGTTGTCATAGTGTTAACCATGGTGTAAAATGTACACTTTCCTGCAAGCCCAGCGTCATCATCACAGTGAAGTGTTCAATGCGCAGCGAGCTTGGCGACAAGTACCTGCCCACCTCATCACGCTTGATTGCTTGCTTGCCAATATGGGGCGGCTAGCTGGCCGTCGGCGCGTGAGCGGTAGAGCGTGCGATTCGTTATTCACGCAGTCAAAGACAATGGAACGATTACATTCGTGGATTCTGAATAACTCTCGTAAGACACTTGGATGACATATCTACATTGATGCGCCTGCTTTCGACAACCCATCAATAGGTGTCACTTCGAATGTTCTCCAGCGAATACTAGTCTATCATGGCCGTACAAGCACGCCTCGAGCTATTATTGACCTTTGTGGTGGTCATCTCTATTAGCATTGCTGTCCGAAGAAGATATTTTCACCCCCTCTCCAAGGTTCCTGGGCCGTTTTGGGGATCAGTAACGTCCCTCTACCATGCATACCATTACATAGGCGGCAACCACCACCAGCTTCACCGAAGTCTCCATGAGAAGTATGGTACGTGTTCGCATCCCAGTCGAGTTTGTTTCCAACTCGTCTCGCTCGCAGAATGAAGCATACTGAATCAAACTCAAGGCCCCGTGGTGCGCTATGGACCTAGCCGGATCATAGTCTCCGATCCCACTATGCTTCCTGGAATCTACCACATGAAGTCCAACAAATCAAAATTTTACGACTCTACCCTGAACGAGGCCTCGGACAGCTGTTTCTCCGAGAAACATCATACCCCTCATATCGCAGCGCGGCGCTCCTTGGCCCACGCGTATAGCATGGCCAACGTAAAGGCTCTCGAGGGGCAGATTCAACAAGTCATCGATACGTGGGTGACGCGGCTCTGCACGCATGAGGAGAAGCCCTTCGTACTATCTGATCGAGTACTTTGGTTGGCATTTGATGTTGTCGGAGTCATGGTATTTGGCGAGCCTTTTGGCTTTGTCGAGGAATGGACTGACGTCCGATCAATGCTGGAGCGATCGAGCAAGTCCAACACCTCCGGCAGATATTTGGAGTACTTCAACCTCATCCCAGCGCTGAGTGGACTGGTAAGGAAAACACGCATAGGAAGATTGTTGTTTCTCCCTTGGCCAACGGATCAGGTTGGGCTTGGCGTGATGAAAGCGGAGCGTGACGCGGCTTGGGTTAAGTATTTCGAACACAAGCCTGTGGCTTCACCACACTGTCTTCTCAGTCAGATACTGGGAAAAAGGACCGACACGAAACCTAACTTTCTGTTGAGCGATGATCGAATCAAGACAGAGCTTCTCATCGCCATCCTGGCCGGAACGACTACAACTGCCAGGGTACTCAACTCGGCATTGATAAACATCGCAGCACGGGAAGAATGCAGCATGCAGCTTTACCAAGAGATCTCAGCTTTACCCCGAGGTGGCCGCGAAGTCAACTATGAGCTCAGCGGGAGCCTCAGCTATCTCCGATCATGCGTAAAAGAAGCCTTCCGCGTCTCTGCTGCCCCCACACAGTTCCCGCGCGTGGTTGGGCACTCGCAGAACGTGGAACTGAATGGTATCCGGCTGTGTCCAGGTACCGTAGTGTCTAGCTCAAGCTACATCATTTCCAGAAATGAAGCACTGTACGGTTGTCAGCTTGACAAGTTCCTACCCGAACGATGGGTTGAGGCGACTGAGGAGGCCACGAAAGCGAGAAAGAAGTACGATTTTCGTTTTGGATACGGTGCACGGACATGCTTGGGCAAGAACTTGGTAGAAGTGGAAATCCACAACGCGGTCTTTGAAATTTTTCGCCGTGCAGATGTCAGGGTGCACGATCAACAGAAAGGAATTGTTTCGATGGCGCTTCGCGAGACCAGATGTGCATAGGGGACAGAAGAAGGAACGCAGATGTCCATCAGGGAACAGGGAACTGGCAGCAGCCAGGATCTTCTAGCCGCCCAATCATCTACCTCACCCATCCATTTCAACTCCATCCGCATCACCAAATATTCACCTATTCGCACTTGCACATTTTCCAAAGTAAAATAATTGCTTGCTTTTGAGATACTTTGCGCAGTCAGAAAGCAAAACACGAGGCTGTCTTCAAGCAAGCCACGGAGTTTCACTCAATACTGGCGTGAGATACGTTGTAACCTCGAGCTGACCATCGGCCGTAAACATGATACTCAAGTATGACTGCAAACCTCGCGGCATGCCCGTGTGCATCCCGTTGGTTCCATTGGTTCCATTCGCATGCACGCCATTTGCACCTTTCACGCTTCGTCCCTTCGCTCTGTCTGGGCCATGGGCAGTGCCTCTATCTCCTAGTCGCGGTAAGGCTTCCAGAAAAAGGTCCGCAAACTTCCCTCTCCCGTTGTCTTTCATCCACTGAGCGACGCCGTCCGCCAGCTGCTGCTCCTCTCGACCGTAGACATAGAGCGGCAATTGAACCTTGACATTAGGAAGATCCCTTCCGGGCGCTATGTCAAAGTAGAAACCGCACGCGGGATACACCAGTGGCACTTTAGCCGAACTCTTGTACACAAGATCTTCAAAGCGGGCATTGATGGGCCAGTCTTCATCATCTGGGAAATCCAGCGGCAGACCCGTGACGGCTGCTAGGAGCGTACGCAAAGACTCGATTTGCACTGCTGAGACATCTTTGCGGTGGTTAAGCGTCATGATGGTGTGAATCGTAGAGAAGCGTACGTGGGGAGTACGAAAGTAGAGCTTGATCCGCGAATTGGGCGCAGAGATGCAGTCGATACCAAGAATTCTAGCAGATGAAAGTCAGAAGATATGAAAAGGAGGGACAAAGAAGTGAGACTGAACACGTACGCAGGCGTAAGGAGTTGGCCCTCAGGGTCACTATTCAGGAACTCATATAACACAGTCGCGGATGCACTAGCAGGACAGACCTGGGAGATGGCATCTTTGTACACTTCAAGGGGAATCTCTCGCGTGCCGAGACGACGGGATTTGAGGTATACTTTGATGTTTACCCCGGGCTCGACGAACTCAGCGGCAACCATGACGGTCGTCGTGATTTGATTATTATCTTGCTCCTGCGCATAGCGGTGTTGATCGTGGTCGAAGAGCGTGGCAAGGAAGTGGTTTGTCCAGGCAAGGTCAACGCTGGGAAACGCGCTTGCAATATGATACAGCAAGTCTCGCGATGGACCTTGATTCAGGGGGTCCTTCGGCGAGCCGCTGAACCTGTCTACAGCCTCGAATGTGTAGCGGACTTCAGGAGCTCCAGTGGCCGTGTTCCACTTCCAAGAGTATTCGACTGGAGGGCCCTGAATCGTGTTGACCGTCGGCCAATGAAATGTGCCATCACTGGCGGGTGCTGGTCCAAAGTACGGAACCTTGAGTAGATTTAGCACACGATCACCAGCTTGCAGACAAGACTGTGGCCTACAACTCGATGATGATGAAAGAGTAGAGCCTCATATTGCTTCTCCACGGGGTATTGAGCCGCTTCGAGGAGATGTGCAAGGTGCAATCCGGTATAATTCCACCAATAATCACAATCAGATTCGCGAGACGGCAGCAAAGGCCGCAAAGACTCCCAGGCCTTGGTGGTAGGACCCATTGTGCTCGGCTTTATGGAGATAAGAAGATAGACTGTCGAAAGTCCGAAATATACCAAGGTACAGTATTGGATGCTATTGAGGACGACAGCAATGGAAACCAAGTCCTTTCTTACACATTCTTATCATTTGTGTGGTACGACCGTGCGCTTCGATCATCTGCCAGCAATGGATGTGTGCCTACCTCCGGCATAACCTTGACCGCCATTAATGGGTGGTAGGTTGGTGGACATCCCGCAGGATGTGGGCCCCAATTATCGTGATTATGATGATTGGCGTCGTTAAGGCGTCACTTCTCTCCATTCAGACGAAAATGTACTCAATCTGTAATGTGCGTAATCTGCATAGTTACTTGCATGCAGTAGTGTTTCTACACTTTGTGCAGTAGTTTCTGGTAGCGTTATGCAGTATAGGATAGTTGTATGCAGTGATGTCTATCAGCTGAATGCAGGACGCCCGACAGATATATGCAGTAGCGTATGCAGGCCAAGTGTACTGGGTATTCGTACTAGTGTATGTTCGCTTCATATGGTGGTGTCGTAATATAAGAAACCATGTCGGCGCTAACTATAAGGTTTGCTTTTGCTCTCCAAGATATGACTTTTCGTAAGTCCTACATCCTCCCTTCCTGCACGCCCTTTACTTTCATCGAGCCAATGATATGGTGCAACACAGCGAAACGACGGACAACCGTGGGCTTCTCCATACCATCTTCGAGAGTCAGGTTTCCTCATCACCAAATCGAAATGCCATCCAGACATACACTCTTGGATCATGCCAGACTATCACCTATCATGAACTGAACTCGGAAGCAAACATGATAGCAAGGCAGATCCGATCCACCAAGTTACCGCAAGTGATCAGATTCGCTATATGCATGGACAAAGGGCCGAATCTTGTTGCGATCATTCTCGCCGTCTTGAAGTTAGGTTGTGCCTGGTCACCAATTGATCCAAAAGCTCCAGTCAAACGCAAGATTGCAATACTACAAGAGCTTGGCAGCTGCCACCTCTTGGTAGCACCGGAATACGCAGCTGACTTCCAGCACTGCCCATCGTCCACGAGCATCTTCGTCTGGGACGATTTGATATCGAGAGCTGCAAGTGTTCAAGACGGTGACAACTTGCAAGGAGTCGATTGCAACCCAGATAGTCCTTGTCACATCTTATGGACCAGCGGGTCTACGGGAGTTCCCAAGGGTCAGTTTAAATCTCCAGTGCCCTCTTTCTTTGTCAGTCGACTGATACAAACACATATCAGGGGTGGTTATTTCCCACCAATCCGTTGCAAATAATGCATCTACTTTGGCACAACTTTTCCGTCTGGGAGAAAACACCCGAACTCTTCAGTTTGCACATTTCACGTTCGATGTATTTGCTCTGGATATATTCATGTCACTTAGCGTCGGTGCTTGTCTGATCATGGGAGAAATCTCCGAGATGATCACTGATATATCATCGTTCATGATCTCTACGCAAACGAGCTACGCGCAATTAACTCCATCAGTAATCCAGTTGTTGGATCCAGAAACAATGGATCTCAATGGTAGCCTTCGCATCTTAGCCAGCTCTGGTGAAGCTATGACGGAAAGCATCATTAGTGTGTGGGCAGGTAGACTACAGCTCTTCAACTGTTATGGCCCGACTGAGACGGATGTTGTCACTGCTCATCGAATGACGGCGGAAACTTCGCCGCATTGTATTGGAAAGGAGCTGGCTGGATGCAAGGTATCGATCAGAGATGACCAGGGCATTGAATTACCTCAAGATACTATCGGGGAGATTTGTGTGTCAGGGATTCAAATCATGACTCAATACCTAAATGCGTCGAACACAGTGCACTGGCATCTAGGACGCCCGGAGGGACGGGTATACCGCACCGGCGACCTAGGAAAGGTCGTATGTAGTGGAGATATCTTCTGCTTCGGCCGCAGAGATCACCAAGTGAAGGTACGAGGCAACAGAGTCAATCTGGTCGAGATCGAGGAGACTATTCGGTATGTATCGGACGTAAAATCCATTTCTGTGCTGCTCCCGACCGCTGGTCTTCTCCAAGGTCAACTCTGTTGTTTTCTGCAAGCCAGCCTGAATGAATGCACTTTGCATCACGAAGCAGGGTCTTCGCTGCAGCCCAACACTTCAGAAGAAGCCATACGTGTGACCGAGACGGCACTAGAAGAGTTGGAAAGGTCATTGCCGACTGCGGCAGTCCCGACAAGTTGGTGGCTTCTCCAAGCTATGCCGCTGACCTCAAGCGGGAAAGTGGATCGTCAGACCTTATTAAAATGGCTAGAGTCCTCCACTCAATCTGAACTTCAACTTCGAACGCATCCCGCAGTATTTACGCCATCTCCATCTCCATCTCCGTCTCTATCTGACAGCAACACGGACACAAGTGTGTTGGGCTTGGGCGGACCTGAGCAAACAATCAGGTCGATCTGGGCTGAGTTACTGGATATGGACGATATCAAGATCCCAGCAGAGCGGCCATTCTTCGCCATGGGCGCTCATTCTCTCCTGGCTGTCAGGCTGGTCGCAGCGATACGGGCTCACGGAGTTGCTTTCACCATGCAGACGCTTCGAGATGCCGACACTATCAGGAAGCAAGCCATTCTACTCGCCCATTCCGAGAATCGAGTCAAGCCAGCGTCAAGATGTAAGGCAGAGATCCCTTATACCCTGATAGGCGCCGAAATCGACCGTCGCCAACTGATGGAAGCGGCGTCCAAGGTCTGCTCTGTTCCAATGGGATCCATTGATAACATCTATCCTTGCACGCCGATGCAAGGCGGACTCATGGCTGCATCGCTACAGCATCCAGGATTATACGTTTGTGACATGATTCTGGGTACGAGGGATCAGTTAGACCGACCTGCCTTCGATGTCGCCTGGTCACAACTTGTCGCTTTGGAACCCATCCTTCGGACGAGGATTGCAATGTTTCCTGACTTTGGCATGCTCCAGGTGGTCCTGAGCCCTGAACATTGCGTCGATCTGGCGGCGAATCGCCCGTGCGATATGGGATCAGGATCGCGATTATGGCATTACGTATGCAAAGAGTCCACCATTCATTTACGTATGCATCACTCAATCCTGGATGGTGCACAGGTATCGCTCATGCTTGGAAAGCTTGGTAATCTCTACAGCAAGTGCATACACAACAACGAGCTCCGCCTGTCTCAACTGGTTCTCGATAGTATGCGTGGCACTCCCTATACCCATTTTGTACACTCAATCTTTCAAGATGTTCCTTCAGGAGTTACCAGGGAGTTCTGGCTCGATCACTTGAGGAAACAATGTGCGACAGACTATCCGACGGTCATTTCGAGTGTTCCAAAGCACAGTACAGGTGGTACACTCAGTTGTACAATCCAATGGGATTATCGGAAGTTGGCCGCCGAAAGTGAGGTTCCTCCAGGCGCACTTCTGGGAGCCTTGTGGTCACTCGTGTATAGTGGCTTCGCCGATGCTCCTTCTGTTGTCTACGGAATGGTTCACTCGGGTAGAGATGCTCCTGTAGATGGCATCGAAGAGATCGTCGCTCCGACTATAGCGATCACACCTATGGTAGCCGCAGTTGACCCTAATTTTAAATTCGTCGACCTCGCAACAGCTCATCAAAAGGCCGTGTCCGATATGACTCCGCATCGGCATTTCGGGCTCCAGCACATACAAGCGCTAGGATCCAATTATAAGGCAGCTTGCGACTTTCGCGCGCTTCTTGTAATTCAGTCAGAGATTGATTCATCATTGCCTGACGGACCTTTGATTTTAGAGAGTGTCTCGGAGCCTCGCTACGATTATCCTCTCGTTGTCTCCATAACGATGAGAGAGAACCAAACGGTGGTAATCGAGATTACGTACGAGGAGGTCGTCATATCCACAGAAGTAGCCCGATGTATACTCGATCGCCTTGAGGACGTTAGCAAACAGCTCGAGGACTTCGGTGTCCACCAAACTGTGGAATTTCTCCAAAATCCATCCCAAACTCAACTTGAACGCATTATCGCATCGACTAGCGCAACTGCCGCCATGGAAATGCATGTTCAGGACATATTCTATGCATCTGCTCACAAAGCTCCCCAAAACCCCGCAATATTCGACCAAGAATTGGGTGTGTCCTTGACATACTCAGAGGTTGAGCGGTTATCCAAGTTACTGGCACAAGACATTGTTCAAAGCGGCGTCGAGCCCGGCTCGGTTATTCCAATTTGCATTGGCAATAGCGCTTACGCAGTACTTGGGATCTTGGCAATCCATCAGGTTGGGTGCGCCTATGTTCCTATTGACCCCGAGCACCCAATGAAACGTCAAGATTTCATCATTGGACAGGTCAATGCGAAGATTTTGCTTTGTACATCGCATGCATGTGCAAGGTATGCTCATCTTGCGGGCCAGATCATCAACGTGGACGAAGTCGTCTCAGTATCATCCGAACAAGCTTTAGTATCAGCAGATCGAGCAGTAGACGAATGTAATATCGTCGGACCAGGCGCAGTTGGGAGCAATATGTCAGAAGACGGCAAATTCCAAGTCAGGTCTTCGGGCAGCCCAATGGGGAAACCAACAGACACTGCGTTTGTCCTTTTCACTTCTGGTAAGAAAGCAAAGAGCAGACGGCCGACGTGATAGTCTAAACATTCAGATTACACGGCGTAGTCAGCACTTCTTAAAGCTCTATAAGCAAACGCTGACATCTCCACTTATAGGCTCCACTGGCCTGCCAAAAGGCGTAGAGCTCACGCATCAAAACATTGCAACTGCTGTCCACAGTCTCATTGATTCATTCCACCTCAAAGAGGGCGTGCGTATAATCCAGCTTACGACACTTACTTTTGATTTGAGCCTCTTAGAGATATTCGGCTCATGGGCGCGTTGTGGGTGCATTTGCATTCCCTCCAAAGATTCACGCGTAAACAGAATCTCGGAAGCTCTGAGAGAGATGCAAGTGGATACTGTCGTTGCTACTACTACTATAGCGAGTCTGTTACGAGTCAAGGATGCATCGCAACTTCAAACTATGGTCATCGCGGGCGAGCGACTTAGCAGAGAGATCGTGGACCGTTGGGCTGCTCGATTACGACTGTACCAATGCTACGGCCCTACCGAGGGTGGTATTTCAGTGACGTCGACAAGAGTTATGCCCAATTGTCCTGAGCTACAGAACCTTGGACCTTCGTTGAACGCGAGAATTTGGATCCTTAACAGTGATCGCAAACCTATCCCCTCAGGCTATCCCGGAGAGATTGCAATTTCGGGACCAACGATAGCCCGCGGGTATTTCGGGGATCCAGTCAGGACAGAGAACTCCTTCGTCACCATAATGCCGTCTGGAGGCAGAGAAACAGAACAGATGGTATACTTAACGGGTGACATTGGACGACGAACAGGCGATGGAAATGTTATATTTCTTGGGAGAAAGGACCACCAAGTGAAAATTAATGGCATCAGGATTGAAATAGGCGAGATCGATGACAACATTCTTGATGCCGCATTTGACATCCGCAGCGCGGCTGTCATACATGTTTCGAATAAGCTTGTGGCTTTTCTCGACGACGGAAAGGGTGCAGCTGTAAACGAATCAACCATCTTTCACGAATTGACCCCCGATCGAGAGGCCACGGTTGCAGCTATCCAAGTTCATCTCAAAGCTCGATTGCCAATCTACATGCTCCCATCACGGTTTATCTTCATTAAGCATTGGCCAAAGACATCGAATGGGAAGACCGACCGCAACGTGCTCATCGCAGCATATGGAACTGAACATTCCAAAACCCCTTCGTATGCGAAGAGCAACACTGGAAGCCAGGAGACTGGATCTCATGACATTTCAGGTCACAGAGAGTTAAGTGGATCCTCTTGGTTTAAGCATACGCTTCAGGGTGTGCTTGGCCTACCTCGAGATTTCGATATCGACCCATTCGCTTCATTTTTCGAGATAGGAGGGGATTCATTTGCTGCGATGAAGTTTGTTGCTGCAGCTCGTGCGGACAACATCGACATTTCAGTCCATGACATCTTCCGCAATCCAACTCTAAGTGCTATACGGGACCGTATGTTCCACAATGCTCCTGAGTCGACAGAGCGCCTTGCGCAAACCAGTACCGATTTTCAGAAGTTCCTGCTGAAAGATTTCGTCGATCCACAAGAGATTGAGAGCCTTACCGGGCTCACTATGAATCTTGTAGACGACATTTATCCGTGTACCCCATTTCAGGAAGGCGTGGCTGCACTCGCGTTACCATCTACCGGTCTCTACGTGACCCGGCATGTATTTGCACTTACTCCATGCGACGAGATCCGCTTCAAAGCAGCTTTATCGCTTGTAATCGAGCGTACTGCTATCCTAAGGACAACTATTGTGGCACTCAAGGCTCTGGGAGTTCTACAGTTGGTGATGGCCCCGGAGGGTCCGTTATCACCACCGGTCAGACTTCACGCCGCTCTCGCAGATTTAGTTTCTTCAGCAGTACAATTGGAGGACCAATATCTTTTCAACTTCGATCTCGTCGTGCATAACGGGTTAGTCAACACGTTTGCGGTGACCATGTCACATGCAGCCTATGATGGATGGAGCCAAGAGATTCTGCTGGATGATATTTCCAAGGCTTACTGCGAAGGATATTTGCTACCTCCCTTAGCCAATTTCGCCTCGTTCATCTCTTATCAACATCAGAACTTAAAAGATCCCCGAACAAAGCAATTCTGGGCATCGTATCTTTCCGAAGCGCAGAGCACATCGTGGCCGCACGAGCCGCGCTGTGGTACTGTGTCTGTTTGTGCTGATCAGCGTCGTTCATCTACAGCAAAGATCTCGTGGCCTAACCAAAGAAGACTGAGGCCTGCCATACTTCGTGGTGCCTGGGCTCTCCTTCTCGCAAAGTATGAGAATACAAGAGATCCGTGCTTTGGCACGATCTTTTCTGGCCGAGCCAATGATTTCCCACACATCGAATCAGTTCGAGGTCCAACCATGTCTGCCGTTGTTATGCATATCCCACTAAGCCAACAGGAAACTGTCGCAAACTTTGTGCAACGACAGCACGAAAATTTTACGACCATGTTGCCTCACAGCGCCTACGGTTTACAGAACATCAAAAAGGTCTCCGAGGATGCCGCAAATGCATGCGAGTTCCGTACGATGCTAGTTGTACAGCCTACGGACATCTCGGAGCCAAATTCTAGACGGGAGATAGCGTTCGATTTGATTGAGGAAACTATGTCCGGAGGGTACGCTGTCACCGTCGAATGTGTCCCGACACATGGAGGAATCAAAATTTCCATTTCGTACGATTCTGCATGGGTCTGCGACGAGGAGGTAGATCGACTGGCTGAGCAGTATCTGCATTTGGTGGAACAGATTTCAATCCGTGTGCATGATGATTCAACCATAAACGATATCGATGTAGTCTCTCCACAGGACCTCGAACAAATCCAGCGATGGAACGCTTCCGAGTTGAAACCTCAAAAGAAGAATCTTTATGGACTTTTCGAAGCGGCAGTGCGGCAGTTTCCAGACTCACCAGCCATTGAAGGGTCGGGCGGACAAGTGATTTCCTACCAAGATCTTGAACAACATGTCTGCGCTCTCGCCGAGGTTTTGGAGAATAGTGGAGTGAGATCACAGGATAAGGTCCTTATTCGGATGGCCAAGTCACCGCACCAGATTGCAGCCGTTCTCGCTATACTTAGAGTTGGTGCGACATTCGTGCCCATCGATATGGAGTGGCCCCACGGAAGAATTCAGAGAATCGCCGAAGATACAGCCGCTGCATTCGCTGTGGTCGACATTGATGAACCACTCTTTGAACCGCCGTCAAGTGTACTAGAAATCAATGTTCATGCACTTTCAAAAGAAACTTCAGTCCCAGCCCGCTTCAATGAACGGGCTCAAAATGTGGAACCAGAACACCTGGCGTACATAGTCTACACCTCAGGATCTACCGGAGAGCCTAAGGGGATTCTCATATCCCACATTGCCGTGTGCACGGCGATTGTGGCCCACCAGCTTCATCTGCATCTGAATTCCGACTCTCGAGTTTACCAATTTGCGTCTCTTACCTTCGACATGAGCATAACAGACATTTTCGGCACACTATCAGTCGGCGGTTGCATCTGCGTACCAACCGAACACGAACGCCTTTTCGAGCTTGAGAAGACTATTCACGAAAGGCGAGCGAACTGGATATCTCTCACGCCAAGTGTGGCCAGTTTATTGAGCCCTAATAATGTTCCAACATTGAAGACGCTGGCACTAGGCGGGGAACTTGTTACCCAAGGTCTTCTGGATACGTGGGTGGACAAGATTCATCTGATCAACAAGTATGGACCGACCGAGACCACTATAACCACTACTGTTTGTCACCTGCCTGGAGACCCTTATTGTATTGGAAACGGAATAGGAACAACGTCCACCTGGATTGTAGATCCGTACAACCACACTCGCCTTGCTCCAATAGGAGCGGTCGGCGAACTACTTTGCGTCGGTCCAGCTGTGGCTTCTGGATACTTGAAGAATGCTGAAGGCACAGCCAAAGCGTTCATCACACCTCCGCCCTGGGTTGACCTACAGAGCAAGGCATGGAAAGCCTATCGGACAGGTGACTTAGTGCGATATAATGCTGACTCCTCTATCCGCATTATCGGTCGCGCTGACAGACAGTTGAAGCTTCGTGGAAAGCGTGTTGAGCTTGCAGAAATCGATAATGCGATTAGACGCACGGGATGTATCGACCAAGTTGTAACGGATGTATTCAAACGAAACGAAATACCCCTGCTGGTCTCCTTTATCACGGCCGCCTTTTCTGACATGCCACACATACCCGCCAAGACAACTACTATTGTGAGGGACTCTCCCAATCAAAGTGAGACCATTCAACGTATCAGACACGCCCTTCAGCAAGATTTGCCCATATACATGCAACCTTGGGCCATCATCGTGGTTAACAACATACCCCGTTCTAGCTCTGGCAAAGTCGATCGTCGTATGCTACAACGTATTGCGAAGACGTGGTCTCTCGAGGATGAAGAGGCGAAACCTGTGGCACCTAAGGCGCCTAGCGCGGGAGCTATGTCTCGAACCGAGCTCACCGTTCAGGAGTTCTGGTCAGACATACTAGGTATCGATAGACAGCGGATACGTTCCGACGGTATGTGCATTCCATCGTCTATCTACGTTTTCATAGCACATGGAGAGCTGACCTCTATAGATATATTCACAAGATTGGGAGGCGACTCTCTCAGCCTTATGCGCCTCGCATTCTCCTTAAGAGCAAAGGGTTTTCTTGTAGATGTTACCAAGATCCATTTAGGGTTGACATTGAAGCAAATGGCCCAGCTATTGACAGGAATCGGGCAAGAGCATAAAGCGAGTGAAACGTTGACTGTTGAGCCTTTCTCACTGCTTGGCAACGTTTCGGTCGCATCACTTTGCGAGAACATCAGAAGACGCCTCCATGTTCCGCTGGAAGCTATCCATGATATCTACCCCATGTCACCCATGCAAATGGCGCTCATTGCATCGTCCGCGAAGAGCCCAGGATCCTACACCAACAAGATTACTTTCACGCTTCCACAATCCGTTGACCTTGACCGACTGGAAGGAGCCGTGCGACGGACTGTTGGGCACCAAGAGATCCTTCGAACCGCATTTTTTGAAAATGTTGAGGGTCTTACCGTCCAAGTTGTGCTGAATACTACGCCTAAGATGGAACGTCCTGCGAGCACCAAATTCATCGATGAGAAGGACTACGATCAAGACTTTCATCTCCCAGCTGTATTCTACCTTGAGAAGACGAACATCAGTGTTCTTTTGCATGTCATCATTCACCACGCAGCAATGGATGCTTCTTCATTACGACTGCTTGTTCATGACTTGCACTGTGCATGGTCGTCTCAGCCGCTACTGGAGCGGTCGGCATATCGTACGTTTATCAAACGTCTAGAGATGATTGATTCGAAAGAAAATAGCAGAGAAGCATGGGAAGCTTTCACAAATCGTCCGCCCCCCAGTCAAGCCCCAATTCTTGAGAGCCTTGAGAGTACGGAGCAACCAGGGCGACGTATTGTCCAGGTCCAGATGCCGTCTCCGAAGAATAGCGATTGGTCGTCATCCGAGATACTCACTGCTGCGCTTGCCATCGTGCTGCGCCAGACCAGTGGTGCTTCCTCAATTTGCTTTGGGTTAGTGCTGTCAGGCCGCCTGGACAACTTCGTTGGACTTGAGAATGTGGCCGGGCCGACATTCACCACCATCCCTATGATCTGTGATACCGAGCGCATGGCGCCGAAGCAGGATCTACTTCGATCAATACGAGAAGATATCAACAAAATTAGGAATCATCAGCAGTTCGGGCTTCACAACATAGCCAAGTTGAACGACTGCGCTCGCCAGGCAGCCTCCTTCACCACTCTCATGGTTATCCAACCTGGGGGTGATGCGAACAATAATGGAATCTTCAATGATTATACTTGCGAAACAATGCGACCCATTGCGCAATATCCACTGCAAGTAGAATGCAAACTTTCTAGGGGTGGTGCAGAGATAATAACGGCATACGACGGCAAGGTTATTGGCGCAACTGAAGCGGAGTGGTTCAACGATCACTTGAAGCAAATCATTGAGAACGACCTTTGTGGAAGCGAAGAGCTAGCCAAGCCTTTGCAGGATTCTATGGCTTTGACCAATGCCGATCAAATTCAGATTGATTCCTGGAACTCGACAGTCATTAACGCGGATACCCGATTCTTGCATACATGCTTCTCGGAAGCTGCTGCTAAGTACCCCACAAGTAGGGCCGTCGTATTCGAGGATAAGATATGCACATACAACGAGCTGGACCAGCTCTCATCTAATCTGGCACAGGAACTGGTGAGTCGCGGTGTAAAGCCTCGTGGCAGAGTTCCGCTTATGTTCGAGAAATCCGCGATCCTGGTTGTCGCTATCTTAGCTGTGCTGAAGACGGGCGCTGCGTACGTGCCCTTGGACCCACTACAGCCACAGGCCCGGCTGAAATCTATGAAGGATGCTATCGGGACCGATATCATCCTTTGTTCACCTTCCATGAGAGATAGATGCCAACTGTGGGGTAACAAGGTCTTCATTGATCATCCGTTGTTGCTGCTGCTTCAGGCACCGGACAGGCAGCACCAGCCGACAAGTAACATGACCCCTGAAGACCCGGCGTACATCATGTTCACTAGCGGTTCATCTGGTACTCCAAAGGGCGTCGTGATTTCCCATGGAGCAGTTGCCACGAGCATCCGCGATCAAATCTCTTCATTCAACTTCAGACCCAGCGTCAGAGTCATGCATTTCTGCTCATATACCTTTGATGTAAGCGTTATGGAGATCTTTGCGACATTGACATCAGGAGCTACGCTCTTCATTCCGTCGGAGCAAGATCGAATGTCGAGTCTAGCCCGGTACATGCGAGAGAATGAGATTCAAACTGCGATCCTCACACCTACTGTGGTTCGAAGTTTCCTCACACCAGACAAGGTCCCTAACTTACTGCAATTGATCTTGGTTGGGGAACCTTGTAATCAAAATTTGATATTGGAATGGTGTAATCGTGTGAAGCTCATCAACGACTACGGGCCAACGGAGACCACAATCGATTCTTCCACGAACACAAATATCACTGAGAACACAAAACCCACGAATGTTGGAAAGCCGATATCTGCACACTTATGGATCGTTCGACAATCCGACCCCAGCCAACTATGTCCACTGGGTGTTGCAGGCGAACTATTGATATCGGGGCCAACGCTCGCCAATGGCTATCTAAACGATCCCGAAAGAACTTCACAGGCTTTCATAGATAGTGCTGAGCTACCTTGGGTTCAGAGGGTGACATTGAGCCCAGTCAGGCTTTACAAAACTGGAGATCTTGCAAGATACTCTCGCAATGGTGATATCCACATCTTAGGCCGAATCGACAGTCAAATCAAACTGAAGGGCCTCCGCATCGAGGTTCAAGAGATCGAACAAGCGCTTGAAGGGTTTGAACCATCGTTGAGGGCCGGGGTGATACTGACCAAGTCGCCGAGTGGTGAAGATTCGCTCTTCGCGGCAGTGAGCAAAGAGAAGTGGCGAAGGAGTTCAGAACCCAGTACACTAGAGCTTACAAGAGAGCTGAGCGCTTGGATCGATGCGCTAGCCAAACATGTTGCGAGGCTTCTACCAAGATATATGCGCCCATCCGTTATTGTTCCTCTAACACACCTACCGACTATGACGTCTGGCAAACTCGATCGACGAAAGCTTAGACAGACCGCAGAATCTCTTGTCAACGAATGGTCTGTGATGCAACAGTGTCATGTCTCTTCGGAAACTCGCAAGACGATTGTGATTTCTCAAGCAGAGTATGACCTGCGGGACGAGTGGGCGCGAGTTCTGAATGTGGACGCCAATGGGATTCATTCTGACTATAATTTCTTCTCGATGGGCGGCGATTCTCTTTCCGCCATGAAGCTGTCTTCGTCATACAAAAACAATAGTAGACTGCCCGTCCAGTCAATCTTCCAGCACCCTGCCCTTGGCGACATGGCGAAGGCGATAGAGACTGTGAGTATGGCTGAGGTGACGGCACATCATGCGGCCATTGGACCGAATTGCCAGCCACAGATGAGTTTTTCAACGGCTCTATTTGACAATGTTGCCGAAACTTGCAGCGTCCGTGTGCAGGATATTGAGACTATATTTCCATGTTCTCCACTGCAGGAGGGACTTTTCACAGCCTCGTTGCTTTCAAGCGGCTCTTACTGCGCCCGCGTGGCATACGACTTAGCTCCGGACGTAGACATAGCCAGATTCTGTGCCTCTTGGGAAGCTGTGTATCACGCAAACTCGATTCTTCGTACACGAATCGTTCGGAACTGTCGGAAGACAACCGAACTCCTCCAGGTTCCGATACGTCAGCAATTGTGGTGGAAGAAAGTCGATATTGAAGAAGAAGTTGATGAACGTCTATATATGACTCTTGGTGGAGAGCTCACCCGGTGGATCCTGTTGAACGGTGGGGGCCGAGCGAGAAAATTCGTGCTCTTCATACATCATGCTCTCTACGATGATATTACACTAAAGAGCATCTTCTCTGATTTCGCCCAATTGTATACAAAAGGGTTCTTGGAGGAGGGGCCAAGAGTGTTCGGGATGCAGCAATACATAGGATTCCTGGAGAGTCTAGACAAGAGCAGCATGATCGAAGTGTGGAAAAATTTGTTGAAAGGAACAAGCGCAGTCCACTTCCCAACCAACAGACAGCCTAGCTACAAGCCGCAGACGAATAGAGCTACGCAGATACTCGCTGCAAAATCTTCTGGTGGGGACTCCTGGCGGCCAAATCAAACCCCGATTCTTCGTGCCGCTTGGTTACTTACTATTTCACGCCACCAATATCCAGTCTCTGATGGCGAGACTGTGTGCTTCGGCACGGTTCTTTCGAGTCGCATGTCGACCACACCTGGGCTTGAAAAGGTCTTGGGGCCTATGATACAAACTTTGCCGGTCGTCGAAACTGTGAACCGGACAGATCTTCTTTCTGAATTTCTAGAGCGCATCCGTGCGAAATATGTGCAAGCGATGGACTCAGGTCATCTTGGGCTCAAGAAAATCAGATCAATCGGACCTGAGCAGGCATCGGCATGTGATTTCAACAACCTGTTCGTCATCCAAAGTGGAGGACATGAAGAGGAATACATCCAAAATGAACAGATTGAAGGTTTCACTCGCATCAAGCAAGAGCTACAGCACCCTTACGGGCTGGTCCTCGAGTGTACTCCAACACCAACCGGCGTAACATTTTCGGCTTCATACGACTCTGGTATACTAGATGAAATAGCAGTGTCTAGGCTGCTTGATCATTTCGGAACTGCATTTGAACGTCTTACAGAATTACACGAGATCAGTACCGCTAAGGTTTCAGACGTCCTCTCTCGCTTGAGCAGTGATGCCGAATTGAGCTTAGTATGTTCCTGGAATGAACAACCCGCTCCATCGGACGGTCTCCTTCACGAGCTGTTTCTAGTCGCTGCACAGAAGTGGCCGAAAAGAGAAGCGGTTTTCGCGCACGATCGTTCGTTGACATATGAGCAACTTGACCAGGAGTCTTCAGCTTTGGCATCCGAACTTATGTCTTCTGGAGTACGAGTTGGATCTACGATACCCATCTGCTTCGAGAAGAGCAGCTACATGCTTGTTGCCATACTTGCTATACTCAGAGCTGGAGGGGCCTACGTTCCAATATCACCAGATCATCCACCCGAACGACAAGGATATATCATAGAAAAATGCAGCACCGAGCTAGTTTTAGCATCTAGGGAGCAAGCCAGTGTACTTTCCAAGGCTTTACATACCAGCAAGACGATTATCTGTGTTGATCAGCAATTTTCTGGCCGCCAACTGGCTGATCAGACGTCCCAACCTCCAAGAGGATACACTCACCCTAGTAGTAAGTCTTTGGCCTACGTTCTGTACACCTCGGGCTCTACTGGCACTCCCAAGGGAGTCGTTGTGTCTCATGGTGCGGTTACTCGCAGCATGGTCAAACACGCAGAGCACTTCGGCCATACGTCGAGAGAAGGACTACGCAGCTTACAGTATTGCAACTACACGTTCGATGTGTCAATCATGGATATTTTCCCAACGCTGAGCTTTGGCGGCTGCGTCTGTATTCCTTCCGAAGCCGACAGACTCGGGAACATTTCTTCTTTCATTCAGGAATCCAGGGCAAACCTGGCTATGCTTACCCCCACCGTTGCCAACATGTTGGTCCCAGAAGAAGTACCTGGCCTCTGTACACTTGTCGTGGGCGGTGAACCAATGACAGAATCAGTTCGGAACAAATGGACGAATCCTGCCAATATACCAGAGCGTGTGCTTCATAATGTGTATGGTCCAACAGAAGCTAGCGTCAACGTCGCGACTTCCCGGATGACCACAGAAAGTAATCCTGCGAACATTGGCTCAGCAATTCTTGGTAGTCAACTTTGGATCGCAGAGTCAGATGACACCGACAGACTAGCGCCTCTAGGATGTGTAGGGGAGTTGATCATCACCGGTCCGTGCCTCGCAGATCAATATCTGCATGCTGCAGAGCAGACTGCTAAAGCCTTTATCAAGGCTCCATCGTGGCTTCCTGTACGCTTCGTCTCGACAGCGTACCGGACGGGTGACCTTGCTCGTTTCGCCACAAATGGTGAGATTGAGATGGTTGGCCGGATCGATGCGCAAGTTAAGCTTCATGGAATTCGAATTGAGTTGGGCGAGATCGAAGAGGTGGCAGGTCGAGTCGAACATGTCAAAAGGGCAGTTGTAATTGTCACGAACAAACGCGGCCGTGACGAGCTCTCACTATTTTATGACACTGCTCATGATCAACATTTTATCATCAGAAGAGCGATCCGTGAACAGCTGAGATGTTCACTTCCCCCGGCATTTATCCCGTCGCTGTATATCAGCAGCAGCATTCCTATGACCAGGACTGGAAAGATTGACCGCAAGGCACTTGCCCAACAAATGGCTGGCTATCGCCCAGAAGAGTTGGCCAGCTTTGCTGTCGACGCTTCAGACGTGGCTAGGCGATTGCCCGAAACGACGAAGCAGAAAGAATTGCGAACACTTTGGATTCGTGCATTGCATCTACAAGAAGACGACGTCTGGCTGCAGACTAATTTTTTCTCTATCGGAGGAGACTCTGTGGGAGTCATCGTATTGGTCTCGATGATGCAGCGCGCTGGGTACCCGGTCACATATAAGGACATATTCGCCCGACCAATTCTAGAGGACATGGCCTTGCTGATGCACAAAACTGATGAAGAATGTGTAGCCCTCGAGGACCCCGTACCTTTCGAGGTACTAGCAGCTGAGCCTGCTAGCCGAGAGAGTCTTCAGAGTCATCTCGCAGATATACTGAATCTTCCGGTATACCGCATTTGCGATGCTTACCCCTGCTCTGCTATGCAGAATTCATTCATTGCTGCATCGTCGCGGAACCCCGAGGCATACTGGTGCACCATCGACATGGAATTGGCGCCTCATACGTGTGCAAAGCGCCTGATCTCGTCTTGGGAAGCAGTCGTCATGCACAATTCTATTCTGCGTACGGTGATTGCCAACACAAAAGACTTTGGCAACATACAGATCGTCGTCGATGCGGATCCCTGGAAAATCTTCGGCGACTGTCATGAAGAAGCAGTACTGCTTCAGAAACCACTTTTCAGGTATAGCCTTGATACCTCATGTACGGGAAAGAAGGTCTTCCAGCTGAGGATGCACCACGTAATCTACGATATGTGGGTACAGGACGCACTTTTCGACCAACTTAGCCAAATGTATAACGGGAGACACTTGGAAGGCCATCCTTCTTTCAGTCGCTTTATCCGCTTCGAACAAGAAGAAAATGGCTCCGCGGAGTTTTGGAAGAATGCTATTCGAGGCGCGTCTATTGTAAAGTTCCCAAACTATAGGACTGTGCAAAACCCAGGCGAGGTGTTGATGACTCTCACTGCGGAGCGTGTGATGAAGCTACCTCAGACGAGAATATCATCTTTCTCGATCGCGACGATCATACACTGCGCATATGCATTGCTGCTTTCCAGATATGGGTATACAAGCGACGTTTGTTATCCCTCCGTACAATCAGGACGAAGTATCCCGCTTCAGGCCGCGTCAGATATCGTTGGACCGCTCATGACAACTTCATTCTTCCGCGCCGACTGCTCAAATGACCGGGAAGTTTACAAGATGCTCGAGGATGCCAGTCAGTTCCTGTTGGATGCGGCCAGTCATCAACACGCTGCGCACACTCTGGTTCCTCGGATCTTCAACCAATCAATAGCGGAGATGGGTAGCATGCTAGTAGTCCAACCTCGTACTCGCCTCTCAGAACCAAGTATCGACTTGTTCAGTGGAACAGGTACGAAAATGGCACAGTCTGGACTACTTCTGGTGGCGGCCACAATCGAAAGCGAAGATACGGTGAATTTGAAGATACAGTATGCACCTGAGGCAATGGAACAGGCAAATGCACAGTTGTTCATGAATCATCTACAACGGGCCATTGAGCAATTGGCAGAAACGCGAATGGACGACAAAAAGCGTCTCGGGGACATCTCCTTGATCACCAAGCATGACGAAGACATCGCGATGAGAGGCTGTGGCACGGCAATGCCAATAACAGATACCGTTGTGAATGCGATGTACCGTATTGCAGAACAAAATCCCAACGCTGTTGCCATCAATGCCCACGATGGAACTTTGACATACGGCGAGCTACTAGGTCAAACAACTAGACTGGCTGCAGTGCTACGATCCCGAATCAGAAGACGCGCAGGCTCAGAGATTCGCATTGCGGCATGTTCCGAAAGAAATGCCATGGCCGTTGCAATCCAAGCTGCCATTTTCACCATCCGAGGAGCTGCATTTATTGCTCTGGATCCCACAAGCCCCATTGAGAGGAACTTACAGATCCTAGAAGATTCGGATGCCGAAATAGTACTGTTCTCACCATTCACAATACATCTGGCTGGGGAGATTGCCGGAGGCAGAGAGATTTTGGAGGTAAGCAAGGAAACTTTGGACAAGCAGCATACAGATACCGGTAGCGAGACCACAGAGGCAAGCCCTCATGCTGGTGACGTGGCATACATCACATACACGAGTGGAAGCACTGGCCGCCCCAAAGGCTGCATCATGGACCACGGCCCCTTGGCAATTACGATACTCAAGCTTACAGAGTGGAAGGATATCAATTCCAAGGTCAACACACTCTGGGGATCCACATGGAGCTTTGATGTTCATCTGTCACAGATATGGGAGCCGTTGACTACTGGTGGTTTGATTTGTGTGCCATCCGAAGACGAAATGCACAAAGGTGTCGAAGCTACGTTGGTGAAATACGACGTGCATCACGCGTTCTTTACTCCAACTCAAGCGAAGATGATTGACTTTAGCAAAACTCCCTCCCTACGGTCTATAGCTATGGGTGGAGAATCGATCAGTTTCAACCTGTTGCCACTTTTCGAGGCAGGTTTGCGCGTCTTCAATGAATATGGGCCATCAGAAGCTTCCGGATGCGTTACAGGTCACGAGCTTATGCCTGATGACCAGGAAAAGAACAAAATCGGTCGAGCGCTGTTTGGCAATTGCTGGGCCTTCGAACCTGGCAGTCTGTCTCGTCTGGCCCCAATCGGAACCATTGGAGAACTCGTGGTTGGAGGAACTTTAGCACGAGGGTACCTCAATCGACCCGATATGACTCATGAAACATTCTTCGAGAGTCCAGCTTGGATACGTGGAGTATGTCAACGGCTGTACCGTACTGGCGATTTGGTGTGCCAAGATCTCGACGGCTCATTCCGGTATCTTGGTCGCGCAGATAATCAGGTCAAGATTAACGGGGTCAGAATCGAGATCGCAGAGATTGAAAGTGGTATCACTGCAGTGGAATCGAGCATCAGTGCAGTAGTCGCAGCCCTTGACTCTGGTGGTGAGGACGGGTCGAAAACTCTTGTCGCTTTCATCGGGTATCAAGGCTGTCAAACACCGTCTACGTCGAAAACAGATGTGAATTTCGAGAAAGACTGTGCATATATCCGTGGAAAATTGGCGCGAACCCTTCCCAGAACTATGATTCCACGTGTTTGGATTCCACTGCCGAGCGTCAAAAGAACATCCACTGGAAAAGTGGATCGCAAGGCATTGCAGGAAGTTTTCGAATCACACAAGCAAACTTTGTCATTGAAAAAACACTCAAACAGCAACGAGATACTCACGAACGCAGAAAAGATCATGCGAAGCCTATGGATTTCTGTGGTAAAGTGCGACCAGTCTAAAGTCGAAAAGTCCACCAATTTTTTCGATCTTGGAGACTCTATCGCGGCGATCGGACTGGTTGCTGCTGCTGCTAGGCTTGGACATCACATGTCTGTGGTGGCTTTGTACAAGAATCCTGAGCTATCGGATATGGCTCTCTTGATACAAGAGGAGAACTCCACGAGCTATTTGCTAATACTCCAAGACCCGCCAGCGTTTTCCTTGGTCAATCCTGATGCCCTTGGTCAAATTACGGAAGACCTGAGTCAAAATATCCCATCTCATTCAACGATCGAGGACGTCTTCCCTCTCACTCCACTCCAGGAAGTGGCTATCGTAGCGAATCAAAGATGGCATCATGCATACTTCGCATGGTTCGTTGTCGATATAATGGGCGTTCTCGACCGTTCTAAACTTCGAGGAGCTTGCAACCAGGTTGTCGACATACACCCTCTGCTTCGAACTGTTTTTTTCCAGAGTGGAGCCGGCTTTTACCAAGCGCCGTTGAGGAATGTGGTGCTTGACTACCAGGAGGTTCCTTGGAATGGTGACAAGTTGAGTGTACCTCATCTCATCGATGAGACCTGCTTAGATGAAGCACGACCCTACTGCAGCCCAACTCGATTCCGCGTACTGCAACACACGCCGACTCATAGCCTGCTGGCCATAGGATTGAGTCATGCTCAGTACGATGGAATTTGTCTACCCAATGTCTTCAATAATTTGATTGCCGTCTACAACGGGAATAAATTAACACGACAGCCAAGCTTCTCACGCTTAGTCCAACTCTTGAATCTACGAACCCATATTGCAGATGCGCAAGCCTTCTGGAGTAAAAGGCTTTCCGGCACCAGCATGACAAACCTTGCCAGGTGTCCGAACACAAACCGGAGACTGTTAGACAGCGTTGTTACCTCCCACATTTGCTTGCCCGAAGTGTCGACGACAGAACGGCGAGTTCACGCTGCTCTCTGCCTTGCCTGGGCAATCACTCTAGAAGCAGCAACAGGTGTTTCTGATGTAGTATTTGGGACACTGACATCGGGCCGTAATGCCCCAATCCAAGACATATCATCTCTGACAGGACCATGCATCACCACGATTCCAGTGCGTGTTGACTTGGACGCACAACGCATGAAATCGAGAACGCTCTTCCAGGCTCTCGAGCAAGTGCATAGAGATCATGTGGAGACCTTCCCTCACGAGCATCTGGGCCTTCGAAGGATAGTGAAAGATTGCACAGACTGGCCGTCCACAACACGATTCTCGAGTATGGTCCAACATCAGAATATCGAAATTTGGAACCCTTCGTCAAACCCGGCTCCCCCTTCAAAGCTGTCGGCAGACGATGCTTTACAATGGAAACACGGAGGCTCGATAGCATACAAAGGCGCATGTGATGAAGTAGACTTGTGGGTGACGAGCGTGCCGACGGGGGATAACAGGACGGACTTGACCATGCTTTTCAATGAGGAGACTTTGCCAAGAGACGTAGCGGAGAAACTTATCTCTGTCCTAACTAGCAACCTCGAGGTTGTGCTACAGGAACGCCACGAAACAGTCACAACGCTCTCCATAGATTCGAATAGGCGTCTGCGTGGCGTTAGACTTCCAATGTCGGCCCATCCGGAATCGGAAGGGGGTTTTCATTCTGGAGTCACACCCGTGATCCAAGAACCTCGACAAGAAACGTATCACTTGCTTCAGACAATATGGTGCCGAGTGCTAGGACTTGCCTCGGAAACGCAGTTCGTTCCTTCGGATTCGTTCTACACACAAGGGGGTGATTCTATAGGAGCGGCCATGGTCGCTGGACTTGCGCAAGCACAAGGTATCGCTCTGAGCCTGCAAGACGCGAATGAATGTGTGACCTTTGGTGAACAGGTCCAAAGAATCGAGGATGGATCGTACAGCAAACCAAAAACGAACAGTTTGGAGTGGGACAAAACCGATCGGATTGCAAAGTCCTTCCTACGATAATCAAATTAAGGACATAGGGATCTCGGAGATAATTTGTACATTGCTCGATAGGCTATAATAATCTATAATTTCACAACCTCTAGTGCTTGTGCAAAATTAGGCTCATAAGAAAGGCACATTTAGAGAAATATATTTGTTATACAAGAGATATTTAACTACTTAGTGTAATAAAGTAACTCAGAGAACTGTAGATTTGAAGGACTATTGGACTTAGATATAATATAGACAGTAGAAAAATGTGATACAGGACTGCAGAGGCGGAGCGAGGAGGACGATTATAGTCTCGACATGTTTGCTTCTCTCGCTTACGCCTTAGCCTCTAACACTACTTATAACTAGCGCCCTACGTGTTAGGAGATGCGTAAGAATTGTTCTTATAACCTCCTTACCTAGTATAGTAAGAAAGAGATTTCCCTTACTATTCTCTTTTAGTATAAAGTAAATACTATTACTTCTAACGTAGTTTACTAGCGAGTCGCTACTACAAGCGAGTCGCTACTACAAGCGGGTCGCTACCCTAACACTAGCGCGACGCCTGCGCAGCAACGTAGTGTAGCACTAGAACACAATATTATACTATAGGTAATAGATTACTACTACTTAGAAGCGTTACTATTATCTACATCCTCTATTTCTACCTTGTAGGTACAAGAGTTATACTTAACCTTGCTGCAACAGCTGCAGCGCCTCTCCGCACGTACCCTCTTTATAGGCGTCTTACTATCCTTACGCTTATTACTATCTATTTTAGTAATTAAGTTGGATACTGTAGCAGAGAATCTGAGGGATCCGCAGATCTAAAGGGCTATCGGACTTAGAGATAACACAGAGAGTAGAAAAGGGACAGGAATAACTAAACTAGGTTCAGACAACGAACACCACACATACAACACACACAATATACTCTACTTACTTGCATCGAGCACACGTTCCGATGAAGGACTACCAAAACACTCTACTACAATACCTTACTAACTATTAGAGTCTCCTCTGCGCGTACGTACTGCCTTTTACAAGTCTTACGCTATATAAGCGTGTTAACAGCTTCTTAAAGGCTTCTTACTTCCTTTTACAAAAATACTATATTATAAGCTATCTACTAAGCGCCTTTACCTAGCTACTTAACTTACTTATCTAATAAGCTTACTAGTAACCCTTGGTAGTGTTATATATAATCTTAAATTAGCGTAGATTACGCCTCTATCTTATAGGCACGTAGTGTTTACGCCTCCTAGGTAACTATACCTAGTGTAGGCAGCGTTAGCGTACGCAGCTGCATATCTAGCTTTAATAATATTGTCAAGCTCTAGAGTCTTTATAGATACGAGATGCACCGCGATAGTGGAAGTAGAGGTATATTGCCTTGTAAGACTAGAGACGAACCGCTGTCGAGCCACAACAGCGGTAAGGTAGGCTAATATACTGCGATTGCTTGGCATACCGGCCCGAACGGGCCCGGAGTTACCTGGTGCCTGACAAATATAGCCTCTAGATTATAAAGGACTAGTCTAGCACATTAAAAGCCTACGTAAACGTTCTCTAGTGTAGCCGCCTTCTTATAAGCTTCTTTAAAGGCTAGTAGGAAGGTTTCCTTGTTAATATAGTAGATACAGCTACGTACTAAGAGTAAGATCCTATTACTTTAGTAGCACTTTAATAGTAAGTAAAGAATAATATTAAGAGGCTATAAGAGGTTTAATAAGTAAGATAGTATATAAAGAGTAATACTCTTATTTTCCTTATAGTAGTTCGAGAATCTACTAAGTAGTAACTATTATAGCTATTAATAATAAGCAGTCTATATACCCTAGTAGAGGACGCCTTTATATATACATTAAAGTGCTTAAGCTATATAAGCGTAAGGTTATTATTATACTAGCTACTAGGAGAGATAGTAAAAATTTAATTATAAGGTAGATATTGTAGTGTAGTAGGATAACATGTGATCGGAGGGACAGTATATATACCGAAAACCTTTCAAGAGAGAAAGGTAGCTTCTTTCTTTAACTTCACTCTAGCGATTGCTCTCGAACTACTTCTTTCTGCTCCTCTATCCGATTGCGGGTCGAACACCTACCTCCTAACTTTGCTCAATACCTTATCGTGCTACAATATATAAACTAGAAAGTATTAAGGACCTTCCTTATAAAGGTAAGGAAGAGTAGGATAACGCGCCTTATTATATAGACGCCTTATACTAAAGTTACCTACTTACAATTACTAGGCTGTAATTTCTTCTGTTTCCTAGGTTTCTTTAAGCCTATAATAATAAGCTAAGAAGATATCTTACTTATTATAAAGCTAGACTTGTAAAAGTTCTAGGTATCGTTATTAATAATACTATACTCTGTCTTTATTAATTAAATAAGCGTAAACAAGGGCCTAGTAATTACTAGGTCTTTATAGATAGTGTAGCACGATAAGGTATTAAGCAAAGTTAGGAGGTAGGTGTTCGACCCGCAATCGGATAGAGGAGCAGAAAGAAGTAGTTTGAGAGCAATCGCTAGAGTGAAGTTAAAGAAAGAAGCTACCTTTCTCTCTTGAAAGGTTTTCGGTATATATACTATCCCTCTAATTACGTGTTATTCTACTATACTATATTTTTTCCTCTCTAACCTTTTAGTTTAGCCTTATTAAGCTAATAATTCTTTAAAACTCCTTCCTACCTTTTTGCTTTAAGCCTAAGTCCTAGTTTAAGCTCGAGCTTCTCTCTTAATCTCTTTCTACCTTTACATTAACTAACCTTACCTAGCTATGTTAAAATCTCCTTTACCTTTACCTTCACCTCTAATCTTTAAAAACTGCTTAGGCTGCTGCCTTGACTAACTGCTCGCTTCGCTCTCGCTACTAAGTTTTATCGCGAGCCTTATTCTATATAAACTACTCTCTATCTACTCCTCCTTTTCTTCTCTACTCTCTAACTCCCCCTTCTAAACGCTCCTTAAGTTAAGAATAACAACTCCTCCCCTCTACAACTCTAATAACCTTTAGCACTTATAGCGACTATTAAATCTGCTCCTAGTAGCACTAATATTAGTTCTAGTAGCGGTAGTGCTAGTAGTAGAGGTAAGAAGCCTAACTAAGGTAGAGGCCCTCTAAAACTGTGCTATTAAGACCTTAGCGGCGATACTAACACTCCTCTCTAGCTCTACAATGTCTGCGTAGTGAAGACCTACATCCTTAAGTAGCGTTCGTACTTGTTTCTCTTTTCTTTAGTTCTTCTAATACTAATTTAAGCTTCTAGTTAAGCGTAACACTAATTGCACTATAGATATCTAGTTTACCTAAGACCTTACCTACTTTATCTAGTAGCTTTAAGCTTAAGGACTTACTCTTACCTCTTACTAGCGCCTAGCTACTATCTACTAAGATAATAATAAAGCCTATTTAGCCCTAACTTCCTTTTGCTTTAAAAATAACACTCCTATTACTGTTTAATAGCTAATTAGTATTAGCACTTACTATAGCTACTATAACACTAACATTAAGGCTAGTTTAAAGTCCTTTACTCTCTCTCTCTTTTCTCCTTTGCTAACTTATTAGTAGTTATTTAGTAGGCTGCGGCTAGTAACTAACTATTCTCTAGCACTAACTACTACAGCTGCTATTAGTCTACTTAAGCCTACTACACTTTCTCTAACTACTCTTAGTCCTACTACTAAGGCTACCTTCTTAACTATAGTGCTTATAATAAGTGCGCTATAAATAGAGGTAGTAATTGCTGCTCCTTCTATAGTAAGTCTACTAATAATTTCTTAGAACTTATTTATTAAGCTAACTCTTTCTTTTAGACTGCCCTACTTAACCTAGCACTAATATTTTACTTTCTATTAAGGGGATTATAGCTACTATTAGTCGCGGTCGCCCTAACTATCCTAACTATTCTTCTCCTTATACTTATTAGCGTTAATTCTCTAGTAGTGCTAGTATAGGTCCTCCTTCTTCTAGTTCTTCATCTAGTTCTAGTAGTTCTTCAAGATAAGGTTACTAGCTCTACTTAGCTTCTTCCACTTCTATGTCTAAAAATAGCTTCTTAATAAGGATTATAGATAGTGTAATATAACAATAGGCCTTTAGCCTTTTTCTAGTAGCTTGTTTAAGGAGCTTAGTTAAGTCTTAGGCTTCTATAAGGATAAACTTAGTAGTCTATAAATAGAATCTAATCTTCCTTAACATAGTTCCCTCCCTACCCTTCAAGTAATGCTTAGCCTTATAGCCCTAGTTTGTTTATAGCCTACCTCTAATAGCTCTTTAAGGCGTTAATGTAACATTCTAAACTCTTTTAACCTCTAGGTATATCTTTAGGCGCCCTCTTAGAATAGTTCCTTTAATGCTACTTAGTAATTCTTTAAACTTCTTTAATTAATTTGCTCTTGTAGTACTTATAAAGGTAACTCTATTTAGGTCCTCTAGTTAATAGTAGCCCTTGTCTAGCTATGCTTTCTAGATATAATATAGGCCTAGCTAGCGATCGTTAAGTTTCCTGCTCGAGCTCTTATTAATGCCCCTAATAGCATCCTAGATTAGAACTAGATTACCCTCCTAAAGAGCTTTTAGTAAGCTCTTCTTATTATTCTAGCTATCTATAGCTTTACTACAAAGTCTTCTTATATAATAGACTGCTTCCTCTAGCTAATCTCTCCTAAACTGTAGCTACGCTGCTTACACTGCTATTAGGTTAGCTTATAACTTTACTTCTAACTATAGTAAGCTTTACTAAGTAGGAATTATAAGCTCTATTAGTAAGACTAAATTTTGTCCCAATATAAGCTAAGCTAGTGAGTAACTAAGTAGCCTTCTTATTAAGACTCTCTTAGCCTAAATTGCTATAGCTAAGTTACTAATTTAAGAGCCTAGTAGTTTACTAGACTATAAATAAAACTTTAATAACTGCGCTTAATAAGGCCTTAAGCTCTAGAATTATATACTAAGGTTTATACTCCATAGATGCTAAATTGCTTCGCTAGGGCTTCTACTACTAACTTGTTCTTAGTTCCTCT